TAGTAGTACTTGTAAAAAATCAAGGCTTTGGCTATGGCTATGGCTATGGCTATGGCCCGTGCTCTTCTACTTATTTTTTTGTTTCTTGCACTTACTTGTAGTTTAAGGGTCCAGATGAATACAGCATTGAATCGCACCCCCTTCTGGATAAATCGATGTACACTTTTGCTAACACAAACAACTAATTACCCAACACCATGCAAGTCCATAGCCCTCTCATAGTTTTAGGTTGTGGTTACTGTGGTATCATTTAGTCGATTTGTTCTAGTAGCTTTAAGAAGGTTCGTCTCAAGCTCATCTGGTTACTGCGTTTCAGTGAAATGCACCGAAAATTTTTTAGCTGCGAAACTCATGACGTTTACTGCAGTTTACTGCACTGAAGATGATTCAGTATTAAGATGTACTGAATCAACAAGAAATGGTAGTGCCAAAAATAGATGCCAATATTAGTGGTATTTGTAGACACTTGCAGCTAATTGGCTTTATTTTTACAGACATTCGAAGCACAGTACTGTAAGAGGGAAATTGAATGCCAATTTTACGGATGCTTACTCAACGTGGTAGTTTCACTTTCCACGTCGTATCACAAGTTGCCTTCTTTCGCCTTCTAGCGCCATCCACCTTGGGAGAAGAGCTGTAGATCTACAACAAATCGCCCCAGTAATCCGTCAGTTTCGGTAGTGACGGTAAGGCTCCATCACTGTAGTATCTGACGTCTGTACGGGGCCGGAGACAAATCAAACAATCGGTAGACGGAATCTAGAAACAAATGAGGGTGCAGACCGGCAATCCCGTTCATACGAGAATGATTTAGGAAGAAATTTCGCACCATAACTGGCAACGCTACCATAGCAATACCTAACTGTTAACTCTTGCAATATTGTGAAGCCCACACTCTCAAACACAACTCAGACACAGATTCTCAGATTCTGACACAAAGCTCTTTCTTTTAAAACACATGGTATGATAATAGTAGGTTAATAGCAGGATAATGAGATTGACACTATCGTGCCATTATGAATAATTTACCCAAAGGTACCGCTCGGATAGGCAGGGAGATCCGAGCTTTCAACTTCGCCAAATATCAACGAGTACGACCTTGGAAGATAGTGTAGACTGATAGATAGTAGTATCCTTTGAGACCCAATACCAACTGTGAAAAGGCGGTTCTCCCCAGCACGTGCCAAGTTTAATCTGTGGTTGCTAACACTATCATTACTGAAATGTGATACTGTGGGTCGCCCTACAAAATGATTTGCAGTTGTACGTGTTCTATGAGTACGCACGAAACTAAGAATTGGATGTGTAGGAAACATGTGGGGTATTACCTACTATATTAGGCAACGTTCTAGGATATTCCACGTAAGAAAATATAAACAGCGACAGAAATAAATTTGTGGCACACACATAACTTAAAAAAAACATCAGACAAAAACGTGAGCAGAGAAAATTTTTCTCCTTGCTATGATTGTGAGTCACGAGGACTCACCAAAAAAAGAGTAATTTTGTCATAGTGTCTGCTTTACAAAATTTTTATTGTCTGCGTTGCCCTACATTTATGCACCTTATGTATGTATGTGTATGTATGTATGTATGACACAGAGGGATTACTCCTCACCACTCCTCACCCAACTTGCTCATAGTATGAGTAATTTCGTATGTCGGCTTTGTACTTCCTACGCTTATTAAGAATAGTTATCTATAAACTATTTAACTAATTGCAATTCCAGATTTACCTTTCAAAATTTCAATATTCTCTCATATATTAAACTACAACACACACCTTTAAATAAGATCTCCATATAACTACAAGGGGTTCGTGAGATATTAACTGATACTACATTAAGCTTTACTTGCTCGCCACACTTTAAGCAAGCCATACATTATTATAATTAGTTTTCGTCACTTTTCAACTTCAGTTACACACATTTGTATATATTTCATTTTTGGTTTTGAAATGTCTGACTTCTTCAACAACTATTGCATCAACTGTGACAAGTTGTGTACGTCATCATCGATATACTGTTCTGACAGTTGTCGCCAAGAGGATGAAGCTCAAGCGTCACACCCTCACACCCATCACTCTAATGGTGAAACCATATTGAGATCTAATGCTCACACACCTGAATTGGTATCTCCCTTATTAAGTGCATCCTACAATAATGCCGATGGCTCTCCCATGTTTTACTCATCAACTTCATCAACACTGGCAGAATACCAAGAAGATGATCTTGATAACTATCCTTTTGACTTGAATTACTCATACACCACTCCTTACACTCATAATAAGAGCTCTGAAGTTGAATCCCAACCAACCAATGCTGATGTTCTTGATTTAAGTTCCACCAGCCACAACTATCGGAAGTGGTTGACTGTTTGCTTGTAGCAGAATAAGCACCAAGGTAACTGAAAGTCATGCTAGCTTTCAGTTAGGTGAGATAAAAGCTGAGTTAGCTTTTATTTACTATGTTTTATTTATTGGGTTTTGTTTGGTATTAGCGGGGTTTCAAAAAGAAAAATGGATTAAGGCAAAGTTGCATACTTCTAGTCTCTATACATAAATATTTATTATCGTTATTTAAAAAAAATTGGGTATTTTTAATGGAATTAATATAGAACTATTTTATATTGTAAAGACTATTTGCATTAAAGTAATCTCTCCATTGAAGTACTGAGAGGAACGTTCAAACTGCTTAATGTACGGTTTGACTTACAAAGTCCAAACTACACCAGAACGTTTAACGCGCTTGATAATATCCGATGCTGGATAACCATAACCGTTTTGAAATATTGCGGAGAGGGGAGAGGTTTTGTGTATATTTATTCCCCCATAAATTGTTGTGCTGCAATATAGGGCCACTTGGATATGGCAACCAACATTACATTAGAAATATGATGTGATTCATATCGGTTAAGTTAAATCCATCTGGGGATCTATCATCAAAAGTTGAAAGTTTATTGAAACATAGATCGGACGCCGTAAAAATGTTTTTCCCGGATCGATTGTCATGTACTAAGAATGCCTCAACATTGAAACGGAGATCCATCTTGGTGGAATAGCGCATACCATCGTCATAAAAGCTTTTTCATCACCCAATACGTGGAAGTAGGCAACAACTATTGTTTTAAATGATGGAGCAATATTTACGAGAGTTCCTGAAGGTAGAAGTTGGCTAGCCCCTATAATAACTTTGAGGATAATAGTTTGTGGTGGTGGTTGTGGTGCAATCTAAACTAAACCACGCATTCTGTGGTTTGCTTGCCACATGTCACCCCATGGGATGGTGCCAGCAAAACAGACATTTTGAAACTGACAACTGACAAAAGCCTCTTCAGACAAACTATTTTGTCTTTGTGCATTTTATTTGGAGCCGTTAATAATTGTTTTTGACTAATTATAGGATTTGCCTGCCATCCCCATCGTTGCAAGTGTCAACCATATCAGACTTCCTATTGTCTGTTGTTTAGTCCGATTTTTTCTCTGCGTCACTATATTACGCCATCCCAACCACGGATTAAGTCCCCCGCTTTATGATTCCAATACCGCGTTTAAATGAAATACTAATAAACAAAACTCACTAAAGCAGTAGCAATAAATGAATTATATAATTTTCTCTACAGTAATATTAATAAAAGTACTAAACTTCTGTTATTATGTACTCAAATAAATGTCTGAAACTGTAATTTATCATTTTTCTAAAGTAGTTATGAGATACAATTTGGTTCCAAACTATTATTCCATTACCTTCTTTTTTTGTTTATTTATTTTTGCTTCGTCGCCAGGTAGGAAGAGTACGTGAGTAACTATCCGAACGGACATCTGCTCGGAGCAAAGACTAATTTATGTCAACATAAATCCCTTTAGCCTTCAAATCCGGTCCAGGTCTAGTGTAAATATTTAGGTCGTGTACGAACCTCCGAGAAATTTATACAAATATCCGACTCTGGAGAAGGGTGAAATTTGATAGTGATGGTTGAGACTTTCATCTTTACTGGCTTCTAAGTTGCAACTGAAACGTTCAGCCTATGGCTAAAAGTATGGGATAATTATCTCTATTGAAATACATGACATATGACAACAAAAGGTACGAATCTTTCAAAAATTAAAGTAGCGGTCTATCCCAACATTCAAGGATGGATGACCTTTTAGTTCGTACTTGTTTTCCCCATATTAACTACTACTTTGGGACTTTTCAGTGACAAAAGATTGTTGTTGGGGTTTAAACACCAAACAACCATTAAATTGTCCAGATGTAGTGCAGTAAACTTATACTCTCCCATCAATAAACCAATCAAGCAACAATACTATTCCACTTTCTGTCTGTCTGTTTCTCAGACTACTTAAGTTCTTTCAAGCCTTGGCTATCCCCTTTCCATTTCCTCGTAACAAATTACCTCATAATTACTTGTAACCAATTTGCTCTCAGTGTCTGGAAGTGGCCTTTTACACGCCATGGCGTTACTGTATCCACTACATCATGAAAATGCTCTTATACAACGGTCTAGACAAAATTCACCGCAACAACCATGGTTTCACTTCTGGTAACGTCTTTTGTGTAAGTGCAAAATCAGTGAAGCCTCCGCTATAGAAGATGTCCCAATCTAGAACTTGATGATAACCTTAACCTTTACCACATTCGTCTCTCATTTTCTCTGTTCATAACCCAGGGTCTCCAAGTCTTCCAAACGTGGAACAAATTTAGCTGCAGTGTTCTTATTTGCATACGCAATCGTTCAAGCTAAAACCCTCTTCAGCCTAGACCCCTCTTGGCACTGATACACATGGGATGATAGTATCCCCGTATACGACCAGACAGACACTTTCACGGCCCTTGGAATATACCGACTAGAAACATGATTGTTTAGTTCCATTCATTACATTGAACATCCATAGACCCCCGTACACCAGAAATGAATGATAATCTAACGGCGCTACCCATCAATCACCACACAACTTTGGCGATCAAATCTCAAAGGAAAAAATTTCAAACCATTCTGACATGCAAACGCTAGCAGATATAACCAAAGCTAACGAGATAGGACAACAAATCCCTATAAGCAATATGTTTGGAGCCTTTAAGTCGACTATGATCAAGAGTGGGGGTTATTTATGGAAGTTTGCCCCCAAGTTATCTCAGCCTCAAAAATACCGTCTTCGTAAGAGAATGCAATTAGTCGATGCCAATGTCGATGCTATACACAATGGTTTGCTTTTACACCAACTGGAGAAGGGTATTTTACCTGGAGTAAATGCCTCAGAGTCATTAACAGGATACAAGAAATTAGATAATGCCAAATATAACATGCCTAAAGAATCAAGTATGGCCCCAGAAGACAAGTACTCTACTTTCAATCCAAACTCCAAAAACTACAGAAGATCGTTGCATCGGGAACCCAAATGGACCAAGAGATCCTTCAGAGAAAATCCTACTCACTTTTGAGTCATGTCATCATCGTCGCCTGGCATTCTTGTACATATCATATAATATAAATTATTAATATTTCTAGTAGTATTACATTATTATCTAACTATCTAATCATCCTATTTGAAAAATTAGTGTGTGCCGATCCAAGAGAGCATCTACCTGTAGATTTGAACTCTTTATCGTTAACTTAGACGATCCCAGATATAATTCGCTATGAAATGATCACTATGACTTCCATCCACCTTCAATAGCCATGTAGAATCCTTTTCTTTATTATATATAGCCACCACATCTTGCTCTGAGCCATCGTCATTAACAACTGTCAGTAATTTACCTCCTAAATTTTTAATTAGGTTGATCTGTAAAACGGCCAGTATCATTCGATTTTCATTAATTTGGTTATTGGAATTGGGATAACCTGAAACTAATTGTAGCAACTCCTTGCCAGTGGATTGTTCCAAATTTTCTCTTGCTTGTTCCACTTGACGTACAAACTTGGACCGATCTAAAGCTAAAGATGTGATGGACCCTTCAAGTTGATTTATACTATCACTAATTTGTAATCGAGTATCTGCCAATTCACGTGCCTTTCTCTTCAACAAGGGAATCACTTCTCCTACTTCAGCATCACCTAAAATAGATTCGAGTGTAGAAGTCCCTACATTTGTTAGTTGAGCCAAAACAGCAGTGTTTGCGACTTGAAGTCTGGTCATCATCTGAAATTCCCGATCTAATCTTGCAAGTTCTAATTTAAGTTGGGATATCAGATGTTGGATTTCATCTATGTGACTCTGACGAAGCTGTTTTATCCGTTGTATGGTAGAATCCAACCCTTCTAATACTTGCAACTCATCTATAGTTTCAAATTCACCAGTGGTAAGCAGAAGAATCTCATTAGCTCCTAGCGATTCTGTGGGAACAGGGACAACTTCAGAACTCGCACCAACTGACACTTGAGCCAAAGTTGGTACGGTATTCACTTCTTCAGTCATTAGCAATAAAATTATACTATGGCTTGATGTATTTGAGTTATCAGTACGTACATTTGTTTACAAATAGTTAGAGTTGGTCACGTGACCCGGCACTTTGGTTCTTTTGCCTGACTGTTTGAAAAACTCAGTCCACCTAAATCAGATGGCACTACAATACTTGACTGTTACCATACATACGGGAACAAATGGCTAAGAAGACGTTTGACGAAGTGGATTTGCCCACTAACCCAAACCTTCCTCCTTGGGTGCTTACTCCGAAAGAGGAGAAAAAGATCTTTGAACGGTGGAGAAAGAAGGCATTTTCCAGATGTGATGAATTAATTAAGGCATACATTGAATGTTCCAACAAGTATCCAGCTATGGAAGCCATGAAGAAATGTGAACAGTTGAATTTGGATCAGCTAGACTGTGTGGCAAAGTATCAAAAGATAGAATACTTGGACATTGAAAGAGACTTGTTAATCAAGGAAAAAACTGAATTTCGTAAGTTGTATAAGCAAAAGATTTTAGAGAAGCAACAACAGTTGGAACAGCAGCAACAAAAATAGCCCTAAATAGTCGTGACATTATAACCTGTAAATAGAAATAAACAAAGACGATTGCCGAACTCTTATAATGCACTATAAGTTCGCGAAAAGTGTGATAAAGCTAAAGCAAATGACTGAAATCAGTCCTTGATGTTCAATTAAGTGCAGCCAAAAGGCTCGGATTAATTAGCATTTCCAATATGCCCAACTGGAAAGTGAAGATTTGTACAATAATGCTCGTGTACCCTCTTCTTATGATACATCGATTTCCTCTTCGTTTTCTGAGTCTTGAATGCCATCAGCTTTATTTCTTTCATGACTGATTTTCTCTAGCACAGCATAAGACGATAGAAATATAGATGCATGCATTTTCCCCAATTTCTCGATCGATTTATATTGAGCAGATGTGATGTTAATGATTTGGTTGAAATCATCCAAGTTACCTTCAAGTTGTGAGAGTTGACTGAGAAGATGACTTAGTTGTCTTTCGCGTGTTATTGATGTTGTAGCTGTATTTGTGTTGGTGACGGACTCAGAGACATCTGTGTCAAATGTACCTGGAGGAGAAGCCATACTGGGTGTGTAAGTATTAACTGTCAGAAAAACAATAATAATAATACTAATGTATAATACTAATCGTTTGTGAGATCAACTTATTTATATTTAGCGGGATATGAACGAATGACAACCAATCACAGCCAAGTGTTATTAGAGATTGGCTCCTCAGGTATACGACTTAAATAGTAACAGGCACTAACAGTAGTAGAAGCAGTCACTAATAGAAACTGTAACAGTTTACAATAACTTGATCTCACGTATACATTTACATAATGTACTATGTATTATTCATTTGAGATATGCACGACCATTGATTTGCTTATACGCGCAAACTACGACTTTTCCCCGGATTTCATACCGTCCATGCCGGCACACGGGTTCATCCGTTCTTCCACTGTCGGAAAAAGAATTACCAGTAAAACTCTGACTCCTACAACAACCCAACCCAACAGATAGTCGTAAACATATTGCTTCAATATAACGCATAAAAGTACCCATAGTATACCTTGATAAAACATCAGTGGTTGTATTAGGTGCATTTCAAGACAAAAGTCTTTCCCCTCGGTCAATGATCCCCGAATTAAGGTTGTGCTGCCAACTATAATACATCCATGAGCGCACCAGGTATAGCACTAGGCGACGACAATACGCTGTCTAGATCAGCGTCACCTGTTGTAGTTCCCGTGGCTACAGGTCTCTCCAACTCTATATCTCAAACGAGTTCCGTTCAAAGAGTTAACATTAATCTTAATAAAGGGGACCCCCAGAGACTGTCAGCAATGAACAAGGAAGTGAAAGTGCAACTGCAACATAGACCACCCCATCAACTAGAACCACATATACAACAACAGCAACGATACGCTAAAATCCAACCAGCTATAAAACCTCGACCAATAGCTGTGCTTCCCAAACCTCAAAATGCAATCAAGTCAAAGTTTGATCCGTCGGTACCAACCACTTCTCAGATCAAATCAAGTCTTCATAATAATACTCCTTTGAATATTAATACTTCGAAAAAATGGATTCTTCCCCCGAGACCAAGACCGGGCCGGAAACCCACCGCATCTGCTAATGGAGGTTCTCCTCATGCTTCAAAGAATCGTACTGCCATAGAACATTCTCATTTACAACATCAGTCCAATACCCATCATTCACCGCATACAAAGGTTAGTTTATCTAATCACCAAGTATCGAATAGTACACAAAATAGTGGTTCATCCTTCCATAATCCAAGGAGAGTACCCAAATCTTCACCACCTCCCGCAGCACTGAAATTGGCTAAAAAACCTATACTACCGTTGTCCAGCACCACCGCAAAGAACAATAATAATATCAATAGTAGTAATGCTGGCATAATATCCACCACAGGAACTTTGAAATCTTCCACCAGCTTGCATGTCCAGGGATCGCAATCAAATACAATAAAGAAGTCAATGCCATCATCATCAGGGAGCCCGGAGAAGAAATTGACCTTGAAGAAGAAATTAAAGCCAATGACAAAGGAATCTGAAAATGAAACAATCATAAATCAGTTGAAGCAACAATATCCCCAGAGGCTGATACTGACATTTTCATCCAAAGTTGGGACGAATATCAAGTCCAATACTGAAAGTGGTTTGAACACTAAGCTGCCATTAATTTCCTCTGCTAGTTCATTGGCTGATAGTCCATCTTCCAATACTACCATTACACCCTCAACTATTAGCAAAGCCTCAGGAGCAGTTCAACCCAAAAATCCACTGCTGACGTCGGCGATGAATTCTATTAGAAAAATATCGCCTGCACCCCCAGGTCCACCCAACTCCGCTGGCTCACTAAGTGGAGTCATCCCAACACCAGCGGTAGGTGAACCGAAGAGAACACTTCTTGATTTGAAGGGAATTTACTTGAACAAGTTAAAGGAACAAGAATTAATTCGTAACTACATTGATGTTATTAATAATCAGATAAAGGAATTGAATTTCGTAAAGAATGGTGTTATAACCTTTGCAGCTCTTGATGGAAATAACAATGGTAGTCCAGTTACAAGTGATGCAGATATTACGGCGACCGGTGGTGAATTCGATGCTAATAGTACGAACCACGCTGATCGTAATGATGAAGATGTGCCGTTAGCTTCAAGAAAGTTGAATAAGGACTATCATGGAGGAATGAAGACCACTAGAAAGCCAGTTTCATGTGAACAATTACAACTGATTAACAATTTAAATGATTTGAACAAGTTTCTTACTTATTTTTTGAAGTCTTCAAGTATCATTCATAGTGCCACGAAGAAGTATGTGAATGGTAATAAACCCGATGGAACTGGAACTGATTCGAACATGCCTCGAGATAAGTCTGATATTAAGGCCGAGCACAAGCGACAACTGGATGCGTTAGACCAACAGATCCGTTACTATTTAGAACTTCGAGAACGGTTTCAAGTTAAATCGTCGTCATCTGATCAAAAACCACCGGATTCAGAAGTACTTGGTGCTGCTGATTCAGATGATTCATATGGACAGCGGAAGCTCAAAATGAAGAAAGTTAACACCAAAAAGGCCGAATCTGAGCCGTTGCCAGGAGACTTTGAGTCGGCGATTTTGAACGCATTGGTGAAGGAACAGTCCTTCCCATTTGGAGATCCAGATACAGTAGTTGCTTCAGCAGACATTTCAGATAAAGGTAGAAATGTCATTAGAAATGATGTGGCTGGACTGTTACCTCCTGGAGGGTTAAATTCCCTTCAGTCCCCCAGCAGTTTTGCACCGAATTTGTTCAAATCCACGTCGGTGCAAGACGATGAGTTGATTGATTTCTTGAACTCAGAAAGTGAGAAGACTGATACCGATATTGGCTCTAACAAACATCAAGAGAAACCAAACGATAAAGCTGTCAGTAACGGGAAACGATTTTCTTCACCGTTGTTGGCGCAATATGAACGTCAATTAGGTGATGATATTGGACCTGGACCTGACGATGATGAATCCAGTGTTAGCGGATCACGTGACGTCAAACAAGAACTGGATCATCATCATATAATGAACTTGGATAAGTTGATGCTTCATGATGGTGGTACTACCAGTCAGAACGACAATGAGGATTCGAAGACTGAATCAGAAGAATTGAAGATGCATTCTTTATTAATGGACCAGGATAATCATGAGATGAATGGATTCTTTGGACTTCGTGGGTTTGGTTCTTCTGGAGGAGGAATGGAACTCAATGGTGGTTCAAGAAACAAATGTGGATTTTGTGGGAGTGATTCACCATGCTTTTGTTTAGAAGGTGATATCATGTGAGGAGTCATGTATATACACTATTATATATTTATTTATTTATTTTTAACGATACTTATTGATGATGATGATAATAATAATAATATTGTAAGTTATGTTATATTCAGTTAAAATAAATAGTAAAATATATGCTATTGTAGTGGATGGTTATCTTATCTAAAAGAAAGTCCAGTAAGTAGCAAGAGCAACAGAAACGGCAGACACAATGTAACCGGTTCTGTAGACACCTTTAATGGTCAATTCCTTACCGGTGTCCCAAAGCAAGTGTCTTAACCCATTACCGAAATGGAAAAAGAATGGGTATGCCATAGCAGCCTTAACACCGTATTGAAGGGTAACAGGCAATTCAGTGAAATAAGATACCAAAGTGTTTGAATCAAATGGGATGTTCAAAATAGATGTAGCAGCATATGCAATGGTAACAGCATAAAATGCACCTCCCATAGCTACACCAGTAATACGATGTAAACTTGATAAAATCATGGTGATTTGAGGCGTATAAATAGTCAAATGAGGAGAACATGGTCTGTTCTTTCTTTGAGCAATCAACAATTCTTGTTCATGTTCATAAGTGGTCTTGACAGTGGAGATCCCTCTCACAGCACTGAAAGCTGTTCCATTTCTGAAAACACTTCTACAAAGAGCTATACATATATTGTTAGTATAATATCAAATAGTAATATGATAATGTTTTTGTATTCACATACGTCTTGAGTATAATCCAATACGGGCGAGCATTATGATCTAATGTGTTGTATATTCACTGGTGTTGAGTGAAGTATGGAGAGCTTTTAGTTTTAACCAATAGTTTTTGTATGCTCATGTGGATTTAAATTTTCGTTGGCCGACATTTTATTATGGGACGGGGGTATCGGGTTCACGAGTGTCGCCGGGGGGAAGCGCGACATCTGGGGGACATTCGAACCAATCATACGAGGCTAAAAGATAAGCGGTAACAAAAGGCGGTGCTACCATATGGTGTTAGGGTGTTTGAAAACAAGTTATACACCATGAAGAAAGTGGGCATAGTTTATTTCTATTTTTAATAGATTTTTATACTATTCTTTGGAACATAAAAAGTAAATAAATTATCATCTACTTCTACATTCCGATACTTTATAGAGAAGAATCAATAGCTTCAACAGTAAAAGAGCAAAACGCACTGCTTGTGGAGGGAGGTAACTAAGTAGTTAAAGATTTGGCTGCGAAATCATTTATCTGATTGATATCGCATTCTCTTTCTGTTAACGCAGCACCAGCATTCAAATGTCGTAGATTGAATGTGAATAACATGTAGTTAGAAACTAAACTCAAATAAACTGAACCAAACTATCTTAAGCGGGACTTTGCTAATTATTAGTAATGAAAATCCGAAGTTAACAAACTCATATCGAGTCGTGCTCGGAAGCAAAAGGATCTCTCGTCTATTGAGACGTCATTAACGACATGGAATGGCAAACTTCTGCGTTATAAATCACTTGACTTAATTCAGTATTTTAATTTTTAATTTCATCGTATGTACTTGGTTCACAAGACCCTTAATTACCTATTTGTTAGTGCTATCCTCCTTTATATCAGGTTAGTCGAAAAGGTCTCCCCAGTCGGTGCGTGCAGAAACCAATATTAATCTCATCACGTGATACATATCGCATTATTCCACCTCCATTTGAAGACATTCCTACTTTTACATACCGTAATAACCCTCCCAGTAACAGGACCTTTGATCTAGTCTATTGACTTCAGCACACTACCGGTGTATCTACTTTGGCACTTCAGAATATCAATATAGTATACACGTTTTAAGTGCTGATGGAAACATTATCATCATCTTCTCATCATAACAATACAATGCCACCATCGGCCCTGGAGAAAGTATCGCCTTCTTCTAATGACCCTGATAAATTCTCCGGGTCGACTAAAGATACCAGGGTGTCACATAACGAACAACAGACATCATCATCTTCCAATGGGCCCACGACATTTTCAGGAAATATGAATCGAGAAACAATTGGAGACAGTGGACTGCATCATCTTGTCAGGGACCAACAAGCAACTACACAATTATCATCTGGAATGGTAGATGTTCAAACAACACCCCAATCTAATGTTAAGATTGAGTTACCTACAGATGAACATGATGATTCCTCTGCTGGAAATGATGGCGATGGATCAATTTCAAACGGGAATGGTTCACCAATGGACGATGAATCCAGTAAGTTGGAAGATTCATCAGAGCTTTCATTCACTAAGAAACTTGTAAAGAAGTCACGAACACAATCCTTTCAATCAGTTTTATCTACAGCATCATTAAAGTCTTTGAAGTATCAATCTGCCGCCTTGGGTCCAGGCTCCACTTCTCAAACCACTTCTCGAAACAATAGTATGATTGGTGATACCACAAGTAAAAACTTCCAATCTTTTATTCAAGCGCCTGTTCTTTCATCTATAACGAAATTCAGACGTTCTGATGATGATATACCGATTGGCCAACAATTACCCTTCAACGATAAGTTAAAGAATGAATCCACTACAGTCGACGGTAATCTGAATAAATCTGCCAATACTAGCAATTCAGATACTCTGCAAGTTCAAAATCAAGCTAACCAGACTTCAAGTACACAAGTTGAGGATGATGAATTACTCCTTCAACAACAAAGACTTACTTTGAATGCTTTAAGAAACTTACGACTTTCTCCCTTACCATTGGCGGCATCACATAATAAAACAGAAGATTCGCCTGAAGACCCAAAGAGCACTTCTCGGGTCCTGTCTCGGTCCAAAGTTGTTCTGGAGCCTTATCAACCTGCCGAGGTTGACCTTTCGACATTTGCATCGTTAACAAGACAACCAAAGCTTTCCAGCAGAAATTCTTTTACTTCATCACTTCCAAAGTTACCAGAGAAACCCTCCCAAACACAAGAACAACCTAATGAAAACACCACAACTACGACCAGAAGTCTACATTCTCTGCCTAATTCACCTCAATTAGTCAATCAACCAGGACTGCATCCACAGCAGCAATCACATCATGGAGTGACTAACCAAAGTGCAACACAACAGGGGATACCTCAAGCCATCCTGCAGAAGCTTAATAATGACTTCAGACCGGCGCAATTCCCTCAACAGCTTCATCAACAGGGAAGTATCAGTAAAGACTTGACGATGAAACGCCAACCAAGCATGAGTTTTAGTAAAGCATATCATCAGCAACAGCAACAACACCATTACCAACAGCAACAACAGCTTCAACAACATCAACAGCATCAGCAGCAGGTGCCATCACCTGGCCAATCAACACTTACTTCTTTCAAATCTCAAACCAATCAAGCTTCTCAACATCAGCAGCTGCTACAACAACAACAACAACAACAACAACAACAACAACCACAACAACAACTACACCAAAATCCACAAGGGGGCCACGATACCCCAGAACAACAACTGCTTCCTCATAGGCAGATCCAACAAATCAAAGGACTAAGAAGTCCAATGTATATACCTGCTGTTCTCCGTAAGACCCAGAATACTCCCATTAATAGTACTGGCACTTCCCCCAAGGAAGGAGAGACGGGATTCTTTTCTCAAGACCTTGATACAGCCACAGGGCAAGTGATCTCTTCGACCAACTCCGTACGGTCATTTGATTCCAATAACAATGGAGAATATAGCATAACCAAGAAACCATCCTTCATCGACTCAGCATTAGACTCCATTACAAAACTGGCACCAACCAGAAAGCATTGGCTTAAAGATGAACATGCATTGAAATGTGGGATCCCCTCATGTCCCAAGATATTCAACTTCTTTGAACGTCGACATCATTGCCGTAAATGTGGAGGTATCTTCTGTAATGAACATACTTCACACTATTTATATATCAACAACCAGGCACAATTCACCATTGGAGGTCGTGGGACGCTTTCTAAAGTGTGTGATAATTGTATTTCGGAGTACAATGTATTCATTAAGAATCAATTTGGTATGAAGGAGAATCAGTCCAACCCCAGCTCTCCATCTCCTGTTCAGGCTCTGGTTTCAGAAGGCTCAACAGCTGGAACAGCAACAGCAACAGCAGCGGCAGCAGCAGCAAATCAAGCAAGAACAGCTTCAAAAGCAGCAACGACGACGACGGATTTGACGACAGAGCAACCAACTTCAGAATCTGCTTACGACAAGGTCAATGAACTTCCTCAGTTCAGACGAAAGGATAGCATTTATGATAATAGGAATGAACAGTTGGTGGGCAGTGTTCCCGCGAATTGGAGTTGGAGCTCTTTTTAATGAAATTTCCAGGGCTTTTGAACGGCAGTGCCGCATACATTTATTCATTTACGGTTTATATGATAAACATAAACTGAACGCTAACTAACCAATGATTGACAGAGAGTGTAGATGAGTATAACGTGGCACTACGTTTATACAAGGGTACAAATTTAAAGACCCATTGGAAGCAGATAAGCATTTTAAAATTGATTACCTTTGATTGGCTGACCCAGTGTATTACACTAAATAACCAATCATTATCTCTAAGCTCTCTAAAGTTCCTTTCTACTTACCAGCTTGATCTCATTCTTTATCGGTATAACCCAAACACTTAATTACATAAGCAAAAGACAACACCTGCATACAAACATCGAAAAATGAAAATTGCAACGTCAAAAATCAAACTACAGTGACACGGTGTTTCCCTCTATATTATTGCCAATTCACACCCGCAACAAAGACCATCAGTGTATTCACTATGGCCGACAGCTCGACGCACAGCGAAAGGTGCCGCATCGCCGGAATTGATGTGGGTGCAATTGCGCTTCTCTTGAAAGCAGTCATCTTTCTTTGCATCATAGGTGCCGCGGTATCTTCCCGGTTATTCTCAGTTATACGTTTTGAAAGTATCATTCATGAGTTTGATCCTTGGTTTAACTTTAGGGCAACTAAATACTTGGTTACCCATACCTTTTATGAGTTTTTGAATTGGTTTGATGATCGTACTTGGTATCCTTTAGGACGTGTCACAGGAGGTACTTTATACCCTGGTTTAATGGTTACTGCTGGTGTAATTTGGCATACTTTAAGAGATTGGTTAAAATTACCCGTTGATATCCGGAACATTTGTGTTATGTTGGCACCAGCATTCTCTGGACTCACAGCTTATTTCACATATCTTTTGACAACAGAAATGAAGGACTTTTCTGCAGGGTTACTAAGTGCACTTTTCATGGGTATTGCTCCAGGCTATATTTCAAGATCAGTGGCTGGTTCTTATGATAATGAAGCTATTGCAATCACCCTTTTGGTTGCCACCTTTTATTACTGGATCAAGGCAATCAAAGTTGGTTCCATTTTCTTTGGAACTTTAACAGCCTTATTCTACTTTTATATGGTCAGTTCTTGGGGTGGTTATGTTTTCATTACTAACATTATCCCCTTGCATGTGTTTGTATTGATCTTGATGGGTCGTTATGATATCAAAATCTATACTGCTTACACTACTTGGTATGCCTTAGGAACGTTGGCTTCAATGCAAATTCCATTCGTTGGATTCTTGCCAATCAGATCCAACGATCATATGGCTGCCTTGGGTGTGTTTGGCTTGATTCAATTGGTAGCCTTTGGTGATTACATCAAAGCCCATGTCCCATCAAAACAATTCAAATCAGTCTTGACGTTTTCTATTGTTTTACTTACTTTATTGGGTATCGGAGGATTGTTTGGTTTAACTGCCTTAGGATTAATTGCTCCTTGGACTGGACGTTTCTATTCTCTTTGGGACACTAACTATGCTAAGATCCATATTCCAATTATTGCTTCGGTTTCTGAACATCAACCAACTGCTTGGCCATCTTTCTTCTTTGACACTAATATGTTGATCTGGTTATTCCCAGCTGGTATCTACTTCTGTTTCCAAGAATTGAGAAATGAACATATTTTTGTCATTATCTATTCTGTTTTATGCTCTTATTTTGCCGGTGTCATGGTTAGATTGATGCTTACTTTAACACCAATTGTCTGCGTTGCTGCAGCAGTTGCTCTCTCCAAGTTGTTTGATGTTTATTTGGAAGTTGTTGATGATATTCGTATTACTACTGCTACCAAGACCTCTTCAATTGAAGTGTCTGAATCCGTTGCTTCAGATACCACCACCTCCCCCAAAAAGGCTGGTGCTGCCAACTCCAAGTCTTCTGGCCCCACCGCTACTCCAGTTTCTATTAAGAAGCAGAAGAAGACAACATCAACGACTCAATTACCAATTTTCAAATTGGCATCCAAAGCACTTGTTGTGATCTCCTTTGGATTCTACTTGTTCTACTTTGTTATGCATTGTACTTGGGTAACATCCAATGCTTATTCATCACCTTCTGTTGTCTTAGCTAGTAAAGGTGCTGATGGTTCTCAAAACATCATTGATGATTATAGAGAAGCATATTACTGGTTAAGAATGAACACGGACGAAGATGCACGTGTGATGTCATGGTGGGATTATGGTTACCAAATCGGTGGTATGGCCGATAGAACTACATTGGTAGATAACAATACTTGGAACAACACCCACATTGCTACAGTTGGCAAAGCCATGTGTAGTAGTGAAGAAGTGTCCTATGAAGTATTACGTCAACATGATGTTGATTATGTATTGATCATATTTGGAGGGTTATTAGGATTCTCTGGAGACGATATCAATAAGTTTCTTTGGATGATTAGAATTGCCGAGGGGATTTGGCCCGACGAAATCAAAGAGAGAAACTTTTTCACCGATAAAGGGGAATATAAAGTCGATGGTGACGCTACAAAGACAATGAAGGATTCCCTTTTGTACAAGATGAGTTTCTATAGGTTCCCTGAGTTGTACGGTGGTAGAGAAGCAATCGATAGAGTCAGAGGACAAACCATTCCAAAGGATGCGGTTCCAAGTTTGAGTGTAGTTGAAGAAGTATTTACGTCAGAAAATTGGATGGTAAGAATCTATAAAGTCAAAGACTTGGACAACTTGGGTAGAGATATGTTGAAAGCCGCTGACTCCGATAATAAGGGACCTCAACTTTCTAAGAGAAGATCAGCAAAAAAGCCTGCTTTGGATTTAAGAGTTTAAAACATACATACATATATATAACAAAAAAGAATATAGTGTAAATTTGATCCCCCCTGTAACCGAGAACCGATCCCCACCTTCTGCCAAGCGTGCACATTGATGCAATAACTGTATAATGCTGGATACGTTTTTCCCATTGAACAGGTGGGTTACGGCACATACATCATAAAAGATATAGGCCTGCAAAAATCGGATTGTGGGGTAGTCGCGATTAACAATTTAAATCTGAAAACATTAAAAGCGACCAGAAATGGCTTGTATTTCTCTTTATCAACTTAACCACTATTGAACAAATGCCTGGCTTGTTGGATTTAGAAGACCACTTGGCCTTTTATAGGTCCTATCATATGAATAGAGTCAATGTCACCATACACTTGATCTGTATCCCAATGATTTATCTAAGTACATTGGCATTCCTAATCCCCGTCAATATCGGTACCTTCAATATGAGTACCGTCGTTGCTTGGCTTTATGGACTTTATTATATTCTTTTGGATTGGAAGTTAGGTTTATTTGGTTGGGGGATCTCTGTGGGGTTTGCTACTACTGCCAATAAATATTACTATCAGACCCTAGAACCAGGTTTTGGCTCAATCACCACCCAACAATTTGTTCACTATGCCGTAGCAATTCATATAGCTAGTTGGTTAGCTCAATTTTATGGTCACGGTATCCATGAAAAGCGTGCCCCTGCGTTATTGGATAATCTCTTGCAAGCTTTGGTTTTGGCTCCTTTCTTTGTTGTCTTTGAAGTTGCTTTTGCTTTGGGATTCAGAAAGGATATGGAAAAGAACATGAACAGCAAGGCCGGGATCCGGGTAAGAGATTTTAAATCGGCACAGAAAGCAGCAGCAGCTGGTGGTGGAAAGAAGGCAGAATAAATTTTGTATTGGGTTCATCAAACTTTTTTTATTATTCTTTATATTTCTTATGATGATGCTTAAGATTTGTTGCGACTTTCCTTGTACTCATTATACCTTTTTTGAACATCAGGTTCGTAAATAGTTGTTCCCGTAACTTGATTACCAATTGTAAACCAACCTGGTCGTACGTTATGATCCCTACCAAAAATCTCCAACTTTCTAGCATATTTCCCAACTATTCTATCAACAATATCATAAACTTCATCAGGTTTCCTTGAAGTTTCCCGAGTGCCACTCACGATAACATCAACATCAACTTTACGATTCACCCAAACAGGATTTCCCTTTAAACCCATAAGCAAATGCTCTTTGGAATGATTTAACCAATGTCCAGTTCTTCCCGTAACGATTGTTCTTTTCAATTGATTTAATTTAACCCAAATAAGTTCATCTGAAATTTTATATCCCCAAGTTGTAAGTGCTTTCCTACCGATCTCTAAAGATCTTCCTGTTACCCAAAGTAATATAATTCCTTCATCTTGTAACTCATTCATTGGTAAATGCATTAATTCCAAATCTTTCCAAGTTCCATATGGTAAAGACATATGAATATCCCAAGCAGGATCAGCAACAATTGCTGCAAATTTCCCCAACACAGGGAATGGGAATTCCCTAATGTCACAATTTATCCATTGTGGTGGAGTTAATTTTCTGGTGTATTCCGTGAAACAATCACCTATAGTGAAATCATGATCAACATAGGATATTCTTTGCAGTCGTTCATTTGCTGGCAATGGTTGGAAGTTGTTACTAGGTTTAAGCGTGAAATAATGCAAATACCGGCAGCTCTTCAACTTATGACAGGTATCTAAGTAAGAACAATCTCCTAAATACAAATCTGTATTGGCATTGAATATGGGAAGAAAGTGAACTTTTGTTTGTGAACACTTGTATGCATCCGTGCTTTGAAGATGCTTATTTTGTTGAAGTAAAGTATGGGCTTGTTTTTGTTCAATATTTGCATTCTTAGCATTGAGTCCAGATTTGTTGAATATTGCATTAGAGAGAATATTGCAATGGTTAGCATCTTCACAAACTTCAGGGCCTTTTTTGAATTCAGTCTTTAACTTAATTTTCTCAGTCATCAAGATACTGAAAGACGTCTTTGCCTTTAGCAATTCATCAAGTCTATTGTACGACAAGTCAAAACCTTTACTATATAATTGGAGCACAGAAACGAATGGTTCTTCCAATAGTTTCTTCAAAGATAATGTAAGTTTATTTTCTTTATTTTCACTGGATGGTTCGCTCGTCAATTGTTGTTGGATCTTAGGCTTGTTGCGGGTCCCCACAAGAGCATTCTCAAGCAATTCAACACGATCCCACACCACATTCACGAGTACTGGGGCCACAGTTGACCCCTCAAACTCTAAGGCATAGCCACATAGATCATTAAATTCATTCACATAGCTCATAAAATTACCAATGTCTGGTACGTTAGTTTCAGGGAACTTCTCATAAAAAATGTGATGTATCACATCCATTCTACCCCTTATAGGGTCCTCAACTAATTGACTTTGAAACAGTTCTAAAAACTCTATAAACACGATGTACTCTTCCATGTCTCTCATGATGGCCTACAATATTGTATTATAACTACGATGAAGCAAGAAGACAGAAGAAGAAGGAGAAAGGAAATGAATTTTATTTTGCACCCAAGTTTTGGCCTTATATACTTTGAGAGAAAAACAGGAACTAGATTTAGCCGTGAAACAGAGCTGAAAAATTAAGATTTATCTATTCAAAATTACATGAGGAGGGGAAATCAAACAGGACTAAAAGCCCCAAGGATTATCAGGTGTAGCATTCTGTAAGTTTGCCTTCCGTTGGCCCGTTGCTTGTGACTGTAAAGGAGTATTTCCGAATCCAAATCCTGTTGGTTGTGATTGCAATGTATTTTCTTGTCCAAAGGATGCTTGTGGCATCTGTTGTTGAGGTCCATTACTTAAGGAAGTGTTCTGGAACATACTAGTCATTTGGTCCATTCCGTTATTAAATGCTAGCGATTGCTGGCCAAAAGTTGCTCCTACAGGTGAAGAGGCGTAGCTTGGTTGTCCAAAAGCATTGACAGGTGGTTGACCAAAGCCAGTAGGTTGGCTAAAACCAGTAGGTTGGCCAAAATTTGTTGGTTGACCAAATGAAGTTTGTGGATATCCTTGTGGTTGTCCAAATGATGCTTGAGATAACCCACCAGTTACATTGGGTTGCCCCAAACTGGTTTGAGGCAATCCTCCATTAAATTGAGGTTGCCCAAAAGATGTCTGTGGTAAACCACCAGTTACTTGAGGCTGGCCGAAACTTGATTGGGAAAATCCGCCTGTTACTTGAGGTTGTCCAAAACTTGTTTGAGGCAATCCTCCAGTCAATTGAGGTTGACCAAAACTTGTTTGAGGCAATCCTCCAGTCAATTGAGGTTGACCAAAACTTGTTTGAGGCAATCCTCCAGTCAATTGAGGTTGACCAAACGTAGTTGAAGGTAACCCTCCCGTCAATTGAGGTTGACCAAAAGATGTCTGGGGAACTCCACCAGTAATCTGTTGGGAAAATGTAGTTTGAGGTAATCCACCAGTTAATTGAGGTTGACCAAATGAAGTTTGAGGTACTCCACCAGTGATCTGTTGGCCAAAGGCCGACTGGGGAACAAATCCATTTCCAGTCCGTTGTACAGGAACCAATCCTCCGGTCCTTTGAGCAGGTACTAAGGAAGGTTGACCAAACGTTGTTGTTGGCATTGTAATGCCACCCGGTTGTAGTGATGGCTGGTTAAATGTTGTAGTTGGAGGTCCTGCCATCACATTACCAGTTGTTACTGGAATAATACCAATGAACAGAGGTTGTATTAAACCAGTTGCTTGAATAGGAACAAAGCCAGTAGGCTGTGCGGTAATTGGCATGAAACCAGTAGGTTGCATAGGTATTAAACCACCACCAGTACGTTGCACTGGGATGAGGGTTCCAGTCTTTTGAGCAGGAACAAGAGTTGGGCCATTTACTTGACCTTGAACTGCAAATTGCTGGCCCGGTTGAATCAATGAACCGGTTTTCACTGGTGTCAATGATGGAGCAGATGGCACTGAAGGTTGGTTAACTTGTGACTTTGTAGCGTCCTTGCCTGCTTCTAATGGCTTGATATTGACCAAATCTTGTAACGAGCCAGTATATTGTGGGGTTTGAGGTTGTGGGGTTGCTGGTTTCGATAAATCTTCATTGGATCTAGCAGCAGGTTTGACTGCCCAGGCATCGTCTTCCTTTGATTGTAGAAGTGCAGGGTTTTGTGGTTGACGTGAAGCTGGAGAAGCTGGAGAAACTGATTTAGATGGCTCAGTTACTGTTGTAGCAGGAATTTGAGATGGCAAAGCAGAAGGATTGATTCTTGACACTTCAGTGTTGGAATTATTATTCTTTAAACCACCAGTTACATTAGTAAACAAGCCACCTTCTTGTTGTTGAGAGTCCACTGCTTCACCTCTCTTTCTATTGAACTTATTGTCCAAATATTTCATGACCCTGATTATATCACCTTCTCTTAAACCTAAGGTTCTTAATAACGAAGGAGCAATATCGGGCATGGAGTTTTCATCCATTTGCTCTCTAGCAAATGTAACTGAATATCTTTGACAATTACCAATATCAATACCACATTTGAGAAAGAACTCAAACCAGTCGTAATCTGGTTCAGTTGTCACAATTCTATCATTCTTTGAAGAGGAGGTCTTCTTTGGTGAGCTTGTATCGTTGATAATTGCTGTAGCAGATGGACGAGATTTAAAATCAGGTTTTTGTTGAGCTTGATCTTGATCTTGTTGTTGTTTAGCAACAGCAGCAGCTTTACGTTTGTTGCTGACTTTAATAACTTCGTCAATGTACTTGGAGAGGTTTTCACCAGTTATTTTTTCAACGTACTCCAAATCTTCAACAGATAACTTTTGAGCAGCAACAGCAATCTTAACTCCGTTAGTCTTATGCAATTGGACTTTGCCATCAACAAAACCCAAAAATTCAGCTTCCACTTTGAATGAACCACTACTGTCGATCCAAGTTCTAACTCTATGATAATTAGGCATGGACTTATCTTCGTCTGATCTAGGAGAAGGTTCCTTTGATGCCCTACTTCTTTCTCTCTGCATCCGATCATGTTCTCTAATTCTTTCCCTTTCAGCTCTTGATCTTTCCTTACTATTCTTGCCACTGCCATTTCTGGAGCCAGTGTTATTGTTACTATTCTTGTTTTTCCACCTTGAAGGAGATGAGATCTTTATGGCCTTTCTCAGAGGTAATTCTCCAGTCAACTTTTCCAAGTTAGTAGTACCAATGATTTCAATATAGGAAGCAGGAATTACACCCTGCTTACCACTAGAAACACTTTGACACATCCACCAATCTCTAGATTTGGAATCATCAATGATATACACTTCATCGCCTTCTTGAGCTCCTAATTCACCTTCACCTTGGACATCAAAATCATACATAAGTCTTCCAATCTTTCTATTTTTAGCATTTGTAGTTGTATGAGATGCTCTTTCAACTTCTCGTAAAGCAGTTGCAGTTGTAGCACCTTTCAAATCTCCCAATACAGAGAAAATGGCCTCTGCTACATCCTTAGAACCCGTATGTAATTCAATGGATGCATGTGGATTCTTAAACTCCAAAAAGAAATGCTTCTTTTCAAAAGAATAATCTAGCAAATCCTTTATTTTCCATTGGTTATCAACCAGGCTGGCTGATTTCAAGCGATACTTTTTGGTATTGGGTTTTAAAATAATCAAACCTTTCCCAACAGATAATACAATGGCTCTCTTTTTTTTCCCTTCGATTTCATCCAAATACCAGGTGAAATATTCACCATCAAATGAATGCTCTTGGTCATTGGAATCCTGTGCCATTGGACGTGAAGGAGTTGGCGGAGCTGATTCTTCATCGTCGTCGTAATCGTGCCTGGCTGACATGGACATAGAATTATTATTATTATTATTATTAGGTCTTGATGGCATTGGAGGTGGAGCTTCTTCGTCGTCATTTCCATCAAGGGAAACCACGCGTTCCCGGGAACCACTCAATGACTGGTGCTTGGGAGGTGGTGGGAAAGTTGCCAATGGACTCTGCTCCTTATAAGGAGATTGTTCAAGCGGATGAGGAGGCAATTCCTTATCCAAATTAGTAGTTGAAGCATTGGGTCTATAAGTTACATCAGCATTAGTGATTGCCGTTGTAGTTGTTGGAGTGGAAATAGGAGCAGCAGTAGCAGCAGCAACACCACCACCACCCAATTCTCCAATCTCAACATAATTTGAAGGAAGAAACCCAAATGTAGTACCTGTTGCTACATCACCTGCCAAATACCAATCAGGATCACTAACATCATAAATGTTGAACTTGGCACCTTCATCAAATGATAATTCCTCTTCCGTCTGCTTATTGTATTCATATAATGCTACTGCTGTTTTAACCACTGGAGCAGGTTCAATATAATTTGAAGGTACTAAACCAACTGGTTCTTCAACTTCGTCTCCACCAGATGAAACTACTCTCTTCTTAACCTTCCACCAATCATCAACATCAGATTTCTCTAACAAGTACAACAATTCGCCCGTTGATATGGTAAGTTCTTCTTCATTTTGGGCCCCATAGTCGTACAAGGCCTGGTACACTCCAATAAAGAGAGACATTTAAAGGCTATGCTTGTTACAGGCGCGAGTGTTCAATTCAATTCAAAACAGAAATCGAAGAGTATTCACCAATTATAATTCCCTTCAGATTACTGATTTGTCGCAATTGTTCACCTTCTGATAACAAATCAGACTTTTAATGAGTATATTAGATGTATAGTTTGGTGAATTTAGTGTATGGTAAACAGCCTCTACTGGTGCTGAAACAGTTATCCTGTGGATCCGTCGTCGGCAGCGCTACCAAGTCGCGTTTTCTTTTTTTTTGTGGCTACTATAACGGAAATCGGGAAGCGTCCCCGGGATCCGATCGATTTGGGGTTGACACTAAGTCGACTGTTAAATCAGATCTTACGCTATTCAACCGTACTATGGCTTTCCAAACATTGTATAATTTTTTAGTTAACCTTACTTAAACCAACACCACCACCCAAAATGACATTTTCAATGTTCTTCATAGCCATGATAGCGGTGTAATCGTAATTTTCCATTGTAGAAGCTCCGATATGTGGAGTTAAGATTACATCGTGTCTTCCAAACAATTCTGGATGAATTCTGGGTTCTTCTTCATAAACATCCAAGCCAGCAAAGAGAACTTTCCCTGACTTCAATCCCTTCACCAATGCACCTTCGTCAATGATAGAACCTCTACCAATGTTTATGATTCTAAAAGGTTTGGAAATCAGGTCTATAACCTCTTCATTAACCAAATGAACGGTTTGAGGTGTACCTGGAGCTGCAATCACAATCAAATCCACAATATCTCTAGCATCAATGATATTCTTATGATATGTAACGGGATATTTCAAAGACTTTTCCTCTTTATCAGATAATTTATTCCGTTTGGTGTAGTGAATGTTCATTCCAAGACCATGGTACAATTTACCAGCAATTGTTTGTCCAATGTTACCAAATCCTACGATTAATACGTTGTGACCACGAGGATTCAAACAACTTCTACCAGCAATAATCTCTCCAAAGGCATAACCAGTAACAGGACCGGGTTGAGCGTGACCGGTTTCGGAGTCGAATGCTCCGGATTGAGAAATGCTTCTAATTTGAACCGTATGATTGATCTTTGGGCTCACAACTTGTTGAAACATACAAAAGTTACGGAAACTAGCCAACGTGTTGTACATCACAAGATCAGCAACAGGCTCTGCGGCACCTTGAGAAGGAACATTGGTCAAATGCATGTTCCGACTAGCCATCCCTGAACCGTCATATCCATCATATCCAACAGAACAAACAGCCACAAGCTGTAAAGAAGTAGGAGCATTTTTCAAAACCTCATTTTTAAATCCTCCAATCCCTGCAAACCCAAGCCAACCTCCATAAATGGCTGCAATATCATGGAATTTAGTTTGGAAATCCAGTATTAATTGCGTATCACTTTCAATAGTGTAGTCGATACACTCAAATTTCTTTCTGAATTCAATGTATTCAGGAAGATCCTTGTTTAAGTCTCCAACAAAAAGTACCTTAGGCTTAGTCATGTTATCAAGTTGATATCGTACATTTTCCAGTTTGTAGGCTAAAGTTTCAAGATTCTGTAGGTATATAAATACTCACTTGGTGATTGGATTTTGTGGCCCAGAACCATAAGGCATTAGTGCAACTCAAAATGGAAGGTATCACCATTGTATTGTATTTGTTCGATAAGAATACTGTTAAAAAAGACCTAAATGGTTATTCAAAGCGTGGCATTATTGAATGATCCTACTTATCGATGCCTTACATTGTATCATGCTACTATATTGTTTACGACTATTTCAAAAGTGTTTATTGATATGACAAGCCAAATATCTAATTGGGATCCAGCTAAAAAAGTGTTCATACAATTGAGCTGAATCAATTCAAATCAAATTCGAGAGGAAGGGAAATCAAATAGTAATAATGGTCATGGATTTTTAAATCAAGATGCAAAGTTCCTTTCCAAATAAATTATTTATTCATTGGTCAACCCACACTGTTTAGTGGTGAGAATGTTCAGGTCTACCCAAGTACTTACCCTTAAAGGCAGTACCACATTGCCAGCATCTGGAAAGCTTGTCACCTTCGACCTTCATCCAGTATGCCTTGTGGTCTTCTTCACCTTCACTTATCTTACCTCTACATCCAACATAACGGTAACCAACATAAGTTGGAACAAGGTATGGATCGTTGTAGGTACCCTTACCTTCAAAGATAGGGTTTTCGACATCGAAAACATCAATACCTTCTCTTTTACCTAACATTTCAAATCTTTCCAAACCAGTGGCTTGGTCAATGTCAGTTGGGATAGTACCAGGTTGAGCACCAGGACCAATTAAAGAGTCATCTGGACCAGTGACTTCAGACAAAGTGGAAGCAGTCTTGGTAGCAACCTTGGTTTGAGCCAAAACTCTGGTGGTGCTCAAGAGTCTAGTAGAAGTTCTAGCAACACGGAAAGAACGAGCAAGCCTATAAATGTTCTGTTAGTATGAAATTGTTTGCTGTGGGTAATAATAGTAAATTGTCTTCAAAGTTTTCTGGTTATGGATTTGGTCTTGAGATATTCATTGATAAAGCATGAAGTTCAAGAACATAGAAGCAGATAGTAATAAGAAAGGACTTTAGATTGCTCAGCTAATACTGTTATCGTGGCTAAGGAGTATCCGGTTTATATTGGAATTTCATTAAAGGACAAAAAATGGCTTGTGGACTGGGAGGAATCCCTTATAATCTTAATTGATGGCCGATTCAAACATTTCATTTAATTTGTCAGTGGATGTCAAAACATAGTTGGTAATCTGAAGGACACACCCCCAGGAGAATAACTAATCAAGAAACCACAACTACTGAAGACATAAAGGCAGATTTTCGGTCTGCCGTTTCGCTCTCAACATACATTGCGAATAGATACACTTAAAAGATAAGGACGGAAACGTTAGGGGGTTCAAGAAAGAATGGTTGGATAAAAACCTACACTGAAAATCAAACGACGAGAAGTTGATGCTTCACAAGAATTGTCGGGAAAAACTTGTTTAAAAGTCGTCCCAGAATTATGACAAGATATGGAAATGTCGGCTGATATCTATGGGAGATTTGAGTTGTTTTCTGTCGGGTAAAAATTAACGGATATACAATTGGTGGGAAACCCTACACTTTGCTGGTAGGGCCGAAAATGTCGGATAACTGGCAATGTTGTTTCTGAAAATCAGCCAATGTGTATGTACTATCAGACACAAAATCCAATTGATGTCTGGATTAAGATTGCCTGTTCTGTCGCGGACTAATTGTTAGCCATCCACCAACCCTCATTGGCCAGTTGTCTTGTCGCGATCTCAATATCCATAATAGGAAATATTATCCTCGTAATTACGTTACGTCCAGTTAATGTCGCATTTATTCGTAAAAAAATAAAACTAGGTCTACCAACCCTAAATCACGCGTCAATATACAATTACAGCTAGTCACTTTTACGGGATCTCATATTATTGATGGACGCGCGACCAATGCATCACGTGAGAAAGAACCTTTCCTAATTATTCTACGTTATACACACGTCACCACCGCAAAGGTGGAGTACAAATTTTACACGACCTCAAGATAACGTTACACAAATGTGAACTTTACTATGGTACTATGGTAATCGCTACCATAACGGAGCTACCATATCACTACAAAAAGTTTTCACCTTGAGAGAGGAATCTCCCTGTACCCTTTGCCAGTTTGGATTTAGAAAAAAGTTTTTCACTTTCCAAAGACTATACTTCTTACACTTTTTTTAGACATAGCAAGATAGGTATGTGGAATGACCCCTAACCGTATATCAATCAAGTAGGGTGGATGAAGCTGTATATTCGTGGATGCAATATATTCGAAGTGGACAACCTTATGTGGTCAGTTCAAGGATGCTGAATTGAGTTCCTACTAATTCAAAGCCAAACTCTTTAGAACACAAGCCAAGAACCAATTAAGTTTAAGAGGTCATTATAAGCGAATTCACCAATGAACGTAATGTAAAGGTTGGTTGTTGCTAATTCTGAATTACAAAATTTTCCTATTGATAGTGATTTTTTTTTTTACCTCGACATATACTATATCTGTTTTCCACTGATACTTGATACTTGATTCATTCTGGAGACTTGAAGGGAATAATTTAATACTAACATCGCATTTTAGTACAAGATGCCAAAGAAGAGAGCTTCCAACGGTAGAAACAAGAAGGGTAGAGGTCATGTCAAGCCAGTCAGATGTTTGAACTGTGCTAGATGTGTTCCTAAGGATAAGGCCATCAAGAGAGTCACCATCAGAAACATGGTTGAAGCTGCTGCTGTCAGAGATTTGTCTGAAGCCTCTGTCTACCCTGAATACGCTTTGCCAAAGTTGTACAACAAGTTGCACTACTGTGTCTCCTGTGCTATCCACGGTAGAATTGTCAGAGTCAGATCTAGAGAAAACAGAAGAATCAGAACTCCCCCTCAACGTAAGAGATTCTCTTCTGACAGAAAGGTTTCTCCAGCTGATGCTGCTAAGAAGGCCACTGCCTAATTCAACCTTATGTATAAATAGTGGTGGTTGCTTTGTCTTTTGACAGGTGGGACCCATATTTAGGTAATAACTATATTTTCAGTAAAGTTCTTTGAGTAAAGTGTTTGGATGTTTATCTTGAGAGTATCACGTGACACCCCAGTCATCACCCAAGGCAGACTTGTTTTGTGACGATTTCTCTTATGATAGTCAAAATCAACGTTCCCCTTCAATATACATTGCTCTTAGTTAATGGCTAAATTCCTTAACTGCATTAGGCTCACTTTCCCTGGCAATCTCCTTTTTCAGACAGACAAACTGCGCGTGCGCCTTACATTTCTTATACATATGATCTCTCCCTTATTAAGTAGCCAGTTACCATCGAATAAGAGGAGAGTCAAATGATGCCGAAAATTAATACTACACAGACAACAGAATTACACAACACAACGGAACTCTTTACATTGCTTTATGCCTACTTTACATTGACTTTATGACTACTGTAGTTCTCTCTGCTTGCATCTTTATTCCCGTAGATCTTCCCTAATAGTATCTAGGGTGAGTATTCGTGGGATGTGACCCAACAAGGTTCACACACGACTTTTCTCAGAATCCTTTGCCCAATCTGATCGACGGTCAAACGCAAAGCTTGAGCTCCTTGTAATAAAAGGTACATAGTTAATTCTAACCAATTAATACAATAATAACAGCGGTAACCACCGATTTCGCGTAATCATACCATTACCTGAACTGTGAGTTTGAGCAACAAATCTCATTGATTTTATTTTTCGTTGATAAGACAAAACGCATTGACAGACCAACGATCCACAGCTTAGAGAGAGTTGACTCTAGGGAATAGTTTCCAAGAGTTAGCCAGAATATTTTAGAAAAGAGACCCTTTTTCCGGTTAGTTACCTTTTTGACTTGTTGTTGGTTGGTACAAGTGGCCAATTGGCACTGGGCTAAAAGATTTTAGATTCATACTTGAAGACTTTAAACCATGGCTACACCTTACGATTCGAGTAATCATCAATGGAAATTCTCCCAATGCTTTGGAGACAAAGGAGATGTGGAAAACATAACAGAAGCTGATATTATTAGTACTGTTGAATTTGATTCCACGGGAGATTTTCTTGCAACTGGTGATAAAGGTGGTCGAGTAGTTCTTTTTGAAAGAAATCATTCTAAGAAGAAAGATTCATGTGAATACAAGTTTTACACCGAATTTCAAAGTCATGATGCCGAATTCGATTATTTGAAGTCGTTAGAAATTGAAGAGAAAATCAATAAAATCAAATGGTTAAACAGTGCAAACAATGCTAAGTTTCTTTTATCCACCAATGACAAGACCATTAAATTATGGAAGATTATGGAACGTCTGATTAAATTGGTGAGTGAAAACAATTTGAATGGTTTAAGTCAATTACCTGCTAGTGCCTCAAGTATTACCAATTTGAAGTTACCTCAATTGCAGGTTCATGATAAATTGATTTCTGCTCAACCTAAAAAGATTTACTCTAATGCTCATGCTTACCATATCAATTCCATTTCAGTCAATTCTGATCAAGAAACGTTTTTGTCATCTGACGACTTGAGAATTAATCTTTGGAACTTGAACATTGCTGACCAATCTTTTAACATTGTTGATATAAAACCTACTAATATGGAAGAATTGACTGAAGTCATCACCAGTGCTGAATTCCACCCTAATCATTGTAATTTGTTTATGTATTCGTCTTCCAAGGGTACAATCAAATTACTGGATATGCGAGCCAATTCATTATGTGATGCCCATGCCAAAGTTTTCGAAGAATACTTGGATCCTGCTTCTCATAACTTTTTCACGGAAATCACCAGTTCTATTAGTGATGTCAAATTTAGTCATGATGGTAGATACATTGTTTCCAGAGATTATATGACGGTTAAAATATGGGATTTGGCCATGGAAAACAAACCTATAAAAACCATCAACGTTCATGATAGTTTACGTGATCGATTATGTGACACTTACGAGAATGATGCCATCTTTGACAAGTTTGAAGTTCAATTCAGTGGTGACAATAAATCAGTAATGACCGGTTCTTACAATAATCATTTCATGATATATCCTAATGCCATTAACTCGTCTGCCGATAGTGGTCGAAAGACAAACAAAGGCAAAGATGGACCTATTTTCAACACCTCTTCATTTGTTGGTAAGCATAAACGTAATGCTAATTCTTCTGAAGATTCAGATGTTGATGACGATGACGATGACGATGACGATGAATCTTCCCCTCCAGGTGTTGACAATTATCCTAATTCACCAAACACGAATCACCCTGATGAAGAAGATCAAGAAGAGATTATATTACAGGCAGATAAATCAGCTTTCAAGTCAAAGAAGATTGGCTCAGGACACAATGGCATGAAGAGACGTATGATGAATGGATCAAATAGCGGCTCCAATAGCCTGAATGAATTTGACAATATGGATTTCAAGAAGAGCATTTTGCATTTATCCTGGCACCCAAGAGAGAACTCTGTGGCCATTGCTGCCACAAATAATTTGTATATCTTTTCTACATTGTGAAATGATCAGAATACAAATAGAAATACGAATGCACCCCCCAATTCTTTTTTAAGGGTTACATTGCACTATTGAATGCAAGCCATGCTATTTAATTCTTTCATAATCTCCTGTCTAATGTTTCTCCTTCTTTATAGTTTTATTGTCGTTTAAGTTAAGATGAACCTAATTAAAGGGTAGAAATCATTGAACTACGGAAATACAAGTCATTTTCTTTTAAATGTATCTTAACATATATGCTTGAAATAATAGAAGTAAACTAGACTAGACTTATAATTTGACTGAATAGAAGGTGGAAACTGTCAACATTGTTTGGTCAGCTTTAAGCTTCAATGTTTCTGTTAACATCAGAGTTCCAGAACAAAGTCTTGTCACCATCACCCCAGAAGAACTTTCTGGATCTGAGGTTCATGTAATCGTATTGAGTTGGCCATTCCTCATCACTCAAATGTTTTTGGTGTTCACGGTGCTTAGCATGCTTCATTTCAACGTTAGCAATTGGAAGAGCAGTCAAAGCAATAACTGGGAAAGCAACGAAATAAGTAATCTTCTTCCACAAGTTGGTGATACCTTCAGAGTGAGCAGCCTTTTCACTGGCATTCTTAATGAATTCTTCACCAGCAACCTTGTCTACCTTAGCAGCAGGGAAAGCAGTTTCATTGATCAACTTGGAAACTGGTCCGTGACTGTTGAATCTGGTGAATGTTCTTTGTGTGACTCTTCTGAACATGATTGGGCTCGTGAATAAATGCAAGAGTTTACTAATGCTGTTGGGTTCTCTCTTGTCAACTTTGTTAGTGCCTGACTATTGGTGGTTTTTTTCGTTCTGAAGAGGGCCTCCTATTGGCGTGCGACTGGTCAAAAAAAAATCTCACCCCATTTTCATTCGATTCCTTTTGAATCTCATTGGCCGTCGACGGCGCTACCAAACAAACTTCAGATAATCTTTATCGAACGGTACAAGGCATACGAATTGAACCATGTAATTGAATCACTTATATGGTCAAGATAATACTTGTATTTACGAATTGAAGAGATTTTGAGTGGCATTCTGCGCAAACAAAATCGCTAGTATTTATGTTGTATTGATTGTTGTAGACATAGTCAATAATTAGGCCATTGATTATGTGCCAAATACAAAATTAGAAGGTAACCATGTACGTCCATATGGTACATAAACCTGGCGTTTATGGAATGGTTTCTTATGATTTGGATATTCTTTCTGAAGAAACTGTTTGTAAGAATGAGGAATATAATATCTTTGGAAAGTTGTAAACCAAAGTAGTGACAAATTATCCAACTAGCAAAGTGCTTATTTCGACAGTTGTAGGCAAATATTTTTTGGCATAGTAACCGAATCCCACAGATTTAGGTAGTCCATCATATATCGATAAATCAATCACCGGTTGTTCCGAACCTGCTAACCCAGTAATATCGATATAGAACCCTGTGTCAACATCAGTAAACCTCGTCTATGATATTTAGTTTATCTTGGTTACGATGTGGTAAAGTAGGGGTAAGATCTATGAAATACCTCCCGTATTCGATCTCACTATTATTCTCTCCTGCCAAGTCGATTACCATGCTTTGATTGAACTGCTTTGCTAATAAGTGCAATTTTTGATTGGCATTTGCATTTCGTAATCTTTATTTCGGGGAATGGGCCCATCTGAAAGCCAACCCAAATGAGTACCATGAGCCAACGATATTTTAAGCCATGTGTCTGAGTGAACAAAAACCATGCTCTGATAGAATGCATATGCATAGTGGTAAAAGTGTAAGTGCCATTCAATTTATCACGATCGTTATTCAACAGGAAGACTGTGGTGTCCCCTCCTTTAGTTGTAGTTTCAAGTACTCCTCCAAAGAACCTCCAATCTTAATGATCATCAGAGGCTGACTTTTGAGTTATGAGAGCTTCGTCAAGATATTTTAAAGGTTCAGAAACCTTAGAATCGTAGTATTGCTTTGAGTGACTATTCAAAGTATCCTTATCCTCGAGGTATTTTGCAGTGCCTTCAATAAAATCTTCATGAGTCAACAGAATCAGTGCATTTAAGTTAACTGAATCAACATTTTTGGAACCTGGATACCTTTGGACCCTTCACGTTTTTCGATATCTTCAAGGGGATTTTACTGGGCAATTTAGAATTCACTGAAGGGCAACACAACATCACTATCAGATTTGGAGCGGGCATGAACTCATATACATATGTTTGAGATAAACTGGATCTTTAATTTGGTAACTTTCAGATTTCAGGTGGATATGTCGTCACATACTATGGTTTTTATCTTGCTTGAGTTGGAGCAAAGTTTTAACAATTTGAATGCCTTCTGGGTTTGTGAATGCTGACTTATTTCGGATCAACATGGCAGACTATCTTTTCAACACCTCTTGAGTTACATCAGGCTTAATAGTCTCCTGTTCTTCTGTGTTGTCTTAAGCAAGAGTTACTGGGAATGTATGCGCACACATAGATGATTCTTCCAGAATAATACGGACAAAATCTTCAACAAGTGCAACATAATCCGCCAAATGGAAATAAGGTAATGTTACACCATCATATGTGATCTCCTTTGATGATTGAGATAAATACAGTGCCAAAAGACCGAACGTGACTCGTGCATCAAAGGGCTGTATTGGAGAAGCTTGTCATGTTCCAGAACTCTAATGACATGAGGTTTATCGGTAGTATCTAAATATTTTTCAATCCGGAATTGACAGTGATCTTATCTGTGCTGGTCTCGTTCTTATAAACATGACTAGAAGTTACTTTTCGGTAAAAGTTATCTGGAAGACCTTGAAAAAATCCAATGTCTGTTAAGATCTTACGAGAACTAATGTAGTAGCGAAGCCACTCAAACTTATGCTCTGGAGTAGTTTGATGGTGCAAACAGAAAACGAATACAATCACAAGACAGAGACTTATCTCTGCAATATGATAACCACGTCGATCTAATTTTCGGAGTATGATAATGGGCGTCACAGTCAACTTTCACAAATACTAATGAAGCAAGTTAGTTAGTCAACATGTCCGACTCGCCGATCTGGTTTTGGTTTTACTCAGATTGTTCTAATATCTGGGAATCAACATAGCTTCTCTTTTTTCTTCGTAAATACATTATAGAAAAGATTTTTCTTTAGTTCTATAGATTTTATTTGACCATTCTATAACGCCAGACGTTGGTCAGCTTTAAATTTGTAAGGAGTTATTCCCCCATCGGTTATACTTCACTGATACCAGTAATTGAACATCCCTTTTAAGCGGAATAACTAATGAGATTTCCCTTGTTCCCTAAAGCCTACCTGCGTATACAACTACTATTTTTTTATTCATAATAATGGTAATATCATAAATTGCTCACACCCTGCCTGAATGTCGTTTGGGTTTTTGACGCACAGGATAATCATGTGTCGCGAACCAACCTGTCAAACGGTCTTTGACGTGGATGTCAAAGGAAACTTATTTCTGTTCACTCTCAATATAGGAAACCTACGAAAGCCGGGAAAAGCTTTAATACGATTAGATGATCCCACTTTGCGTTTAGATATGTCAAGGAATTCAAGTGCTTTTACAGGTAAAGTCTAACTGCACAAAAGGAAGCTATGCGAGATATCGTTACAAAATACGATAAGAATAGTGAATGCGACAAAGAATGCTCACATCGGAGAAAAGCAGAGTCTGCCATGACTTAATAATACGTAATTATTCGTACAACTGGTAATTATGTATGAACAGGCACTAAAAATGATATACCTATAGATGCTAGCTAAAAACAGTATAAATTGTAAATCTAAAATAGTTGATAAACCATCAGATCGATACATCCAGATTTTTTCAGAGTAAAGTTGATTACATAATATCTTATGTAATACTCACAAACAACGTACTTTTTTATCTCAACCTCCAATGCCATCACTAAACGGTTGCTTAAAACTAAAGGCAACAGATGAATCTCCGTATTGCTTGTGTCCAATTCAACCCTCGTGTGGGTGAATTAGAGAAGAACATTGCCAAAGTTAAAAAGTTACTAGGCGATGCCTTTGCTCAGAAGTCAACTAAAGAAAAGGAGGTAGATTTGATAGTTCTACCTGAATTAGCTCTTACTGGGTATAATTTTGATAGTCCGCAACATATTAAGCCATTTTTAGAGCCCACACCTCCAGGAGATGGAGTTAGCTTCTTATTAGCTCAGGAGCTTAGCAAACAATACAAATGCTTCACTTTGATTGGATATCCTGAAACAACTCCACAACAAGTGACTCATAATTCATGTTTACTTACTGCACCCCTGGGAAGCTTACTTGTAAATTACAGAAAGACTTTTCTTTACGAAACTGATAAACAATGGGGCTGTCACGAGAATCCCGAAAAGCCTGATGATTATCCATTCTTTCCTAAATTCGACATTATATGGGATAAATCCTATTACCTTAATAGAGATGGCGAAAAGGACTACAAGCCAATCCGTACTGCACTCGGGATATGCATGGATATGAATCCTTATGAATTTACTGCGCCATTCAATAAGTTTGAGTTCAGTCTTAGTTGTTTGATTAACCAAGTCAAACTTATTCTTTTTCCAACAGCTTGGTTATCATCATTATCACCAAGTATTGAAGAAGGTTTGTCTAGTGAAGAAAAGCTGAAATTAGCTAAACCATTTGAAAAGTTTTGGGATACTGAAACCTCTGAAACTTCTGATGATCCTTGTGATCCAACATTTATTGCACATGAACCACTGAAAAGCACGAATGATTATTGGATATTACGCTTCTTTCCATTTCTCAATCATCCCATGAACCAATTGCCATCATCCAAGGTGACAGTGGTTATCAATAATCGGGTAGGAGTTGAGAAGGACATTTTGTACGGTGGATCTTCGACTATATTTCAGATGGATCTGAGTATCAAATCTACGATAGAGCTGACTGGTGCAGATAATGAAAGTGTAGAAGTTCTTGGTTGTTTAGGAATGGGAGAGGAAAGTGTCTTGATTCGAGATGTCACCATAGAATAACGATACCACACGTACAATCAACTCATTGCCTGAGTCACAACCATCTCTAAAATTGGTTAGAATATTAACGTAAGGCATTTAAAGCTATAAGGTTGTATCGTCGGTAAAATCACAAATTCTTACAGGACGCGTTCCTTCCTTAAAAGGTAAAACAGGTCCAAGGGGCTAGTTGCATGTCTTCATAGCGTAACAAAACACTCTTTAGGCAAATTTTCTATACAATAGAACGGTAAAGAAGAAAGCAATTAAATGCAGATATGGAAATCTGGACCTAGATTCGGAGATGAAGATCATGTATAGGGGCAAGTGTTAATGCAGACACATGCTCAGTGTATAATATACAGTTAATAGCATGGTTATTTTAGGAGATTGTTTTCATTGAAGTGGGGTTAAAATGGAGGTGTTTGTGGGGTGGACGTGGGGGAGGAAAAATAGCAGCTATTTGAGAGAGAGGAAAGAATAGGTGTACCCGGGAAAAGATTATCAAATTAAAATGTACTAACTACAAGAAGTTAGTGCACACATTTGAAACTTATGTAGAGGATGATGATGGTTGTGACATGATTATACAGGGTTGTACCATCTGTATCTGTATTACTTCAGACCTTTGACCCTTTTAAGTAAATTAAGTACTCAAATTACTGTACTGCATATAATCCGATGACTTTGTTGCTGCACAAAATCCGTTAGACCACATCATTTGTCGACCTAGAAGTCAACTTAATTTATTACTCGAAATTAAAAGGTTCCAAATAACTATAAAGCACAAACAGAAAAGTAATCAAATTGCAATCTCCAGTACATAGTATTTCTGTGTGATCGAATATTACGATTATTAAAACAAATCTAGGTAGAGACGCCACTAACGGGATGCCCCTCGTGTCTATCATAACTAAACTAGATTGTTTCCAACCACACAAAAATAACTGTATTTCGTATTTTAAATATGTAAATGGACTTAAAATAGACCGGGTAGTGTATAAACCAGACATCCGGTGACATAGCAAAATGAGTAAATCTTTCAGAAAAGAATCGTGGTTTGCGGCCTAACTTTATGAGCTTAAGCCCTTCCATACCACCACTTTTTTTATTGACCAATTACTTCATCGTAAAACATAATGCTATAACATATGTTATTCCTACGCGAACTCTGTGCTCAGAATTATCAGAATAAATATTAATATTACCAAGCCGGGGCGTATATTATCCCACAAGAGTTCATTAAAGTACTTAATAAAATCATTGGTGTTCAAATTTGTGGAATGTAGACCATCGTTGAATCTAACAATCGTGTATCCTGGCAGAACAATAAAAATATACTTTGGCTTTGTTTTGTGTTCCGAGGAGTGTGTGAGGGTTGAGATGGCGGCGTAGCATAGTTGACTTTTGGCGTGGCGTGGCGTGGAACGAAATAAAATGAGGCTCTGCTTATTGCAGGCGGTCCTCGATAGGGAGTGTATCGTAGATGATAATTTGTCCATGTGGGAAAATACATTGTTTTTTTTTTCCGGGACCTGTTGGCAACTATAAATTAGCCTAAGGGTGCCCTCATTTCTGGCTAAGTTAAAGTTTGTAGAGTCTTTTTTCTTCTCCTTTTCCAACCACCAATACTATCTTTCATAATGCAATTCAAGACCATCGTCCTCGCTATCACCGCCGCTACTGTTGTTTCTGCTGCTAACAACACCTCCAACGGTTCTAACACTACCTCTTCTTCTAAGGGTTCTGCCGGTGTCAACATTGCTTCTGCTGGTTTGTTGGGTGCTGCTGCTGCTGGTGCCATTGCTTTGGTTTTGTAAGTTTGACTACTTAATTAAATGCTAAGGGATTTCTAGCCTTTGGGCACAGAACAAGCAAATGATCTGCTTTATTTTAATGCCAGGGTAAAAGGGTGTGGTGAACCAACCCTTCAAGGTGGAACACTTAAATGCAAACTACTTGGTTAACCATGTTGTTTACTACCACGTTCCTTTTTTTTCTTTAATGTTTTGCTGTTAATTGGCATAGTTCCGATTGTTTTATTATTCTGTCTTACTTCAAATTTATTGCTAATACACTAATTATACAACAGTAACTTGAGTATTTACTTGTAGATGGTATTTAAACTGTATCATTCGAGCCATTATACTATTTATGATAAACACTTAAAACTTTTGACATTTTGGTGCCACAACCTTAAACCCGAGATAAAAAATTTTCGTAGCAAAAGGAGGCGAGGTGCTTATCGCTCATGGGTTGCAAATCTTGTGTCTTCCCACGACTGGGCTAAGGTTTCCCTTCAAGTGCATAACATCAACATTACTTTTGTACCCTGGTTACGTTTTATCGCGTGTATTTGCCACGACAATCATGTGCAATCTTAATGTACAAGCTTTGTTGCATTGTGGTAGATGCTTATAATATCACTATTAATGTCATGATACTACCAGAAGCTGGCTTAAGCTGTTCCCCAACATACGTGACACTATTTGGCCGTGAGTCAAAATATTACCGTATGTATCCACACCTACCGTTGTCTCGGAAAGATTCAATTGATAGTGGTTAACTATTCCAACCCAAGATTGAGTTATACCACCAAAATTTGTGTCCTCAATTTACGTACCATTGACAGTGACAGCTTCTGTCATATTAGGCTGTAGCTACTGCTATCGCAAATTTGTAACATGCTTGGCTAGTTATCATACTATGTGAAGTCGTACAAATGTTGCATTTTGTAAATCTTTTCTTTAGTAGACAATCTAACCCTTCTTCTAGTATACGGGGAAAGTGTTCGTATTTACAAGTTAGTTTACTATGTCCAACAAACATTCATGCTTAATAAGGTCGTAAATTCATCATAGAGTTATTGATATTGTAATAGAACGTATTCAGCGTTTGAAAGCCCTTCTTATGCGTAATCATCAATCAAGTACAACCAGAATTCACTCCTGTCGTTTTTGATTAACAGAATATAGTCCTTTGGTGAGTTTGTTGGCAAATTGTTTAACTTGTCACGGAATTCTTCAATTTCTTCCCACAAGTCTTCAGAAAAGGCTGATTCCTTAACCTTCATCAGGTTAATGAATTTTGTACCCAACCCCCATTTATCTTGTAACGATACTTGATTATTATATTTTATGTTACCAGGGGTATAGTTGGTGATAAAGTGGATACGATAGAACACGCTCCAATGATAGTCAGCAGTGTAATTGATGTCACGGTGTTTACCGAAATTAGGAGTGAAAACTAAGCAAAACTTACGATTGTGGTGATTGCATTCCCTAATTAAACCAGTTAATTCAGCTTGGCTTGCACGATCTTTTTTCACTGCAAATGGAACCACCTCCAAAATCCACCAAAACAAGGTCTTCAACAAAGTACCATACCCACGACCATCAAATCGAGTCAACTTCTGGGGAGGATTTTCCTGTAATTTAAACAACTTAGACTTAGATGCAATTTCGTCTTGTGTGTTTAATGATTCACTGGATTTAGGAATGAATTTCAATTGAGGTGAAGAGTTAAAGGATAAAATATCATGCCAATACCCAAACAAAGTATACTGGATTGCTTGTTTTGAGTTGAAGTCATCAATATCCTTTGGTTGAAACAAAACACCCATAGTTTGGGCCTCTTTCAAGAGCCATCTCATAGGAACTCCACTTAAATATCTTAATTGTTTATCCCATGGGTGATCTGATGGAACAGACCCTTCAACCGTAGTATCAGTATGCCAGCCGCCTCCCACATCCCCATGATTTCCTGAAAACATTAGCTCCTTGAAAGATTCCTCAACTTCACTACTGCTACCACCTTGTTCCACTTCCTTCAATCTTGATTCAGCGTCTTTAATAAATAATTCCTTGAATTTTGCCCTACGTTCATCAAGACTGATAGCATGTCTTGTATGAACAACGTTGGAACTGCGAATCACATAAGGGAACATCTTATCTCTCAACAACCCCACAGAGTTTACAGAGTCAAAAATCCCCATGAAATAGATGTTAACATTGAGTCTGCAAAATGTCTCACCAAATACTTCAAACAAAGTTCTCATGTCATCTGTTTGAGCTTGAGCCTGGGCCTTTTGCCAGTTACTATAATATTCCCAAGCTTGGTTCGTTAAATGCTCAAGACCACGATATAATAACCCCACTCTTTCTATCATACCCGCAAGTGCACGGCATGTAAAACTACCACGACTAAAGCCAAATAAATATATTCTATCACCTGGCTTGTACTGGGATACAATATAGTTATAAGCAGCCACGACATGACGTGAAAGTGATGTAGCTATGGCTTCATCAATCATGTTTGTCACTACATTGTCTTCGCTTTCCGCTTCAAATCGGGCCCCAATACCTGGTTGATAGTAACACACTTGACTTTTTTCGTCCATCAAGGTCATTTGAAAGAGACGAAGTACATTTGTGTAGGGGTTGGTACCAAACTCATTGCTAGTTCCATCAAGGAAGAGCACTATGTTCTTGTTAGTCTCAGGATTGAATTCAGTTTGTGGACCAACTATTACCTTTCTAGATGATGAGGCGCCGCCGCCATATAATGGGAATGAATCACTGAGGTTGGTCAGCAGAGAACCTGACAGTGCCGCTGTTTCAGCCATGATTAGTTAATTGTCTACTACCTAGACGTCAATATCATACTAATTGCCTTCAGGAGAAAGAGGTCGAACTTTATAGGTGACCAACCCGGGAATACTTTCGACAAAAGCTTGGAGTTCCTATTATAAAATGTAGCCCTGTATAGTTGTAGTCACGACTCTTTCATTCTGTGGTGCGGCCTATTCCAATCCAAGCACTTAAGTATGTGAACTTGTGTTAACGCGTACATGTGTGTGGTATAGTTGAAGTAAAGGGGGCACCTACAACCTTATATCAACATGTGGGGTTGTTTAAGAATCTCTGCTGATCTATAAATGAGGCATTACTCAAAGGTGATGTTTAACTATAGATAATACCTAAGAAATTTAATAGGTTGCTTTTCCTATAGATCAACATTGTTTGGTTCAAATGTGAAATTCATGTGTGTTGAAAAGTGAACTTTACTTGGATGACTGTATGACATTTACGACCTTTACACTTTGTTACAAGCTTGCTACATGACATAATATCACTAGTACGATTGTGGTGCAACATACCTTCAGTGTTGTAGATTTTGGATGTTGTCTGCGTAAAATACAAAATCTGTGGTCAGATATTTTAATGTAGAGAACGTTATGCACTGTTTCTTATACCATATGGGGAACTTTATTAGTTGCAGCTTCACTTCGCACATGTTAAAAAGTACACATAAGCCATAGCATCTACTGCTGTGTCTTAAAGTAGCCATTAGTACTCTTTCTGTGTATAGAATAGAGAATACAGTATACAGCTTAGTAAACATTGAACCGTGACCCCGTAGCAATGATAATGTCGTTGTGTCGAATTCATACTTTGTCATGAAATATCCATTTATTTCTTGCACAATTACTCCACAAATTTGTAAAATATACTTCTACTCACAAACACCGTATATCTAACCATTAGGCCTGACAGTGAGCTCATTCAATGTAATTGTAGGCAGATGGCGATAGTGTTTACGAAATCCTTCTATGATTTGTAAACATGTTCCGTTGTAAAAAGTGGGGGCGTTTTACCTTACAGTTCGGTTATGTGACACTAGTGGAAAATCCATCTATATTCCTAACACGGAAAGAGACTCAAAAGTTTCACATGAAGACAAGTTGTCATAATAATTGTAGGATTTACTTATCAGGTGTTACTGCAATCAATTTATAGATTAAGATTAATATATTGGAATTTGAATGAGTAGGCATTAGGGCTATATACTAATTAAGGCTTCAATCTCCACAATATGAGCGACTCCGATGACAAAAAGTCAAACAAAACTTCAACGTTGAGTGAAGAACAAAAGAAAGCACATCATATTGCCAGTGAACAGAAAAGAAGAGAGAATATACGATCAGAGTTCGACAAAATTGTTTCTCTTACCCCCACGTTATCTGAAAGTGAAAATAGACTGGAGTTAAATATCTTGACAAAACTGGCAGACTATATTGATTTGCTTAAACAGGAACATACAGACTTGATAACTAAAGCGAAAAAGAAAGGAATATTCATCCCACCAAATTTAGTATATGAGGGGCCTTCAAGTGACGCTAATTTGGACTTGGGGAAACAGGACTAACCATCAATTATATTCGACTTTCTGGATAACGCAATACTTGTAATGAGTACCCATAGAATCATAAACTCCAAAAACAGGTAAAAGATCAAAATCGAAATCTTTGAACTGTGATGTGTTTTCATATGGGGTGAAAACTTGTTGATATTGTCCAGCCACTGCTATGTTCTTTATTTGCTCAAAATCATTGGTAAAATATACTCCAAGCTTCATTTGACAATCTTTACTACCAATAATGAGTTCCCCTTTTTGAGAATCAATGGGGTCTTCTTCATCTTCGCCGTCATCATTTTCATACATGGATACCTTATTAGAGAATGCTTGCGCACCCCATTCTACTCGTGCACCCCGAGGTAACGCAGGAACAGTTACTATCACCATTCTGTCCATCAAGGATCCATCATATTCTTCAAAGTATGCCTTGCTTGTCGATAGAGCAACGTCTATAGGAAACTCAGGCGTAATAAACCCAATAATAAAAGCCCATTCATCGATGTCTACTATTTTTCTAACACTATCCAAGTGTTGCAATGCTAAGATGGACTCCCTAAAATGATCTCTGGTGGTTTCTAATTCCATCAGGGAGGGAATCAAAGGAATTTGCCCTGATATTGTAGCCAACTTATACTTTTCTACTTCATCCACTCTTACTTGAGAATAAGGTCCGATGTTATGAGGCGCCCAATATGAAATTGAACGTATATGAGTACCTTGCTTTCTGCCTTTATTTTTAAGCACAACACATGATAATTGTAAGTCATGAGACCCCAAAGTGGTTGAGATGCAAATTCTGGATGGTGGAAGGAATAACCCAGCAAATCGAGTGTGATAAGTCTTGTTTATTTGTCCAAATTCAGACATGTCTTTGAGAAGCATATTTACATGCTGAATATCATTAAATGTGACACCGTTCTCATCAAGTATTGTCTTTAATTTGTTGAATATTTCACTTGCTTGTTCCACTATGCCACCAGAGGCCGAAGAGACCAAGTTATTGATGTACACTCTTCTTTTGGTGGTTACAACTTTGTAACAAGGTTCGTAATTGGTGGTGGTGGCTGCTTGAACTTCAAGAGAAAGTAATGATACATTGGGAACCTGAATAGGTGAGACTTTATCAATATGTTCTAAGGCTTCCTCAGAGAATGCATTCAAAATTGGTCGTCCTAAAGTTGGAAGAGAAGACTCCTCTTTGGGAACTAGATTCAACTTAAGTCTTAAATAGTAAACATCATCATTAGAATGCTGTATTATTTGTTGTTCTCTAATCTCTAACTTGAATTTTTTGAAAATAGGTGAGTCCAACACCAAGGTTTCAAACTCACCACCTTCTCCACAAATATGAACTTGATACATAGCATTCAACTTGATCAAAATAGGGTACATTTCACTAATAGACTTCCCCAAATGTTTCTCATTTAAACCAATGGCTGCAACTTTTATTAATCTAGCATCAAGTCCGTTGGCACACATCTCACCCATCAATTCCATTTGATCTCTTTGCCAAAGGTATGTAAGGGAGACCAAACCTAATCTCTCACATACGTTTTCCACTCTAGTTCTCTGATAATGTGATAAAATTGCACCACAACTCACTCCACGCACTTCAGGATGAATTTCCTTAACTCTGGCAAGTAATTGATAGAGATCTTCGATCTCATCATTCATGGTTATGGAATATTCGAGATCCTGATTAGCTGATTTTCCACTGATCTCTTGACGATACAAGGGTACATCCAAACACTGACTATAGTAATCAATGACATCATGGCCTACAGTTTGAAACATAAATGAGTCTATCTCATCGTTATCTTGGGCTTTAGGTGGATATAAATTGGCTAATGCAATTAACTCATGTCTTTGTGATAAACAGTGGTGTATATTAAAGAAAGAGTCTTTACCCCCAGAAACTAATGCCATGAATTTCATCTTACAATTGTACCGTCTATGGACGACTTATCAGCTTATCTTTATCTTTCAGTTTACCCTATTGATAACTAGGTACAACGTGATCCACTACATGTATACTGCACTCAATACTTTCTTAGTGCTGAGATTTACCTACACTCTCAGTTACTTTGAGCACGAACGATAAGTCAAGGCTCTCTTCAAAAGTACAAAAGCGTGCACAAACCAAAAAATGAAAAATTCTCTGATGAATTTTCACGTACATTTTTTTCCTGTGTGTCTTCTTGCAAAATGTACTTTAAAAAACCTTGAAAATTTTCACTCTCCTCTTTCTCTTCTTTTCCTTTCTTTCTTCATCTCAAGAACATAAGTCAACATGCCTCGTATGTACATTCCATAGACACTGCAATACTAATAAGTTCACTTTATACAGCCTTCAATAGCTTATATGGTATTACACCCACAAGCTAGAGGTTCGGGTCCTCATTTCAAACATCAATATCACCTTCAAGTGTATTGAAGCTTTTTCATTCGTGACTGAACTCCCGACACTTCAGTCACTAGGTAAAATACCTACGCCTATCATTAATTCAAGACATGCGAATGCTGACTTATTGAAGCGTAATGAAACCTAAGATACTACCATTACAAGTATTTTTTACTTGATGTATGGGGTTGGTATTGGAAGCATGGAATGTTTCCTTACAACCACAGTATTTTTGTAAAGCAAGTGTTTGAAATGAGTGTAAATCCTTTTGTATATTGTAATTATTGAGTATTGTTAATTTTTATTATCAACTCAAATTCTAACATTAATTCATAGGTGCTCCAAGAACTTACTCTAAGACTTACTCCGTCCCAAAGAGACCTTACGAATCTGCTCGTTTGGACTCTGAATTGAAGTTGGATGGTGAATACGGTTTGAAGAACAAGAGAGAAATCTACAGAATCGGTTTCCAATTGTCCAAGATCAGAAGAGCTGCTCGTGACTTGTTGACCAGAGATGAAAAGGACCCTAAGAGATTATTTGAAGGTAACGCCTTGATCAGAAGATTGGTCAGAGTCGGTGTTTTACCAGAAGACAAGATGAAGTTGGATTATGTCTTGGCTTTAAGAATCGAAGATTTCTTGGAAAGAAGATTGCAAACTCAAGTCTTCAAGTTGGGTTTGGCTAGATCTATCCACCACGCCAGAGTTTTGATTTCTCAAAGACATATTGCTGTTGGTAAGCAAGTTGTCAACATTCCATCTTTCATGGTTAGATTGGACTCTCAAAAGCACATTGACTTTGCTCAAAACTCCCCTTACGGTGGTGGTAGAGCTGGTAGAGTTAAGAGAAAGAACGCCGGTAAGGGTGGTGATGAAGCCGCTGAAGATGAAGAATAAATCTTTTGATGTTGAGGTTATATAAAATCATTTCACTTTTTACTTAATTCATATCACTTGTCATTTACTCGACAATTACTTTTCTTATCTAGCATCTACTTCTGTAGATTATGTATTTTATTAATGGGTCATTTTAGTTACAACTAGCAAGTAGTGACAATTGAGTAGTTGTCATGGATAAGACATCTTAACGGTTAAACAGCAGCCTCTGTTAACTTGAAAACTAGGGTGAAGTACGATTTACTAAACAGTCACCTCCATATTCACGTGATAATTAGGGCTGAACCCCAAAAGTATATGCGATCCTGTGTGGTGATGACTTTTTTCTTTGGTGATGATGGTCCTTCACACAGTTCTCCCGGTACTCGTTCCTGAGGAAAAATCCAGTGAAAAATTTATTCTTTATTGAAAGGACGTTAGTATTCTGGTTGGTTACTATATCTGAATATCAATAATCAAAGATGGGTAAATCGTATGTGGAACCATAATGTTCAAATGACACGGGCCAAGAGAGTTATCCAAATGCTCCCCAAACTTGCAAGCGAAATCGTTTAAATGAAAGTGTGGTGGTGAAGACCATGTTAAAAACCAAGTACACTTTATTAGAAGTGGAATATGTGGGAAATAGAAGTGGACATCTGATATTTTCGACCAGATAGGCTTAATACTGAAAAAAGGCTATGGATCAGGGAGATACAATTGAATTTGATGAGTGGTTTGAAATCTGCCTTAATGTAGTGGGATCCTTGATCGAATAGTAGAGTTAAGAATAACACAAGTTTTAATTCAAACAACTTTTATTGGCCAAATTCATTTACTATTAAAATAACGTTCGAATACTAACATTATAAAATAGTCACGGTTACAGATCTCGTACTCGTTACGCCTTTTCCCGTGACTTCAAGAAGCACGGTGCTATTCCTTTGTCCACCTACTTGAAGACATACAAGGTTGGTGACATTGTTGACATCAAGGCTAACGGTTCTATCCAAAAGGGTATGCCTCACAAGTTCTACCATGGTAAGACTGGTATTGTTTACAACATCACCAAGTCCTCCGTCGGTGTCATCGTTAACAAGATTGTTGGTAACAGATACATTGAAAAGAGAGTTAACTTGAGAGTTGAACACGTCAAGCACTCTAAGTGTAGACAAGAATTCTTGAACAGAGTTAAGTCTAACGCTGCTGCCAAGAGAGAAGCTAAGGCTAATGGTGAATCTGTCTACTTGAAGAGACAACCTGCCAAGCCAAGAGGTTCTAGAGTTGTTGCTACCGAAGGTAACGTTCCTCAAACCTTGGCTCCTGTTCCTTACGAAACCTTTATCTAATCAAACTGCTTGGATTTACCTTTTCCATATGGTTGGATTTGTATATGTATATCTATGCTTTCTAGATTCAGAAGTTAAACCTCTAACCTTTTAATGCATAAAATTGTATAACTGAACAATTGTTTGTAGTACATTTCACATACCAATATTGTACCAGTATTGAATTACTTGCACTAGTCCCCTTCGTAATAGTAACATGGTGACCAGTGAATTGATACTTGGTAAAGCTTATCTTGGAAGTCGTGCACAGGATCATATATTTCCGGTCAAGAGCTAAATATACCGTTTGCTGTTTACAAGAACAACCAAACTCATTATCATTTGGCGATACATTTGATACGAAATGGATAGTGAAGGATTGGTATCCAAAAGACCAGTTGGTGGTTCCAAAAGCAGCGGATCGCATGTTTTCAGTGATGCGCTTCAATCATGGACTGAAATTGACTTGCCCACATTACAGAAACAATTAGATGATCAAGGGATCTCCCTAAAGGAAGATCAAAAGGCCAGTTTATTAGGCAGAAAGGAATTGGCTGCAAAGACCAAAGAGTTCAGAAAGCTTTCTGAGGAAGAGAAATTGGATCAAATTAAACCTTTATTGAAGCTTTATCAGAATGAAATTGATAGTTTGAACAATAAGAAGAAAGTTGTGGAGAATTATTTCTTTGGTATCTACCGAGTATTGGCCGAAGCACCCGATCCACGCCCGTTGTTGGAAATTTCTGTGGACACAGTAATGGAATCGGCTGATGCTGATGAGTTGAAGAATGAAATCACCAGATTGAATGAAGAGTTGAGCAAGAAGGCAGATTATGATCAATTAAAAGATAGATTACTTAAAACAGAGCAGAAGAATGCTGAAGTCATGAGCTTGAAATTGAATGCTAAGGAAGAAGAGATGAAGGCGCTTTTGGAGGAAAAGGAATCAAATTGGGTTGAAACTGAAGCCATGTTGAACCAACAACTTAAAGATTATCATAAACAAATTGAAGAGTTGAGAACTTCTAAAGAAGTAACAGAATTGCAACTAAATTCCCAAAATGCACATCGTGACTCGGATATTAATTCTGCATCGATATTGGCTGAATTGGAAGTTGTATCCCGAGAAGCAGAAAATGCCAAAAAGAGAATATTTGATTTGCAAAAGCGTAATGAGAAGTTGAGAGCAGAATTATCAAGATCACAGCAAGAAGCTGAATTTACATCATTAAAAGTTGAATTTGAAAAGAGGACTTCGGAGTTGGAAGGTGAAAACTCACTTTTATTGGCCAATTTAAATGAAACCAAAAGAAAATTGGATGATCTTAGGCACGAGAGCGCATTAAAGAATGAATCCTACACCAGAGATTCTGGACGGGTGAAACTGGAGATTTCAAGTCTAAAGGAAAAATTGGCAAAGACAAGTGATTATGATGAAATCAAGCATGAATTACAACTTTTAAGGCAAATTGAATTTGGTGAAGAAGAAGATAGTGATAATAATGATGGTGAAGCAAATGAAGATAAGAATGAATTTGGATCGATTTTATCTCGTCGGAATAAAGTCTTATCTAATGAATTAGCTACCATGAGAGCCAAACAAGAGGATTATGAAGTTAAAATCAGTCAATTAGAAGGAGATTTGAATGCTACCAAAACTGAACTTTCCAAAGTTCAACAACTTGCTGTTAATCTTGAAAATGATTTGGTTGATGTGCAAGATGCCACTGGAAGTGTTATTAATGATAATGCTTCAATTATTTCTGGTATGACTGGAGTTACAAGGATGACCAGAAACAATCTTGGAGGGTTAAGAAAGCCTTCACTTGCACCTGTTAGTGAGGAAAGTTCTATTTTACCTATTATTACTAAACAAAGAGATAGATTTAGAGACAGAAACAATGAATTAGAAGAGGAAGTGAAGAAACAATTCAACATTGTTAGTGATATGAGACGACAAATCAATCAATTGAAGAAGGATAATGAAGAATTATATGAAAAAACTCGGTATCTTGCAGCTATTAACACTCAACACGGTAAGAAGGATAATCATCATCAACGTCGGACTTTATTACCTAAACAGAATGCTATTGACTTGGAAGATAATCCGTATCAAAAGTCATATGAAACCAAATTGCATCCAATTGAACAATTCCGTATACGAGAACAAGAAAGAATCAATGCCAGGTTATCACCAATTGAAAGACTTTTCATTTCATTCACCAGAGCTGTCTTATCAACCCGGGCAACAAGAATGCTCTTTTTCTTTTATTGTCTAGGGTTACATCTTATAGTCATGTTCACCATTATCCACACTGTTTCAACCAACTCACTCATGATAGCCGAGGTAGGTATTAACTCTGGTACAGGGGGGATTCCCACATCATAAGCATAATATTAATACTATAATAGCTAGTAGTATACGTTACTTACCAGATCTGATTAGTAGTTAACAGTTACAGCGTTACCCGGCACTTTGAATACTGCATATTATTCTACTCCACAAGTTGCCTTTTAAAATGTAGTCTGTATATAAAAGACCCCCTTATAGCAATGCCACCGTCCTGACTTGCCAAACGGAGCTCAGCTTCCTTTTGCCATCTTCTTTATGAAACTACTTACTATTCTTTATACGATATTATTGATAAGTACTACTATTACTACCAGTCAACAGATAGCCATGAGTGACGATAACATGCAAGAGGTTCTCAAATCGCTTGAGGGCAAGACCCCAGAAGATATTATGATTGATGTTGGGAACGGCAAGAGGGTTCCATTGTCCAAAGTTAACAAGCCTCATGAACAATTGAGGGGGCCCAACAGACATGGAATTCTTCATAATCTTATGAATAGACCCATTGAGCCACAAGTGAGGAAACAAGAAGAAGAATGGGAGGCTCAACATGGACAACAAAAGAAGAATGATCCAATTCTTGAACCTGGTAGTCATAAACCAATTGTGGATGTTGACTCGTTCCCTGACGTTGAGCCTGATGTAAGAAAGCTGGAACAGGAATTAGAGAACCAACGGATTCAAAAAAATGCTATTCTTGATCCGGGGAGCCATAAGCCGGTTATTGACGTTGACTCGTTTCCTGAAGTTGAACCCAATGTTAAGAAGCAGGAAGAGGAATTAGAGAAGGAACGAGATTTAAAGCACGGGATTTTGAATCCTGCGGTCCACAAGGCAATTCCGGATGTTTCTTCGTTTCCTGAAGTTGACGATAGTAAGAAGAATGATTAGGTTAGTATATAAGCGTATATAGGAGTATAGGAGTAAATAGGGTCTATTACCAGTTAGATTTAGTACTTCAGTAGTGCAAACTACTCTACTCTACTCTACTCATTGAGGTACTGCTGTATTTTGTACCACCATACTTTGTAGCTTGCTCACTATAGTATACTGACTATTGTTCCTACCACTACCATAATAACACATGGGTAACTCGCACGGCATAGCCACTCGACCTTAAAACAAATGTAAAGCTAATTTGACAGCAATTTCTTGTCTTGGAGACTCAGCCAACCAATTCAACCTACTCGACTTGGCTTTAATCTACTATGGGTGTGGTTGGGATGCTACCCAAAAGATTACTTAGGTATCTGCTGTACTTGTTGACAGCTTTGGTGTTGTCTAGCTTTGTACTCTTGTTTGCTCATAAGCATGAATTGATAGTGCTTGATAATTATCTCCCAACTCACTTAACACCATCGTTCTTTCAACCTCCTAGTGAGTTGTACATTGTTGATGTTTCCATTAACAACTGTGCGAAATGGAATCGCAAGTCCAACACCTGTGGACTTCCCGGAGGGAAGTATGGACGTTATGGGGACTTGAAAAGCGCTGGAGGATGGATAAAAGTTCCTAAAGATTTAACGTTGGGCAAGAAGCTTTTCAGTAGAGAGTATCTTTCATATAAGCAAGTTCAACGGAAGTACTTTACCCAGGGACCAGCGGAAGATGACGTTGATCATGACGAAAAGGAGGAAGATTTGGAAGACCATGAATATGAAATGGTTATAGTAGATTTAGCTGTGGGTGATCCAATCAAAGATGCTCTCATCAAAGGCAATGAGAAGACAAAATATCCCAGATATGTTTTGGAAGACTTTGCATCTTCAAGAACGTTTACGGACGAAGACTATAAGGAGATGCTTGAGAATGGTGAGATCCCAAGTGGTGATGCATTGACATGGGATAAATCTAAATCAACTAGCAACCAGGTTTCTGGGGAAGAGATCAACAGAATTGAGAATGAAGCAGTAAGGAAGATGGATGAAGATAAGAAGAAGCAGAGTGAATTCAATTCTGAAACCCCAGAAGAACAATTGAGTGACGCTCTTATTCAAGATGAAAGTAAGAATTCAAAGGAAGAAGAAACTGAGAAGAACAAATCCAATGGAGCCCAATTGAACCAATTGGAAATTGAAGCGGAAGAAAAGGCAGAAATGAAGAAACAAAAGGAAGATTCGGAATCTGATGCAGAGAAATTGAATGAAGCTTTATCGGAAGAAGAACAGGAGAATAGGAAGAAGAATAAAAATAGGAAGAACAAGCAAACGGATAGCAATAATGCTCGTCCTTCTGAAAAGGAAGAACAGAAGAAAGCAAAAGAAGAAATGGATAAATTAATGAATGAAAAGGAAAAGGAAAAGGAAAGCGATAAACTTACTAAACGTGATCTTGGACGTCTTATTGAGAAGAGAAAACTTGAAAATGATAGACATGCACTTAATGGATATCATCATATACCTACTAAGGAAGAAATCACCAAAAAAGGTTGGGTTGCAAAATCTAATGGGGTTTGGGCTAAATATGGTAGGTATAAAACAAAGTATCCTGTCACAGCCATTGATTTATTATTTGGTCACGATGCCGTGGAACCTCGACCAAATTGGAAGTTGATTAAGACTCCATTACAAGGAATTAATAGTAGTAAGTATCCTGCTTTTATTACTTTCAGAAAGGGACCCAAAATGGACTATAAGAAGAATTATCGGAAATCATTGAATTTCAATTCTAATGGTAAGTTTAAGATTTTACAAGTGGCTGATTTACATTTTTCAACAGGGTATGGGAAATGTAGAGATTCTTCACCTTCCAACACAAAGAAAGGATGTCTAGCAGATCCTAGAACTCTTCAATTTTTGGAGTCAGTGTTAGAAATTGAAAAACCTGATTTTATTGTATTAACAGGAGATCAGATCTTTGGAGAAGCTTCACCCGATGCTGAAACTGCAGTTTTCAAAGCTTTACATCCATTTATTAAAAGAGGTATTCCCTTTGCTGTTACTATGGGGAATCATGATGATGAAGGGTCGCTTTCTCGAAGTGAGATCATGGGGGTTTCCTCTAGTCTTCCATATTCATTAGCTCAAGAAGGTGCTGAAAGTATTGCCGGAATTGGAAATTATGTGCTTAATGTTAGAGGGAAACATTCTCAACCATCGATGAGTTTAGTGTTTCTTGATTCCCATAAATACTCTCCCAACCCAAAGGCACAACCAGGGTATGATTGGATTAAGGAAAGTCAATTGAAATGGCTAGAAGATCAATTCAAATCTAAGGCCAGTCGTCAAGGATTATCTATGGCATTCTTCCACATCCCACTTCCAGAGTATCGGAATTTGAACCAACCATTTATTGGTGAAAACAGGGAGGGGGTCACTGCTCCTACCTATAATCTGGGTGCAAGATCTTTATTTGGTAACTTGGGTATTAGTGTGGTTAGTGTAGGACACGATCATTGTAATGATTATTGTTTGCTTGACACCTTCAAAGGAGATTTTCTGGAGAATAAAGTATGGCTCTGCTATGGAGGCGGATCTGGTGAAGGGGGCTACGGAGGCTATGGAGGTTATATCCGTAAGCTTCGAGTGTATGAAGTTGATAACAATAAGCAAGAGATCAAATCATGGAAGAGGAGTGAAGATGATCCCAATAAAGACTTTGATCACCAGATTCTTGTATCTGAAGGCCAAGTGGTTAACATGTAGGTCACTATAGATTAACAGCATCAACAGAGTAAGTACATCAACTTGTAGTGTATATACATAATCTGGTTCTGATCAACTACATTCCTGTTGTGCATGTTGGAAGTTGGCGATGTTTCAGATTATCGTGTTTCAAACAACCAATGACTAACCCCTCTACAGGATCGCTCAATGGACTCATCTGACTTGTATCACTGATCTGACTTGTCTCACTGATAGTCATTAACAGACATGAGTGTTAGCTCACCTAATGATAGCCCTGAAGTGTCAGGAGGTGACACTCATTCCAGTGGCAGTAGTCTGGGAAGAGATAAGGAGATCAAAGAACTTCGGAGTTGGTTAAACAACCATAAATGCCAACATTTGGCACCGCTTTTCATAGAGAATAACGTCACGTTGGACCTTGTAGCTGAATTAGATGAAAGCGGGTTGAGGAGTATGGGCATTACTAAAGTTGGTGATAGACTTCGATTAGAGTTGGCCATATCTTCATTGAAAGCCGAAAGTGTTCTGAGTAATGTTACGTTTGACGAGCTAACCAGGTTGCTCAACTTGAACTTGAACCTGAACCTTCAAGCCACTGAAAATGACAACAGTTCCAATGATATGTCTCCAGTTAATGATTGGGTGGTACTGGCTCATTCAAGTAATGATAACTTCCCACTACAGAATAATGCCAGTAAGCCTACAAAGGACACTAGTAAGACGATTACGTTTATTTCACAGGACGGGGTTCCTCGGAAAGCCAACATAGTCGGTTGTTTTAATGCTCAATCGATCAAGAGAAAGATGATCAAGAAGTTGGGGTTGAAATTACCCGAATCAAAGTTTGATACTTATATTCATGCATCCCCCACCAACAGTACCACTGATCAGAATGGACTTAGTATATTATTTGACGTTGAATTGGTTACCATTTGTTATTCTCCTGAAAGAGTTGAAAAGCATCGGATCATTCTTTGTCCCAAGTCCGAATACCCTTCAGAACAAGCATTGGAAACATCAAAGAGTATTTTGAATAAGTATCGTTTAATTGCTGATAAATTAACCTCTGAAGATTTAAGTGACTTCCATATGCCTGAAACCCCAGGAAGAGGAGGTGGACCTCCAAGAACCATTAGGAATTTCTTTGGTCAAAGGCCTCCAAGTGAATTGATTTCATCTAACTTGGCGGAATACTTTCCTGATGCTCATCAAAGTCAATTGGAAGCAACAGTTCGAAATTCCGTTAGACATAGTGTAAGATGGTCTAAGAAGTTCCATTTACCCACTCTCATTGGATCTCATAGTCCTTCAGCTTATTCTATATCTTCTGGAGACAATAAAACCATTAGGAAGATCCACACTGCTCGAACAATTGGTGATGTTATGGTGAATAATATCACTGCTATTGATGAAGCTGTGAATTCTCAAGAGAGTTTATTTACTAAACCTCCTAGTATTTATAATGGTAGTGATAGTAGATCACTTGTTTCTGGAATGTCTAAACGAGTTTCTATTGCTGCCAGTTTCACAGATGATGATAGGCATTCTCGAATAGAATTATTAAGTATTGATCTGGACTCCGATGAAAATGAAGATTTCATCGATGTTTATGGGAATTTCCAAGAATTACATGAATCCAATACTTTGGATTCCTTTGCTAAGGGGAATAAGAAATGGGTACAAGGTGCAAGAATAGGTCTGGGATCTTTTGGAACGGTTTATTTGGGTATGGATCCAATTACTGGAGAATTAATGGCAGTGAAACAAGTTTGTTTACCTGATAAACATATTGAGAGTAGTCGAACGACTCTGCAACAATCAATGATTGAAGCGTTACAACATGAGATGACTTTATTGAAGGATTTGAATCATGAGAACATCGTTCGATATTTGGGGACATCAATGGATGAATCTTTCCTTAACATTTTTCTAGAATATGTTCCTGGTGGGTCAGTTCAATCTATGCTTTTATCTTACGGACCATTTGAAGAGCCATTGATTCGAAACTTTGTGAGACAAGTTTTAATTGGTCTAAGTTACTTGCATGGGAAAGATATTATCCATAGAGATATTAAAGGAGCTAATATCTTAATTGATATAAAGGGAACAGTTAAGATTAGTGATTTTGGGATCTCTAAAAAGTTAACCGAAGATAATTCTGGTGGTGATGATAAACGATCAAGAAGAGCTTCATTACAAGGATCAGTTTATTGGATGGCACCAGAAGTAGTTAAGCAAACGGCTTACACCAAGAAGGCAGATATTTGGTCTGTGGGATGTCTCATAGTGGAAATGTTCACTGGGAAACATCCATTCCCTGAGTTCAGTCAGATGCAAGCCATATTCAAGATTGGAACTCATATTACGCCACAAATACCCGAATGGTGTACTAAGGAAGCCAAAAACTTTTTGGGAAGGACATTTGAGTTGGACTATAAGAAACGACCAGATTCAGTTGATATGCTCAATGAACCATTCATGAATAATTTGATCATGACCAAAAAGTAATCGACTACTATGTTATGTGCCTTATAACTCCGATCGGATGTTAAGTCCTGTATCAGGCCGAACCGCACGGCAGTAACTAAACCCCGCCATATACGAATGATCATTCAAGACAGACAAATACTGTATAGACTTTGAGATAATGTAGAGAAGGTCACAGTACTGTAATGTTCTACGCATAGGAAGGCTCTACAACGTATATCAGTGTTTAGTACAGAATAGTAGTGCTATACAACGCAGCTGTGTTCCACTACTGCTTGTACCGTGGCAAAGTTGTTCCCGGACTCGTGCAGTGCAAAATAGTAACCGAACAGAAAATGGTTAGCGTTTTGGTTGTGGGGTTTAAGGTTTAAAGTCAGTCAGTCGCAGTGGAAAAACTCAATTGACCAACCCTCTTCTCTTTTCTATTAAGCCAACATTAAATTGTTCCCTATATCACCATGGAGATCCCATTGAAATCACGGCCTAAAGTGTCGATGGTGGGGCTCCACGATGAAAATAGCTTTGAAGCCACTCCCTTAACCATTGGAGACTCTTCAAGTACCATTCTTGGAGGTGTGGATGATAGGCCACCGTCATTACTAAACCCCAAATCAAGAGGTGGTACAACCACCAGTAAACCAATATCAATTATGCCAGAACATTTGAGCTCCGCCGCCACCGACGCCACCGATGGAGGTCCATTGACCAAATCGTTTCGATTAACAAGAACGTATTCGGAATCGGAAAAGAATAACTTTCATCTGATCACTGGCCATCGCATGTATGATGATGGGAAAATAAGACCCACGACTTCCAAAACCAATTCCTTCTTACATCTGGAAGCTGATGACGAAAGTCCATCTTCTTCTGTAGGAAGCAGCAGATTATATTCCAGGTCTCATAATGACTACACCACCACACCAGATTATGGCCAACCGCTTCAAGGGTTGGAAGATGAATACATTCCTGGATTAGACTTTTCGGCATTGGTTTATGAATGGGGTCGGAGCAACAGTGAACAAACCCTCCACCACAAAAACAATAATAATAGCAGAAGTAACATCAACGTAATATATGATGATCACAGTTTGAGTAGTTCAACAAGCTCAACAAATCCAAGTAGAGAGGTGTCTTATTTGGATTTGAATAAATTGCATGCTAAGGTTTCACCTCAGCCCATTGTCCGAGATCAAAAGGACTCCTTAGCGAAATATGCCTTTGGAAAGTTAGACAACAACAACAATAAACTCCGCAGATCCAAAACAACGTTAACAGAATACAGAAGAGATGATTCCAGAGGTCTGTTTGGAGAGCCTGCTTCCGATTCAAGGGATCCAATGGACCATAAAGTTAAACGACAAAAATCAGCTGTGGATCCAGTAACTGGTGAAGTGAATTATGAAGTAATTATGAATAGTTTACCTCAAAATTTCAACGATTTACCTTATTCCCAACGGAAGAAATTGGTTAAATCCTTTTCTGATTCTATTGATTATTCCCAATTTTCCATGTTTGCAAAGAGTTTCCTAAGTAAAGGAGGTTCAGGATCCAATAATAGTAGTTTTATTACCAGATCAAGAAGAGGATCTACAAATACCATTGCGGGTAGATTATTAGCCATCTCTTCCACCACAGATATGAAGGCCATGCCCGAAGAACCCAAATATAATGTGGACGAAAAGGGAGCCATTGTTATGGGTCATGTGTTAGGAAAAGTGATTGGTTTTGGAGCTTGGGGAACTATTAGACAATGCACTTCTCCAGAGGGGAAGATACTAGCCATTAAAATAGTCAAGTCAACTAAAGATACATCAAGATCAACCACTACCACAAACAATAATCAAGATGGCTCTTCGAAGCCAAATACTCCTAAAGAGAATGTCAAAGTCTTAACATTTTTCAAGAAAGAGATTGAAATATGGAAGACATTGCATCATAAACATATTTTGCCCTTATTGAAATATTTGGAAACAGAACATGCGATATTTTGTATTACTGAACGTATAAATGGGGGGACGTTGTTTGAGTTAGTTACATCTTGGGGTCCATTAAGCGGTGGAATACTTCAAACCCAGGGCCCAATCACATATCTGGTTACCCGAAGTTTGGATAGAATCCGTAAAGTCATAGGGTACATTAAACAAATCGTTGATGCAGTGATGTATTTGCATGGAGAAATGGGTATTGTTCATGGCGATTTGAAATTAGAGAATGTTTTAGTTGATGATTCCACTCCTGATAATCTTCAAATGGTGTTATGTGATTTTGGAATGTCCAGAGTATATGATAGTAGGATTAAATTAAGTCGAAGGAGTTCATTAAAAGTTTCTGAGATGGCCAGATCTCAATCTTCTTCAACAGCTATTCGGAAACCCTATCACGGTAATGATGAAAGTGTTGTACATTTATTTAAAGATGATTCTAAGATAGGGGTTTCCAATTTACTTAAAGTACATGGACCTTCTTTACAATCTGTTGATTTAACTCCAACCCAATCATTATCTCATTTCCATGATTATAACAGACATGGATTTGATTCTTCTGAAAGTGATATAGATTCAGATTTGCCTCATACTCACATTGGATCACTTCCTTATGCTTCTCCTGAACTTTTACTTCCATCTCCACCACCATTAGGTCCATCTGCTGATGTTTGGGCTTTAGGAGTATTATTGTTCACCATGCTTGTGGGTAAATTACCCTTTCAACATCAATATGAACCTCGCTTGAGAGCTATGATTGCCCATGGTAGGTTCAATGCCACACTTCTCAGACGAGCATGTATGATGGAATGGTTTATCGAGTCAAACGACGATGACAATACTGAAGGCAGTAGTAGAGACGATAAGCTTTCATATGCTTCATTTGGAGATCCAGAGAGAGAACGTACTATTGAAAAGCTCCATAAGGAATGGCTTACATTTGATACTGAGCAATATAGCTGGCTATTTGACTTGGTTTGTGGATGTTTGGAAAAGGACATCACCAAACGTTTGGATATCAATCAGGTTAATGATACCCTTTATCAATTGACAAAGTAGTGAAAGTATTAATATATTAAAGAGCATGTAAAGAGGAGTTTGTTACGTAATAAAATGTAATAACAGCATCCAACTTTGTAATTTGCACGCACACGACCAGATCTATAATTAACGTCTTGAAATTAATCCACCACCCATTCATACTCATTTATATCATTCCCTCACCAAGATGGAATTGCCCGAGGGATACAACTTCAGAAGAGTGAAAGTGACAGATCACAATGAATATTTAGATGTGTTGCGAGTTCTCACAACTGTTGGAGAAATCAATGAAGCTCAATTCAAAGAACTAGTGGATCATTGGAATAGTGTTGAAGGCATATACTACCCACAAGTGATTACCGACACACAAGGCAAAGTTGTGGCCACCGGATGTCTTGTTGTTGAGCGGAAGGCTATCCACCAATGTGGGAAGGTTGGCCATATTGAAGACATTGCTGTGTGTAAACTGCAACAGGGGAAAGGACTTGGATTGGTATTGATTCAAGGATTGACTGCTATTGCTGAGAAGGAAGGATGCTACAAAGTGATATTGGATTGTTCTGATCATAATGTTGGGTTCTATAATAAATGTGGATATACTCATAGTGGATGTGAAATGGTAAAGCGTTTTGATTGATGGTTATATCACTTTTCCAAGTCTATATCTTTTCCAAAGCCTAGACATTGGTTAGTATCATAGAAAATAAAACTGGGTGTGGTAAGATGTACGTACTTCAAGTGCAATGATCAGATTACCTCTAATGACTGCAGTTCCAATATTCATAGTTTCTCCTCCAGGAAGCTCTTCCACTGTATTGGCCAATGTAATATTCATGAATAACTAGGTCATCATTGTTAGTATAAGCAAATAGAATCACAATATCCTTTGTACTGTTATACATACATCATAACCTCTTAAAGTTCCAATCACCTTTCGGGAACTATTGAGCTCTACTGAGAGTCGCTTGTCCATATACTAAACGTTAGTATCTTAATTATTTCATAGTAAAGACCCCATTGGCAATACATACACTCTTCAACTCGGGTCCTGATACCATTTTGGGATTGCTATTAAGAAGAGATCGTGTAGTAGTAGATTGATAGCCAAGTTTGATCATTACTGAAAAGTACATTACAAGTATGTGGTACACACACTACTTATATTTGACCATTGCTTCATAGTATATGAATAGTGTGTGTGTCTCTACACCACTAATACAAGTAGTAATAACAACTATAATGAGTATATTAATGCATGATTACTGTTGTATATGCATACGTTCGTACGTCTATCGTAAACTATAGAATTGAAGCAGTCATAATCAATAAAGTCGTGCATGCACCAGATACATCAGAGTCATAGCTACTTGTATACCCTAACTACGTGCCCTTGTAGGAACGTATATATACATATATATATAGGTAATTTCTGTACTTGTTCTATGGCACATGAAACTTCAGCAGAAGCTGTAAACCAAAGACTCAAACACTCAATTGCAAACGTCCAAAGCCAAATCAAAAGCTATAGAAATTACATACAAGGTAATCGAATCAATGCTAAGGCTGCTGCTTCCTCAGATACGTCAATTAGATTAGAGATCAATAGCGTGGATGCTAATGACGATGTGCTTAAAGATTTGAACGTCTTCCCATCTACCGATTGGAAGGAACGCCTACAGCTAATAAAGGTGCTTTTGCCATACATTGAGTTTGACAATATCTCATCGACTGGAACTGAACCTAGAGTGATTAGTTGTACTGTACTTTCGCCCTTACTATTTCAACTCCAATTGAATCTACACATAGACTCCGAAGATGCTATCGTCGAGACCAAAGTCACGGGGTTACTTGCTGTTAAGCTTATGGCTCCTCAATATGCCTCGGTTTTAAAAACCAATTATATTTCAAGGAATAAGGTCCAAAATTTGTTGTATAGTCTCAATTCATTTGCTGCTTGTATTCACCGAAGAACCAATGCATTTGTTAAAGTGATTCGAAAGTATCCAGGTTTGGTGACGAATGTTAACCGAGACTCACTAGCCAATAACTATACTACTTATGCTCATTTAAAGAGTTGCGATGAAATAATCTTGCTTTTACCTGCCAATTCAATAAAGCTTTGCATATTCTGGAGCGTGGTCTTAGAGGACGAAATCACAGGAGAATGCACCAATACTATTAATCTAATTGGTCCAGACCCCAAATCCAATGAGCTCTTTCAAATGCTCTTGGAATCAAATTCAATGGTCAATGCGGTTTCATCTCTTCTTTCAACTTGCTACAATTACGTCTACTAATTGCTATAATTAATATTGTTGTTATCATTATTATTGTTATTAGGTGAACCTTATCTTCCCTTTAGCCAAATCAAAAGTTAATTTGGTATCTTCAGAGGGACTTTCATACTCCAAAATATACTTGCTAATGTCTCTTGCAAAACCAATTAAAGCATTGACAAATTCCGATTTCTCCAAGTTCCGATCACTTTCATGTATTGGAACATAAGTGTTATATTCAAACCGCGTGAAATCTATCATCTTGCCAGAAATTGGAAACTGAGGTTTAGTTGACTTCAATTTATTTAGTTTTGAGTTGACATTAATCATGTTGGAAGGCTTTGTCGCTACTGAATCTTCAGAAGTGGAGTTAGGATCCAAATGATTCACGGATGATAATCCCTTCAGTTCGGCAATGATCTTCCCTTGTTGAGTATAAATATAGCTTTCAAGTCCACTTGCTAATTCCTGTCGAATATCTTCCCATTCCAATGCCAATAACCCATTTCCGGATTCCACTTTATATTGGAAAAAAAACTTTAACCAATCTTCCAAAAGGTCTTTTCGAGACCCGAAATTAGATCCAGTAGCCTTTAATGCTTGCTTGATAACAGTCTGTGTCTTGATAATAATGTTCTGACGGAAAGAAACCAAAGTATGAGGATCTGGTTTGATCTCTAATGAGGATCTTGGTGGTGCAAACGATTCTAATATAGAACCCAAGTCTCCAATAGGATATTGAATACTACCACTAATGTCATCAGTTGGATATTTGGATGAACCAATAACGTTCATAGCATAAACATTCTTATCTGAATATTTGTCCTTAGAAGTTGGAAAGGGAAGATAATTCAATTCCAGTGAAGTACCACCACCACCAGAGATAGAAGGTGGTATAATAATTGGGTTATTATCACCACCAACAGATACAAGAGAGGTGATTGCTTTACCGTTTGTAGGTGATGAAGGAACTTGCATTTGGTCTCTCTTTCTGATTTTCCTCTTCTTAGCAACTGTTTTCTTCACCGAAGATGGTGGTAAGGAATGTTTCTTATTTTCTGCAGAAGTTGGTGTTGGTAAGGGCAATTGACTACTAATTTCATTATCATCAACACCATCTCCAAATTCCAAATCACCAGTAGGAAGAGCGCTTGGTTCTGATTTTCTTTGACGAATTGATTTAGCAACATATGAGCCACTGGCGTTGGTGCCTGAATCATCCTCCTTTAAGTATCTCATTCTTGTGTTGTACATGTGTTGGGAGAACTTGATTTCCAAGTCAGTATCACGATCAAATTCATCTAGTTTGGATTCATCAATGGATTCAACTGGAGGAATACTTCCAGCTCCAAAGGGATTAAGATCCAATTCTTCCTTAAGAAAGCTTGTTTCCAAATAGGTATACATCATCCAAAGAAACCGTTTAGCTCTATTTTCAGGGTCAATCTTAACGTTGGTGAAGAATTCCATAAACTCATTATTATCATAAATATTATTGGGACTTGTTTTCAAATCACTATAAAAGCGTATGGAATTCCCACAAGTACTCAACAAGAAGATAAGATGAATGATATTCGTATTTGGCTTTTTCCTTGGAGGATCTTCTAATAATTCCATCAAGTTTTTGTAAGTTACATCCAATTCACTCACTGCTTTTAAAATTGACTTCAACCGAGGAGTATCCTGTAAAGGAGTGATATACCCAGTGGTTGCATCTGTTTGAAGGGAAGGAATGGAATGATAAGTTCGTAAGTTTGATCTCATTTCAGGAACAAAATTGACAGTAGTGTTCATACGTCCAGCATTGACCAATAAACAGATTTTAGCCACAGAAGTGGCCATAGAAACGTCTTTTATCAAACGTTCTCTTAATATTTTGGAACATTTGGATGATTCAGCCAATGTTCGAATATACAACTCTGCAAACGTAAGTTTCTCGGTATTAACAGCATTGGGTAACGAACAATAATTGAAGTAGTTGGTGAACACTTTTTGTTCATTAGAGAAAAGAGCCTTTAAAAAATCATACTGAATATCTTTCCTCCAGAATGCTTCACCATCTGCCTTTTTTAAAGGTCTAAATCCTCGGAAAGTCACATTGGTTGATTTCCCCTTACCCTTTTTCTTTGTAGTTTTCAGCAGCGAATTCTTGGACGAATCATCATCATCATCGTCTCCATATTCTGTAGTATCATCCATTAACAAGGATGTGTTGGCGACGGTGGTGCCATTACCGGTACCCGTACCCGTACCCATCATCATAGGCAGTTCTGAATTGTGGCTGTTGAGAATACTGGACATATTAAGGGCTCTATGAGCCACTGAATGTGGTGGTTCTGGGGTCAGAGCATTGGCAGTAGAGTCAGTGTCGACTAACGCAGATATGGGTACCGTCTTGTTTTGTTGAGCAGGAGTTAGAGGAGGCTCAGGATGGGCCGACGACTCCTGATTGGATTGTGGACGAGAAAACGACTCCAGAGGCGGTGATTCCGGTTCAGGTTCCGGTTCAGGTTCCTTCTTAGCAGGTGTATAAGTATCGTGTATTGGGTCGTAACTCATGATGACGATAATAGCAATAAAAGGCTGTACCGTGCTGCTTTGATGCTCACAATAATAGTATACTGTAATACGTTCTTTTCTATATATCAGGAGGACACGTGTTCTAGACCCTTGCTCTAGTGGTGTAAGTTGTTTGTAGGTCGATTCAGTCGAGGTTAACTTTTCACCAAGCGAGCCCTTCAATTTAAATTTGGTCGGTCGCACAAACTTTCTGGGCCGACCAAACAATCCCGTCTGACTGAGACAAACTTGGCTCTACGACCAGTGGAACTACTGGATACAGCTTTAGCGTTCGACCTACGACTTATAGCATAAGGATCTGACGTACTTTTACTAGTGGGGGTATACAACGTCCGTTTACAATGACTACTGCGGCCCCGTTCATGGCCTCGTACCGTCAGTTGCAATTGTTTGATTACACTCCGCTACGAGACCCAAACATAGCGACACCAGACCTTCTATTTGCCGATTCAACTTTATCTGCCATAGTATCGACCGAATCTTATTTGGTGGTGGCAGTCAATAGATGCTTCCTCCGTATAGCAACGCCTCAATTACAATTAGTACGAACGGTGTTGGCGTATGACTACGAGTATCAAGTAACTTTCGCCCGAGTGTTCCAAGGAGACATATTGGTTACCTTAGCTGAAAGACAAGGGTCGCCCGCACATCTTAAAGTATGGGATCTCCAAAGACTCGTTCTGTTGCCACAAACTGGTGATGATGACGAATCCCTAAAACACAAATTCATCAGTCAGGCAACGATATCAATTGATACCACCAATGCCCATCCAATCAGCTGTTTCCAATTCAATGACGATTTGAGTATGGCCGTGGTGGCAACAGCCAATGGGAAAGTGGTGCTTATCCGAGGGGACTTGTTAAGAGATAGAGGTACTAAACAACGGTTGATATATGAAACCAATGACGCCATTACTGGGGTCGAGTTCAATAAGCTACAAGATATCATTTATATCACTACCACTACAAAGATCATCACTGTACAGACTACAGGAAGAAACCATGGCAAACCCCTTAGAGTGCTTTCTCCATCTACTGGTGTTAATATTGGATGTACTTCCATTGATGAGAAATCCCAAAACTTGATCGTGGGGACAACTTCAAGTATCAAGTACTACAGTCACGCTGCACGGATCTCGACGTTCAACTTTGAAGTTCCCAAGAAGTCTCTAATTAAGTTTGGTAAGAATTATTTACTAATGGTTACAACCAGCGAGGAAAATGATGACAAGAGTCAAGGTCAGTTGACTAGAGTTGTGATTTTTGATACTTTGAACAAACATATTGCTTTCAATTTAACCATTCCCAAGTGTCATATTAATTTCACATTTGTTCTGAAGTTTGAAGCTAGTTCTGCCTTTCAAACAGTATTCCTTTTATCCAGTGATGGAGTCCTTTATAAGCTTCTGGAGAAGCCAATAAACCAACAGATTGAAATCATCTTACAGCGAGATTTATTTCAAATTGCCTTTAATTTGGCATGTCAAAGAAACCTTTCCAATTCGTATAAACATCGGATTTTGAAGCTTTATGCTGATTTTTCATACGATAAACAGGACTTTGAAAAGGCCATTAGTACTATAATCGAGTGTCTTGATATCTATAAACAAGATTTGGACTCCATCAAGAAGAAGAATACGGCCATGGCCAATGACGAAGAGGATTTGACTATTATTGATGATAGTGAAGATTTTATTATGACCACTATCTCCAAGTTTAAAGCCATATCCAAAATCAGCTATTTAACGAAATTTTTGGTCAAGCTATACGATTATAAAATGACCAAAAATGATCATGTCACTCTTTTGTTGTGCTGTTTCTGTAAATTGAAAATGGGTGATGAACTTGATGACTTTATACAAAAGTTAGACTTAGATGAACAATCTGATTTCCAGGACTTGGATTTCCCATTGATCATTAACCTTTTCAAAGAATGTGGGTATTTCAAACAAGTGATTAAATTACTTTTGAAGTTAAAACAACATAGCTTAATTGTGGAGGTGCTACTTAATGATTTGAAACGACCTCGAGAATGTTTAACTTATTTGAAGACGTTACCGATTGATGATTTACTATTAATATTAGTTGATTATTCCAAGAAATTGTTTGAGTTTATCCCCATTGAAACCACTGACCTTTTAATTAAGGTGTACACTGGTAAATATATGCCATTACCAAGTAATCTGGAACATCCACTTGAATTACCTTCCAAAGTTAGTCCAGCTCCTTCAACCCAATCAGAGCCTACTTTGTCTTATGGTGCAGTTGCTAAAGATCTTCCTTCAACAAGTTATCGTGCACTTGTTGCGTATTTAAAGGGCTCAGATGAATCAAACGGTGATTCGGATGATCAAACGCTTGATGAACCAACATATCTACCTCCTAGACCTCAACTTATCTTCCCTGCCTTCATTGATAACCCTAGAGAGTTTGTGATATTCTTAGAAGCTTCAATAGAAATGTTTGATAGATTTCAAGGGAATATTAATGACAAGAAGGAATTATTGATTACTCTATTGGAGGTATATTTATCCCTTGCTCAGGATGAAACGATTGATGAGATTGAAAAGGAATCGTGGTTAGGAAGAGCTAAAGATTTACTTAAACAGTATCATTTAATACTAGACAAACCATCATTACTTCTTTTATCCACAATATACGGTTTCAAAGAGGGTGAAATTGCTGCTCAAGAAGATAGTGGTATGGAAGAGTCACTTTTCAGTTCAGCATGCTTAGCAGGTGATATCAATGGCTCATTAGATGTGATGAAAAAATATGGAGAGAAGAAACCACAATTATACAAATTAGCACTTCGATTCTTTATCAGTGAAGAGAAAGTATATCGACAAATTAGTAAAAGAGATTTTGACCATGTGATCAACAAAATTAAAGAACACAAGCAAATGGTCCCATTAGAGATTGTTCAATTGTTGGGAAGTGTTGAGTTCACTAATCTTGAATTAATTCGAGATTATTTACTTGATTTTGTTTCTGTTCAAAATAAAGAGATATCCAATAACCAGAAACTAATTGAATACTATGAACAAGAGTCTACCAGAATTACAGACCAACTTAATGAATTGAAGGCCAATCCATTTCTTATACAAAATAACAAGTGTTCCCAGTGTCAACTCAAACTTGATTATCCCATGGTTCATTTCAAATGCAAGCACTCATTCCATCAGAAATGTATGAACGATAACTTGATAATTTCACAGAATGTTGACTCCAATAAGCAGCATTGTCCCTTGTGTGTCAATGAACTAGACGAGATTAAGAGTACAAGACAGATGCAGTTTTCAATCAAGAACAACGATGAGAAGTTTTCTGCTGGTTTAGAATTATCGAATGATAAAATGAAGTTCTTGGCAGACTATTTGGGTAAAGGTGCTATGGAGAATGACGTTGAGCAACAGTTTTAGTTTGTTGCAACATGTTTAAGGTTCGGTTGCACACTGCTTCAGGACCGTTTCAACCAAAGAGGAACGGTCTTTATTTATGAGGTTCTAGTTACAATTTAGCAGTGATAAGCTAACCTAAATTTGAAGTACGCTATTCATCATGGGCTGTGATGGTACTACTCCAAGCTGGTTGATGAGTGTTGATCTCTGTGGAAAAGCAGTTGACAACTTCATCGTGGAAACCGAAGAAACTGTTGTTCGTATTAAAAGCTTTATCAAGTCTATTACGGTCCGATATGTTGGAATTTTAGATACTGAAGAGTTTGATTTAGTGGTGAATGATTTATATCAATTCTGCTTACTTTCAGACAAGTTTGTTGTGAGGATTCGACAACATCAAGACCTTAGAAAGTGTGATGTTGGGATAATCAAGGACTTTATTCAGAGCATTGATGTATTAATGATAAGATATGGCAGAACTATTGAATGGAGACAACTGCTTGTACATGGAGACGGTGACAAAAAGAGTATACTCATTCCCATGGAATACATTCGTCGACTCCCAGGAGCCATTAAGACGGTTTATGATAATTATAACCCTAACACTTGCAAAGACCATTATTCTGCTATGAGACAGCTTGGACTTCAAATGACAATATTGAGGGCCAATAGGTTAAAGGAAGAATGCTACAGTATTTCACTACCAAAAATAGAAAACTGGCAACAACTAAAGGAGTCATTGACTGATGATAATAATTATTCTCTTGGTGATCTAAAACTTACTCTGTACCTATGGGGTACGACAAGGGGTTCAGGAACCATTCCAGAAGTTTCAGCTGCTGAGAAACGAATCAGGGATGTGTGTGGTTGTATGGAAGCCCATAAGGAAAATGTGTTGGCATTCACAAGAAAGTTCAAGCAAATTAGTGAACTTTGGTTACAATTATTGGTTGGCTCAGAGTGTGAGATTCCCATTCGAGGAGGGTATATTGATTATCATGATCGGATCACGTCAATGAGCGAAGACACAGGCACATTGATGGCCCAAATGGAGGTTCAAGTTGTCAGTAAATTACGAGAAGGGTGCCATGAACTCTGTAGGATTCGCAGAAATGGGTGTGTTTCAGATCTGGAAATAGAATGTTTCAGCTGTCAACTAATTGACCTGTGCGTCATGAAATGGTTTCAGATTTATGTACAGTGGGTGTGTATATTTGCCAGTCGGAGTTCCTCCTCTTATGATGGCATAGTTCTTGAATATACCGAAAGAATGAATGGCACAAGACTTGCAGTTGCTCGTTACGCACCTGAGCTTGAGGAATTCTTTGTTCAGTAAGATGATGGACTTCAGTGGTTGCTGTTTGGTGCATATAAGTGCAGGAATCAGGTAATATACTAATTGAGTAATAGTAGACAATAATCTGCTGACAGCACTCATTCATTCATAGTTTGAGTTTACAACCTTTAACAGTTCTAACGTAACATAGTAAACGGTAACGTGGTAACTATAACAAGAAAACTGTAACATAAACTATACCTTAGTAACTGCTACATGTTCTACGATGCGCATCATGATGCCCATCACAAGCAAATTGTCACATGACACTTAGCCTCCTATCTACTCACACAAGTCTGAAGCAGAGCCTAAAGTTTAATTCTATTATGGCTACATGAACCTCATACTAACCGTATCGTCAAATAACGGCACCCTAAAACCAATTGCCATTGTAGTGCTCGCCATTCTCCCCGTGCTCCGCTCCTCTTACCCCTGACAAAGGTCGCCATCCTTCATAACTGAAATCAATACGCTCGTGTGCAAGATCAAATCCCCTTTGGAAAATTTGCCCGGAATAAAAATACTGTTGACGATTACGTTTAATTCTTTCCTGTAGTTCTTCTTTCTTTCCGTTAACTTCCATATAGAACATTCAACATGTCTTCTGCTCATGCTCCTTCTGTTCCTGCTGCTGCTTCTGCTTCATGTCCAGCATCTTCTTCCACCAAGTCCTCCACATGCTCTTGCCCCTTGTTAACATGGAAGAACCCTGTGGAAACTGGTAAAGTATTGGCATCCATTGTGGTTGTGTTGGTGGTGTTGAAAACTGTCAACGTGATCCCCGTGTTCTTCTACACCTTGGCTGGTTCTCTTGCATTGTCTGCTGTTGTTGAATACGTGTCTGTTTTGGTAACTGGAACAGGTATCGTATCAAAATATAGACCTACAAAGGCAACATTTGGTCCTTGTTTCAAGGAAAATGTGTTGCCTCAATTGGCAAGTGCGGTCAACCTTGGTGAACACATTGTTCAAGTTACAGTGTTCTCTGTTGATCCTGTTGCTACTTTGAAAACTGCTGGTGTTGCTTACATCTTGTATAAGGTGACTTCTTGGTTCTCTATCTTTACCATTGTTGCCACCAGTGTGGCTTTGGCTTTCTCTGTTCCATATATTTACTCCACCTATCAAAAGGAAATCGATTCTGCTGTCACTGAATACTCTTCTTTGGCTCAAGATAAGGCGGATGAATACTACAAGTTGGCCCACAAGAAGGCTGCTCCATATGCTAACCAATTTGTTGAGAAGACTGGACCTGTTGGTTCTTTTGTCAAGGCCAAGTTCCCAACTAGAACTGCTGGTTCTACTGTCAACTCTTCCAAGTACCCTGCTGCTGCTTCATCTGCTTCCGCTACTTCCACTACTACTTCAGCTACTACTACCGGTGCCTCCAAGTTCCCTGATGTTCCTGAATCTCAATTGAAGTCCACTACTGCTGTCAACACCACTGCTCCACTTACAGAACCTAAGGTCGCTATCAACACCACTGCTCCTCTTTCAGAACCCTTGATCCCCGCCAGCAACTCCACCGAGGTCCCTCTTGCAGAACCTAAAATTGTTGACCCAGAACACAAGTCCAAGGCTGATTTGCCTCAACCTACTGAATATTAGGGGCTGATAATTTAACCTAATACAAATTATCTTTCTCTTTGTATTTGGTGTTCTTGAGCATTACTTCTATTCTTTATTGTTATTGATTATTCTTTTGTTTTACAAGTTTTCTTCTCTTAGATGGAAAGAGCTTTCATTTAGTTAATTCCATCAGATTGAATTGAAAGTCTTTTTGATAAAGTGCTAATATCATAGACTGTGTCTATGTAAGCTTAATTGTTGTACCTTTGTTGTATTTTAACTGTTGCATCTTTTAGTTTAATTCAGCCTTATCCCTTATTATTAATTATATTGTCTATTCAGTATCTTCAGGTGTTGGCAATCTCTTAAAACACGCAACAAATTTACTTCCCTTGTTCCGAGTCACTTTTTGACCTTCTTCAGTAGCGTTATACATGATCTCAACACATTTATCCTGTTGCTCCCATTCTTTACTTAACCTCTCAAACATTGGGTGTGCTTCTAGATGCTTAACCATCCACAAATGTAAATCTTCAACATCAGTGATGGTATACACTATTCCACCCTCTCTCAACACATAGGCATATTCCGATAATAAGGTATTGGTGATGATCCGAGCCTTATGCTTTCGTTGTTTGAAATGGGGGTCAGGGAAGCAAAAGAACATCTTTTGAAGCTGGCCCTTATGGAAGAAGTTGGGTATAAATTTCATGGCATTACCTCTTAAAACCGAGATATTTTGGTAACCATTTGTGTGTTGGTTTTGTTCTCTTAAAGCTATGATTCTGTCTTCAACGTATTGAGTAACTTGAACTCTAATCTCCATTCCCAAGATCAATTGTTGGGGAAATTCAGGTGCTAATTTAATCATAAGTCCACCGTATCCACAGCCTATGTCCGCTATCTCCACCTGCGAAGTCATCTCATCGCGTTCTTTATCATAGAATCCAGGGTACATATTCTTCCACTCCATAGAATCAGGAGACGTTGGATAATCAAGACAATGGTCAGAAAAGGGATTTGAATGTGCTCTTTGACGGTAGAACCGTTTTCTGGGAAGTTCTATCTGGTTTTTATTCAGCTCACTGGCACTGATGGGTTCTTCTGATCCAGACTTAGAAATTGATGAATCATCTTGGAAACGAGTGGACTTGGCCTTCTTTCGAGTTTCTTGTTGGATTTCTCGGTAAGCCTTTCTACGAGAGCCAAGCTCGTTGTGTTTTCTCACCTCTGACATGCCGGTAGAGTAAACGGTTAAAGCAGGTGGAATGAAATGAGGTTATTATAGTCTGAAAAATTTTCGAGTACATCACTTCGTGCGACTCCAGCATACGCTTTATTCTGGTTGTATTAAGGGTATATACTAGGTGTATATACAAGTGTATATAATTGTATACAAGTATATAAACAGGTGTTATTGACATTATTGTATTGTTATTCCTTATGTACAGATATCTAATTACAAGAGTTCAGATCTTCTCAGCATCCTCTTCTTCGGGAGACATATCATCTTCCCTTTGCTTCATAGTCAAGTATAATGTAGTAGGAGTAGACTCCAAAGTTCTCACCAAACCAGCACCTCCTAATACGGTCAAGACTCCAACCAATTGGGCTTGTAATTGTTCTTGAGTAGGCAATTCCTTGAATTCGGCAATTTGTTCAGTGGTAAAGACAGACGAATCAACCAGAGCACCAATTAAAAACATCCGTTCTTGTGCACCTTCAAGAATCTTCACCACACTCTTAACCACTGATGGATCAACAGTTGGAATAGTAATTATCCCTGTGGGACCATTTAAAAGCGGAGCTAAGGGATGCTGTTTATCCTTATTATTATGGTATGCTTCTGCAGAAGCAGGATCTTCTTCTTGGCTGTTTCTTAAAAACACATTATAGATACTATTTCTTAAAATATGTAATTTGGCTCCAGCATTGGTTAAATCGGTTCTAAACTTGTGGTTGTCCACTTTATTCAAATGACCGTGATGAACATACAAAATGATTTTGTTTGTTCTGTTCAAATGCGAGTAATAGTCCAAGAGAAACGTCTTTCGTGATAACACTGGTTTGAAAGTGTTTCTATTTTCAACTTGGTAGATTGGACTAGTGGGTGTAGAAGATGATGTAGTTAACGATCTTGATGATGATTGTGAGAACAAAGCAGTTCTGATGGAGCAAAGCGTATTCGAGCCACCTATACGCACTGTACGTGCACCTAACCCGGACACAAGTCCTCTTATCATTTGGAATATGTTATGGTATGATTACAGAGAGTATGCCAGTCCGTCAACAGGCTTGTATGGTCCAAAATTTTCACTGCAAATTTTCGCTGGAATGGTGGGGTAGTGTTGATACCGATAAATACGGATTGGGCTGCAAATGATAATCGTCCCTTTATGGCCCCTATAAGCTCCTACTCGTACGACTCTAGCTTTAGAGATCAATATCCAGTCAACACAGAACCAGACACTCCAAGATATAGGAGCCTCGGTACTGATATCCAATCTCTGCGGAACAGACGTCTTAGATCCCCAGCCACATCACCTCGTAATCTTATTCAACGGTAGCCATAGAATCAAAACCCCATTCAGTACCTCCCTTACACGTTCAACAACAAATTGTCAATAATAACAGAAGAGACGCCCCTATGGCCACCACGAGTCTGTCAAATCAACATTTCCAATACAACTCTACTTGATGCAAGTAACCATTTGTTCAATTGGTGGTAATGCCCTAGGCCTCTGGGAGAAGTGGAAGCTAACCCAAAATCTTCAAACTTTGTCACCACTGCAGAGGCTTACAAAGAGAAAGCACATGAAGATGGCAACGTAAAACTAAACAAACACGGGGTGCATGTCGTCGTTGTGGAACGAGTATTCGTGAAGACCAACTTTTCGGCGTAGTTTTTGAGACACAAGGGTAGTCAGAGTAGCCCAACGTAGTTATATTCATTGTTCCGGGCCATTGGAAGCTCCAATCGTAGCAACCAGCGCACTAGAAGATGTCCAGCTGTGATCTGGTGGGTTTTCTTCAATAAAGGCTGCAGGTGCCAATGGTCATCACAAGTCCGTGTCCAGTCGTATGAGCTACAAGGTATGCATCCGGTGCAGAGAGGATGTTGGGAAACTGCAATCGGTGTGCCAAAGCCATGGATGTTGATGAAACAGGCAAACATAACGTGTGCCATGCTTGCCGAGTTCCAAAGAGGAAGATGCTGGAAGGTGATTCAACTGAGGAGTACTGATTCTAGTCCCAGAGTTTCTATAGACAAATGCATATGCCACGGATGAAACCATATACTGTGTTGGGAAGTAGGAAGTAACAACAGATGGTATTAATCAAGGGTACGTGATTCCACAGTTGAAGATCTACGCAGGTCTCAAGAATACGATCTCAGAATGGTTATGCAAATAGTATTATTACTTATGGTGCATAATAATCTAGCATTGAAGCTATTAAAGACATGGCCATAACTAGTCTTCAAGTACGAGTTATTCCTTGCTATACAGTCTGAGACAATGATGCCTTAAGACATAGGCAACAATTCGCAAGGAAATTGCCCTTGTGTTGCTTTGAACCACGTTCATTTAGCGGGAGTAGAGGTCAGAAGTACCATGAAAGTGCCGAACGTAGTTATATATAATATATGAGGGAAAGGGGTAAAGGGGGTCATTAAGGAACCGTTTAGGCCCGCAAGATACCTCTACCAACTGATATTTGTCTAGGAAAGCTGCTCTGTATTTGAGTTATGCACGACCTGACCCTATTATATAATGATAGTAGAGATGATCTAGCCCATCAAGTACCATCATGTATACATTATTGTACGGTATCTATGAATGATCTTAAGACCAAACGAGATCCGCCTGCACAAGAAGAAACACGGGATCTAAAAAAGGCTCGTGTCCAAGAGATTCCCAAAATCACAGAGTTTCAAATCCAACAGATTGAGCACCATACAAGAACTCTTCAAAAGAGTCTAAAGTATTTGATAGAGAATGCCCCTGATTATCTTCAGTATCAACAGATACTACAAGCGCCCGAGACCGACGATATTGTCAAGTTTTCCATGAGAAAACCACTTTTACATCTTGCCAGTGTGGTCAAATCCAAATGGGAAACCCATGGGCAAGTCGGAGTGCAACAAATTATTGATGGTGATATTGATTTGACCCCAGAGGAAAGAAATGAGCTTTCTAAAGTCTCGTCCAATCAAAAGATGTCCAGTGTTTCTCAAGTCTCTACTTCAGCAGCTGCTCCAAATTATACTACTACCACCCCCATTAGAGGTATGCCTCCATTACCTGAAATCAACGATCCAGATTTACGTCAAAGGGTGTTCATTCACAAGTCAACTTACACCAATAAGCTATATTTGAACCCTGGTGAAATCATCGGTGCACATAATGAACGGTTGGAGTTTTTAGGAGACTCTGTGTTAAATCATTTGGTTACCAAGATGATTTTTGAAAGGTTCCCGGAAGCTTCTGAAGGAGAGCTTTCCAATCTCCGATCGCTGCTTGTTAAGAACTCTGTACTCACTGAGCTTTCTCTTAAATATGGGTTTGACAAGCAATTGAAAAGTACCATAAATGAATCGGACTTGAGAGACGGGAAACAAAAAATATATGCAGATATTTTTGAAGCATACATTGGAGCGTTGGCCCAAGATGGGAAAACTCCAGAGGCTATTCAAGATTGGCTTTCACAATTGATGGAAGGATTGGTTAAGGAATACGAATATTCAACCCAACAGAAAGAACCAATCAATAGAGATGCCAAAACAGAGTTGTATTCTATGATAGGCACGGCTTCCAGTCATCCTATATATGAAGTGGAACAGATGGGAGATGGGTCTAGAATTCCCTTTGTGATCTGCTGTAAGATGGGTGAAGAGATATTAGGTAGAGGAGTGGCTCCTGGGAATAAAGAAGCCGGACTTAGAGCAGCCATGTCAGCATTGAAGAATCGAGATCTTTTGGCCAAGTATAGTCATTTGCGTCTGTTATTAGATCGTGATGCATCTGTTGTCAAGAAGACACAAACAAATGATGTTAACAATACCAACGTCAACAACAGCAAAACTAGTGATAAAGATGGCTTATTTCCTATAACGGCAGACTCCGCTATACCTTTGATAACAGATGCTAAGAACCAGCTTTATCCGTATTTCCAGAGGATTGGTGTGAACCCTGAATATGTGTATTCAAAGGTGGGTGATCACTACATGTGTCAGTTGGTGGTTAAAGGGAAGGTGTACGGGTTGGCATATGCGTTAAGCAAGAAGGTGGCTTCACAACGTGCAGCCTCGATATTTATTGCTGATCAGGGGGCCCTTCATGCTATGTTAGATAGAGCATCATAGTTAGTAGTAGTGTGCACAGACCATGTCATCGTAAATGCACTACTCAATGTAACCATAGATAACCTGGTAAGCAAGCATCAAGCATCAACATACAAGGCATCACGTTATACGATACCCATTAGATACATCCAGATTTATCCCCCTAGTACCACAGTCAACATGGATAAATCACAATTCAGTACATCAACTAAAGAGCCTCCTATATCCAAATACGTTAACCTCAGTCATATCAATAATAGTGGTAGTAGACCAGATCCACCAATACCCTCCACGTCTTCGATGCTAACGTCTTCTAGAGAGCCTTCCATCAACACATTCACTTCGTTTCTGCCCTCAGTGCTTGATCTTCCGGCTATCATCACCGAGAAGGACTTTGGCCATACCACGCAGACATATTCCAATATGCTCCATAAGGCAGCGACCTTGCTGAAGGCATTGGACCAACTCAGTGGTGCTTATGCTGAGTTCGGCAGTGCCTTGGAGAGTACCGTACGCGAGTGCCCCAAGCTCCATCATCTGGGGGCGTTCTCTGAAGGTCTAGTCAATGCTGGAGGTCTTCAATATTTGGTGGGGATAGTGCTGCAGATATCAGGACGAGTACTTCGAGAGTCATTTGAAGAACCTCTTCGAGATTCATTAGGGCAGTTACAAGAGTACTATACCCACCATAGAGCAGATTACCAGACTCAAGTCAAGGAGAAGTCTCAGACTTTGAGAGCCATGGAGTTGGAGAATGTCAAGCTTCTGAAACTGAAGACTCGGAATATCTCAACTTATAAGAACAATTTGGTGAGTTTGACCAACCAATTGGATGATTTGGATCGACTTAAATATGAATACTATCGAGAGGTAAACGAGATGATTGAACGGTTTAATAACGAACAACTACTAGTTAAATGTGGTTCGTTTGTTAGAGCTCAATTGGAGTTACATGAAAGTATAGCGAAAAAGGGTTGGACTGGAGGTGGTCTTGAGGGTTTACTAAACTTATCGCCCGATTTGTTTGAAGTAAAGGCCTCTTATTCTGAAAGTGATGGTATAAATCATGACAACGAACAAAGAAATTATGATCAAGACGAGGATGTGGATGTTGACGAAGTTGATGATGATGATGATGGTGGTGCAGACATTTCGGTACGCACAATCACTGGTATACCATCAACAGATTCATTTCATAATCCAACTGATTCTATTCGAGGTCAATCGCTGGTTATCAATGATACTTCAACTCCAACCTCAGGTCCCAAAGGTGACGATGAAATCAACACTTCAACCACAGCAGATGAATCATTTTCTTTGCCTATAGTTAACCCTACCACCAATCCATTGTTACGACCTTTAGACGGTGTCTGACCCTACATGATGACATTATCCAATGTTTTCTGTGTTTATTAGACTCTATAGACAAGAAGCGTTAAATCTAGTGCTTTTCAAGACCGTTCTTGGCCAACCATTCGGTAACAAACTTTTCTTCTTCAGGGGAAGAAGCATTGATTGATGGGTGCAGAGCCTTCTTTGGGCCCCATGGCTTAGGAACAGTGAAGAAAACAACAGCTCCCAAAGTAGCCAATGACAAGTAGTGGGCAGGGATTTCCTTACCGGCGATCAAGTATGCAGAACCCATGATGTATATGTAATTGCCTATGTGAATAGATGTATATGTATATGTCTAATTTCTATGGTGTTGATAAGTTACAGTTGTGGTTGTATGGGAAAAAAATTTCAAAGTCAAAATGGTACCTCTAATTGGCTAACAAAAGGTCACGTGACACCTTCAACCGGGGTTTAAAACGTATAACTAATGAGAAAACACAATAATCGGTTTAATAATATACTTACGAAGTTAAATATGGATTACTGTTAATGTGGCTTACTAAGGATTATGTTTCAAGTGCTGATCTCATGTAGTACGTATATAACGTTGAGACGTATACTAGTAAGCTTATGCACTAATAGTCCAAAAAGCATTAATAGTATCGACGTCATTTTGGTTGCACGTCTTTCGCAATGTTCTTGTATTACGTGCATTCTTGTGCAGCTGCATTCTTCAATTTGTCTAAACTTATAGCTTGCCTACTTTGGACATGAAGGGAATCTCTTGTAAGTCATTGGAGATAAGAATTATGGTAGCAAAGACCATAGTTAGCAGGCTTAGGTTGAAACTTTCAATTCCATCACAATATCACTTGTATTTCATTGAATTGATTTTTTAGATCGTGAGGCAGCAATTCGCATTGTTGTATTACCTAATTCTTTTAGACGCTGGTGATGGTGGTGTTGCAGTGGTCGTTCAAAAAGAGTTATCTAAGAATAAATAAAGATGATATCGACCAAACATTTACGAGAGAAACTGATGCTATCGCCGAGATTCAATCTCTTAAATCAAAAAGAAACATTACCACACGAGGAAAGTGGCGTCAACGGTTGCGAAACTTGTTTCCAACGCATCGCATATCTCGTATGTCAACTAGTACCACAGCCGACTTTCAAGACGATCACCTGAATCCGACAATTTCTATGCTTTCTTTAGCAGTTGAACAACATCAGGATCAACCTCAACATCAGCTGCACTTGGTAACAGATACAGATATGTCATTGATGCGTGGTCGCCAAAGACGGAATGCATTCCATGCTCATCATCCATTAGTTTGGCAATGGAGACGAACATCAGGTATTCACACCTATTCTGAGGACCGGATCTCCCGTAGTCGAATTCGAAGCAGTATTCGCCTCCTTGGTAAACACGTCCCGCTATTACTGGAAGGATGCGGACCCGGCTCGGAACTCATATCAAAAGATATAGCCAAAGATGTCACAAGTGTCTTGGATACGGCTAGTTCGCCTAGTGCTAATTCATCAGGAACGGATAATAGTCTTTGGTGGTATTTTCAAGTGTGCTGCAAGATGGAGGCAACAACGTCATTGTGCAAGTCTACTAAATGGAATTGGACCCTTCACAAAGTGTGAACCACATCAGACTCAAATAATTTTGAAGAAACCAAGAAACTGATGACAGAGGGCGACTAGGAACAGATAATGTGAAAATGAGGGGAGTGACTTGCAAGTCGCCTACTTTACAAAAAGAAAAATACACTCTATTCCGTTGAAGGGGTGCAGTTTGTGGTAACGGTATAATGTGTTCAATATATAATCCTTATACACGCATTGTATCCCTCAGTTTAATGGGGGAAGGGAGAATTAAGCGCATATCAATACAGTTTACAACAAACTGAATATCCTACAGAATTGTGGAGATTTACTCTCAGTGGGGCTTAGTTGTTCTTGTTACCAAGTAGTGTACGAATGAGAGTGAAAATTCAGTAGTTTGAAGTTCAGTAGTGTGGCGTCGCATACAGAACAAGTGGCAGCAATCTAATTGTAACAATTGAAAACGCAATAGACCGTTGTAACCATTTGGTCACAATTAAACGGCCGAGGAAAGAAACGTCGAAACAGAATTCAATTGATATATCATTTGAGTTCCCACAGGTGAACTTTAATATTCGCATACATATACATGAATAACACACATTCAAATGTATATCCACATTCACATTCACATTCACATACACATACATGTACATATTTAACACATAATTACATTCACATACATAAAAAACGTTACCACACAATTAAAAATATTTCCCTTCCACACAGTCTACTTGTGTCCAGACATCAAATAAAAATACAAAAAAAATAATTACACAATATGTGTGAAAAAAAGATGCACTAACAAATAGAATAGCACGTCGTTTGTTTACCGTTTCTTCTCAATCTGCACGCTGGGCTCCGCATTCTTTTGCTGTTCTCTTTGAATTTTATTTTTTGGTTTTGCTGTAAACAGCTGTGGCGGTTGCGAACGTTTTATGGCCGCCCGATATATGTAGGACGCTTTAAGGTCTTTGGTGCCTCGTAAACAGGCAGGAAAGCCAACAGCCAAAGGGGAAACGACACCATCTAAGATTATATCCGTGTGCATGATCTCCCACGCGGGGCAGCCAGGCAGGAACCAACGCAGGTAAGGCAGGCGTAGTGCGCGCCCGACCTAACAAACTTTAGCTTGGTGCGGCCGGTCAAATGTTTCGTCGACGCCTATATACTACCACGCCAAAAAAAAATAGCCCTGTCCAATTGAGCCATAATATATCAAAGTGGAACTTTGGCTAAACTCCATTTACAATCATCGAAAGTTGCCCATATTGGCTTGGCCATCGGGGACAACAGTACATCATTTGAATTTTCTTTCCCACAGCAAAACTTTTGTTTGGCTTTAGTTTGAGCGATAAGGGATTACTCCATTTAGCATAAGGAATTATATAACATAACTACCTCCGTGAACCACCAAAGTCAAGGTGGCATTTTCTATTTATTCCATTCCATAATGTCGGCCAAGAAACCCGATACTCAAAACACAATGATGTTGGCATACGTCGAAGGCCTATGTAAACGAATACAATCGCTTTTGCCCCATAGAACGGGTTCGTCCATCGTTGAGATTGAATTGAACCCCCATTTCCAAAAGACCAAAGAGATCATATTATCCAACGTGTCGTCGCCCAATTTTGTTTCCCGTTTTTTTGAAGGAATGGCCACCTTAATCAATGGGATATTGAATGAATCTATCTCGTCATCGTTAGCAACAGGAGCATCGACTCCCATGTCTGCTGCACCAACTCCTTCAACTCCATTTGCACCTTCTCATGCGTATGTTCAGAGTCTTCTTACCTCGGGGCAAACGAGATTGGCCGATAGAGACGATAAAACAATTTCCTCCATTGCTATCATTGTAAAGTTAATGAGTGAAGTCATATCGGCCAATTGGGATCGTCATAAGTCTCCTGTTCCCTTTGAACTATGTTTTGATAGTATATCCAGTTACGGGAACTTTCTTCAGTTCTCCCGTCCGTCCCAACTTCATCTGTCAGCAGTCAAAACCATTGTAGAGACTTTATTCAAGCTTTTGTCTCATAGATTCACCTTGGATATCTTGTACGAGGTCACCGGTCGAAAGGATATCCCACATGCCCTTATTAAGGGTATGAATATCGGAACCCATAAAGGTCATAATCACCACCACCAATCTACGTCATCAACGCAAACTAATTTGTCTCATAAGATTTCGGCCAATAGCATGACAGCGTCTTCTACTTTAAAGGATAAGGACAAGGAAACTGCATCCATAGCTCAATCGGTTGTGTCATCAACAGTTACTCCCCAATTCCCAAGCAGTCACCCCTTGGATTCGTCGTCGGCTATCTCCGTCATCTCAGGTGTCCAGGATCCTGCCACGACTACGTCGTCTTCGTCATTACTAAGCAGTCCAATAGTCTCGCCCATAGCAAGGCGAATCGCTCCATCTGCATCAGTATCGGTATCAGCGGCCTCAGCAACAACAGCAGCAGCAGGTACGTCAACAAGAACAAGGCATGTAGGCACATCTTCTACCCCTGCATCAGGAGCACCATCTCACCATGTCCAATCTCGTCATGCCGTGCATCTGAACTCGCCTCTTGAGCAGACCACTTTATTGTCCACTACTGCTGTCACAGAAATGCCAGCCAATCAGGTTCTTTTGAACCAAATTGATGACTACATCGACACCATATTACGGTACGTTTCAGCAGCCAATCCAGAGGACTATTTTCAGTACTTGTGGTCTAAATTATTTGTTCATAGTGAACGAGAGGAAATCATTCCCGTGGTCAATGTTCAGCTTTACACACAACTACTCCGGTTCATGTTCTTTACCAAACCGGTCTTGAAGAAGGTCATTAGAGGCTTGTACACGGCGTTACCCTTTGTGAAGTCAAATACCTGGCGATTGACTATCTTACTATTCTTTACCACTTCGCTACGGGACCAATGCTTCTCCAGACCTCAAGATTACCTTGACTTCGTCAGTGATAAGCTGGACGGAGACTTGGAGACCTCTTTTGTCAACTTGTTTGATTTCGTTTCCTATTTGTTTGAAACCGTTCAACGGAACCTCGCTGGGGTCATGATTCAGACCTGGCTAGTGGTTTTTTGCCCCAAAGATTTGGTGGAGATGGAAGAGAAGAAAAAGCCCAGCAGATTTAAGAAGAACTTCAATAAAAGAGTCAAGTTTTTGCGTCAAATGACTAAAGAAATGGAAACTTTGGATCTGTTGGACCCTGTGCATTCAATGCTTAACGTCATTAATTTAGTAGGGAGATTCCCTCTGACACTGGAGGCTGAAAACCATCCATTAAGTAAGTTTGTTCACACTTATATGATTGAGTTCTTTACTAGTATGACCTTACTCCAAAATTTACCTAATGATAACAGTCTTAGTTCAATCATTGATGATCTCACCGTCAACTTCATGGTGGGCATTCTTCGTCTTTTACCTGATGATGCATTACGTGCAGACTTTATTAAGACTTTCCGAGAGGGTAAGCATTCGCTTCGGATCACTCGATTGACTCTCAAGATCCTTCTTGGTTTAGCAAGCACTTGTCGAGCACATTCCATCCTCAAGGCTCTTGTGCAGCCTTTGATGTTGGAGTTACTGAATCTCATGTTTGGATGCATTAAGATCTTGAACTTGAATAATAAGAGCATGCACAATTATCACCATACAGCGTGTGAACGGTATTGTTTGAATAACCCGAACTTTAACTTTGATTCTGTGGATACCTTTGGAAGCACGTTAGATTCTTATTATGAGGAATTGGTGTCTTATATCAAGCTACATCATAATATTAATAGTATCAATTCGGATACAGCCAGCATTTCAACTTCCTCTACCAGCAAATCCATATTTTCAACCAGAGATAAGCAGCAACCGGAAACAGCCATACATAAAACCACTACTCCTGCTTCACAATTGTCCAATTCTAGAAAGAAATCAGGCTCTCCTTCACTTGAATCTGATCTCAATATGGCAGTGGGTTTGTTTTTCACTGCTGTGTTGAACAATTCAAGAACCAAAGACTCTACAACCATCACCAATGAAGAGCAGAAGGACAAACTCATTATGGAAGTGGAAGAGATCTTCACAAGTCTTTTGGCGCTGTTCATTACATGCCCTAATATTTATTATTACTCTAAAAGACTCATGGGAGAAGGAACTACTCCAGACTATAACGATCCTATCTTAAGAGCAGATATTGACGACTACATTGCAAATAAAGTACTTCCCTTCAAGTTTTCATTGGTTTATCATCCTTTAAGCCCTGTTTCCAAGCTCTTTGAAGTTGCTTTGGCATTGGCATATTCCATAGTGCTGCCCCAATCCTGTGAAACCGTTTACCGATCTCCTGGTGCTTATCTTGCATACTACAGCATCACCAATATCACTATCCAGTCCATAGCAGAAATTTGTTTTAGCATTGATTTGTCCGACTCCAAATTCAAGGATTCTTTCCTCTTTGTGAATCGACTTTTGGAAAGAAGGCAGGCCATAAAGTTGGATAACATGAAGTTTGAAACCTACTTGTACCCTGGTTACACGGATATTTGTCTTTCGGTTGAAAAGGCTATAGTTCTTTCATTGTGCAACAGCGACATTCAATACTACAACTTGTCCAAGACAGCTATGCGAAACCATGGCAAGGAATTGGAGAACTTTGAGGCTCTTGGCTTCCCCGTAAACAAGCTTGACACCTTGGCCGACGTATTTCAAAGTTTGGTTGAGAATGACGCCGTTTTCACAGGGTACGTTTCGCTTCACAAGCGGATCAGACGTCATTTACGTCAAGCTGCGGCCACCACATCGTTGTTTGAAGCCTGGAGCTTGATTTACCACCGTTGGTTGGACGTTTTGGACAATAGAACAACCGTCTTGTCGAACTCCACGGAGGAAGGACTTGTGTTTCGAAACTTTTCAGGGTTCCTTTCGGCTACCTGTGGTAGTTTCCTACTGGAAGAGTTTGCCTTGCAACATCCTGTCAAATACAAAGAAGCCAAAACGCTTATTGGGGATTTCATAGATCGGTGCATTCAAATGTTAACCAGTTCGGACTTGGTCATCCGGGTGGTGATGAAAGATGCCTTGGCTACGGAGTCTCATGCCTTGGTGTATGACATGATTTGCAAGAAGTTGACCAATTTCTGTGAACAATACCTCAATGCAGCCGTTGTCAATGATGAAATCGTTCTTTTTACCGAACAAACTTTGGTTATTCTTACCAATTTTGTCACCAACAAGAACTTGGGCTCCTTCTACGTGCTTGCGCTTTACAATACAGTGTTGTCGTATCTTGTCAAGTTTGTTGCGCTCATTGATCTGATCCAAGATGCTGCCAGAATCAAGCTTCGGTTCTGTAAGTTGATCCACGCCTTAGAAAGCGGGAGAGACGAGTTGGCCATGAACGGGCTCTTGAAAACCAGAAGCTACTTTGTCAAATATGTATGTGAATGGCTAGAGAATGGAGTATTTTACGATGAGCTTTCCTCTTCTTCTTCATCTCCCGTGGGGGGGATGCTCGCCAGTTCGTCTGTCTCTATACAATCGACAGCCACGACCTCAAGCAGTAAGAACGACTCGAGTGGTCTGGCGACCAGCATTCATTCTGCTGGGTCGACCTCTACTCCCATGGCTGCGCTGACCATTCAGTCCAAGTTTAAGGACTCGGAAATTGTTTATTTAAGCATCGATGTCGCCAACGAATGCGTCAAGACTTTGACAGTCATTCTGGAGAGATTGATCTTGGAAGTGCCCGAAAATACCTCCGATAAGGACATGAAGAAGTACAAAGACTTTGCCTTTGGTAATTACTTTTCTCTTTTCTACAAGATCCTCCAGAAGTACACCGCTACGGATTTAAGTCCCACGTTGATGCGATCCAAGTACAAGATCAACCAAATCATCGACAACGTGCTCAAGTGCATCTCCAACATGTTGCAGACCAATGGAGACATTGGAATGCAGTTTGTGTTGCCCTTGGGTTACCATGAAAACACTCGAATCAGATCCATTTTTCTTAATGTGTTTGCCCAGAACATCAACAACCGAATGAGTGTGGCTGACGACGGAGCGTCGTACGACGGAGTCTTTGAGAAGTTGGGCAACATCGTGGACATCATGGGGTCCGTGGCAGAAGTGGCATCGCCTACAGAACACACTTTACTTGCCTCGTCGTTGTTTGCAGTCTTCAATTATAACCACAAGACCAGCGAGTTGTTGCAGGTGTTGTTGGCTAAGGAAATCAAGTATGTTTCCCGTTCGACCGACATCTTCCGCCGGAACAGTACGTTGACAAGATTGTTGTATATGTTTGCTCGGAACACCGGGACTTCGTATTTGGAGGCCACCGTGAAGCCTTTCATCCAAGAATTGAACTTGAATGACGTTGCTATTGAGATCGAGAAACCGAGAGATTCGTATGTTCCGGATGCCGACTTATTCATGTATTTTGTCACGACTTTGGTGGATAAGATCATTGACTCGATTGATTTAATGCCCGACGTCTTGAAGATTGTGAGTCGCCAGATTTACGTCACGGTGGAAGCCAAATTCCCCGAGGCGGTGTTGATAGCCGTGGGGTCGTTTATCTTTTTGCGGTTCTTATGTCCGGTGATCATCAGTCCTGAGGCTTATTTGGATGGTGTCACCGTCAGCAATCCCAAGGTGAAGAGAACGCTAATGCAACTTGTGAAGATCCTTCAGAACATGGCCAATGGAACGTTGGACTTGTTCAAGTTCCCGGGGTTAATCGATAAGATGGAAGAAATGGACCAATTGAACACCAAAGTGCAGTCGTTTTTGGTTAAGGTTTCATGTGTTGAAAACAACACCAATGATGATACTCAGCATCAGCTTGGGCAGTTACTGGAACTGCTGCAACAGCTGCAAGTCTTGTTCCCTCAAGCAGAGGTGCCAATCGCAGAGTTAAGGTTCTTACACCGTTTCTTCTACACCTACGTTAACTCCATTCGTCGTGAATACATGACGGACGTGGCTCACGTTCAGAAGAGTACTTTCCAAGCCAAGATGCTTTGTTTCAAGAGGTTTGATGATCTTTTATGGGGGTGGGGCCAGCCCCGAGAGTTGTTGAAGTTCCAAATCGCCAATCCATACAAGGCATTTGACCCTAACCAAGGAACGACGCAGGACTTTAACGATTTCATGGCTAAGATGTCTCAGAAATACATTGACACTGCTTTGGATATTCCCTTGGTTCACAATGCCTTCTCTCGTGACGGGACTCCGGTGGTGGTGTGCAATTTGAAACACTTGAAAGACTTCAACTTTGATTGTAAGTTTTTGGTGTACAAAATGTTTGAAACCGCTAGTCAATTTTGGGATAACAAGTTCAACTTGACGTTTGATTTCACTGAGTGCATGCTCACTAACCATTTACTCCAGACTTATACTTCATTGGTTAAACTGTATGCTCCAGCACCATTCTACGTGAATTGTATGAGAGTTAATTACTTCAATGTACCTCGGTCCGTTATTCCTGGACTATTAGTCACTGCCAGTGAGTCTAGAAAGGCTGAGCTTTTTAATAGAATTCATTTCCATTCAGTTTTGGATAACATTGATGTGTTGGAAGACATTTGTATTGAACCTTCTTCCATATCCATTGCTCGAGACATAAGGGTGGAATTCAGAGACGTGCTCTGCTACGAAGTTGGAGGCTCCAACGACACCACTGGTGCCAGCAGAAAGGTGACCATTAACATTGGAAGAACCTGGCTCCGGGTGGGAGACCAAGAGACTATGGACACAAGCATTACGGGAACCGCAAGCTACCATGCTGTTAGTGTGTATCGATTGTCCGAGATCACCAAGTGTGAGATCACCAAGGATAAAGGAAGCGAAGACGAATTCACCGTCTATGTTAACGACGATATTCCCTTAACGTTCAGAAGCAAAGAAAGAGATGAAATCCTCAAGTATTTATACTTTGCGACTTCGAGAATCCCCAAGAAGTTTGGCTCCGATTTCGGGAAAGTCGCCCACAATGGTGAAGATAACGAGTTATGGATAGGAACTCTTGTGAACGTTGCGTTCCACGGGTTATTGGCGAAAACACTGGATGTTCGTAGGGCCTCCCAAGCTTTATTGGCTTCCCTTTTACAATTTTTGGAAGTTGATTTGGGGATGACCATCGACACGGCTCCCAACTTACAGTTCCCTCTTGATGCCACCAATTTTGTGGTGGAAATCTCTAAACTATTAGCCACCAGTCATCCAGAGTTGACGTTTGGGATATTCACGGCGTACTTCCACGACTACGAGAAGTTGCCTCGAGAACTCCGTTTAAGTACCAACTTGTACATTGCTCCATGGATCCAAAACATCTGCAGCGAAATTCTTTTGAAAGACGAAGTCAATGGGCCCGATAAAGTTGCGGAGTTTGCCCGTCAATTCTGTCGAATCACGGCGTTCAACATTGAAAAGCTTTCGGTCATCAAGGAGGTGTTGTGGAAGAAGTTGTTTGCCAATCCTCGGTTGACCATCATCTTGATTGATGAAGTGGTGGCTTTTGCTCTTGATAAGAAGGACAGTGACACCGAATGGACCAGCATCATTTGCGTGATTCCTCCATCGTACGAAACGTGCTCCAAAGTCATCAACAGGTTGATTCACTATGTCCAAAACACAGATAAGGTGGACTCGCCCATAGTGTCACAGAGTAAGTTGATGGAAATCACACTCTTGATTCGAATCTGCAGCTCGTTGTTCTTTGACTCCTATAAGTACGCCCAGTTACATTTTCCAGATGTTTGTTTTATCACCTCGTTGTTCATCGACAGTATTCATGTTGATGTGGGTGCAGACTTACAGGGCCTCTTGATCAATGTGTTGCAATCGTTTGTTCAGAAACCCGGGTTGACCTCGTACGAACTCCAGACCATTAACGAGTCCATTGAGTATTTCAGCAGTCAACGAGCCAAGATGTTCTTTGGTTTGACCACCACCGAAAGCAAGGCTTCCAAAACAGATCCCAACCAGATGTTCAGTAAAGCCAATATGCTAGAAGCCGTTTGTGACCATCTCGACAACTTCATCACTGTATTTCGTACGTGCGACGATCGCTCCGGCTGGAGAGCAAGATGGTGCAGTAATGCTGTGGACGTTGCGTTCAACAGGAACTCCATTTTCCAAAGCAGAGCATTGTTAATCGTGGGAATCATCTCTCGGAACGGCATTGCCGACTCCACAGCGGCCAGATGGTTGAAACTCATCAGCAGCTTGGAAATAAAGAAGTTGGAAACGGCCACCACGGCCACCTTGGCTTCGGCCAGACTCTACAATGGTTTAGAACAGAATTCGGCTTTGGCCTCGGTTCTTGTGTGGCCCTACATGGCCCTAGCATTCATGAACAGTCCAGTATTATACCAACCGGCCATCCAATGTTTCACCACGGTGTTGTGTAATGCCATTGCTGCCGGTGAAGATTACGTCGACAAGATCATTTCTGCCAAACGGTTTTTGGAGCCGCATATTTCCGAGTTTGAGTCGACCAACGGTCTTCAAATCACCGCTAAGAACTTTGGCGTCCATGTGTTTTACGTGATGACCATCGGGTTCAAGTACTCCCACATCAGACCCACCTGTTTGGAGTGTGTCAAGCGGTACTTCACCTTACGGTATCTGTTACGGGAACGGACCCCGGTTTTCGGAGACAACATCCACGACAATTGCGTGGCCTACGTGGTGTTCATCTACTTGTGTCTGAGCAAGAGTGAGTTTGAAGAGTACTGTCACAGCATTGGTCTCAGCAATGAGCTTGTGACGGTGGACGACCGGTTGACGTTACCCAGAGTGGTGACAGACTTTGCGAAGAAGGCCGAACCTTCGTCGTACATGTTGATCTACTTTTCGGCGTTGTGCAAGGGAGACATTGACCCCGTGTTCAAGTTGAAGTTCATTGAGTTCTTCTACTATGTGATGAAGGTGATCCCCAAGGCTGCTCTCTTGGTGTGTCACTTGCTTGAGCCTGTCATGGAGTCGTATTTGGCCAGCACCAGCATCGAGTGTCTTGATATGATCTCAGAGATAATGCTCTTTGTCATCAACAGCAAGGACTACGACCACACCAAGAACGTGGACGAAGTCCAGACGATGTTGGCGTCCCGGAAGGTGTTTGTCATGAGTTCTCCGGCGTTGAGACCATTCAACTATAGAGATATCCGGGTGTATCAAGAGATGATCTACAGAGGGGCCTGTTCGTATGCCGAGGGCAATAGACTAGAGAACTAGAAGATATATATGTATATATATATGTATATATTATTTATACATTTTTTCAAAGTCCTTCCTATATAGTCTAAAGAGTAGCATGGTGGCTCTGGCGTCTTCCACGGACGAATGGGACGCACTTTGAATGTCAAGCTTCAAGAAATGCAGTGAAAGATTCTTAAGACTCGGAGTTCGGCCCTTGCTAATGGCTCGAAACGGTTTAAACCTCGAAGTGTCTCTGATCTTGGACCGAGGATGGGATAAGTATAACGATTCCAAATCGTGATGCACAGCATGTCCCACGAGGATCCGGTTCTGTAGAAGCTCACTGGTCAATCTCTGGGCCTCTTGGAAAGTAATCGCATCTACCATATGCTTGGGTGTAACTCCACTGACCCAAGTTCTCCAATCAGTGACCTTCTCTCTGGGTTTAACGAACTTATCCAAAAGAATATGACCATAGAAGTTCACTATAGACACTCGGGCCAATGCTGACTCTTTACCTTCATGGCCTATACCCACAAACTCACAATCTATGGCTATATATTTACCAATGTCTTTCTTCCGTTCGTCCGAAACATGGGCTGCTATTTTCAAGGACCTTTTAGTGTCCAATTCGAGCTTATCAACGGTGATCTGAGTCTCTTGTGTCCAGAGAGCGTATTCTAATGCAGAAACCGTTCGTATCAATGTCTTTTCAATGGTGGAACTAGGAACGGGGGAAACGGTACCCCTTTTGGCACTCTTCCTGTTGGTCTTCTTGGAGACACTGCCCTTACTGGAGCCTTTACTGGCACCATTGCCCTTATCTATCAGCTTGCTGAGCCGTTTCCAGTTCAGCGATAATCCACTCATGTTTATGCGATGAGATGAGATGCGATGAGATGAGATGCGATGAGATGCCCTGGCAAGTGGAAACAAGGGAACTTGAGCTAAAACAAAGCTGAAACAAATGGACGGGACTTCAAATTAATGTCAATTCAAAGTTTCTGGTGTATGTAAAGAGATAATGTTAAATAATGTGTTTATGTGGAAACAGAATAAGATTTTACTTACTTAATAAATTCGTCCCACCTCGGAATCGAACCGGGTATATTCCGCAAAAAATACCGTATACCATACAGATATATATAACTATGGTACCTCAGTTGGCTGTGGACAACCTATACACTTGCATCACCCATTTCAACTTCTCGATAATCTCTTGACACTCCTTTGAGTTGGACGCCTCAAGATCATATTTCTTCTTCACCAGTGACTCTTTCCCGCCCTCAATAAGCTTGGATACAACGATCTTGAACTGGTTGGGGTTCTTAGCGTTCTTGTAGTGTTTCACCTTTGTTATCTGCGTGATATGGAATGAGCTGGTCTTTAGCATCAGTTCCTTATAGTAATTGTTGTAGTTGTAGTAGTAAAGATGGTGGTGATGGTGGGTGGTGCTGGTGGTAGTAGTACTGTTACTATTATTATTCGAATGGTAGCCTCCACTGGAATTGGAAAACGTATTATTGGTATCTCGAAACGTAATGTCATCAGTTGGTGCAAGATGAACATAATCTCCGTCTATGATTAAAGATTTTTCAATTCGATTCAAAATCGTAGGTTTCTTTCTCCATACTTTCCATTTGAAATAAATGGTATTGATGTTGGGAGGCATCTCCATCGTTGATTTCCCCGTCATGATATCTTGCAAATACTTATTGGCCTTCTCCGTTTCAAACTTGGATTTTGAGGAAGACACCACTTGATGACGTGGTGGTGGTGGTGTCGGCTTGTTGTTGGAAGAGTCCAAGTTGGCTCCACAAACAGGATCAAGAGCCATGCTCAGGAGTTTCTCGTCAAGTGTAGATGGAGTGATTAATGATGTTAGTCCATTGGCAGGCGGTGTTATCATAGAATTAAGTGCCCCGTAATGATTACCATTATTGTCAGCATTGGTACCTTGTGCTGTAGCAGATAATATCATAGAATATGCACTATTGGGAACAATCTCCAAGCTATACGTAGTCAATTTGCTCACCAATTGAGTATCGGATAACACAGGACTGAAATATGATTTGGATAAGGGTTTCGAAAAGTTGGTGGTGGAACCACCACGCAAAAATGGATTGGGTTTAATGGTGGTCTCATCAGCAGTAAAGGTACCATCATCACTGCATTCTCTAAACTTCCATCTTGATGGGTCCATCCCACTAATAAGACAAAACTGTTGCATTAATTGACCCACCGTTATATGACCAGGAATAGTCATTCGGTAATAATCTTGCTGTGTAAAATCATGTGGGACACTCTTCAACGATATTATTATATCTACCGATTCTTGGTCTCTAACATCATTGGATAATGAGACTAATGTAGTTTTGGAACGTGTTTGGAATTCAGCAAGACTCTGCTTAAATTCTGAAGGTAGTGGTGCTATTCTGTTGTTTCTAGCAATTTCCTCTGGGTTTTCTATTTTGCATAACGCTACTTGCTGAGGACAATTGTAAGAAGAAAGTAAACGAGTTCGGTCTAAAATCCCAAAGGAGCCGTAGTTTTCTCCATCTTCATCAACCAATTCTAGCCTCCAGTTATTGGGGTCATAGAACTCAAGATCAGTTACACTCTTGTACTCCTCAGTCTTTAATGTTAAACTCAAAAGAACATATCCAATGCAGTCACTAATAGCAACGTTACTGTTAATATGTAACGCACTTAATGTAGGTGTGGTTTTAGGAGGAAGAAATATATCAAGCTTCACCTTCTTGGTGCCGACCACCAGTACATCATCCAGATCAACAAATCCATAGTAGGATAAGGGATTAGTATGAGACAGTTTATGTCTTGATTTGATCATATTACTCAAATTTGATTGTTTTGAAACGTTACCATCCCTTTCCTTTAGGTCTATCTTTCTGAATAAGTTTTGCTTCTTTTCTTTCCCTATTGTTAGGCCCTTAATGTTACCCAAACTGGATATCCGAGGTATTTTCCCCATGCTATTATTGAATAGTCCTCCTTTAGGTAATGTGTGCTTGGTACTTTGTGCATCAGCAAAACTGCCTCTCTTCTTCTTCCGCTTCTTTGAAAGCTGTCCATAATCAGTGACAGTATGGCCATTAGATCCAAAAATATAACTTTGACTTTTGTTGTATGAAACTGAAAGTAATGAAGTAGAATCAAGCATAGAATTAGAATCGGTGTCTGAAAACGTAGACTCTTCCATTTCGTCATCAAATGCTTCACTTTCGTAACTTTCTCCTTCAATGGCATCGTCATCAATTTCTTCTTCTTCATCATCGTCGTCATCTTCATCGTCTTCATCGTCGTCGTAATCATTTTCATCACCTTCTATAAACTCCTCTCCTTCATAATCTTCAGACACTTCAGAATCAGCCTCCTCATCGTCAAGATAAGTGTCATCTTCATCTAAAAATTGGTCTTCATTTGCATGCATTCCGGAAAGTTTACGTCTTGTTCCTTTATTCTTAATTCTTTCCAACTCCTCTGGATCCAAGTTCTTAACCACATTACCATTCTTACCCACTGCAACTCCAAAATCACTGTCTATAGTTAAGGCATCGGAATTATCTGAATCCAAATAATCCCGAGCCTCTTCTTCAATATGTTCTAAATCCCAGTGTCTCCCTTCAAGAATGTCGTTCCCACTGTTAGTTTCGGTTTCACTATCACTGCCTCCACTCAATTTCTTGCCAATATATTGCCTGAGTTTGGCCATATGCTTCCTCTTATTCTTATCGAATTTAGCAGCAGCATTGTTGTCGCCCACCAGATCAGACGATTCCGGCTTGGAATTCCTCTTTCCACTGGAGCTACGCCGTATCTTTGAACTGTACGTTAAAGATGTAGATCGTCTGGCAGTCGACATGGATGAAAATGAGCTTGTATCGGAAATAGTGGTAATACTAGTACGTCTGGCATTGTCGTCCCGTAGTTTGTTTGTCGCCTTGTCTTTGCTCGGGGTTATAGTGGACGGAGAATGTGGGTTATAATCTTGGGTTTCCGAATTCTCGGACGTAAGATCGTCATCTTCTTCATCTTCATCGTCGTTGTCGTTCTCTTCCTCTTCTTCCATGAGTGTTTCATTCTTTGAAACGTGACTATTAGCATGAACCAGTTTCTCCACTATTCTACTTAGCTTCCGGTTATGTCGCCTTGCACCACCATCGCGGTGATAAGTACGGGTATGACCATCATGTCTTCGACTCCTGGATCTCATGGTTCGAGGAACATCACCATGAGTGTCAGAAGCCAGCTTCTGCATGGTATTCTGGAGATGTCTCGCGACATTGAACGTAATAGGGGGTGAGTATGCCAACTCACTACCACCATGGACGGACTCAGAACCATAGAATACCCTTCGAAGCAAACTGTTGCTGCCATCGGCATCATTTCTTCCTCCTTCAGTCTCTCCATCTCCTAGTAGCAACAATGACGTTCGTATGTGGTCTATAAGGTGACCATTGTCCATTGGGAATGCCATCACTGACTAACAAGACTTATACTGTGTAGGCTGAAGCACTCGCGTTGTTGCAACCCTCAACAATTGGTTTGTCAGCCGCTTTCAATTCACGGACGATTCTGGATTATAAACACTATCCTATGAGCTATAATTGTAAAGGCTTTGGAATTGGCTTGAATGCAAAAGATTGTTACTGTTTGAATTAATAACTGATCCCATGAATTGTGGTGTGCGGGTCAGTATTACGTAGTTTATTACGTAAGCGTATTTAATCAAGGTTGTTCTTTAGGGATTAGAAGTGAATTCAATTGATAGTATATTACATTGTGCTATTAATTATGTATTGTTCTGTAATGTTGGTTGCTTAGAAGATGTGCACATTTGTTGTACTTTATATAGATTACGTCATTACGGATAGCTTGAAAGACATAGATTCCCATATATGGAAATTAGTGTAAACTGGTTTCACTATTATTCGACTCTATTTTCCGTATTAGGAGATTTATGACTCCTAACAAGTTTACAAAGCGAGCATGAGCAAGATCAACCCAAAACCAAAACATGTTGTTCAACTGGATTATCAATAAGCTTCAGCCATAAATTACGGTGGTTAGGAAAGATTCAAAGTTGATTGTCAATTGTTGCAGACAAGTGACATTGCGGAACAACATTCAAGTAAACTCGACTCTCTAACTGATAGTTCGGTTTCCATCCAATAAGATTGTTCCAAGCAAAGCAATAGTACCAAGAAGTCAGTGATAACAGAGGCAGTGCTATTTTTTCTTAAGTAGACAGCATCTTTATTACAAGGGGCAACATCATCATTGGCAGTTACTGGTTCATATAAGGTAACTCTTTAATAAGTAGTAGTAACGTTAAGGATTGCTTGACTGTATTGCTTGGCCAAATAGAACTGGACTAATATACCATCCAAGAACGCTCAAGAGATTTATAAAGAGCATAGTTTAAACACAGCATAAGGTTGTTCATACCCTTCTGGATCTGTTTACTTAGCCTAAGAATACTGTCCATACCATACATGAATTCATCGATGAACTTGTTTGATGTCGGCATTCTCAACTAGTTCTACATCACTTCCACAAGAAGGAGAAAATCATTCGGATTTGGTTGGTTTATACGACATGTATGTTGCAGATTCTGTAGTTGTTAGTGGTAACGGAAGCATGGATACTTTGGACTCCAACCTTGATACTCCAGCAATCATGAAGTCACATCATCATAATAATAATAATAACAACAATGGTTCTAATGCTTCAAGCCACCCACATTCAACTGCTACACTTTATCGTCAAGGCTTGTTTCATAAGGAGGAAATATTGAGATTACCCAAAATGCAAATCCATTCACATGAAAGTTCAAACTTAACTCCAGATAGAATCCATAGTGCTCCAGTTACACCTCAAAGTGTTTCTTCCAGTTCTTTCGACTTCAACCCTCATGTGAACCCAACGGCTCAAACCAATCCAGAATTGAACTTGACTCTTGAGGGGGATAGGACCATTTCAGATGAGTTGAAAGACCATAAACGTCAATTACAAGATAGTGCTACTTCCCGTTTCTCTGCTGCTGCTGCTGCTGCTGGAGGGGCTAGGAGAGGTACAGCTTTAAATCAAGTTACGAATGAAGAAGATGAAGCAATTGATATGGAAGATAACGTACCATCTAGGGAGGGGACGAAGGAAGATTGGGTGGAACGAGGAGCTGCAGTCCGTACGTTAGACGATGATATTGTTATCAAACGCACGGTTCAAGATTTCGTTTTTGGTAAAGAATTGGGTGAAGGTTCATATTCCACAGTGGTACTTGCAACAGATAAGCATACTTCAAAGCAATATGCGGTTAAAATTTTGGATAAACGGCATATCATTAAAGAGAAGAAGGTGAAATACGTAAATATTGAAAAATACGCTCTCAATCGTTTAAGCAACAGAGTTGGAATTATATCTTTATTTTTCACTTTCCAAGATAAACACTCCTTATATTTTGTTTTGGATTATGCTGCTAATGGGGAATTATTATCATTGATCAAAAAATATGGTACTCTTAATGAAGACTGTACCCAATTTTTTGGGGCTCAAATTCTTGATGCTATCAATTATATGCATGAGAATGGTGTTATTCATAGAGATATTAAGCCAGAGAATATTTTATTGGACGATAAAATGAGGATTCAAATCACAGATTTTGGTACAGCCCGTATGCTTGAAAAGGGTGGAGAAGCAGAAAATTACCCTGTTGATGTTAGAGCCAAATCCTTTGTTGGAACTGCTGAATATGTATCACCGGAACTATTGGATAATAAATATTGTGGGAAACCTGGAGATATTTGGGCTTTTGGTTGCATTGTATATCAAATGATTGCTGGTAAACCACCATTTAAGGCCACAAATGAATATCTTACTTTTCAAAAAATTACCAAACTACAATATGCTTTCAGTGCTGGGTTCCCAATAATTATTCGTGACTTGATAAAGAAAATCTTGGTGTTACAACCAAGTAAACGGTTGTCTATTCAACAAATCGAGTCTCATTATTTCTTTCATGATATTGACTTTGATGATTTTGATTCTGTCTGGAACAGACCTCCTCCTGAGTTAGGTCCTTACAAAATGACTGCTAAATCTATGATGAAAGTGCCTGATCTAATGAAATCCTTGTCCCAACCTCAATTGTCAACCCGCAAATCTTGCCAGCCAAAAAAGATTGAAAGAAATGTTAGTGAGTCTGCAAGTTCAAACTCTCACCTTCCAACGTCTTCAGCTTCTAATGGAACTGGGGTCCCTGTGAGTGCAGCATCTGTGGCTGCCTTTGTTTTGAAGAAGGAAAGTGGGAAGACTAGTAGTAATGAAGAACTAGGTGATTTTCATGGAGAGCAACCTAAAACATCATCAAAGTCACAAACACCAACGGGTACTGGTACCGTTAGTACATCAGGACAATCGACTCCTCATCCAGATTATATACCTGGAACCAAGATTCTTAGACCAACGGCCATCTCCCGTCAAAGCTATACTTCACGTACGGGTTCAACAAGGACAAGCAAGAAAGGCTCCTCGTCTTCCATAACATCTTCAAAGCAATCTGTTAGTCGCAAATCACTGGTGATAGAAATTGCACCCATGTCAGTTCTTGATAATGCATGGAAAGATTACTTAAAACATGAAGATGAACGGATCTTGAAAGTGGGTCCAGTTATTGTGTCTAAACAGTACACAGATGTTTTTGAAAGGAAACATAAAGGTTCGTTACATATTTGTTCGTTAGCTTTAGCTCCAAGAGGAGGAAGTACTGTTGGTGGAATTAATGGTAATACCATGATAAGCCAAGTTGTTCATGGATCATCCAGTTTAAGAGGGTCTGGTTTAACAACAACTTCTCAGCCACAACCAGTTTCAGCAACTACCATGGCTTCGTTAGATGATGAGCTTGAATACTTTCGTGATTATTTTGAAGTTGAAAAGCCGGTTCCTGTGAGTCCTACCAGTCCGAAGAACTCTCAGACATCCAATACAGATGATGGGGGTTCAACCAAGTCTCATCGGTCACTTTTCAAGAAGTTATTGAACATTGATAAAGAGAAGGAAAAGGAAAAGCAAAATGAGGATGCTTCTACAACTTCAAGCTGTTCTACTGTGAAGGTTGTGGTTGCCAACTTGTATGATCGTCCTAAAACTTGCACCATGATAATAACAACCCATGGACGGATCATGCTATTGTACAGACTAGAATCTGGAGTGTACCATAAATTAAGTGAGATTCAATTATCACCAGAATTTATTCAGGTCAAGGAGTTGTTAAATTCTGGTGCTGCTTCAAAATTTCATAAGTTATTGCCCACCACGGGCACATTTTCTATTTCAGGTCCAGTATCTTCGTATATTTTTGAAGTGGAGAAATATGAAGTCAACCAATGGACATCAGCATTAGTTAAGGCTAAAACCAATCAAATTGAAAGAAATAAGGAAGAAGCTGTTGCAAAGAAAGAAGAAGATCCAGACCAATTGATTTTAGTTCCTGTCGCACCAGCTACTACACCAACATTAGATCCTAGAAAGCAAGAGAAATTAGACCATACACATAAATCTAATCATGGTATTCCAAAGCAGCAGCAAGATGCTCATCATCATAATCTTCAAAATAATAATAATAGCCATCATGTGAAAAACCAAAATCAAAGTCATCGCCGCCACCAGCATTCAAATTCGGAAGGACATGATGGAAGGCATTCAATGATGGCCGATAGAATCTCACATCATAAGAATACTAAACGGAAGCCTCCCCCTCCAATCAATCAGCGCCAACAACAAGTTAATATGTCTACAGGTTTAGGCATTACCAGCAACAGTAACGATATCAATGGTACATTACATGCTGCTCAGTTGGCAGTATCTCACATCACACCAACTACAGACAACAGACGTTCAAGCTTTACTAAAACAAGCGGTGGTGGGAATGGGCATTCCAGTCCACCAATTGGAACTTCACTGTCAAATACCCCAAACGGTAAGCCAGGAGTGACGGTGATGAACTCCAAGTTTTTGGCTCGAAGCCAACGTAAAAGCAAATAGCTATATATATAACAAGATATACTACATAACTATTAAGACAATTTACAACAGCAGTACCTTAGTTATTTGCACCCAATCGCAGGCGTTCACGTGATGGAGTAGCAAATCTTTACGGTCACGGTGATTCCTCACGTGCTTTCAAAAGCCCTGCCCTACATGATTAACACAAAACCGTCTTTACTATTAGGTGTTACCCGGAACACAGCCGTTGCACACGACCTGAGCGTCTGTTACACAAAGATCGTTTTAGGACACACCGATGCCCCACCAAATCCACAGTTGTATGGCATACGAAAAATTTTCACCCTTGTGAGCAGAATGGCAGACGGTAGTGAAATTTTTTGATACATCTGGCTTTTCTTACAATTCTTTTACACAAGTCATTTATACCTATACAACAAATTAAAGATGGCTAAGTTCATTAAGGCTGGTAAAGTTGGTATGTAGCAACATGTGGAAAGCTATCAGCACGTTAAGAGACACAGCAAGACAGATGAATGGCGAATATCAAACGAACCAACCATTGAATTGAACAATCGAATCATTACGACAAAAAGACGAATCACAGTTAAACAATTTATAATTCCTTTCCTTCCTCCAATTGTTCTGAAATCTATTCAACCCAATTATCTCCAATCAAAGTTTTCATTCTCCCTGATCAATGAGTGGTACAGAAGTTGAACTCCTAGTAATTTTCGTCACATCTTATATGTTAATTGCACTCTTGTTATGCTCCCATTGAAAATTGAAATACTAACGTTTACTTTATAGCTATTGTCGTTCGTGGTAGATACGCCGGTAAGAAGGTTGTCATTGTGAAGCCTCACGATGACGGTACCAAGGCTCACCCATTCCCCCATGCCGTTGTTGTCGGTGTCGAAAGAGCTCCTTTGAAGGTTACCAAGAACTTGGGTGCCAAGAAGACCGCTAAGAGAACCAGAGTTAAGCCATTTGTTAAGTTGGTTAACTACAACCACTTGATGCCTACCAGATACTCCTTTGATGTTGAATCTTTCAAGTCTGCTGTTACTTACGAAGCTTTGGAGGAACCATCTCAAAGAGAAGAAGCCAAGAAGGTTGTTGGTAAGGCCTTGGAAGAAAAGCACAAGGCTGGTAAGAACAAGTGGTTCTTCACCAAGTTGCAATTCTAAACTTACATACCTCCCTTGACGCATCTTTGTTCTATATGTTTACATACACTAATAATCACCAAAAATGATATAAAAACTGGGTTTAAAGTATTTATGTGTATTTTAGAGATATAATTCTATATCTGGGCTATCTGCTATAACTAAGACGTTGTAATCATGTAAATTGTCAAAATTTTTCACTGTAACTGGAAACTAGACACGTGATAACGATCGTTACACAAAAAAGGGATGATATCTCTGACAGTTTAAACTCACAAGTCAATGTCAAAGTCAAAAGCAGGTCATTCTTCTTCCTTCTACGGAACTAACTTCATCTTTAATGGCATCTCTCGAACAAGATCTTTCCAACGTTCACATCTCCAAGAAGGACGATGCAGAACAAGTGGTGACTCCATGGGAAGTTGGTGGAGCAGTTGTTGATGGTAAGGAATTGGAAATTGATTATGATAAATTGGTGAAACAATTTGGTACCAAAGCCATTAATGAGGATACTTTGGCCCGTTTCAGAGCCGTAACTGGATCTGAGCCTCATCCATTCCTTAAAAGAGGTGTTTTTTTCAGTGAAAGAGATTTGACCAAGATCCTTGACATGTATGAACATGGAGAACCCTTCTTCTTATATACTGGAAGAGGTCCACTGAGTGATTCTATGCATTTAGGTCATATGATCCCCTTTATTTTCACCAAATGGTTACAAGAAGTTTTTGACGTTCCATTGGTTGTTGAATTAACTGACGATGAAAAGTTTCTTTTCAAACCCAAATTGACCATCAATGACGTTAAAAAGTTTGCTAAAGATAATTGTAAAGATATCATTGCTGTTGGGTTCAATCCAGAAAATACCTTTATCTTTTCCGATTTAGAATATATGGGAGGTGCATTATATGAGAATGTGGTTCGTATTTCAAGGCAAATCACTACTTCAACTGCTAAGGCAGTTTTTGGATTCCAAGACCTGGATTGTATTGGTAAAATCCATTTTGCCCTGATTCAAATTGCAACTGCTTTCCCATCTTCATTCCCAGATGTTTTAGGATTACCTGAAAAGACTCCATGTTTAATTCCTTGTGCTATTGATCAAGACCCATACTTTAGAGTCTGTAGAGATGTTGCAGATAAGTTGAAGTTTAGTAAACCTGCTTTGATCCATGCTAAGTTCTTCCCTGCATTGCAAGGTGCTACCACTAAGATGTCTGCATCAGATGCCACCACTACTATTTTCATGGGTGATACTCCCAAACAAATTCAAAAGAAAATCAACAAATATGCCTTTTCTGGTGGTAGAACTTCAGTTGAAGAACATAGAAAGTATGGTGGTAATCCAGATGTGGATGTTGCTTATCAATACTTATCGTTCTTCTCTGAAGATGACGAGAAGTTGGCTAACTTAGCTGAATCTTACAGGAAGGGGGACTTATTATCTGGAGAGTTGAAGAAGGAATGTATTGAAGTTTTACAAGAGTTTGTATCTGCATATCAAACCAGAAGAGCTGCCGTTACTGATGAAGTTGTTGATAAGTTTATGAAACCTCATAAATTGGTCTGGGGTAAGAAGGAAAGATTGGTAGCTCCAAAGGAAAGACCAACAAAGAAGAAGCAATAGAATAGATTATAATAATTATAATTATTAGTAGTAAATTTAACTCACTAGTGACTTAACATTGTCTAGCACAAACATCAATTTGCTGAAATCTTCCGGTGTATTCTGATTTCCATCACCAAACCATCGAGATCCAATAGTTAAAATGATATTCTTAGGTTTACCACTGTTATATAACACCATCTTACCGATTTGGGTAGCTACTACTTGCATCTTGACATTCTTCAGATCTCCCATGAGTAACACGGGTTCGACTCCAGGGTCCGTAGCCAGATCGGCTCTTATGATTGGCTGGCCTATCCTTTTGCTTAAAGGTATATCAAAGGTGAAATTCATGGCTCCATCAATGGAAATATTTAGAACCATACGGTTATCAAATTCTATCTTGTGAAACTCAAACTCCCCGTCTCCATCTCCAGAATACTTCTTCTTGATGATCTTAGAAAACGGGATATCATCCATTTTAAAGAGGTAGTGATAATTATCATCACCTTACAAATAACCTTCACAGCAAAACATATTCAGATATGCATTCATTTTATCACGTGATGTATCACGTGGTTCTACTTTGAAACCATTGAGGTCTAACCCCATTAATGCATGATACAATTTGAACTATCATCCATATACATAAACATATATTCAACATTACAATGAGTGAGATTGCAGATAAGACACGTATGTTACTCGTCACATTATGATACGTTCCATTTGGGTTAGTAAGTACTAACCTATCAAAATTGTATAGCGGTGCTAAAGGCATCAGATTTACCAGAAAAGCTTCAAACCGAGGTGTTTGATATCTCCAAGAAAGCCCTTGAAGCCTACAGCATAGAAAAGGATATTTGTGCTTACATTAAAAAGGAATTGGATTCTATGTTGGGACCCACGTGGCATGTGGTTGTGGGTAAAAGTTTTGGAAGTTATGTCACACATGAACAAGGATTCTTTATCTATTTCTATATTGATAAATTAGCGTTTCTTATATTTAAAAGTGGATAAAACAGAGTTTATACTTGACTATGTTGTATAGCAATACATTTAGGAACCTAATTTTTCAGGTTGACCGCTTAATAAAGTGAAAACTGGTGCCTTAAGCTTATCTCTTCCCTTTAAGAAATCCAACTCCATAACAAAGAGGAATTCTACAACCTTACCACCAGATTTCTCTTCAACCAATTCGTAAGCTCCAGTGGCTGAACCACCAGTAGCTAAAATATCATCAACAATAACAACATTGGCCCCCTTAGGAACAACACCTTGTTGCATTTCAAATTTATCACTACCGTATTCCTTTTGGAACTCGGCAACATAAACAGGCCCAGGCAACTTCCCTGGCTTTCTAACAGGAATGAACCCGGCACCAACAGCTAAAGCCAAAGCTGGTCCAAACAAAAAACCTCTGCTTTCTAACCCAACAATGTAGTCGATCTTACGGTCTCCCAAGTGTAACTTAAAGGCATCTATTAACTTTTGAAAGTGCTTGGGGTCAGCGAAAATTGGTAAGAAATCCTCAAAAAGAATCCCCTCCAGAGGGAAGTTGGGAAACTTCTTTAAACACCCTCTCAACTCTTCAGCCAATGTTTGGATCTCTGACATTGTAATACTAATGAGCTTACTCTTACTTTGCTAGAGGTCGAAGTACGTTAATTTTTTTGGTGAGCATCATCTTATCAATTATGGACTGCATGTAGGGATGGATCAACATGGTAGTGAAATAAATATACTGGTTACTTTTGCAGCCTCAATTCATGTCTGATCCTTCTTATTGCTAGTAGTACTGCTTTGGGTGATAGATGTGGATAGCGTGTCCTTGTATAAGGTTGCAGAAACGATAATTAATGTTTAGCACAATTTTATAGAGAAAGTCATGTTTTTACAAGTAAGTTGTCAAGATTACCAGGAAGTGAATGGCTTTCTACGAATATACAGAATATTTCAAGAACAAAAAGCATACAACAAAGCCGCTAATCCATTTGAAAGGCTTGAAGTGAGCATTTGCAACGTAACAAAATCATTATAATAAGCTTAAGAGGTTTATCATGGGACAATGTACCTATTGGATATTGTATGAGATCAGTGGACGTCTCTTAGTACGTCTCGCTTATTAAGAATTGACAAAAATATGCACTCGGTTAATTTGAAGGTATGGTAAGTTGTTACTATTAGTCATAGAGTGCCATTTCAAACATGATCAGATGTTGCTACAAAAGCAGGTATAACTTAATATTTACAATATCACGTGATGCATCACATGACCATAAATTCATTCAAAGTGATCACCCGAAAAATTTTGGAGTTAGTAAGTCAAGCTAAACAAACTGGTATTAATACAACTTCTACTGGTTCAAAGTATTCTTGACCTGTTGGAAGGAAAACTCATCAACCATGTCTGACGAGGAGAAATTGAAACAGGAGGCGATGAATGACTCGCTTTTGAACGATGAACCCACTGCCTATGAAGACAGAGGAGCTAAAAGAGGTTTGGATGTAGATGAAGATGATGATAACAACAATGACAATAATATTAACGCTGGTCGTCCTAAAAACGCATCTACATTGGATGACGAAGAATTAGATGATGGCGAAGATGAAGATGAAGATGAAGAGGATGAAGCTCCAGGTAAAAGAAGAAAGAGAAGAAGAGCCAACCAGTTTATTGATATTGAAGCTGAAGTTGATGATGAAGAAGAAGATGAATTGGACGAAGAAGATGAGGAAGCCGAATTATTAAGAGAACAGTTTATCTCAGATGATAGAGGTGAAATTGGTGATGAAGCCAATAATCAAGATGATCGTTTGCATAGACAATTTGATCGTCGTCGTCAAGAAGCTGAAGATCAAGATGCTGAACAATTGGCAGAAACTTTAAAACAGAGATATAGAAAAACCCATACTGTTTACAGAGGTGACACTGCAGATGGTACTGTATCTCAAAAGTTATTGATGCCTTCCATTAATGATCCTCCAATTTATGCTATTAGAGTTAACCCTGGTCGTGAAAAGGATTTGGTTAGAAAATTGTACGAGAAGAAGAGAACTTTGGCTAGAAAGGGGGTTCCATTGGATATCTTGACCGTATTCCAAAGAGATTCTTTTAAAGGTTATATTTATATTGAAGCTACCAAGCCAGAAGCCATCGAAAGAGCATTAAATGGTGTACCAGGAGTCTACATGAGAAATAGATTATTGGTCCCCGTTGGAGAATATCCTGACTTATTGAAGCAAGTTAAATCTACTGACGTTGAATTGGTACCAGGGATCTACGTTAGACTTACTCGTGGTAAATATAAAGGTGATTTAGCAATTGTGGATAATTTATCTGAAAATGGTTTGGACGTCAGATGTAAGTTGGTACCCAGATTGGATTATGGTAAGAATGATGACTTTGATAAGGATGGAAGAAGAATTAAACTGAAACTAAGACCAATTCCAAGATTATTCAGTGAACAAGAAGCTAGAATGTATGACGGAGAAGGTCTTCAACCTGGAAGAGGTACCCGTACATATTTTTACCGTGGTGATGAATATATTGATGGGTTTTTGTTTAAGGATTTCAAATTACAATTTGTGCAAACAAATGATGTGCATCCTACATTAGAAGAATTGGATAGATTTCAAACTGGTGGTACAGAAGAAGGATTAGATTTGGCTGCTGTTGCAGCATCTATAAAGAACAAAAATGATCCTTCAACATCCAAAAATATCTTTCAAGCCGGTGATAAAGTGGAAATTCGTCGTGGTGAGTTAGCAAGAACAATTGGTAAAGTAACAAGTTGTTCATTGAATGAAGTCTCCATCACTGTTACTGATAGTGGAGATGCTAACTTTGTTAATCAAGCCATCACTGTTCCTGCTTCTGATTTACGGAAAGTTTTCGTTTCTGGTGACCACGTGAGAGTGGTTCAAGGTAAACATGCAGATGAAACCGGGTTGGTGATTAAGACTGATGGAGACAATGTTGTTTTGTTATCTGATCAAACTCAAGAAGATATTCGATTGTTTGCTAACTATTTGATAAAGGCCACTGACTCATATACTGATTCTTTCAACAGTATTTACAGCATTAAAGATATGGTACAATTGAATGCATCAACCGTTGGGGTCATTGTTAAAACAGAAAAGGATATTTTCCAAATTCTTACTTCTGAAGGGAGATTAGTTAAGGTTAAACCTTCAGGAATTGCATCAAAATTGAACTTGAGTAAAAGAGAACAAGCTGCCACAGACAGAAATGGTTCAACCATAAGAGTTGGAGATACTGTCAAGGAAAGCTTGGGTGATAAGAAGAGAGAAGGTTCAATTTTACACATTTATAAGAATGCTCTTTTCATTGAATCTCATGAAATCATTGAAAACTTGGGTATTTTCACCACTAATTGTATCAATGTTACTACAATTTCCACCAAGGATTCGATGGTATCTAGAAGCTTGGGACCAGATTTAAGTAAGATGAACCCCAATTTGAAGATGCAAAATCCTATTGCTGCACTTGGGTTGAGGGCTAAACAAGGAGGTCGTGATAAGTTATTGAGTAAAGATGTTGTTGTTACCGGTGGAAATTATAAAGGTTTGAAGGGTAAAGTTGTTGATGCAGATGATACTTTTGTTCGGATTGAATTACACACCAAAGCTAAGAAGATTAAGGTTGGTAAGAATAATATTAGTGTATTTGTTCGTGGAGAAGCCGTACCATATTTGCGGTTTATTGGGGGAGGTAACTCTGGACCATCATCATCTTCTCGACCAGAAGTTCCAGCTTATAGTTCTTCTGGAAACGGTTCTTCATGGGGAAGTACTGGACAAGGTGGAGGACAAACGTCTGCCTGGGGAGGAGCTACAGCATGGGGAGGTAATGGTGGTGGTGGCCGTACTCCGGCAGTTGGAAATGCTTCAACTTGGGGTGGAGGAAATGCATCCTCTTGGGGAAGAGGAGCTGGAAATGCTTCGACTTGGAATGGAGGTAATGCTTCTACATGGGGAGGTGGAAATGCTTCAGCTTGGGGAGGAGCCAACAACAATAATAATAATAATAATAATAATAATGGCGGAGGTAATTCCAATTGGGGTGGAAATAAAGGAGGTAATTCTGCTTGGGGTGCTTCTGGTTCTGGATCTACGTGGGGCAATGGAAGTGGATCTACATGGGGTAAAGGGGGGAATCGAAGTGCTTGGGGTAAGCAATAAGCATTAAGCAATAATTTAACTAATAATTTACATGCTATCACAACCAGGACAATTATGCAAGGTTTCATGAACAAAGACGTCACAATCAATACAAAAATCATTGGAGCATTTAGGACACCTGTATCTTGAGCTTGTTCTATTCAGCAACTTATCGATGGATTCCAAATCATCAATACCGTTTGGGAAAAGAAGCAAACATCCATAGCAGTATTTACTCTTGTATGATTTTGCAATGGGGACCTCTTTATAAGCAGCCAAAGGTACTAAATGATGATATGAACGGGCCAAATGAGTCGAAAGAATTAACATCAAACCACAGATTGGACAAATGGTAGGTAAATGACATACTTTAGCTGAACATTGAGGACATTGATAACCAATATATGGATTAATCCCGTTACCGTTACTACCACCACCAATACTTCCTCCCCCACCATTGCCTCCACCACCATCCACTAAACTCTTGCCTGGATTATCATTAATTAATAGGTTATTCTTTGAACCTTCAGACCCCTGGGTCGGATGGCATGCACACAATTGAGGCCAATCCAAAGACGTTCTGTTGGTAGTCAATTGGATCTTGGAAGGGAACCCCATCTTTATTAGTGCAACGCCTCTGTTCTGTTTCACTTGCTTTAGACTCTCTTCGATAGTAATAGGTAATGGAATCACACAATCAAGTAGAAGCTCTTTATAGTGTTGTTCGTTCATAATGACTCCATAACACGATGACGTATCGGACGTTAGTTTGTTTGTCCTTCTAACTATCTCTTGACATATGGCCACCTGGGCTGACAAACCTATGATCTTCACCTTAATGTCGTCTTTTATGAGGTTATTAATTGTATGGTGAATGTCGCCTGGATCGCTAGTGAATAAAGCCCCAAACAAAATTAGTATCTCTTTAGAATTCTTTGATGATTCACCACCATTATTATTGGTGGTACTATTATTACCGAAATTATACATCAAAAGTGATCGGGCCATCTCCAACGAATTCTGTAGCGAAGGGTCCCCCTTGGGCTCAAACTTGTTATGCTGTCTCGCCTTAACGTGTCGGATATTATCAAGATGATACTGAGGCGACGAGCTCACCTCACTGATTAATGTCGCGACACCATTTCTCATAAGCACTATACCCATTTGAGATATGGGGTTTTGGTCAAAGAACTCCACTATGAAATCCACCAAATATGTTAATGTCATCAGAAACCGTGTGGGTCGTAAATCCTTCTCCAGCATCGTTTGCGACCCATCAACAATGACAATTAATGTCCTTATGATTCCTCTTTGGAATGAACCACTGGAATTCTTCATGATCTTTTTCTTTCGAGCTTCAATCATCGACTGAATAATACTTTCCAACGACTGCCCTTCGTTATCCTTGACGACATCCCAAGATCTTTGGTACTCGTCTTCCCATGAATACCCGTTAGCTCCTCGAAGATCACTAATGGCTGTAGTAGCCTTGGATTTGGCTCGAGTTCTTTTGGCAATGACTATCTCGTCATCATCATCTTCATCATTGTCCTCATCTTGTAAGTCCTCATCTTCTTCTTCCTGGTTGTTGTCGCTGTCCGATAGCTCCTTTTTGTCGTCTGACAATTCTCCAGGACTACCTGGGGCAACGTACTCTTCATCTGAATCGTCACGAGCCATTGTGTGGTGAATTGAAGAAGATACGGCTATCGGATTGAAATAGGAGGTAGTCAGTTTTCAATGTCGCGGTGATAATCAGTGCACATTTTGTCGTTGTAATTTTGTCTTACTTTTCTCGACCTAAATTCACTCGATAGCATTTGTTCGACCTAGAATTTCCAGCAGTACGATTCATCCTTGGTCAACTTAAATAAGATTAAAGTCGCTTTCAAAACCATTAGAAACAGTCTATTAAGAGTGCTATGATCTACACCTATGTACTAATTCTTTAATGCTTTTTTCTGCGTTTGGGATCTGGTTCCTCTAAGGTGATTATTCTAGACTCAAAGTTAACCTTCCCCATTTCATCAATTCCATAAAACATCAGTGCAAACTGTTTGCATTCAACTTCAGACTTCTTTTTATCATCGCCATAAAGCTTTTGTCGAATAATATTACCAGATTTGCCCTGTATTAATTGCGTTACCGAATACTGTTTACCTTCGACAGGAGTGATTTCTGCGTCGACCGGCTGATTCCAGAATCGAATACGACTTTCGCCGTAGTACTCAATAAATTGATGTCGCAGTAAATATTTATCGTACGCCAAATTTATCGGATAAGCTTTCCGTTCCAAATCTTTGTTTCGTTTTATTTGAGGTTCGGGCGCAGATTCGTTTTCTTGGATATAAAAGTTCCTAAGCAATTGTACTGCTTCCGTACGGAGGATACCTCCATAACTAAGGTATTCCCTATCGGGACCAATATCATCTTTATTCACCAGAAGTACCGTTCCATTACCTCCAAATCTTTCGTTCGCACACCCGAACACCACGCGGTTGATTCCTAATTGTCGTAATGCCAGGGCACACATAATGCACGGTTCAACAGTAACATATACAGTGATGTCATTGAAGACATCCTTTATATACTGTAAATCGTCCCGTTTAGAAAAGGGGATCTTCTCATTCATCACTTGCTCTATAGCCACAAACTCAGCGTGTCGGGTACCATTGAGTGACCCATTGGTATCGTTACTTCCCACAGCGATGACTTTCCCCGTAGTATTTGATACAAATGTACATGCCACCGGAGTTTCTCCTTGAAGTAGTGCACGATATCCAACATATAGTGCTACCACCATATGTTGAAACTCATTGGTAAGATCATCGGCGGACATTACGGGAAATTACCATTACCGTTTAGTTAATGTATGAAGACGAGATTTTTCACTATATACTTTAGGATTTTGTGTAATGATATCAAACCCGTAGTGTATACAAGACTGTAGCATACCTACCCATGATACCAGACATGATAACAATTACTTGATATATGGGAATGATGAAGTGGAATATACATTGAAATACTATTTCTACCATTATGTATGACTCTTCTCGGGTAAACAGAACTTTCAATGCAACATAATTATCTTTCATTGAAAATATGAATAATGCTCCCAATTTTTCAATACATTCCACCAAATCCCACCAAATCCCACCAGAATTCATACCAAAAACAAAAAAATAAATAGGGAGAAGCAGTATAATATGGAACCAGCCCGATCAGACCTCCATTAACTTTATAAGAGATACAGTATCATTCAACAAGCATATCATACTACTGTACTACCCCATAATCCGCGCTACCATGTACTTAGTGCCTGTACCGATTACTAAATAGTATAACAATCATCAATTAAAATATTAACTCTTCATTCATATAGATATACATTGTTATGGAAAATACGCAATGTCTGACCTTCACAATCGGCTCCTCAGGCGCATAAAAGAACACGAACAAGCCATTGGAGTGTCACTGGTATTGGGAGAAGATCTGTTGGACAATTCGTCGTTGTTAGCTGCTCCGCCAACTCCTGCTTGTGCTGGTCCACCAGTAGTACCAGACTTTGATCAACAGCACTATAAAGAGATCACTTTTAAATACAGAGACGTTTATCTCATTAACGGGGTATCGATCCAAACGTATTATTTGCCTTCTAATAAACCCACCAGTCCTATATTTATGTGTCATCATGGAGCTGGATCTTCAGCTATGACATTTGCCAAATTGGCCGAACAGCTACATCAACATGACATTGGAGTTTTCATGTTTGATTTCCGAGGCCATGGCCATTCGTCTAATGCAGCAGATGCGTCTATTGAAGCATGCGTTGAAGATTTCAAAGGTGTATATGATAAGTTTATGCAACTCCATTTCCAAGAGTCGTCAAGTAATTCTATATATTTATTGGGTCATTCATTAGGCGGAGCAGTACTAACCAAGTTCATGGTCAAGTATTATCAGATCATGCCAAACATTAAGGGCTTAATAATGTTAGATATAGTAGAAGAAACCGCAGTTAAAGCTCTAGATAGTATGCCCAAGTTCCTAGAAAGAAGACCAACTAGATTTGACTCTATTCAAAGAGCTATAGATTGGCATATTAAAGAACTGCATCTATTAAACAATGAAGATTCGGCCAAATTAAGTGTTCCTGATCTTCTAATAAAGGAGGATGGTAGAGGTGGTTGTTATACTTGGAGAGCTAATCTAATGGATACTCAACAATATTGGGAAGAATGGTTTAAAGGATTATCTGATAATTTTGTCAATTGCAAAGGAGTTGCTAAGCTTTTGATCTTGGCAGGCCATGAAACTTTGGATACAAACTTAATTATTGGCCAAATGCAAGGGAAATATCAACTAATTGTCTTCAATAATAATGTTAGAACAGGCCATTTTGTACAAGAGGATATTCCACAGCAAATAGCACTAAGTTTGGTTGATTTTGTTAGAAGAAATGATTGTCCCAATGATTATATGAAGAATGAATTAGGAATTATTCCAAAATGGGGTGGGAAAGTTCATACTTAGAAATTCAATCAACACTCAAGTTACTCTCCGCAATCTTCTTTTCCCGTTCACTGATAATCTTAACCACTTGGTCTATTTTTTTGGATGCATGAGGGAACCTAGGATTAATCAAAAATGGTCTCAAGTCAAATCTGTTATCATCAGGTGAATATTGTTCAGCATGATAGGCAGGCGTCATAGTGGTCATCTTATGTCTATTAATGGCATAAAAGAACCAAAACCGTTTAACCTTTTCTGCAACTTGTTCAGCAGTTAATGAATAAGGCGGTTGAGACCATTCATGATATAATTTGATAAACATGGAATAAGGCCCACATTTTTCAACTTTTCTTAATCTTCCAAATCTTGATAATTCATCATAAGTCATTCCCATATCTACTTCATCTGATTGAACATAATTCTCAGTGATTGGTTCCAATTCAGCAGTTGGGGTTGCGGTTAAGAATTCATTCAAAATTGGTAATTCAAAGTTGATTTCTGCCCAAGCGATGAACCTTTTCAAATCAGTTTTAGAAATTCCTCCAATAGGATTAATATCAGCGGAAGAACAATCATATTTGGTCAAATATCCTCTTAAGCATTCATCAACATTAGCACTCCCTAGCACCAACAATCCTCCAGAAATACGTCTTGTCCAAGGTAACAATTGAGCAAACAAATAAGCCAAAACCATTCTTAAACGTGCCTGAATGTTTTGTAAAGCCAAGTTTTCGGTTTGAGAACCTCCAAAGATCTTAAAGATGGGTTTCTTCCCGGTTGCTACTTCAAATACATTAACCACAGCAGTAACAAGGGTATCCATATTCATATCAACATGGAAAGATCCGATTTTAGTGGCCAATTCCTTAGCTCTATATCTTGTTTCTTTAGAGGAATTAACTGTACCCATGAAGCTTGTATAGAAGAGTTTTGAAGCAATTTCTTGAGGAGTTTGAGGAATAAAAGTATTATCATGAACCAAAGTTTGGATATCTTCCAAAACTTGCTTATCACCGTTTCGAACTGCTTCAACTACCAATAGACACATCAGGTGAACAATTGTGGCAGTAGCACAAGAATCAATACCTCCACTTAAGGGAAGGAAATAACCAGCACATTTAGATCTCCGCAAATAATCCCATAACCAACAAGCAGGACCAAGAGCAATCTCTTCCTCTGGAAGATGGTATTTGACTTCTTGTTCCAATGTAGGTCTAATTGTTGGATCAAAAACATGAGAAGAAGGTGCCAATTCAATATCAGTTTCAATAGTATGATAAACTTCTTCAGTCAAGACTGCTTGCATTGAAGCTGATTTTTGATTTCTATAAGATCTTACATCATCAAGATCAATTGTAGCTGTAAGGACTTCAATGTCTTTCAATGAAAACTGTGAACCCTGAGCCAACATTTTACCGTTAAGTACAATGGATGCACACCCATCATAATAAAGTCTATCACCATCACAACCCTTTTGATTAGCATAAAGATATACACCTCCACATTTAGTGGTTGCTTCGGTAATCAATTTCATTCTAGTGTTCAACTTTCTTAATTCATGATGGGATCCAGAACTATTGGTAAAGATTTCAACTCCATCTAAAGCCATTGCTATATGAGGACTTTGAGGAGTGAAAAGCTCCTCACAGGTTTCAAACCCTAATTTGGTTTCTCTGGTTTGAATTACGCAGTCACCAAAGATAACTTTATTCTGACCACTGATCTTGATGATCTTTGAAGGTAAATGGAACTCTTCAAAATACTTTGGTCGATTCCAGGGAGTGAAATACCTCATTTCACGATAGTTGCCATCATTGGCCAAATACAACTTAGGACGTATCAATAAGATTTTACCATTATAAGAAATGATCCGACAATTGTACTTAATTGACTTATGGATTATGGGCATTCCAATATCTAAAACAATTCCTTGGGTCCGTGGATCGCTTAAGATCTCACTATAAATTTCCCATGATTGATCATAAACATCATTTTCGAGGAAATGATCAAGACATCCGTATCCACATACTTCCAATTCAGGTCCAACTCTTAACTTTGCGCCTTTTGATTTGGCAATCTCAATTGACCCTATGATCCGATCTCTGTTGCCTTCAAAGTCCAATGCCCATTGGTTGAGATTGCATGTAGCCACAGTAATCAAATGAGCCATGATTGTAACACCTTTAGCAGTGGAATAGATTATGCTGTACGTTATCAGCCTTGATATAATTTCTCCTTATACTTTTCTTCGGACGGTATATAGACTAAGGATCTGAGATATTGCTGACGTAATGAAGAGTAATAAATTGCCTAAATAGGATGCTTGATCTTACGTCCTCAAATTTACAGTATGTTCCCTCTTGAATTGAAACATCACCACGTATTTGCATATAGTTTGGCTAATACTCATGAAAAAAGTTCACTTACTAGCACACCACTGATTTGCGGTACCCCTTACACAGCATTGGCGTTATAGGTGTTACGATTTCATTGGTAAGTTGAAGACATTTTTAGAAGCCAATGACAATAATGACAATTGTTTTAAATGTAGATGGAAATTGAAAGAAGTAATTGAAACTACTATTATCAGCCATGCACGTTGATAATGTCTATATGGAAACACCTATAGACGCCTCTTACAACTATTGCAACATTCAAGCTTGTGACCAAACTTCCAAAGGTGGTAAGCAATCAGATTACGTTTTTTTCTGTCGGGGATGTAATCGATGTAAAAAATTAATCACTACAAGAAGTATGCTCTATGGGATTAGATTTGAATCCTACCTCATCTTACTTTAATGTTATAGATAGCTCTAGTATTTGCGGAGAGATGCAAGAGACAGGAACGATATGATATAGAGTGAGTCAGGTTTTCGATTGATATCTGTACATTTATTGTAGTTGTGATACTTGAAAACGCCTTAGAATTCACTTATAATCACAGCTGTAGAAAATGTACCAGAGAATGTATTACTATGATAACTATATATCATGAAACATTTACATGTGTATGTATTAGGCTGCGAAAACGTCTACGTTATTTATAATGCAGAAAATGAATTATAAAAAGTATAATAAAAGTATGTGATACCCAGTAGGTTGCACTACGCCATCTGATTAGCTTGGTCCTCTGAACTATAATTAACTTAACTGTTCCTTACAATATAAGTAAACCCAAAACATATATTTTCAAACACACTATACACTAAACAGCAAACGCAACTATTAATATCATCAGGCAGAGACATTGACTGGATCAAGTCCACTGGCAATGTTGCATTGATGCATTAATCTTCTTTCATCTTTGTTACCAGCTCCTACACCTTTAAACTCTCCTGTAACTGAATGCCAAACCCCTCTATTGAAGAAAATAACCAAGTCTCCTTCTTGCCAGCCATGAGCTAAAACATGTTGTGGAGAAATAGCAGGTCTCATTAGCGAATGAACCTTTTCTCTTGATTCCTTCAAGTCTAAAGTTTTAACAGATCCATCAGGTTGCTTGGTGTGTAATTTATATAAACAACATCCATGAACTTGTAAATGAGGTTCCTTAGTAGTTGGGTTTGTCCAAACCATTGGTAACTTTTTGACTTTGGATTCTTCCCATTCAGGTAATTGATCAAAGGGGGTTTCTTTCCCCTCAGTGACCATAGTTAACCCATCAGAAGTAGCCTTAGCAGGTCCAATAAAGATATAAGGATGTGGAGCATATTCAACAGTAGTGTTCAAGGCAAATTGCTTATCTTCATCCAGCAATAATTCAAATGCCTTCGCACCACTAACAAAACAGGTTGCACCTCTGGTCAATTCCAATTGGTCACCACTACCATCATTATAATCAATGGTTTGAGTACTAGTACTAGGTGGCACTCTAATACCCAACAACGTGGTGACCATTGGGGGGGACAATCCATATAAGGCAGAGTCAATGTGCCATCTATAGAATCTGGTTTTATTTTGTACCTTAATCTCTTCCTCACTCAACACATCCTTATGGAATGTTGTATGCGATGGATGAGTTAAAGAAATGGTCTCACCATTTTCATTACCGGGTTCATCAGCTTCAAAGACCCCTTGACCCAAGATTTGAACCTGGGGTTGAGATTTGACAGAAGTACCATCCTTTCTAAGAACTGATTGTTCATGTCTAAACTCCTTACCATGACCATATCCGCCTAAACCACCATCAGCCTTTGGTTCAGGAATACTGGGATCAAATCTTTTGGTTAACAAATATTGAGACTTGGGTAATAACTCCTTTTGACCAGGAATAACAACAACCAAATGAGTTTGAACAGCAGCCTTCAATGTGGTGAAATCATCTTCATTCAAGTTGGCTGGATCATTATTGGCGTAGTCAGGTAACGTAACAGTACAACCTAAAGCTTTACCTTCCAAAGGTGTAACAGTAATTTCTTCTCTATGCATGTTTGAAATTGATTGCTAAAATGTTAGTGGAATAAACAACGAGAAGAATTGAATGAAATTTATTGGACATTGCCTGGGTTTATATCCGTTTCTGTTGCTGGGGGGTTGTTATCAGTCTTATCAAGCGAGGCACGTGACCAGCTGGATTCCGCGGTGTGTTCCGTCGGAGAACCCGTCGGAACGGCATCATCCTTTCGGTCCTCTCCATAGTTACATGCTGACGTAAGGCAGCAACTGCAAGCATCCGTCGTGTATATGACATAGTATTACATAATAATTGTACTATAATATCACAGTCATATGATAGGGTGTATCAGAAGTATTACAATGTATATTACTATATTATGATTGTTATAATGTATAGTAATCCTTTTGCAAGTACATCCATGTACTACCAACAGTACTAACAATGGCAGGTCCGAGCAATCCCTTATCCATTTTGCAAGTACCATAAATCAACCATTCACTAAAGAAATGTCCAAATGCTACTAAGAAAGTGCACTGACATAACTCATAGATTTGGGCATTCTGTAAATAGAATGCCCCATATAATCTGACAACAGCGGTTAAAATAGTCCAGGTTCCAAATGTACGAGCACTCAAATTACTCACTTGACCAATTGGTGCCTTCAGATAGACTTTCTTGGTCATCTTTAAGTCTGGGGAAAGGTAAGTTTGAACAGTGTTGAAAACAGACACCGCACCAATGAAGTAAAGAAAGTATGGGAGTGTACCTGCTTTCTCAGGATGAGGCAAAATCGAAGGAATTGAGAGCATTATGGTATAAATTGTCAATAGAAGGTGTACTGTTGTTGTTAAAGGAGATTCTTAAGTTGAAGGTTTTATACGAGAGTACGAGTACTTATCCAGATTGGTAGCGCGCACAATGTCCAATGGTAGCGCCAATGGGCCTGAACAGGAACCTAATCTTATTTATCTGCTACCTCTCTTCATTGACTAATTTATTCTTAAAATATAATTTAATACATAATAGAGATTATAATGATCAATAGTTTTTCTCATTTATACGACTTTCTTTGGATAAAAACATAAAATAATAACGGGTGTTCTTGATGAAAGAATGATCAACATGAAAATGCAAAAGGCGTCCAGTATCTGCTAATGAGCAGTTGGATCTTGTTGTTTCAATACTTCAACAGCAGGTCCTAATAATCTTGAAAAACCGGATTTACCTAAAGTAGCCACGATTACATTATCCACAGCTTCAACTGTTGCAGCTCTTGGCTTATCATTTAATAATGCCAATTCACCAAAATAATCTCCTTTACCCAATTTAGCAACTACTCCTTCACCTTCCTTGATAACATTACAGTTACCACTTTCAATAAAATAAAAGTTTTCACCTTGTTGACCTTCTTTAACTATTTGATCACCTTTATGGAAGATTTCTGAAGATAATGCATCAGCTAATTTGGATCTTTCAGTATTTGAAAGAACCTTCAATATTGGAACATCTTTTAAGAAATCTTCATACATCAATCTACGATTAAACGTACCCTCCAAAATAATATGACGGAATGTAGATCTGTCCAAAGCCCAACATGTAACATTAGAAGTAGCCACAACAGTTGCAGCTCTTGGTGAATTATACATCAAAGCCAATTCACCAAATGATGCACCTTCACCAGCTGAAGAAACCATGGTTCCATTGACATAAAAGTCCACAGTACCACTTTCAATAATATAAAAGTAATCTCCTTCATCACCTTGTTTAATGATTTCAGAGTCTTTAGCAAAGAGTTTCTTGGTTAATGCAGCAACCACCGTCTTTTTGGAATTGGCATCCAATTGTCTAAATAAAAAGTTAGAAGCCAAATTCCCAGCCAATTCTTCTCTTTGTTCTGGTGTTAAATCATTCACAGGAGGTTTCCAATCTGAAGATTTGAAAATATTGGGGTTGATCGTTTCTGCAGAAACAGAAGTTCTTCTGTTGGCATTAAATGCAATGGGGAACTTTGGAGCGAATTTGAATCCACTTGCAGCCTTATTGGAGAAGGAAGAGAATGCAGAAGATGAAGTATTCTTAGAAGAACCAGTTTCAGTTGTTGGATCATTGGGATCAGGGGCGTCTTGGACATGTTTAGCAGAAGTTTTACCAACGTTATAAGATTTGAACAAGTTTGCTGATGAATCTGGAGCATTTGGTTCAGCTGCTGTAATTGCACTACCAGGAGCGGGAGCACCACCTAATGGATCATCATGATGATTGGCATGTGGATCATTGTCGGAAAAGGGGGACTTGAAAGAAGGTTGCTTTGTTAAGGAAGATAATAATCTTGAAGCAGCATTTGAAGAGTTGACAGAAACCGCAGGAAATAAGTTTATACCTGCAGCTTGAGCTTTAGCTTCTTGTTGCCATAGATGACATCTCTGTAATTCTAATTTTGAGTTGAAATAATTGGCACAGAACTGCAATACATCCGTGGGGTTATGAGTGGCCAATTCTTGTTGCAAGAGATCCAATTCCCGAGCGTAGGCTGGAGTCAGGGATGAATCAGTCATTAAAGGGAGAGCGTGATTGGTAAGGGTAGATATAAAGTATAAGGGGACCGATATCAATTAACACACAACACAATTGATCAATCTCAAGGTTAAATCCAATATAAAATGTACACCTAATGTTTCGTGTATACAACTGATTCTGTTGAAGATAGCTTGAAGAAGATAAGGGATAAGATTTAATTTGAGTTCACGTTGAGCGAACGAACAAGCTCGGAAAAAATCTCCAGTTAGATTTGGACCCGTCAACGACTTTGGAAATGGACAATTTTGCGGGGAGGAACAGTGTGCGGTTACAGAGTACCACAGAGTGTAGTATAGTATATTGAGAGATGTCGTATTAACTACAGTTAGGCACTGATGTGCAGTGTATTGATTGTATGAGATGAGTCTCTTTGTCTTGTACTGTGTAAGTATTGGTAGGTGGGAGGAAAGGCGTAGACGAAGGTCCACCATAACAAAATGTCGTGCTCCCCCAAGAAAAAAATGTCGTCATAATTAAGGATTACTATGGATGATTATGGTTATGGTGATAACAATCAATGTAGTCCTAGTTATCATGAAGAATAATGCATTAGAGACATGTTTATGCTTGTTATTACACTCCCCATTGTATCGCAGTGTATTCCAGTATTGCAGTATTCATCTCAAGTATGTGGCACGGCTCATGGAGTATCAACTCAGGTCCGCACTAGTACTCTTAAGTAGTGATATCATAGTGTCTGCTGCTCGCAGAGTGTGCTACTCTCAATAATATCTGCTTGGTTCGGAATCTTTCTTTGCCTATTTGGGAAAGGCCAATTCCGACTTACAAGAAAGTTCGATTGTGTTCCACAACGACTATCTTCATTTGGGCTGACGTGTTCAATTAATCTATTCCCCATTGCCTATTCAGGCAGGTGATTACGTAATCACAATAGGGATGATTACTTAACGTAACCCGGTATTTTAATGTTACGCCACGGTGGCGCGACATCTCTAACGACATAGTAGGCTGGTAAGCAAGAGCTAGCAATCAAGACAACGTAAAGTAGAATGCCCGGCCAATACTTATAGATCACATACATACAGCCTTATAACCACCATACTACGTATCATCCGTATCAACACCAAATTCAACGACATTAATCAAATCTAGATCCAAAAAAATGCGTAATACATCAAAAGGTCACCGACTGCAAATCCGGTATATACGCCAGATCACTTAAGGTATACGTACCAATTCTGTTCGCAAATATATAAAGACAAGTTGTCCGCGTTTTTTCAGAAACCTACCGCCGTCGAGTCTTCTTTTCATCTTTTGCAACACTGGCATTGAATATTTTTGGTGTATATTAAGTTATTGCTACGTGAAGCATTTAACTTGAGCAATTAGGTCCAGTGCAATAACCTCGGTACTTAGTTCTAAATTTTGATTTTATATTTTTCTGTTGGAAAATTTTTTTAAACCTAACGTTGTTCATAGTCGTATAATTATAATTACAATATATCAAACATGGCTAGAAGGTTCCAAGGAGCATTGCCAGGAATGGCAATTGTTTACCTTCTTTTATTGGTTGTGATACCATTTTTCACTTCGTCGATGGGTCCAGGTCGTTCTCAATGGTTAGCTCGTGCTGCTGATTCTGATGAAGAAAAGGAAAACTATGGTACTGTGATTGGTATTGATTTAGGTACTACTTATTCTTGTGTTGGTGTTATGAAGAATGGTAAGGTTGAAATCTTGGCCAATGATCAAGGTAACAGAATCACTCCTTCTTATGTGGCTTTCACGGGTGATGAAAGATTGGTAGGTGATGCTGCTAAGAACCAGGCTTCTTCAAATGTTAACAATACTGTTTTCGATATTAAACGTATTGTTGGTTTGAAATATGATGACAAGACAGTTCATAAGGAATTGAAACATTTGCCTTACAAAATTGAAAAAAAGAACGGTAAACCAATTGTTAAGGTTGACTACTTGGGTGAAGAAAAACTGTTCACCCCAGAAGAAATTTCTTCTATGGTTTTAGGTAAAATGAAGCAAATTGCTGAAGAATACTTGGGTAAGAAGGTTACTCATGCTGTTGTCACTGTTCCTGCTTACTTTAATGATGCTCAACGTCAAGCTACTAAAGATGCTGCCGTTATTGCAGGTTTGAATGTTTTAAGAATTGTCAATGAACCAACCGCCGCTGCCATTGCTTACGGGTTGGATAAGACTGATGGTGAAAAGCAAATCATTGTTTATGATTTGGGTGGAGGTACCTTTGATGTTTCCTTGTTATCCATTGAAGGTGGGTTCTTTGAAGTTTTGGCTACTTCTGGTGATACTCACTTGGGTGGTGAAGATTTCGATTTCAAGATTGTTAGATACTTGACCAAGATTTTCAAGAAGAAGCATGGTATTGATATCCTGAATAACCCAAGAGCTATTTCCAAATTGAAGAGAGAAGCTGAAAAGGCAAAGAGAACTTTATCTTCTCAAATGACTGCCCGTATCGAAATTGATTCATTTGTTGATGGAATTGATTTCAGTGAAACCCTTTCCAGAGCCAAGTTTGAAGAATTGAACATGGATGCCTTTAAGAGAACTTTGAAGCCAGTTGAATCTGTTTTGAAGGATGCTGGTGTCAAGAAGTCTGAAATTGACGATATTGTTTTGGTGGGTGGTTCTACTAGAATCCCCAAGATTCAACAATTGATTGAAGATTACTTTGATGGTAAGAAGGCTTCTAAGGGTATTAATCCCGATGAAGCTGTTGCCTATGGTGCTGCTGTTCAAGCAGGTGTTCTTTCTGGTGAAGATGGTGTTGATGACATTGTCTTGTTGGATGTTAACCCATTAACTTTAGGTATTGAAACTGCTGGTGGTGTTATGACTACTTTAATCAAGAGAAACACTGCAATTCCAACCAAAAAGTCTCAAATCTTTTCTACTGCTGCTGATAACCAACCAACGGTTTTAATTCAAGTTTATGAAGGTGAAAGAGCCATGGCTAAGGATAACAACCGTTTGGGTAAATTCGAATTAACTGGTATTCCACCAGCACCACGTGGTGTTCCACAAATAGAGGTTACCTTTTCATTGGATGCCAATGGTATCTTGAAGGTTGAAGCTCAAGACAAAGGTACTGGTAAATCTAATTCTATCACTATTACCAATGATAAGGGTAGATTATCCAAGGAAGAAATTGATCGTATGGTTGAAGAAGCTGAAAAGTATGCAGCTCAAGATGCCGAAATCAAGGCCAAGATTGAAGCCAGAAACTCACTTGAAAACTATGTTTCACAATTATCTGCTCAATTGAAGGATGAAGAATCTTGGGCTGGTAAGATTGATGCTGATGATAAGGAAACCATTCTTGATGCCATTAAGGATGTTCAAGATTTCATTGAAGACAACTATGATTCTGCATCAGCCGAAGATTTTGAAGAACAAAAGAACAAGTTGAACGAAATTGTTTCTCCTATCACTTCCAAGATTTATGGTGATGGAGCAGCTGGTGGTGCTCCACATGGTGATGATGAAGATTCGGATTCCGATATTGATATTGATCATGATGAGTTGTAAGCAGCATCATCATGATCACCACCACCGTATGTAATAGTAATATATATATATAGTAAAGAGATAAAAAAGTTAATAGCTTTGTTAGTAGAGGTGCGTCAGGCACATGACCGACTTGGTGGAAACAGAAAATTTTTTTTGGTTTAGTGATCGAATCGGCTCGAGAATCATCAACTTGAACATCAAATCAAACTGCCACTTGTCAATTGATCTGACGACATTCCACGGCAGGCACCTATATGATTGGAAGACGACATGGCACAACGAAAATTGCAAAAGTATGTACAGCAGCCAACGGCAACTCCGAGAGGAGACAGACGGAGTAGACGAAGAACCCGTATACTAACAATGATGCAGAGAAGTGGATGCCATATTCAAGAAGATTCATGAGGGGGTTGATCTCTTCAACTATTATTACACCCGACATGATTCTCTGACCAATGATTCGCAGCGAGAGAAGCTTGAGGGAGATTTGAAGAAGGAAGTGAAGAAGTTACAGAAATATCGGGAGCAAATCAAAAGTTGGCAAAGTAATGAACTGATTGAAGCGGTGATAAGTCTGTCACGATTGCAAGAACATCGGAAAATGGTTGAAGAATCCATGGAAAAATATAAGGAAGTAGAAAAGTCCTCCAAAATGAAATCCTTTTCAAATCAGTCCATTATGCTATCCAAATTGGAAGATATGGAAGATAATGATTTGAGCGAAGAAGCTCAAGAAGCCGTGGATTTTTTGATGGAAAAGACCGAAGAAATCAACCAACAAGCTGAAAAATTGGAGGAAGAATATGAAAAATTGAATCAGAAGAAACTCCGAAAGAATAATCAACATCTTATTGAAGAACGGAAACAAGAAATCGAATCCTTTAATGCCAGAAATAATTTCCATCGTGAACGTATTGAGCAAGTTATCCATTTCATAAAACAAAATAAAGTGGATCCGGAATCAATTTGGGTAATTCAAGAAGATTTATCGTTTTATGTGGAATCAAACCAAGAACCAGATTTCATCTATGATGATACTTTGTATGATGAAATTTATAAGGAAGCAAAGGAAAATGAAGAGAATCATACCTTGCACGATAATCATGTAACCGATGGTCCATCATTTTCAGTACTTGCTGAAGAATTCGATGGTAATAACCCAGATAATCTGTTTGTTACCGGTGACGATTCAGCACAATCAACTCCTGTTAAACCAAAACAACCTTCAATACCGAATGCCGACATACTTCCTTCAAAGAGAATCATCGAATCTCTGAATACCATCAAATCTGCAAGTCCTCAACCTCCATCTCCATCTCCTTCGTCATCAACTTCTTCAACACATCCTTTATCACAACAATCATCTTCTTATTCACTGCACCAATCAAAAGATGATACCGCACCATCTCCAGACATTGCTTCCTCTTCCATAATTAGAAACCTAAAGCCTGCAGTGGCCCCAGTAAAGCCAGCAGGAGCCTTAAAATGGTCTGTTGCAGCTGCAGCAGCTACAAACCTTCCCTCTACACAACAACAACAACCTTTTATTCAACCCCCATCAACTTCAAGTAGTGTGGAACAACCCACGACTGCAGCAACTAGTACTCTCCCGTCATCAAGTTCATCACCTAAAGTGCAGATGGAGAAGTTGAACCAGCCTACTACTCACAACAATAAGATTCAAATACCTGCTCTGGTCCCTGAAGAGAACTCGTTAGCTTCCACGGTTTCTACTTCACAACATTCTATGAATAATATCTCAGCATTATCATCCGATAGAAACCAGACATCTTTATCTTCAACATCGTTGCTTAAGCCTTCAAAATCTAATGGTATGATCAATGATGAGCCCGTGCAACCCCTCAACGCAGAGAAGTTAGCTCAATACGTGGATATAATTCGACAATCTTCCCTTTCACTGGTGGAGAAGGAGTTTTTCACCCAGCCAGATTTGGTATGTTTACCACCCGGAATTCAAGACTTGGTCATATCCTATAAAGCTGTGAGGAATTATTCTGATGATGCAAAATTATTAATTAAACTGGGAGAAGATTATCAATATTCCACTCCAATTTCGAAACCTTATTTACCCAGTATTTCATCCAAGCCACATTTGCAATTATTCAAGTTACAATTGTATTGGAATAGTATTCGTGCAAAGAATCTGTTTGAACTTTTTGTTCAAGAAATTGAACTTTTATCCTCTCAGAATAATACCGACAATACTCCATTGATCAACGACATGACCTTTGTCTTATTCTTTGGGTATTATTATGGTGTTACACCCATGGAGAACCTAATAGCAGAATCATGTTTGAGGGAATTAGGATGGGTACCTTATAGTTCTAGTCCTTTGCCGAATCAAAAACTGACTAACTCTGTTGATTCTTTCACACATTGGTTCAAGACTATAAAGGTTCTAAACACCTCCTCAAATGGAACTAATGATGAAGTTTTCCATATTGGAGATTATTATGTCTTTGACTTGAACTTTTGGGAAATATATATCAAAAATGGATATCGTTTTGAGAGTAACTTAGCCAGATTGGAACCATCCAAAGTGTTGTGTTAGGAGGTAAGTTGGGATCTTTTTTTATATCTGATATTTTGTTTAGTTTAGCTTTTTTTTGCTGGTCATGTTGAATGAATTGACTTGACTTGACATGTGTATATCCTTTTCAGGAGCAGAATCCTAGTATTTCCAATACAGAATGCATTTTTAATTCTTTTCATTGCTTGGATCAGAACTCAACACTGTAAAGGGTTCTGACCCAAAGGCAGTAGTATCTTCCGTTGAACGGGAAATTGACAGACCATTACATGAAAGCAAAGGCTCAAATTCTGACAAAACATGTGGAGGTGTACTTTGAATATCAGCAATGTCTGATTGAATCTCGCTTTCCGGTAATACAGCCTGCAGTGTTATGATTTTGGTAGAGGGTTCTAGTAAAGCCATATCTTCGCTCCATAGTCCTCCAAATGACAGCAAGGGGGGCTCCTCTGATTCGGGTATTGGATTCCCGTTAGAATCAGTGATTTGAGGTATTGTGGTGAACTTCAGAAGAAACATTGAGCAATCATTATTGATGGTTGTAAAGCCATCAAGTTGACTGGTATCAATACTGAAGAGGTTGAGTAATTGAGGCTTCAACTTCAACAGGTTTACAATTTCCTTAAGAGAAGCTATCAGCTTGGAGTAATTCTCGGAGTCTTCAGTGATCAGGGACATTGGTTAAAGGTATAAGAAGAAGAGTTGGAAGGAGTGTAAAGTATGTACGTGCATATTTAACTTCATATTTTTGCAGCCACTAATGTCTGATTATTACATAAGCAATTGGTAAATAAGGTCGTGTACATACCCATAGTTTATCTTCTTACCTCGGAAGATCATTGCTGTAAATGTGGGGCATTAATGATAACCATTATTTAGCTCATTTAAAAGCAGTAGCTAGCTAAAGCACCAATACCATGGAGTATTACTCATCATTAGATGCGTCTCAATTAGATTCCGAAACCCCGACACTTTTTGAGCTACTTTCTGCGAATCAATTGGAGGAATTGCTTTCACCTTCATTAAGGTATATCTTAGTACATTACACCACCAAATACCCTTACTATTTGCTTAAGATCACTAATCGATTTGATGAGCTCAATTTGGTGTTAAGAGGCTTCGTGGAATGGTATTTTCTCAAGTACTGGCAAGGGACCTTCACCGAGAACTTTTACGGGTTGAAACGTGTGAACAGAACCATATTAAATGATGGCAGATACGATAGCAGTAGATTGACTCAACTTGTGCCATCATTAGTGGAAGAACGAAGACAGTTGACTAAATTCCAGATAGCTATCTCTGTATTTGAAATCACCGGTACTGCTTACATTCTGGAGAAGTTAAATTATTGGTATGAGATCTTATACCCGAAATATATCACCAACCAGTTAGTTCCTAAGGACCCCAACAACAAAAAAGATGTATTTTATACGTTTTTAAAGCGGAAATTCGTTGAGGTGTTCCCCACATTACAGAGTATCATCAAGGGCGCCAATTTGATTACGTTATTAATGTATTTGAGTGGTAAGAGTAAATCACCATCAATTTGGACCACATTATTTGGCATCAACTTTTCAAGATTGAACTCTTATGATCATTCCAGATACGAAAAGAGTAATGAGCTTGGTAAGAGCCGCAATGGACCGAAGTCAAATAACAGAGTAAGACCAGAATCAACGTTAGAATTAATATTAAGATTAACAGACAAGACGTTATTCAGTCCCTTATGGAAAACCGTTCGGTTCATCCTAGGGACGTTCTTCCCTGTTGCTATCTTCTCGTTAAAGTTCTTGGAATGGTGGAACAACTCTGATTTTGCCACCAAGTTATCTAAGAATCTGGGGAACTCATTATCAACAGTCTTACCACCTCCAAGTTCCCTCAGTAAACGTGGAGACCACCTTTTGGAGAAGAAGAGGGTGTATAAACCTGGGAAGTTGTGTCCCTTATGTCACGAGGAGATCTCCAATCATGCCATAATAGAAACAGGATATGTTTTCTGTTACACGTGTATATACAATTATCTCCAGAACTCACACAAGATTGTGCTGAAGAGGAGCAGGAGCAGAGACGTCAATGATAATGATGACAATGATGATGTCATTGAAGAAGACGAAGAAGAAGACGAAGACGAAGAGAACGAAAAACAAGAGTCTGATTCCATTGCATATGATATTAGCAAAGGGGGGAGATGTCCTGTTACAGGAAGGAAGCTACTTGGATGTAAATGGAATGAAGTTAAGCAAGAATGGGACATTGATGGTTTAAGAAGGTTAATGTTTTAGTGCAGTGAAAATCACGTGACCAAATATATCATATATATTCGTATCACGTGGTTGATTAAACGCTATATAGTGTGTATCACGTGACTAAATACATGCACGTAATGAATGTTGTATATCATCGCACGTTGTAGATAAATATCACTAGTCAAAATAACTATTATTGTATTGATAAACCCACCATGTCTAACAGAACGTTACAGGCCATTAAATTCAACAAGGACCAAGTATCTTTGGATATCTTGGACCAGTTGCTTCTTCCGTATTCAACTGTGTACATTCCAATCCGGTCCATTGAGGATGCGTATCAAGCCATCAAGTTGATGCAAGTCAGAGGTGCACCAGCCATAGCCATTGTCGGAGCCTTTGCCATCACAGTAGAGACATTCGGGTATGTTAAGAACAATATCAATGGCAGAATCACCATTGGCCAATTAACTGACAAAATTGATTATTTGGTCACCTCAAGGCCCACAGCTGTCAACCTTTCTAATGCTTGTGACGACATCAAAAACTTATTGGTGCTGCAATTCCAATCAACAGACAAGGTTTCTGAGTCCACATTTAAGAGTATCCTTGACTATTCAGTCAAGTTATACGAAGATGACTTAAGTAACAACTTCAAGATCGGAGAAAACGGACTTAAGTACATCATAGAGACATTAACGTCTCAACAGTTCAAAGGTCCATTCTCCATCATGACCATATGCAACACTGGATCTTTGGCCACCTCCGGCCACGGGACTGCATTGGGGATAATCAGAACCGTTTATCAGAAGCTTTCAAAGGAAGCTGCTGAAGCTGATGGTAAACCTTTAGACTTCTGGTTAGACCATGTATACCCCTGTGAAACAAGACCATATAATCAAGGTGCTAAGTTGACCACCTATGAATTGAACTATGAAAACATTCCTTTCACTTTAATCTGTGACAATATGGTCTCTTCCTTAATTGGCTCTTTGAATGACAAGAAGAAGGCCATTAAACAAGTGAATGCTCCCATCAAGTTCATCATTGCTGGAGCTGATAGAATTGTCAAGAACGGTGACTCGGCCAATAAAATCGGAACCTACCAATTGTCCACTATTGCCAATTATTTCAACACCAATAAGTTGAATGAGGGTAAAAACCAAATCAAGTTCATCATCGCCGCTCCAAGAACTACCATTGACTTAAAGACAGAAACTGGTGATGCTATAGTCATCGAGGAAAGACCGGGCAAAGAATTGACTTCTTTAAATGGTCCGGTGTTGGCTTCAAACGGAACTGTGGGTGATAAACTCACAGTTGGTATAGCCACACCCGGCATATCCGTTTGGAACCCAGCATTCGACGTCACTCCTCATGAACTTATTGATTGTATTGTGACTGAAGACTTGCCAATTCTCAAAGACCAATTAGGTAACTTTAACTTGGGGTAGATACATTGTCTGTAATGTGCTTTATTGGACATTAGATTCTTCTGTACTAATATCGTCGTGTGTTCGCTCTGTATTGTCATCTGCTTCCTCTTCAACTTCTGCCTCTGTGTCAATAGCCTCTTGCTCTGCTGTGCTGGCATCTTGAATCTCATCTTTAGTGTTGGAATCAACTACTAACTCACCCGCAGGTTCGCCAACTTTTGTGCCAAGCCCATCCAATGGTTCTTCGACAGCGACCTCCTCCACTATTGAGCCTAAGACTTCTTCTTTTGGTTCGTCTTCTGTTTGATCAAGCTTCTTGTCAGAATGGATTTGTTCACTTATTCCTTGCAGTTCTTCTTTATCATCTTCCAAATTAACATCAACCTTTTCTGGTTCAGCTTCAGTACCAACTGTATCAGCCTTTACAGACTCAGGCGCAGTTACAGCTTCGTTAGCGTTTAGTGAATCAGTTTCAGTAACAAGTCCATCAGATTCAGTAACAGCTGGCTCTGGTTCTTTAGCCTTTTCTGTAACAACTGCATCAGCCTTTTCTGGTTCAGGTTTAGATTCAGTAACTGGCTCTGGTTCTTTATCCTTTAAGTCGTTTCCAGTATCTGTGCTATTGCTGTCTTCTTTTGTATCCGGAGCCTTCGCTTCGTTCTCAAAGTTAGCTCTCATCTTCCTGTCCATTTCTTCGTCTTCAATAGTACTCAAGGCATTTACATTCTCCCATATAATCTGGCCAGAGTTTCCATACCCAGGAACCTCACAAAGATTGACTCGGAAATAGTCAATGTCTTTCAACACAGCTTGCTTTTCATCAAAGTTCTTGAATTGGGGTAGCTTCGTACAGTAGCATTCCACCAACATCTTGCGGTAATCATCAAAGATCTGCAGTAAAATCAAAGTGTGCTTGATCTCTGGCAAGTACTTCATAAGCACTCTGGTCACTGTGTTGGTCTCATTAACAAGAGTCTCCATGTATGGATGGCATTGTTGAGCATATTTGTTGGTCTTTGAATGGGTGGCAGGCTTCAATGGGACAGACCAATCAATGGAGACAATGGAATTGCAATGACTGACAATACGATCATGCATTATTGAAACCAATTTACTGAATAATTCATTCTCGTGATCCTTATAGTTGCTTAAAACAAGTGGGAAGGTCAATGGTTCTGCATTCGGATTGGAAGCAGGTGTAATGGGGACATTGCGGAAAATAGTCTCAAACAAGGGAATAACCAGGATATAAAATTCAATTGCTTGAATGCAAATGGCTATATGTTTGGTAGTAATGTGCTTCAAGCCTGCGGTTCTCGTTGCTCCAGCGTTCAAGATGGCCTGCGATACCTTGGAGTTAAGTAGCTTGAAGAAGTTCAACAATTGAGTAACAATTTGAGATGAATATTGGTGGAATACTTTGGAAATCATCACGTATTCACGAAGGAGGTTCATATTCAAAGGGATAAGCATGGGGACAACGAATATTTCATCATTAATAGTGACTTTTGTCGATGCCTCGAGTTTAGAAGTTGAAACAGTTTCATCTGACTTATTGTCGTTATCTTCGTACAAATCGAGTGTCTTTAACCATTCCGAACCATCAAAGCCCGTACTCTTATTCTCGCTTTCAATATATTGAGAATAGCCAATGATTTCCTGGATTTGTCCTTGGGTTTTAGCAATTTGCTCAGGACTAGTAACTTCTCTCCAAGTCTCTTTGTCTGTGTAGTTGATCATCAGCTTCATCGAGTTCAGATGGTGTTTGTGAACAAAATAAACCATGTGATTCTTGAACCATTCGCCTAAGCTACCTTGACTGTTGGCCATGGTCATAGGACTTATTTGCTCACACTCTTGAAGAAACGCAGAAGTTAATGCATATAACTTCAAATACATCAGTAATGGTAGATCAGCATTCTGTTCCAGTCTTACGTTGATGATCTTGGTCAAACGGATCTGGCAAATTTCTATGGCCTTCCCAATGGCATTGCTTATATCAAGAGACATGAAATCAATAGTTGAAGATGATGGAATGTTGGAGAGCGAAAGATCAAGCAATACTTTTTGATGTGAAGTAAGACGTCTTAAGCACTCAGAGAGTTGAGCATATGTCGTTTGAAGCATACATTCAAACTCTCTTGGGGTCAATGCTTTGATGCTTAAAGAAAGTGAACCCTGGTTATTATTGGAACCCGATAGTTCAACAGGAGCAGGTGACTGTCTAGACGATGATTGAGAACCTTCAGACTCCATCCTATTTGAGGGTAGATATGTTTTAATAATACTCTTTATCTCAGTAACAATACGATCCTGATAGCTGTCGTACGCTGGCACAAGATAACCTGATTTAATCAAGTTCTTAATGTAACCAGCTAATAATTCTTTCGATGAAGATGAAATCGTTTGATAAGTTAAATTGATAGGTCGGTCAAGCTTCTTAGATTTGTTGATGGAAAGATATATTCTGTTGATTGTTTCCTGTGAACTAACAGATGCACAGTGTTGTCTAAGATCTTCGACCAAAAGATGAATAAAATCGTTAATATAATTAATGGAACATTCCTTCTTTAGCATTTCCAAATCATTCCGTAAATGTATAAAGGCTGGTAAATGTAATAAGGTTTGCATAGGATATGGAAGTTTAGGGTAAAGTTCAAGAATATCTACATCTTGACAATCTGCCTTTTCAATTCCATTCAAAAGGTGTTCCACCATAATAACCTGTTTGAGACAATCGGAATATTTGCTTTCTCCAAAGCTACGTTGTGCTAAATGGAAATATGACTGGACGTATTTGATTTGAAGGAGAGCAGATTCAAGCCTCTCCACATCCTTTTTCTTCTGTAAGTTTTCAACTATTTTCATACCTCTTTCAGCCTGTTCAGACTTTAGTTTATGCAATTTTGTCATTATGGATTCGAATTTGGATTTACAGGTTTCTGATTTGGTTCTCATGCCTTCAATACTTTCAAAAGTACCAAAAAACGATTCTGAAGATTTGGAGATCTCTTGAATTAATTCAACCTCTACAATATCCAAATATTGAGAGATTTTCTCTTGAAGATTGGTGTTATTAACAAGATATTCATCATGACTAGCCAAGTTTTCATCAGGTAAGATTTTAGCATTTTCAATGACTTTTTTGAATACTCTTGAATTGTCTAGACGGAAATCACTATCGAAATAAACGTCTGGGATTCCCATAGTTGTCGTTTTAACTTGATTATTATCGTTACTATCAAGAATATAAGTATCAAAATTCGATGTAGAGGATGTAGTTGAGTCTATCCGACTCCCATTATTAGTAGTATTAGTAGTATTATCTTGTGATAATTTCTGTAATGAGACTTCTGTTAAACTGTTGTAGCTCAATTCAAAGGACTTATATGCATCAAACATCTTAGCATCATACAACGACTCTAAGGAAGCGGAACTCACTTTATGTTTTAGTTTCAGTAACAGAATGGGTGGTATATCTTTTGTGGTGGGCACCCGTAGATTGTTGACTACTGTTTGACCTCCGTTGATGGTGACACTCACTCTTGGAGGCTTATTGTGACGTTGTCTTGCTTGATCTGAGGCATAGGTCAATTCAAAGATGGAATTGGGGCCTAAAGGGGAAAACTCCTCTTTTCGGTTATTATTTAACGCTTCATTACCACCGTATAAAGACTGGAAGAACCCCAGACTCAGAAATACGCTTTCGGTTTCTGTGCTTGTTCTTCGTGATACTACAGAACCACTTCTAGGCACATGTAGGCCATTGGAATAGGAAGTCTCCGACATGATTGTTAGGTCGTCGTTTAGACTGATGTTCCCATTAACGGACTCTGTATCAAATGAAGGACTGATGTCTGTCGGTAGCATTTGTTGGCCATTGGTGGTGGACTGGTGATTATCGGATTGATCCACTGACATGATTAAAATGACTAGCTGATAGACTGATTGAAGGGTTGACTCACTGATTAAGTGTCTGTCTGACTTGTCTGACCTCCTGAGACCACGACTCAGACTCTCCAGCAGTAAGTGTCCCGCTTGTTCTTCGTATAAGATACTCTGGTAGTGTGCCGTATACTGAATCGTGTTTTACTCTGTGTTCTTCCAAACGGTCTAAGTTGTCGTTGAGTCGTGTCCGAACCACAAACATTTTATTACTAAGTAGTATAAATAGTCGGATGATTCCAGCTTAAATGGTTACTCCTTACTTCTTACATTAGTGTCATAAAAGATGTCTGCTGCTCCTAAGAAGGAAGAATCAAAGCCTAAGCCATGTTGCGTGTGTTTGGATGAGAAGAAGGCTAGGGACGAGTGTCTCTTGTTCAATGGACAAGAAGGTGGAAAATGTGATGAGTTGATTGGAAAGTACAAGCTTTGTATGAAGGGTTATGGGTTTGAAACTCGTTGAAAAGAAGTGTCTGACATGTAAATAGATTATAAGGCAGCTATATGTCGGTCGTTGTACATAGGTCGTATATATACGAATAGAACTTGTTAAATATATACTATAACTATATTGATCCGTAATTATCTCCATCTTTCCGAAGTACTTGATTGGTATAACCTTCCTGAGTCAAAATGTCGTCTATCTCATTGCGTATCACTGACTCGGATTCGTCGCCTTGACCATCATATTCCTGATGGAGTCTTTCATTAACTATGAAGAACATCTGGTTCTGAATAAAGTTATCGATCAACACCAATTGTAGGCAGTTCATGAATATCGGTACCACGAAAAGTACTATGAATATCTCCACCTCTTCAGGGTATGGTCTGAGCCATATCAAGATCAAGTTGCTGCATATCCAAAGCAATTGGGTCTCGAAGCACTCAACTAAACCATACAATATGAATTTGGTGATCATTAAACAAGTGAAATAAATGCCCAATTGTTTTAAATACGCCTTAACCGAAGGTCTTTGAGGATCATCGCCATAATTACCAGAATCAATCTCGGTCATATGAAAATGCCTTTTACATATTTTATTGGTCAGATTGAACACCAAAAAAAGAACATATACTCCAATGGTACAGTCAAGCACAATGTTCAAAAAATACCAGTCACATGGGTCAGATGATGTAGCAGGTTCGTTACTATCATCCACCAATTGCGAAACATCTCCATTAGAAGGTTGGGTCTTGAGTATCGAAAGAAGCACATTGAACACGTGAACACCCATGGCACCTATTAACTGTTTCAGTACATCCATAACCCAAACTGGCCAGCTCCGTCTTAAGGGGAATTCGTAGTATCGTTTAACTACCAAGCATGATAAACAAAGCAATCCAAGTCCTGCTTGGGTAAGAAGAGAAAAGGTTCCTATCAACTCACAATTTCCATCGTCATCATCACCACTATCAAATCCTTCTTTCTTCCTTATGAACTTGGGCATTAAAACCATTGTCGGTATGGCTGCAAAGATCCAGTCGGCCAACGTACTCATGCCATTGACTATTGTTGTCCCAGTCTTATCTGTGGAACTCCGCTTAGTATTGTTGCATCGAACATGCATTATGAATTAATGGGTCAGACAATAAGCTGTAGAATGAGAAGTAATATGTGTCTGTGTCTGAAACACGTAGCTTCGACTGACAATTAAAAAGAGTGGAAATGTATAATACTTAGTCTCATTATAATCATTGTTACCATCATCATTCATCATTTAAATTATACTGGAGTCACTCGGTCACGTGACCTCGTGATGACTTCATTCAGATGGTATATACTCTGCAGGAACATATAAAGTATACCTTATCTTATCTTTAAGCGTAATAAATAATATAACTATGTAAACTATTAGTCTTGGACGTATGAGTGTGCCGTCGTCGGTCGGTCTCACGTAATCGTATAATCTGGGTATTCTCTAGTGGTTATCGTTCTTCCAATTACCCAATAACTGATTTGCAAGGCCTTTAGCTTGACCTAAGATATTAGAAGGCGACGAAGTCATACTGTTGGGACTTTCATCTGGTGGGGTATGAGCTATTCCATTCATGTCTGCAACATAAGAGAGAGTTGAGTAACTTGAAGAACCTCCTGCACCACCACCACCTTGAGTCCTGGATGCTCCAGGCACACTACTTGCAGCAACACTATGACTTCTGACGTCTTCTATGAATTCGTCTTCATCTGAACTCTCAGAATCAAATACAAATGCACCCTTATTTCCGCCTCCAATATCATCACTTCCTCTGCCTCCGCCTCCTTCCGTTCTGCTATTCTGGCTGGTATTCCTAAAGCCCAGGAATGCATTGGTAGATGTGGTATGTGGAGGTAAAGGTGAGACTTTCCTTTGGGGAGGGTTGCACTGGCTACCACCTGTCAAAGATTCATACAGCTGTGCAGACATATAACCAGGGGAATTGGATTCGATGGAAACTCCAGAGGGTACCTTCGAATGGACAGTACTATCGGTTGGGGCTCTATAAATTGGTGAAGATGGTGGAGAACTGAAAAACATACCCAGTGAAATTAAACTTGAAGTTGGATTCTCAGTTGTAGTAGTGGTGGTAGTGGTATTAGATTTAGAACTATCGTTGTTGTTCTCACTTGTGGAGGTGAGAGCCGTTCCAAAGAATTGATCTGCTAATGACGTTCTAGAGGGGTCTTTCTTAGTAAAGGTGTTTGTGCCAAAGAACAGTTCTGAAAGAGAACTCAATGATGAAGGTTGTTTCTTGATAGAAGCATCAGAAGAATTCATCAACAGTATATGCTCCGCATCTATAGGAGCAGGTTGTGGCTGTGGCTGTTGGAGATGTGGCATCTGGTTGTTGGAAGATGTCAATTCTTGGTTAAATGCTTGCTCCACGAGTGCTTGACTTGACCTGCTGGTGCTTATTGACAATCCGTCATCAGAGTCAGATTCACTATCACTTAACTGAAAAGGTGTTTCCTTTTGCTGCGAGGCATCACCAGTCAGGTGGCTTTGCACAACTTGATCTAGTGTAAAAGTGTTAGATGATGCTGGTTGGTGATTGAAATTGATATTAAGACTAGGCTCAATAATTGGCATAGTATTACTTCCTGAGACGGCCAGAGCACCATTTAACACTTCCATTTGGGGTGCATCGATGATCTCATAGTCAAAATTAGATCCAATGGCAAGTCCATCAGGAACATCCACCACATCAGGTTCAATAATCTTACTTGAATTAGAATTAACCCCATAGATAGAGTGATTAGGATCCACTGTATAAACACTATTATAGTCATAATAGTAATCATAACCTCTATTGGATGCATTATGAGATACGCTTGAAGTGTAGGGGTTTTCCTCGTCGGATTCTTCTTCTGAAGATCCATAATTGATTTGCGTGGAAGGAAGTAAATGAATAGTCTTGTAAACTTTGGAACTGTTGGTAGAAATCGACTCTGTATCTTCGGTATTGACATCGACCGAAGAACTAGGCAAAGGAAGGGCATTCCCTGGACTAGTAGCGTTATTCTTTGTAAGGTCAGGAGCATTTGCTGAAGACCGGACATCGATAAAGAACCCGCCTTCATCGTCCTCGTCGTCATCTTCTTCGTCATCTTCACCTTCACCTTCACCATTGGGACCAGAGGTTTCATAAATGTAATCCTCTTCCTCGTCTTCATCTTCATCTTCATCATCATAGTAATAATCATCATCCACATCAGCATCGTCGTAATAAGTGTCAGCATCGACATCGGAGTAGATATCAACAGCTATACATTGTTGGACTTCTTCGTTGAAATGAATATGGCGTTCCTTTTTAGAAGAAGAAGATGTCAGTGCTGACATCTTCATGCTGGATGACTTGATCATTGTTGGTGCAAGCGATGAACTGGGAGTCAAATTATTTAATATTATTGATTCAGGACTGTGACAAGGTAAGACATCAATGGCTTCCAGAGAACCTTGTTCTTCTTTAATTGCCATAATATCATTATTAATAGCATTGTTAGGAGTTGCCAGGGCATCTTCTACGTGGGTTGGTTGTTGTTCTTGATCCACCATCAAAAAGGAGGCTATGGAAGCAGAACCACTTTCGTTTCCTGCAGTCTCAGACACACCACCTTTAACTTCCCCTCCACGTATATGTTTATCCAACGTAGCAGCAATTAAAGAGTTCGTGGAGCCTTGTCGTGGTAGAGACTTGAGATCTGCGTCACTGGAAACACGATATTGGGTATTAAGTTTAGCTGAAATAGCATCAAAATCATTGAAATCTGGTGGATCTTGGGAATTTGTACGACGGTGGTGGTGAATCAATTTCTTTTGGCTTTCAAGCTTTGCTTCCTCTGCTGCTTTTTCCTCTGCAAGGATTCTCATATCTTCTTCATGTTCTTGACGTTGCTTGACTTTCTTTTCTAACAATTCCCATTTCAAAAGGTTGGAATGGCTTATCATCTGTGCTTGGACAGTACGTCTTTTTAAAATGGGTTTGGGTGCCTGTGGAATAGAAATATCCCCTGCCACTTTCGAAGTAGCTGTTGTTTCTCTCTTATGGCAATGTGCATCATCGCTTTCGTCGTCATCTTCTTCATTATCCCAATGGTCTTCATTCTTCAAAATAGGGCCATAAAGCCAAGTAATATCGTTATCTTTTGACCAGTTGACCACTTCAGGCGAAATCGTTTTCAAATTCGAACGTCTCTGGGCCCAAGTACGCCACGATGCATTCTCTAGTCTTGCGGCATTGGCTACATCCTTCCGTTTCTGAATCACATATCGCCATGACTTGTAAATGTCAGAAACGTCCCACTTATGGGAGAAGTAGTCGACATGACGAGATGGTTCTGTGTGGATGTCCGTGTCATCGTAAGGAAGAATCTCAGGCGAGGTTAGAGTCGTTGTGAGCTGGAGACCATCTTCTGTTACTGCGGGAGAACCAGAACGAGCCCCAACTTCCGGCAGAACAACAGGAGCTGTTTCTGGTTCAACTTCTTGTAGTTGTTGTTGATGCTGATGTTGATGTTGATGTTGATGTTCTTTACTATTCTTTTCTTCAATTTTTTCTGCTTGTTTCTCCGGGTCTATGAATTCGTCCAAAAGACCCATCGACCGTGTTCGCTTCAACTTGAAAGTTGTGTTTTCAAAGTGACTGTCATCCTCGGCTTCAACATGTTGAGAAGTGGTGGCTCCACCTGCAAAGACTTCACCTGCAAGCTTAGCAGCAGCCGTAGTGGTGGCTGAAGACGAGGGCGTTAACGAGAACGACTGCGAAGATGAGCTCGATGAACTCGACGTAGAAGGTCCCGGCGATACAGAGCCGTTTTCATTCGCCATTGCAGCTACATTCGTTGACGGCGATCTTCCAAAGGTATCACGAGATGTAGTTGAAGACGAATGGATCATGATGTATATGATGTATTCTTGGTCTTAAAAGTCCGTGCGTACAGCTCCAATTATTACTGATATGTAATAATAATGACTGATAATATTATTAATGATTGAGACTCGACTCGACTCTCGCTTAACTCCGTTTCCTTTATCGCTTTAGCTCAAGCAGGACTCGGTAAGTTTTGATTCGTTCGACAAGACTCAACTGGACCAATTTGTCAGTGGTGGGATATATTTCTTGGAAGGATTTGACTTTGACTTTGACTGCTGTCTCAGGATTGTCCGTTTTTGGTTCCGACAGACTATTAATGATGATCAGTGACAATAGCCAGAGCAATTAAAAATTAAGGGTACCGAAGGTCTCAGACTCAGAAAGACAGTGATACTGGCAAACTGTTGAAGTAACCGTAGACAACGTGGTGTTAATATGATGGGATAAAAAAACGGGTGGGAAGTGAGAAGGTGAGGTTGAACAAAAAAATTGTGTTCACGACATTAATGTGCGACACGGAGCGTTGCAAGATCCGACACGACAAGAAAGTTATGTTGAAAGGACAATTTTGGGTAATGTGGATACGAACCCTATGGGGTATGGTTATGGGGAATGGTTGGTTATGATTGTTGTTAGAGCGTCTGATGGGGGTATTGTCGTGTTAAGTTTATGTACTGTCAGATTATTGTCAAATTTTGGACATTGTAGTGAGTTAGCTTATCTATGGGTATATCAATGTCCATCTTGTTGTGTCAAGCATTTCATACTTAGTCTGCTATTTGGCTTCATACAGACAAGTACTTGTTATGTCTGTTCTACAACACAAATCTACAATCTTAATATAACATTATTAAGAATTCATATGATGTTTACAATTCATATTAACTACATTTGCATCTAATATCTCTTGAAATGACAATTGTCATGAACGTTATAGTCACTCTCAATTGATAGTTCTCAATTGACTCCAGACAAAAAAATATTAATCTGAGGTATTGTCGGCAATCCCCCAAACCAGCACTACAATCTACAACGATGGTTCTTATTTTTCCGGTGCCCCAGACTTTCATCGTAGAATTTAGATGACGGTACTGAAAGAAGGTGTAACGATTTTTTCCGATCTATATGCAGTTTGGGATTTTTCGTGGGGTCAATGTGACTCAAAAGTCCAACTAATTCAGACAAAAGTATGTCAGCTCAACTTCACCTCCTATCTCCACTTTTTCGTAATGATTCTGAAACTGATTCAGCTCCAGGTTAATTTCCTTTATCTTATACATTACCATATTTGTGTTAACTCTTCAAGAAAAGTCACTACCGCTATAACAATATCTACTTCAATTTGGAGTCATGCATTACACCTAAACCAAGTTATGTCGGAAAATGTATACTCTGACCATGTTGACTCAGACACAAAACGTAATTGAATCCGACATATATATATACGTACATTCATCCCTGCGATTCAAATTTATACAACTTTATTACCGACGACTCTATCGTTATTCGATCCAGGTATTGTTACTGTCACCGTCGCGGTTATCGCTTTTAATTTAACCTCCACATTCCTTTACACTTGTCGCTTTAATTTTGCACGGTTGATACTGAAAATACTCCGAATCGTGTACTCAATTACCCCAGAAAAAGTCACCAATTCTGGCTACACCGTTTTCCGGTTTCAGGCCAGCAGACACAAACACTCTTAGATGACGGTCACCCTGTTTTCTCCATATTGCGTAGTCGGCTTCTACTCCATTGGGAAACGGGGACGACCTCTGGTACTTTGGTTATTTTCCTGCCAAACCAAACGTGGGGTCATAGTATCTTATCACGTCGTAGCAACAAAATGGATTAATGGAGGAAACAAAAGCAAACAAAACCTAAAACAATAGGAGTGGAAAAGACCTAGAGTAGAATTGACACAACCTTATATAATGGCAATCTAGCGGTTTGATAAAGAAGTGGCTCAGGATTTTTACAAGACATAATTTATGGTAGCCCGGCTGTTACTGGAACATACCCTATTATTCTCTTCCCCTAAAGCTCCTACTCCTCCAATCCGTAAGCGTGGAATAGTTTAAAGTAAGTAGTGGTTTTCGGAACAATATTTTACGTCATTCTACAACCCCACCCATACTTTAACATCAGAAAGTTCCAAGATCTCGTTCTCTCCTATTACAGAACTTTTTGGGGTAAATGGTGCACTTTTTATTTGTTCCGTTTTTCCCCGACAAGGATATGAGAATTGCGAATTGCGAATTGCGAGTTGCCAACTAAAACTACCTCTGCAACTAGGTAAAGACTTGCTTCTTATAGTTAATTGAATAGACAGCTTCCGCCACGAGCATAGGAGAAGAAGAGGAAAAGAAGATGTGGACTTAAAAGTTGGAGCACTAGTTAAAGTTTTGTATCTGCATATTAAATTTCGTCACATATCTAACTTAGACCCTTCCCTTTCTTATCAACAATCTCAATACAGAACTTTGATATACGAACTTGATTGTAAAAATTGATTTCACATATACTACTTGAAGATATTTGTAAACCTATGACTTCTTTGCAACCACTTTCAACATTTCCATTGATTGAACACTTTTCTGTATAACGATATCAGATATTCTTGCAAACTACCTAAAACGATATAACTCCACGCTGTATCTCCATAAAATAAAACTTAGCTACCAGGCCTGCGTATTGGTATGGTCACATATTCAGATTCACATACGTCTAGTATATTGAATTGCGCTATTTTTTCCTTCAAGTAAGGGCTCTGTGGCCGAGCGGTCTAAGGCGGCAGACTCAAGTTCTGTTATCGTAAGATGCGCGTGTTCGAATCACGCCGGAGTCATCATACTATACTTCCTTACTTCTTTTTTTTGGTTTTCTAATAATACAAATGCTACTCAATAGCTATATGCTGCAATCTACTTAGTTTTTGCTCTATTCTATCTGTGTTAAAGTTATATTTTATATAATATTCATTATCGCGTAGAAGTTATAACCTCTTGAGCCATTAAGGTTTTAATTCGAGATTGAAGCATCCTTAAAGCTTGGACTTGATCTGTTAATAGACTTAATTGTAAAAATTGTAATTGAGTCGTATTATGCTGGTTTTCTTGATTTTGTTGTTGGCTTTGGAAAGCATTTATTTTATTCGCCAACTGAACAGTTAATCTATTTATTTTGTTTCTATTGGATGTGATATTATTATTATTGTTGTTGTTGTTGTTGTTGTTGTTGTTGTTGTTATTGTTATTGTTATTGTTAGTGTTGGTTATGGAATCATAATATTGTAATAACTTGGTAACTTTATTCTTTAACATAAACACTGCATAGGCCAAATTATCTATTTGTCTCTTCAATTGTTTAGAGGTAGATTCAGTATCGCCTGCTGCTGTACCATTATCCACCAGATACTTGGGGAAATTACTAATTGAATTAATAGATGCATTTTCTGTGACATCTGATATTATGGAGTTCTCAATTGGTACTAGTATATCATCGCTACTATCAGAATAAAGATAGGATTCCAATGGTGGTGTTAATTCTGATTGTTCGGAGTACGTACCACTATGACGGATATTAGTTTCATTAACTATTATCAACACCGAAGAATTTGAACGGAATCGTGGTACAAGATGTTTATAGTTTTGTATCAACAGAGTCATAGCATTCTTTTTAACTTGTATATCCTGGCCATTCTTAACAATCGCGTACAACCCAATAGGTGAGTCGTGAGGTTGAATCGTAGCAAATTGATCCATACGGAGGTTTAAATATTCCACATCTATTTTACCCTGAGGATCGACTAGTATGGGAAACGATCCATGGATTGTATCATTCTCTCCTAATATTATACCAAATTCATTCGCCAGATTTCTTATAATCTCATCAGTCCATTGTAGTACTGCCAGAACATGGATTTGAATGCTCATGATAATAACTGTGGGATGGATTGCGCTTAGTTAATGTACCTCTCTTTAACACTGACACTGACTTTTAAAGTAGGTCTTAATGGCAACAACCTTTAAGTAGACTGATGACGTTCTCCTTCTTAATGGTAGCCTCTTGCTACCTCTTTATGCTGTGCTCTTACTTTGGCACACTATCTTTAGTCGTGCGTACTCCTCCCCTCCCCCCACCTAAAAGGGCTTTGTGCGATACTATCCAAAAGTAGTACCGATGGGGCAAACTTGAAAATACAAATTTTTCATACAGAATTGATGCTCTTTCTACCCCCTTCTTTCAAACTACATTTACCTTCAACAGGAACATTTCGGCAATTGAAGTCCATTAGAAGTTTGATAACTATCATACTCCTCCCAACATGGTGATGTCAGTGCACAATACATCCATAGACCGCAAACGAAAATTAAATAGTACGCCATCATCATCCTCATCAAGTAATCGGTTCGCGTTTGATGAGATGACTTTAAATAAGAAGAAACAAAAGACAGTTGGTTCTAGCTCTAACGATAATCATAATAATAATAATAAACTTGTCAATGAGTTTTCCGAAAAGATGTGTGCCACTTATGTTAAAGCAGCATTTGATTCACTAGAAAAGGTATGTATAGGCATTACAATGATATGGCTTGATGTGCATTTGTATGACTTGACTGGTACTAACATTTTTAGAACGATTCTCTTCAAGTGGATTCATTGACTTCAAAAATAAGTTTACCTTTTGATCATCATGAGTCGATCTCATTACCTACCTTCAATGTGGTTCTTAGAGCCCTAATAAGCAATGTGTCAAGATTTGACATAAATAAATCGTCAGGTTTAATATCTGCTATTTTGGATTATAAATGGTTAGATGTTAAACAAGTAGACCAATCAGCATACGTGGTATTTATAGACTTATATTCGAATTTTTTATCGGTTTTAATATCATCCTTCCCCAAATACTTGCATGATGTTATGTCAAAACTAGTCAAAGAATTCATTAAAGTTTCACCACAGGTAGTCTCTGCATCTGCATCATTATCATTATCGTTGTCTCCAACGAAATCATCAAATCCTATTATTAATCATCATGATGTTCTTGCAAAAATCATTAAAATCATCCCCACTTCAGTCAATACATTACCAGGTATATTACAGAAGAACTTCCCTCACCATTTATCATCATCCCAAGCAGAATTAACCAATTATGTGGGTAATCTCCTTTGCATCACGTCCTACTGTTCCGAATTACAGTTCACCATTTGGCAATTGATTCTCGAATGCTGCATCAAATTGGATGTTGAATTACAGAATGAACTCGACTATTTAAGAGATGAAGAAATCGATGAATTGATTAATGGTAAGGAGGATGGCAATGATGACGATGCAGATGATGCTGATTTGACCCTTGTTGGGGATGTCCCTAAAGATGAGTGTGGTAATAATAGTGATGATGATGAAGATGATGATGATGCTGCTGCTGAAAATGACGATGAGGACGACTTACTCATGGGAGAAGAGTATATCTTAGACACTGTCAGTTCTCCAGAACATATCAAGAGTTTAGTGGGTAAATTAGACTCTATCATTGCATCATTATTAAATGGGACTGAAGAATCCTTTAGTCTTAACGAATTGAATTCAGGTAATGGGGTTCCACTTTATAATACTTTGACTTCCCTTTTCAAAACGCATATTTTACCCACCCATTTCACTAAACTGATTCAATTTGTTCATTTCCAAATATCCCAATACCAACCAGAATTATCCGATTCATTCCTTGTGATGCTAATTGATGTGGCGTTCAATCAAATGGAGATTTTGGAAAAAAGATTGAAAGCTATGCAATATTTATCTTCATACATTGCTAGAGCAAGATCTTTATCAAAAAACCAAGTGGTGTTTGTTGTGAGCTACTTGGTTACCTGGTTAGACAAATATGTAATGGAAAGAGAATGTGAAATTCTTGATATGGAAAGCAATAAGAATAGCAACATGCAAACCACCAGGAGTACCGGTGGTATGGAAAGATTCAAATTATTCTATGCTGCCTTCCAAGCCCTCTTGTACATTTTTTGTTTCAGATATGAAATGTTGAGACTTGATGGGAACAGCACAGGATCTTCAAAGCAAAGAGCTGGTGATTCTGAATGGGAATCTGATTTGGATAAATTTTTCCAACGAGCAATTCTTGCCAAATTTAATCCATTGAAATTCTGTGACGAATCTGTGGTATTTATCTTTGCCAAAATTGCAACTAAGTTGAATGTTTGCTATTGTTATTCCATCATTGAACATAACAAGAGAGAGAAGATTTTACAGAACAACGGGAAATCTGTAATGCCCTCAGCAGTTGGGAACTTCAAGCAAAAGCAAGAGTTTTTAGACTTGGAAGCTTATTTCCCCTTCGATCCTTTGGTCTTGCCCAGTTGTAAGAAAATAGTTGCCAAGAATTATGTTGAATGGCATAATGGTGATGATGAAGACGATGAATTCAGTGGTACCACAAGTTGTGGAGGTGGACTGGGAGACGATGAAGATGACGATAATGAAATTTCGGACTCGAATGATGAAGATCTTTCAAGTGATGAAGAAGATGAGGATGAAGATATTTGAAAGAAATAAATATCATATATGTACATTTAGAATTAGGTAGGTTTCATAGCTATAAAACAGTATAGGTTGCAATTTCAATAATGAAAAAAAATTATAATTATCATCGAAAATGCAACCTTCGAGCAAGACTAAAAAAACATAAGAAGCATCCCCACCAGGATTCGAACCTGGAATCTTTCGGTTCGTAGCCGAACGCCTTAACCATTGGGCCATGAGGATTTTCCTTATATCATTTTATACTTGAGATTTTACTAATATTATACAGTACTTAGGTGTAAAAGCCAAACATCCGGGTTAACAAAGACTTTGGTCTGACGGATGCTTAAGCTGCGGCCTTAATGCTGGATAACGGCTCCTGCGTGCTTAACACTAAGTGAAAAGCGGTGGTGTACCTTGCACAACTGGCGGGTTGGATACCATCCAATTGCTCTTTTAATTGGTATCATTCGTAACGCTGTATGATCTCATAAAAAGAAGCTACTTAGCTATAGTTAGATTGCTTCTGGGTGCAAACCCATATATTTTCTCGTCTCACTTATCTTCATCAAGCGACATTGCAATTTTGCCAACTTTGTCGTATTCTATTTAGATGCCCACTGCTAATTGGAAATTCATGGAGGACTAAACAGAGCAAGCATTAGAGAAAAGGGTGATATCACCCAAGCTTATGGGGTCAAGTGATTCGGAACGGTATTGTCGGCTGCGGACAGTTTTTCATGAAAGTATGATTTTATGCTGACATGTGGCGGTGTAGAGTTTACAAAATGCAAGTCACCTTACCAAGCAACAAATCCAGTTATAATTAATATGTGTACCCACATTCTTTGTTGTGAAATATTCTCTATATCCTTTTACGAGAGAACAGGTTGTAACAATTATTTCAATGGTTTTTTGCCTTGTTACCTAGATGCTTTATAGTGATGACTTTTATAGTAAGTGATAATTTAGCATTGGCCGTTCAAACGAAATTAATGGAGACAAATATGAGTACGTCCTTCCGCATCTCGAATATATATAGTTTGGTAGCGCGGATAATGGCTATAAATGAAGCCAGGCGTGGGAGTAGGAAGCCATAGCCAGGAATCAGTGTGACCGTTGTTGATGTTGAACAGAGCTTATATGACTAAATAATGTGAGGTATCATGCAATCATCCTTTGAAGTAAACAAGTTTTTCCAAATCTTTAATAAGATGTACTTCAGAAAGAGCTACGCCCAACTAACTCGAAATAGGCCAATGTTAAAAAGTTCTGCTAGGAATATCTTCACCGGTGTGGCATAAATTCATTCATTGAAATAGTAACTAACTAAAATTATATATTCTTTCCTATAGCCTAATTGGCTTCAAAAGCATCAGCTGCATTTTTAGCAGTAGTAGTAGCAGAAGCAGGGTTAACACCAGTAACAATTCTTCCGTCAACAATAGAGAAATCGTCCCATGGTCCAGGAGGTGCTACGTAAATGGCACCACACTTCTTAGCAACATCTTCCACTGAAAGTAAGTTTTGTTTCTTCATTATTCCGTCAACACCCAACATTTCTTCACCAATATCGGTGAAACCGGTGATCTTCTTATCCTTGATCAAGTACTCCTTAGTCAATGGGTCAATCAAACCATCAAAGATAGCAGGTCCGTGACAGACAGCGGAAACGACACCATCTCTTTCGTAAATTTCACCAGCAATCTTTTGCAAAGTTGTAGCTTTAGGATAGTCAAAAAGTGTAGCATGACCAGCAGAAGCAAAAAAGATATCAAACTCATCAGCCTTAATATCAGAAGCTTTCTTGATGTTCTTAAGTGCCTTACTGAATTCAGAGTCTGGGTTTTCAAAATCTTCCTTATCTTGACCATTCAAAAAGTCAGAAGCAAGGGAATGTTCATCGATACCATAATTACCAGTCTCGGAAGCAAAGACGACATCAATTCCTCTCTTTCTGAATACGTTAAATGGGTGTAAAGCTTCAACAACGAATAAACCAGTTTTGGCTCCGTCGTCGTAGAAAACACCGTTGTAAGAGGAGACTGCAATGAGAGCCTTAACCATTTTCAATTAGTATTAATGTCAGTTTTTAATATGAGTAACGAAACAATTGAGTTGATAGAGATTAATTTAGTATGTTTTTCAGAATGTGTATAGCTCTCCACTTTTATTTATACATTCTTGCTTGCTTGCTATTAGGATTAATCAATGTGCCTGCATCATAAACGATCGGAATATTGTCCTTATGAAATTCTAAACTACCATAGTAGTTGAAATCACAAAGCAGATGGCATTCGAGTGCAGGAGGTAGAAGACTTTCGAACATGTTGCTTACAAACATATGTATGCAAGTACATGTAATAGTACATGGAGTAACCTTATATCCGAATTATAGAGCAATTGGTTAAATGTAAAGTTACCGCGAGAGTCGGAGTTTGATTGAGGGAATGGAACACCGAGCCAATTCGACAGTAGAGCACTTGCGGTGCCAATCATCTATATGATGCAATGACAACTACAAAGTGCTAGGTATAGCCTCGTGTAAAGAAATACTAGCAAGTTCGGAGATATTTCTTTGGATATATGAGTAAGCAGAAAGCGCAAATTTCCTGATGCGAAGAGTTGAGATCGGCAATTTCACGTTTAGTGCCGATGTCTGCTGAATGTAAACGTTATCGGACTTAAAACTATAAGCACCCGACATATTATAAATCACCTAAAGTTTTAGATTATTTTTTGGCATCGTAATGCACGGCCATATATATAACATTAAGCCTGTTGCAATGTTTCAGAGATCAAGCGGTTACGATTAAATTTAGGTCATACTCTTTACATAACTTCACCTACTCCGATTTAAACGCAAGTTAGACATCCTGAAGAGCCCTTACAGCATTCACTGCGGTTGCTGTGGCTGATGCTGGATTGGTACCAGTGACGATTCTACCATCAACTACAGAGAAGGCATCAAAAGGTCCTGGAGGAGCCACGTAAGTAGCCCCACACTTTTTAGCTACTTCTTCAATTGTTGGAGAGTTATCCTTCTCCATTCTTTCAGCAACTCCTAAAATCTCTTCCCCAATAGCCGTGAATCCAGTGATTTTCTTTCCCTCAATAAGGTACTTGCCCGTCTCTGGGTTGATCAAGTTATCAAAGATGATGGGTCCATGGCACACAGTAGCGAAAATACCACCATTGTTGTAGATCTCCGTAGCAACCTTCAGTAGTTTTGAATTGGGATAATCAAAAAGAGTACCATGACCAGCAGAACCATAGAAAATCAGGTAATCCTTGGCGTCAATATCGGAAGTTTTTTTGATTCTACTAAGTGCCTGGTTAAAGTCAGATTCTGGATTTTCAAAGTCTTCTCTATCTTGACCACTTAAGAAGTCGTTACTAGTAGAATTATCATCAAAACCAAAAGTCCCTGTCTCAGATACAAAATCCACTTCGAACCCATTTTTCTTGAATACATTGAACGGTTGGAGACCTTCATTAACGAAGAACCCGGTTTTCTTTCCATCAGGAAAGTAGGGTTCGTTGTAAGATGTAATTCCGATAAGAGCCTTTGGCATTATTCAAGACAAGATGATTCAACGGGTGTTTAGAGAAGTAGATGAGGCTATCTAAACAATTGATGTTACCGTCTGCTTTTTGAATATTTTGAGATATTCTGTGTATTCGTAGTGCTTTTCTCATTGGTTGTTAATATTGTGTTTTCTTACATATGCATAGGACTTACCCCGTTTTAAGTGCACAGTACAAGGCTTAACTATATTGTACATGTCTCTATTATTATGATGAAATGGGTAAGTAGTATACAGTATATAAGCAAGAAGAAAATTATAGCATGAATGAATTGGAGGTTTGCGGTCCTTTGTTTTTCTTGATGTTACCCTTAACATCCCGTAATTCACCTTTCTTACCAATGACAGTAACATTTTTAGCCTTAGATAATGTATCCATGACTTCGCTAACTTTAGCTTTCTTATTAGGGTTCTTATTGGCTGCAACAGTGCTACCCTTCTCCTTATCAGCTTGAGCCACTTGTGCAGAATGATCTTGACGCTTTTCATATTCCTTTGCTCTCTTTCTCTTATTGGCTCTTCTAAGTCTTTGTTTGTCTTCCTTTGACAATTCGTCTTTGGAGTATGAGAGACCAGACTTAAGTTGAACTTCTGATCTACCCTTAACCCCCGCACTTGGAATCTTTTCGTCTCCAATCTTATAGATTTCTTGTGGAGCCAATGTGGCTTCACTGGCAACATGGATAGGTTGTGCATCCTCCATGGAAATAGCTGCAGCATCATTATCAGTTACCTTGATATCAATTGTCTTGAATTGATGTGGAGCTGGTACATAGTGTGCAGAACATAATGAATCAAGCTTGTGGGACACTTTAGCATATAATTGACTGATTTCATCGTGTCTTTTCTTTAATTCTTCATTAATCTCTTGGTTAGGATCGACATTAGCATACTGATCTTCATAGATTTCAGCAAGTGATTTCTTGGATTTCTCTTCACTCAATTCATATTTTTGTTTATTGTGGAATGATGAAACATCGGTGATAAACCTCTTGGGCAAGTCATTAAAGTCTTCCTCTCGGATTCTTCTCTTGATCAAGCTTTCGATTGTCTCGGTGACTTCATCAGTAATGATGGGAACAGGCTTTGCCACTCTATCGAATCCAAGCTCAGCGGTCTCAGGATCATCTAACAATGAATCTTGTGGTCTCTGCCCAGAATTTACTTCACCTTTCATGGTCCACTTCTTTTCTGCAACTAATTCAGCTTCAAGTTGTTCTATTTCGGCACGAAGGTTCTTTTGTTCTTTTTCAAATCTTGACAAGTTATCCAGCGATTTAGATTGAACTGGTTGTTCATCTTCTTCATCGAAAAGGTCTTTCATGGCCCCACCCACTGCACGATCATATTCATCGTCATCGAAAGCAAAGTCTTGCTCATCTTCTTCGTCTTCCTCTTCTTCGTCTTCCTCTTCTTCGTCTTCACCATCATTCAGTGTCTTCTTGAAGGCTTTGGTTTGTCCTGGTTTCTGATAAAAGTCATCGAAGTAAGGCATATCTTCCTCTTCATCACTCTCACTAAGGTCTTCAAAATAGTCTATTTCTTCCTCGTCTGCATCATCGTCATGTTGGATTTTATTTTGTGTAGTATCTTCTAATGCCAATATCTGCTTATTGAACTCATCGATATCAAAGAATTCATCGTTCAAACCAAAAGCATCCTTCTTAGGGGCTGAAACCACAGTCTCTGTATCTGATCCAATGTCACCTCCTTCATCTTGTTCCTCTTCGTCTTCCAGGACGTTCTCGTGAAGTGTATCAGAATCATTGTAATCGTCTACACCTTCTTCTACATCATCATCGTCACTTTGTAAATCGTCTCCACCTTCTGAGGAGTCATCCCTTTGTATACTTGCAAAATCTTCTTCGTCACCGCTGATATCACTTTCTTCCGCTGCGTCTTGTTCATCATTCTCGTCTTCATCTTCACTATCACCAGCCTTCTCCTTTAACTCTGGTATACGGTCAAACAATAGCTTTGATGAAACCCCTTCCAACACAAGCTTTGATTGCCCAAACACTTGCTGTGCATCTAAGCCATCAGTGTAGATCTCATCCAACACTGAGAAGTCTTTGGATACCGGGTCAAGCAACTGCTTAACTAACGTACAGAAGTATGTACTTACAGTATTGCTATCTTCTTCACGCACCACATCAAACACCTTCTGTGGCGCACTCTCTAATATCTGTAATAGGTCCTCTGAAGCCATGGTATATGTCTGTAATGCTGTATAGTTAGTCGAGGTGGTAGTTAAAGGGAAGTTCAGTTCACAATGAAAATTTGTGCGATGCCATCGCACTTCACTTTGTGTATATCATAAGGGCTCGATTCCTGAATGAGATGAGAGCACACACAATCACTGCTTGTAGTCTTACAACGGTATTAACAGCGTACTATACAACAGGTTGCAGATTATCATCAGGTAAAGGACCATACAGCTTATTAAGCCAACCCTATAGAAAGCCAGTAACAGAAAAAAAAAGATTAGTGAAACCTGTGAGCATTCTTATACACTCAAATCATATCTTAATTGTTAATTACTATCATGTGGGGACTACGAAGCATACGGTTTAAAAGCTCTAAATCATCACGTCAATGGTTAGAGCGTCAAACACGAGATTCGTATACTAAGGAATCAAAGGCTAGCAATTATCGTTCAAGGGCCGCCTTCAAACTTATGGAGCTTGATGATCGATTCCGACTCCTTAACAAATCCACAAGAAACATAGTCGACTTGGGGTTTGCTCCTGGCGCGTGGACACAAGTGATCTTAGAACGTTGTAGACAGCGTGGTGTAGTACCACGGGTTATAGGTGTCGATTTACTAAACTGCAGCCCACCAGAGGGAGCGACGTTTCTTCAAGGAGACATACTCTCGCGTGGAACCCATAATGGAATACGATCCTACTACCATCAGTTCGATTCGTGTCTGTCAGAACAACGTCCAGTCGATCTTATTGTCAGTGACATGATGATGAATACCTCGGGTGTTGGTGACAACGACCACTATGCTAGCATGGAATTGTGTGACGGGGCAATCATTCTTGCGTGTTCGTTATTGCGTCCTGGTGGTTCGCTAGTCATGAAGTTTTTCACAGGAAAGGAAGATCAGCTATTGACCAAAAGAATGAACTTTATGTTTGAGAAAACGTATCGTATGAAACCAGATGCTTGTCGTCTGGAGTCACGCGAGATGTATATAGTTGGACGTCGGTTCCGGCGTGAATTCACACCTACAGAGGTATTCTCCGTAGGTGAAGTAGTCTAATGAAGTATGCGAATCGAAGGTAGTAGAGGTCGTAGCTTAAGGTTCATATAAGCCTGAAAACACAGTGAAATTTCTTGGAGTCTTCACATAATTATTTCTACAATTATCATATCTAACACTAATCAAACATTTTAGATTGATAGTCAAAGGACTGGAAGATTGTGAGCGAAGTTCTCTACAGCAATATTCTACAACGAGGTGGCGCGGTACCAAAACCTGAGGCTTCTGGTTTGGTCGCAGTAATTTTCAATGGGTGCGAAAATGCCTTCAAGGTAAAATTGTGCTCCAAAACAACTTCTTTTATAAACGTTCATTATACACCTTCATGGATAAGATACTCAAGCACCCGGTATTGAGAGAGCCAGCCAAGTGGATTCCCCATCTACGTCAACAACATTCGCTGGACTTAGAACTCAAAGGGTTTTATAATGTGAATGCGTTGATCCATAACCCCTTGGTAAAGGGCTTAGAAGCAACACAATCATCTGTGAGGACATCGAGAGAAAGCACTGTTGTACAAATGGGTTCATCAAACTTCACTACGGCTGTAAGTAAGCTGGCATCAGCTGTCAAATTCTCCAGAGGAGCCTTGATGCGTGTCATTATAGGTAAGGATAGACAAGACAAACAGCTTGGCCTAATGCCTTTAATTGGTGGAACTAAGCACGAAGAATCGCTGTTTACCCCAATGTATGTTTACAATAACAAGAACTATTTAAAGCATGTATTGTTTGGAGATTTGCTGTGGCGGAAATATGCTATCCCTTTCAAGTTCAAGTTCAATAACAGACTAAACAGAGGAATTTTATCTTCTATAGTGGAAAGAGATGTTGTACAACTTGCCGAAAACTTGTATAAGCAAAAAATTCTGGAATTGCTTCCTGATAAAGCAATATCCACAATTTCATTACAGAAAGGGCGTGGTTTAATATTAACTACGAAAGGTGAATCCTTAGTCCTGTTTCGTGATTCAGTTCCAGTGATTAACTTGGCCAAAATATGGCCTGAGTTTGAAATGCCAGATGCAGCTACTGAATTGGCTATTTCTTACAAGGATCATGAAGAGTTGTGTTGTTGCATTTTCAGTTTCATTGATTTCATGCCTGAACTATCGTGCCAGGTGTATTAATAATTAATGATACAGAGATATAACGCACTAGATTCCGTCAACCACTCTACTAGCATCTTGGAAGATTTGAACCAAAGATCCAAAGTCTAAAAGAGCTGATAAGGTTGAAGGACACGCAGAGCCAATATAAATGTCCGAGTTAAGATACTTTTCATACAAATGTCTAACTTGACGTTGAACAAAGTCACGGAACATTTGATAAGCTTGTGACTCATATTCTGAGGCGGGAGAAGTCAACTCCAATAAATCTGCCAAACCTGCAAATAACAAATGAGAGTGATCCAAGGAATCATTAAGAATACCAACATCAGCACCATCTGAATGGAAAAATTGGTTATCACAAGTTCCATTGGATAAAGCTTTCAAGGCAAAACCTAAAGCGATAGATTTCCAGTCATAGCTGCTATCATACTTGCTGAGATAGGCCATTGTGGAAATTGCAGTACCAATTGTGTAAGTCAACTTTCCTTTATTAACTCCATGAGTGTCAGCAGACATACCATCATAAATGAAACAGGTATCAGGTTCTAACAAATTGTTAAATACCCAATTCAAGTTGTATATGGCAAAAGTGAGTAACGAAGGTTCACTATTGATCTCATAGTATCTAACTGCTGCTAAGGCAGCTTCTAATGTCAGGATAGATGAAACATAAGGCAGTCGACATTTCCAGGTGATTCCCCCCACTTGAGGGTTAACTTGAGTTCCCAAATAGTTGATCAAATCATTGGCATTGTAGCCTAATTGCAGCAGAGATTGGTACGAGCCTAAAACGTCTGTGAAAACCCAACTTACTTGGCTGACATCATCGTTGTAGACGTCGCTATCTTGAGCTGTCAGGGCAGAATAAGCACCCTCCAAAGTGTTCAGTTTATATTTATTGAGAGCACTCAAGATATCATTGATTTGTTGAGAGGTTCCAAAGTTACCACTGTTGGAGATGGCCCTCAGGGCAACTGCAACGGACCAAACCACAGGTGTTTCAGAAGCACCACATTTATTACGCCAGTTTCCTTCACTTCCGTCCCAGTACAAATTGAAGAGATTATACAAGATAGTTTGGTACACTTCTTTAGGGTCTCTTACTGGGGAAAGTAATTGAAACTTATCAGTAACCAATTTTGGTTTGAAATTTCTTAAATTGTCTAGGGCCAGAATATCACGTTTGTGGTTAAGCTTTTCGTAGGTTCCAAGAAGGAGTGTGGAATCGATCGAGTGATCTTTGGAACGACGATTAAGTTTTTCTAACCTTTCAGGTGGTTCGCGGTGTGCCGAAAGTGGTAACCCAGACGCCAGAAGGAGTAAGTAAGCAATCACAAAGTAGACTTTAAAGAACATGATGATTCAGAGGAATGGGTATAATTCAATGTATAGTAAATTTTAAAATAGATCCTAAAGTTATAAGTTTCGAATAGCTTTCTATTATATAAACTATGTTTTTATTTTTTGATTGGTATTCTGGTTATTCAGTGGATGTTTAGGAATTGCCTTGATGCAAAAAAAAAGATAAATAACTGCCTGGTAGGCGAGAACAGGTAAGCCAAAAAAGGATAGTGGTGTTTCTTCTAAGGAATGGAAGTTATGACTGATTGATAAAATAATTACTACAAGATCAGACTTAAAGTGTAAGAAATATTTTCCGCTATTTATATGAAAAGCTATTAAGAACCAAAGGAAGCGACCGATGAAACACTTTTCATGGTGAATATGCATTTAGTTCCGTGGGAGCTGATGTTTGGGTTTCATGCAATGATAACGAAGATATCACAATAGGTTCGATTCCTAATTAATACAAGCCTCAAATAAAAACAATGTAAGGAAGGGGTTAGGCTTTTGAAACCGATTCAAGTGGCAGATATGAAACGCCAACGTCGCTTCATAAACGAGGTTTGTTACATTCAACTTTGATGCGAGCAAAAAAAAAAATTAAACTCCACCGGAAAGGGATTACATAAACACCAAGCTGGAATTAGAATAGGATAGATTATTATTAATTGATATTAAACGATACTCTGCTTGTACTTAGAAGGTAAGGGCGAAACATGTGGCTACTTTTTTGGCAAAAGGGACCAACCATAACCATACAACTCAAGACACCATTCGATGAGGTCCTGACATAACGGTTGGGGGACTACGAAGGGGTGGGAAGAAGAATGAGTTTGGGTTATCTCCGGACCAGGAAGGAGCAGCCCCCCTTTTGGTCAATGATCTAACAAGATATGGAAGGTTAATACTTACATATGTAAGCAATGTAGAATATGTGTATTGGTTTATGTATTATAATTATTGTTTATGGCTTCGACTTAATTGGAAACCGTGGTGGATCTAATTCTGTTCAAACTACATCCAGGGACAATTGGTTTTCAGAACCCGACTAATGATGAGGTTTAACGATGATGGTAGCCTAAACTTTATGCAGCAGAATAACTGCAGGTGGTGGCTTGGAGTTTAATATGAAAAGAAGCTTATTATTAATATAATATTAAATTGGTGTTTCATTCCTTGGTTGCGAGACAACAATAGACTGTTTCCGGTAAAGTAATTACATGCCTGGGTTCGGAGATCAATGCGACAATAAATTTTGGACCACCATGTAATAACACATGTCAAGCACCGCTATCAGATATTGATGCTAATCTTGGTGTAAGTACTATTAGTATTAGTGATGCTTATATGACTTTTAATGGTGATAATATGTGTGTTATCGAAGGTTATTACCTTATAGATTTTACTTTTGCCTTACATGTACTTGCGAGCAAAGCTAATGTTATTAGAACCACAAGATTAACCACAAGATTAAGCGACATCTCCCCTCCTCTTTATCCACCTAATTTCCTAGAACAGAAGTCGCTGCACTTGCACTAGTATTGTAATATGGAATTGTCTTAATGTGGCATTATAGGCACGCTGGCACCATCACACAGGATGGGTGATCTCGGCAGACCAAGTTTTTTTTTTGCACGTCAATGTTTATGACGTATATCAGTCGAAGGGGGGTAAAAAAAAGTATTGTGTAATAAGGAATATCCATGCAACACATTTTCATTTTGAGTTAAGCTTCAATTCTATTCTACCTTAAATAGATAATATAATTCCAGAGTTGACCGATTACCTACGCCAAGGGAAATAATCTCTGCTAAATTTTATGTGATCTTATTCTAAACACCATTTTTTTTATACGATATAGTTAACTCAACTAGATTCTAAAACAACCCATATACCAAACCCAAAACTCCAACAACAAAGTTGGTGAAGATTGATGGAGTAACGTTAGCTCCGCCAGATTTCTTCGATGTTGAACTTGGAAGTGGGTTGGTAGCGCTCGATAAGGCTGTACTTACGCTTCCACCATCAGCACTTGCTTTTGAAATCCAAGAGTTAATGTCTGATCCACTAATTGTTGAATCAAACCGAGTAGAGTTGGATACAAAGACTGCGGCATTTCCGTTCAGATCGAATACAACACCTCCCTTCATGTTACCAGTAAGATCTCTTTCAATAAACTTATCGGCCGCAATACCATTTTGAATGTCTCCTGTACCTTGGTAATCGTGGACGGTGGAGTACAAATTAAGGGCTTCTGTTGTGTTCATAATCTCAAACACATCAAATTCACCACATCCTGATCTCCAACAAGAACAATTGACATTATTACTATATTGAGCAGTTCTTGGAATCTTGGCATTCAAAAGCCAAATTGCAGGCATGTCATAGTTGGAAACGTCGCTTGAAAGTTTATCCTCTGTTGGCATTTCAAAGTCAAACAAAAACATCTTAACTGTTCCTGCAAATCCTTGGAACGCTGGAATACCACTTCTGTACACACCACAGTCATTATTAGGACCAGAGCTATCGCATGATACGTTTGAGAAAATGGCATATTCTTCGTTGGAGTAAATCTTGTTATTGCTTTCTAACAATGTAGCCTTTTTTGCTGCACTTGTACCATTGGCACCAGCAAATGTCAAAGCATACCCTAAACAAGGAGAGTACTCACCAGCAGTGGTAAGAAAAGTAATATTTTCACCAACTTGTTTTTCGGCATTGTAGTAAGTCAATCTATTCCATGATGAACTTGAGCTCAGCCCAAGGGTGAACAGATCTGTTGTGTAGTAAGCAAATTCATTCAACACCAAAGGACCTCTGAAATGAACAGAAAGAGCTTCATTCAATGGTGCATTGGGACCCTTGAACGATACGGCATCACCTCTTTCACAAGTACATGAGTCTTTAGTCACATCTTTAAATGCTTTGACGTCATAGTAATAACCTTGAAACCCCAAGTTGGTGAAGTCAATGACATCAACGAAATCGGCTGAGGCGCTAAGAAAACTCGTTGCTGCTAAAGCTAACACTGCACTTATTCTCATGGCTATTCACTAAGTGCTAACTAAAATTTTAAATTTCCACACACTCACACAAGAAAGAAATGTACGCGATGTGCAAGTCTTTTTATATAGTTGATGATTATATTTGATAGAATTATTTTTAGTATTGTTTGTTCTGCCTTGTTTAAGCAGGAAATTTATCCTTGTGGCATCGGTTAATCCGGGCCAGACTGTACGAAATGGCTTATCGCTACGTTTTCACACAGCCCGGTGTGCGCTACCACTTCTTGGAACTACTATTTTAGTTTTGCTTTTAATTGGTATATCCTGGTGGTAGACTTGTTTGCTGCGGAAGATTAGTGTAGTTATGGGACCAGCTGCGTATTTAGTTTAAACGTTACCCCTAAACGGTCCTGTACGAACATGGGTAACCTTTAAATAAAAAATCATTAATACATAGCAATAGCATTGGCATTAGGTAATTTTACATTAAGATTGACGTGAATTGTTAACTCCAGCAGCAAATTTACTTTTCTGCTGCGAAATGCTGCAAGCATATCATTCGAATTGCAGGCACTACACACCGCCACAAATATGGTATAACTTCAGAGTATAGAACACTACAGTTACGAGCATTTGGACTTGGTTAGGGCCATGTCTTCCAATCCACTAATGCTTAAATCTTAGTGCTAGATGAGTTCGGGTGGATGGAAGCTTCCTTATACCAAAAATATCCTTGGGAATACAATACAATAAAGACCTCATTCGTATACGGTACGTCATAGCTGCAGCGTACCTTAGAATCAGCTCACGTGAAGCATTACCCAAATCCAGAGGCACTGAAAATTTTTTAACAACTAGTTCTGGGGTTACCCGCACTTGTGTCTCCAAAGAGTAGCACTTGATCCGAAGATTTCAATCGATCAATGGTAAGCAATCAATATCGATCTCCACAATTCGTACAACTGCTAAATATCATTCAGCATCATCAAGATCGCCTGCACAGGTATCAAAACCACAAATCGCCAGCATTTCATCATCTGTGAATTTAATAGCAAACACAAAGGATTCTAAGAGGTGATATATCCACATTGTCTATATATAGTGGGAAAGATCTTGTGGCAAGATTGAATTGATTTGTTGCATGCAAAATACTTTAAAATTCATATTACTGCTAAAAGACTCTACTGTGGGAGTGGGAGAAGGTGCTATTTGTAACATTCATAGATAACATACATCGCGTCCCATATGGAAGGAGCGCACCAACAGCATTCAGCCTTGAAGTCACCTCATTATGCAGCATTCTCCTCACAACCGTTACCGACATCGTCACTTCGGGATATCACTGCTTTAGTGTTTATTTTAATGTCCTTACCTCAAAACTTAGCCACTCCGTTATTGGCCCTTTACATATTTGCAGATTCCAGTTTTGTCTATGTACGTATGCTTGCACTGTTTGTGTTGGTTGACAGCGACGAAGAATGTCGTGGTCGTAGTCGTCTGCAGCCACGAGGGTTGGGTCGTGGTGGTGGTTTTGGCCGACGGTTGTGGGAATTGGTGGACTTTTCAAAGACTATCAATGCTATAGGAAGGTTTATTGCCATTCTTGCCTTCAATTCCATGGTTTATTTTTCCATTACTCGTTACATCTCATTCCATAAACGTAACGTTTATTTCAATCATTTGGTGATACTAGCGAAAGCAACTATACTGGCAGACATTATAGGGTCGTCGTCTATTAATTCTGTCACCTCCATATCCAATAAAAAGTTTGCATCTAAGATCCAATTTGAGAATAAGCATCTCAATAATGGTTTATTGAATTCCATAGCTTGTTATTTGATTGTTAATTATACTACTTATTGTGTCAATTGGCTTCTAGGAATGAACCATGGAGCTCTAGATTCCATTAATCAATACAGTGAACTATATCTTGTGTTATGTCTCCACGTTGTCATATCGTCCATTTATCGAAACTCTTTCCATTCCAACAGTCACAATAAGAACAACTTCCATGCCCCCAATTACAACGTCATGAAACTAGATGATGGAGGAGGAGGCAATAGAGCCATTCATCATCACCATACTGTTTCTACCAGTGCAGAAATCTCGACCTTGATAGATGGAGACTCCTCTCTAGTAAGCAATGCGACTACAACGGGAGCTCATATCAATAATCCAATCCACAATAACAACAATTATACGCTGCTATCAAATCATAATAACAGCAGCACCAGCAATAATAATAACAATAATAACAATAATAATAATAGTGATATTGTTGATAATTGCAGCAATATCATAACTACTACAACCACAACATCTACGCCAACAAGTCGCACAACAACCACAATATTGTCTACAGGCAACGATGAACCTTCTACAAAAGTCTCATCCAACGTTACACATGTTAATGGTAGTGCACTAGTCACATTACCTGCTTCCATAAGCTCTTCGACTTTAAAGCTAACCGAGGAAACTCCAGATGAGTTGGTTGAAATTGACTTGAGCAAAGTACTACAGAATGAAAGATTTGAGAATGAAATACTGGGCGATTCTATCCAGTTACACAACTTTGAAGTATTCATTTTAAAGCCATTCAATAATAAGCTTTTGATTAATAGAAACAGGTCATTTAATCCTATCTCCAAATACCCTTCATTGTGTTCTTCTAACAATGAAAAGTCCGACTCAAATATAGCATATTCAGAATCGAATTCTGGTGGTAATTCAACTACAATTATTGATAATATGATTACTATCCAACCATTTTGGTCCGTGGTGGCTTCCTTTAAGGCAGCAATGAAATATACTTCTTTATTTGATGGCCAAATGACGAGAAGAAAGACCCATGGAGGTGAGTTTCTTGCATTACCTAGTGCTAAACTTGAAATCAGTATTTTGACCATTGATGACTCCAAAATCTTAATGAACATTATGCTGTTTGCCAAAAATCAATCATTTGATATTGGCAAGATCAGAATCAAGATCAACAGCATTGATTGGATGTACTTCAAGATCTGTGAAGTGGACAACGAATGTTATTTATTGGTTTATGGACTATCAGCATTATTTCAATATGAAATAGATATTTTCCACGAACTGCAGTTATTGAATCATTTGATTATCAGTACTACTACTCCCAATAAAGATAAGGTATTAAATCAACTGCCTAGTGAGCAGAATTCAAGTCTATTGACCCTTCAAATATCGTTGGTTCTGACTATAGAATTGCTTTCAAGCAAAAAGTCTAGCTACAAAAAGATGAAGAAGGATGAGCACAAGAAGATCAGTGAGTTGACCAAAACTATTGATGCTTTTAAGAATCGAATTGCAAAGTATAACGGTAAGCAACCCAATGAAAGTCGTATATTTGGGAAGTTGAAAGGTTTAAAACACCAAGTTAATCAGCTTGAAGCTGAGGTTCAAGAGTTAAAGCGTGCGGTGGAACAGTTGGATCAGAACAAGGATGCCAGCAGAATTCAATTGAACGTGAAAGAAACCGAATTACAACAAGAACTTGCTGCTTTAGATCAGGAATACGAACAAGCGTATTTGAAAGCTGTGAACGAGGTTAAAATGCTTTTGAAAGAGGCCGAGTTGGAAAATGCAAATATAATTAGCAAGAATCAAAAGAACTCCAATAAGGAACAACAGATTTTGAACGAGATCAACAAGCTAGACTGTGAATTGAAGAATATGAAGAAAATCCAAGTGTTAGGAAAGATCCAGAAACGAACCAAAAAGGTAAAGGATAAAATAGATACCATAATTCCTCGAGTATTTGAATCCACAGCTGAGTTGCAAAGAAAGTTTGAAGAGTTAGTAGGATCAGATTACGAGTTGATCGAAGAGAGTAATCAATGATGATTTAACGAGTTTACGATGAAAAATTGAATATTTATATTTATATTTATATTATATTATATTATTAATATGTACGTTAATCTCTAAGGGATTGACCCACCTGGTGGAAAGATCGGTTGAAATATATAAGACCTCCAGTCTTTGAATGCAAATATTTCTCATTTGGAGTTAAAATCTCCAACACTTTTACTACCCAAGATTCGTGATCATGAACGATCATATGGTTTTCTGCTTTACAGATGAATACTCTTTCACTTTCCTTTAACACCGGTATTTTTATGGCATCTTCCTCTATACAATGGTAGAACCAATCATGTGACTCGCGTAGCTTTTCAAAAGGTGTAGTCATCTCATGAAACACTTCTCCGTCATCTTTAACGTTGACATTATCGGGTATAAATTTTGTTCTGGTGGTCTTGACTCCGCTGGCAAATGTTCGTCCCAATTGGGCAGCTCTAGGCGTAGCAGGTAGCAAGTGGAGTGCTAAATATTTGAACTCATGAAGCGAGGACGAAGTGTATGATGGAAGATGAAGATTAAACTGTAATAATGGGAACGGTTGAATGCTTAATGAGGAAACTGATCCCAATGTCATCCCATGTAAATTAGGAATAGCATTTCTATTATAATTTTCTTTATTAGCTTTGGTGCACTCTTTGATACCACTGGTTAAGATCATTGCTGGTGAGCTCATCCTGCTCATGGAGTCTTTGAACAGTTCAACAGTGTCATATACGGACTTCTGACAATAGGTTCGTAAACATCTTTTAATCATTTTGTGTCCGATTCTGTAGCATTAATGTCCGCTAATGGGAGTTTGTTTCTTTGTATGTTGAAGAAATTGTCAGCTTCATATTGACCACTAAATATCGTTTGATTCACCATAAAAAAAAATATTATATAAGTTAACTACAAAAAAGAAAAGTAGATGCGCAAACCCGGAATCGAACCGGGGGCCCAACGATGGCAACGTTGGATTTTACCACTAAACCATTTGCGCATGAGAAGTGCTCCGCGACGGGGAATTGAACCCCGGTCTACCACGCGACAAGCGGTAATTCTAGCCACTAAACTATCACGGATTTCTTGTTTAACTAACGGGGGTAAATCATAGTTATAGTAAACATCTAAGCGTTGCACATTTTTTTGTCTTTGTGTAACAAAATTAGCATCTTGTTGTATGGGCCCTCGTCTTGTATCCACAACAGTTGTTTGATCTATTCTATTGATAGCCTCCGCTTATTTAACTATGGCACATAAGAACTGAGTGCTTTAGGGCTATAACTTTTTATCGTATTCTATATCCCAGGCATGGCTGTCGAATACGTTGGTGTGCGGGGCTCTAGATTTTTATTCTACTTATTCATTCGTGTAGCATTAATTCACTCATTGAAAAAGAACTAACGAAGTACTGAAGCAATTGAGTTAATAAAAGGATATTTTTAGAGTACTGTTTCACACGAAGAACAGTTATTTATACTTGCTTGTTTCTAGGAATTCATCAATCTATATCGTACCTGCATCAGAAAACGAGTAAGGTCAGCAGCCAACACAAAATGCTACAGCCGCATCGAAGTTTGTCGCTTAAGATAGTGGAAATCAGGAGATAGAAGACATTAAAACATGAGTTGCTTACAGCCATATACTCGTAAGTATCCTTATATCCGTGTTGAAAAGCAATTGATTAATTGTAAAGGTGAGTCGGGATTTCATTGAGAGAGTGAACTTGAGCCAAATGTACAGAAAAACACACTGGAGATGCCAATCATCAAAGTGGTGCAATCAAGTCCAGAGATGTTCCTTTGCAAATGAATTTCTATTATGCGAAGCATTGAGATCGGCAATAACAAATTAATACCGATGTCGGCCGAATAAAAAACGCATTGGATTTAAAGTTATAGGCAACTAAAGTATTATGAACTTTTCTGAGTTCTAGGTCAACGTCATCGTGTTGGACGGTGATATACCTAACATTAAGCCCACTGCAATGTTTCAGAAATTAAAACGGTATTGCTTAAATGGTATTTAGGTCGTTGTCGTTATGTCATTTGCAGTTAGGCATTGTGATACCATAAAAAATAAAAAAACGACAACTGCAGGATTCGAACCTGCGCGGGCAAAGCCCAAAAGATTTCAAGTCTTTCTCCTTAACCGCTCGGACAAGTTGCCGAATTATATTCTTTATTAAAGTATTTCACACTACCTAGAAAAGTGCCCACTTGTAATTGCTAGCTGAAATACTTTTAAAACCCACTATCCAGACTTTATAAGCAGTGAGGGTAACTCCAAAAGTCAACTGCTTGTCTTTTTGGTGTTTCCACCGATATTAAAGCTATTATTAACATTGATTAATAAACTTGTTAGTAGCTAGAAGTTTTACTCCAAATACGACAAAAATAACCAAAAATGTAAACTAATGCAATTCGGCAGTATTAACTATATTATTTTAAACAAAAACTAGTTCTAATTTTGAGGAAAAGGCCATAAGGGACTTAAAGGTACTATTTTATAGGTATATAACAATAAATTAAGTCAAATTTCCAATTACATTTTTTTGCTTCAGTTCCAACTTTTCATGGAGCAAAATCTGGTGTGCGGGTGTCTCTGATGGCTAATGGTAACCCATACATAATTGGAGCAGAACCATTCAAGTATTTGAGGGTACAGCTGTTTCTGGATTTGCTTATTGCTTGGGAAAAGTTCAATGTAGCCGATTTAGCATTCTTCTCTATCATCCCTGCCTTAGCCATAACTGATAAACTAAACATATCAATGTCTTTATCAGTGACATCCCATAAGTTCCCAATAACCATAGGAGATTCGCACAATAGCCAGTTCTGTACGCTACCTGTGGGATTCAATATACCATTAGATTTTAATGAAGCAGATGAACATCCAATCAATAAGGCTGGTGGAATCTTGTGTCCATTAACAAGTTTATATTCAAACATGGTGCCAGGTTTGACATACTGTTGACAACATCCATGTCCCAGGTAAAGAAAAAGATCACTATTGGTTAGTTTATTCATTAGTTCAGTTTCAACAGGAACCTGACCCACATATCCATACCATAATTCTGACTTCTTAGCCAGAATTATAGGACGTAATCTGTTTTCTGTATTTTGTAGATCTCCATCAGGATTAACGAGGTACAAGGTCTTGGGATACTCAGGAATTGAATTTATTTCAAGCATGTTTTGTAGCCAAGAATAAGAAGGGGCTCTGGTTATTGATTTCTCCTTTAAAAATTCCAACGATTCCCATGGGAAATGATTACAAATCCCGTTAGGAACCAAAATTATATGATGGTCCTTTTGATGCTTGTTTCTCTTGAATTGTTTGAAAAGGGATTCCACAGAAGATAAGAAGCACACATGGTCAAGTTTCGCATTTATATCGCATGCCAATACCGAGTCCTGAAGGATTTGGAACAAGTCTTCCACATCACTGGTTTCAAAGTCTGTCAAGTTATAAAACAAATTAATGATGCTATCGTCAAACAATATATTCTTGGAAGATTTTATGGATCTTGTCAATAAAGTTTGAAAGGAGTCTCTAAACTTGAGATATGCTTGATCGTCCGCTTCATTTGACTCGAACACAGATTTGAACCCACCAAACACATATTTCTCCAAGAAGTGCAAAATCTCCTTCACTTTCAGATCTAAAGTAAATCGAAGATTCCACCACTTAATTCTATCATCTCTAGTTACGATTGTTGAAGTAGTAGCTGATTTCGTGGTGAGATTGCTCTCTTGAATTATTTGCTGAAACTTTTTGCACAAATCATCTATGGATATCGAAGGTATTGATCTGTCTCTAAGATGGAAACGACCAACATTAAGTCGTATAAATCTGGGCTCCTTTCCCTTTGAACATTCAGTCAACAATAAATCTCCTGTCAATTGACAAGTGTCTATCCCTACTACTTTCCAATTTGCAGGCAAATTGTTGCAAAAATTTGACCCAAGCTTTGATTCAGTCTCAGCATAAGAGTCAATGCTAATTTTATCAGGGAATAATTGCTTGTAGCCCTGAGCGGATTTGTGAATCTTCATTTCGTTATCAATGGGATTTTCTAAATAAGAATCTTGAAGCTGAAGCAAATCATTCAAAGCTGTTGAACCTGGTTTAAGAGCTGTCACTTGGGAAAGTAATGAAAAACAGAGATGCAACAACTTGTAGACTTCTTGATTGGCAAGATTTGGACAGTCGTGAAACACTTTACTCTTCGAAAGACGAATCAAAAACTCCTTGTATGACACAAGCTTGTCCAACGCTTGCATAACATTCCCCTCAAGTTGACCACCTTCAATTGCGTTTATAGCTCCAGGGCATAAATATGCAAAACTCTTAAATATCGAAGATTTATATTCAAATATCTTCTCCTTTATTATATTCACTTGATCCAATACATCATCCTTCTCACTTTTTGAAGTAATATTAGGGTTCAAATAAGCAACGTTGGGAGTTACCAATCGACAAAGCTTTTGAAACTCAAATACAAAGTTTTCATTCAAAGCTGTAAGGCTAGAAATTTTAGATGCACCTACTTCATCTAATGTCTTCCACGATTGTATATTAATTGTCCCAACAGAATTCCCAAGAAGAATTTCAACAGCTTGTTTAACTGTGGCTAAGGAAGCGCAGTTACTCACAATACTGAATCGCCATTGGTCAACGAAGCTTTCATAATGAATGGATACCTCTTCAGAATTTCTTAAAAGCAAAGAAAGGCCAATTATCTCATAAAGCACCAAAACCTTTCTTACTGGGGAATTTAAAGAAGAGCACAATTCCAGCAACCCTCTAACATAAAATCTGATATCCCTTGAAACTCCCATGTAGTTTAAGTTTTGGATAATGGAGACATAAGACACAAGTAATAACACAACAGCATTCAGTTTAATATGAGTGTATTGTATTTTTGGAAAGTTAGGTCCCAATTTAACCATTATTGAATTCAAAATCTTCAAAGAAACTTTGCAATTTCTATAAGCACCCACATAATCTTCAAGAAAAATATTAAGTTTGGCACTTAACGTTTGAAAATGGGCTAACAATAAAAGTGCTTGGAACTTCTCAGGAAGGGACAATTTTGTTGATTCAGAAATATCCAACTCTGGCTTTGATTTGACAAACTTAAGTATTTTGTTAAACTGAGATATTGCGGTTTCTTTATTCCTAATTGATATGGCATAATCCAACTGTAACAATTTAAAGGAAAGGATACTTGGAATTGATATTATTCGGTTCTCTTTAATAACGTTCATCAACAACTTAATCTGCTTGTACATATCTCCATAAAACCCAAGACGAGAGAGTGCCACAGCCAACTTATAGTTCAAGAAGAATATCATTTCAGGATTTAATATGTTCATCTTAACTATCTTGTTGATATTGAGCACCATGCTTCCATATAATGCATTGAGCTCTAGGAAAAGAATGAATGATTTTATTATCTCATCATCTCCCACACTGTCTATACTAGAAGTCTGGACTGCCCACAAATTGAACTCAAGCTGACATTTATCATACAAGAGATCACTCCAACCAAAGTGTGTGAGCTTTTGAAGATATAAATCGCAATTGAGGATGGAGCCAGCAGGGATATCCTGCAACAAAGGAAGATCCATGACTTCTGTTATACCATTTGTATGATAATATCCTAGTTGAAATTGTAATTGAAGAAGGGGATCTTGAAAGGATAGTGTCTTGATCAAAGTGTTACACACAGTTGTCTTCACCGTTGCATCGAGTAGCTTTTCACAGTATTGGAACACTTGTAGCATTAACTGAAGCAAATACTTCTCGGACACAAGATTTGATTTACACATAGATTTCAATTTATCTATTACCAAACCATTATCCTTTGTTATAATCTTCACAAAAAGGTGAATAACTTGTGACTTGAAAGTACTCTCCGTCCTTATTTGAGAAGTATGGAAATAATCTAACATTATAGTTAAGGAAGATTTTGCAAATCCCATACCAAGAAGAACATTGCTAACTTTCATTGCCTTTGTTTCATAAAATGCCCAGTTTTCACTTGTAGGGGAGCACTTATAAATGTCACATTCGTACTGGATTGATAAACTCCAATGATTGGGGTTTCTTGACCTATTACCCAAATTGTATAGCAAATTAGATAGCATTCGAGATCTTGAAGTAGACTCTGCAAGCTTGAGTAGGTCATGTAGTGATTGAATTATACACACCATTTGTGAGCTTGGACTTGCGGTTGAAGTAGCCATTGCATTCTTCAAGAACGTAAGAAACGTATCGATAGCTCTAAGTTGTATTGAATTGAGCTTTTGTTTCAGTCCTGATGATGATGAAGGAGATGTTAATTCAGTCAGCAAATATTTTGATACAGCTTTAGCAAATTCGAATCCTGTTGTCGATAATGGGATGGAATATCTGCTTAGCTTTCTTAAAAGAGTGTCATTCTCCAAGAGAGTTTTTTGACCAGTGAATAGACCATACTTAACGTTTTCAAGCTCAATTGGCGATGGATCAACCATAAACCTTTCAATTGCCTGATCGGGACAAACTGAAGCCGACTGTCTCCTAAAGTGTATCTGAATAAGAGAAATATCAAAGTGACCACCCGGAATAGACAAATCCTCCACAAACTTTACAAGCTGTGGATCATATGATATTAGGTCCACATAGGATTGTATTTGTTGTTTCTCTATTGACTTGTCAAGTTGCATTAGTTTAAGCAATATGCAATCACGGGCAACAACTATTTCCGGTAGTTGACATTGGCTTCGTACATTTAAAGCCTGGAATACTTTATAGTATCCTTTAATGAGCTTAATACAATTGTTTGTGTAGCGAGTTGATTGATTATGATCAATCTCAATATGATCACCCTCTTTGCTCAACAATTGTCCGAAAGTACTGGACGAATGGAAACAATGCACTATACTTTGAATATCCTCCCTCCGGATATAAGGATCGTTGCCAGCAAGTAAACTCTTCACATTGATGGAAACATACTGTAAAATGGCCTGAAGCGCTACAAAGTAATATGTGATACCAACAGATATGATTCCCTTTAACGATTGGTCAATCTCAACAGCGTCTATCAAATCGCTAACAGTCACACTTCCATTGAATGTTGGCTTCTTTTTCCCAAGTGCCCTGCGGGCCAATACCAAATGCTTAAAACACTGTGCAAGTTGTTTGGTCTCTAAAAGCCGTACAACATACAGTTGATGACGTTTGGCTATGGAGCATCTCTTTTCACCCAGTTTATCAAGTAGATATAAACAAGCAAAACTATTATAAACAAGCTCACTATTATTGACAGCGGTGGTGGTTGTCAGTAGCTCATTCAATTGCCTATTTGCTATTGTTTCTATCTCCTTACTGCTTGCCACAATGTGATTGATCTTTTTGGAGGTTTCCAATGGATTAGCAAACGAACTCTTTAAAAACAAGTCCAACTTATCTCCGTCCGAAACAGTATTGGAAAGCATTTAGAAATGTGATACGTCACAATATGATACGTTTACTTTAAATCCATTAGGTAATGGGATTACTAGTTGTAGTGTAATTAGATTGAGTTTACTTACGTGAAGTATCAACAGAAAGAAGATCACAAAATCAATCAGGTAAACAAAAATCCTGTATGAAAGGTAACTCATAACACCACTACACCCGCACACCAACTGCTATATACGTACCAACCTATAATCCTTTTACCATTGATATTATTTACATGACGGTTTCCAACTTCGTTAGACGTCTTTTCTGAAGCTGTCGTGCCTTGAATACTTGGACTCGGAGTTTCATAAGACTATCAGGGACCAAGTCACTCACAAGTAAGTCAAAATGACACCCAGAAATTGGACAATGGGTTACTCCATTTCTTAGTTGCAGTAGAATAGGACGGTTTTCATAGGTATGACCACACTTCCTTGAACGTACAGGGTTCTCCAAAAACTGTAAGGAAAGAGGATCTTTTAAAGACACTTTCCCACCACTAACGGCAAGTTCATCATCAAGAGAATCATGGTCAGGCAATGGGTCTTCTGGGTTCTCAAGAATCGATCTAATATTCCGAAGTCGTTGTAGTTTAGGTTCTTTATTCACCGTTTTGGTAATGGACTCTTCAGTGACAATACTGCTATAATACGAGTTCAAAGTGAGGTCAAAGCCCAATGGAGGGTTTTTCTGGAACTGTTTTAAGCTGTTTAGATTGAAATCCGCCGCCTCATTGGCTACTTGTCTTATATCATCCATTGCTGCCTTAGTCAGCTTCATGTAGGCCACTTTTAACTGGTAGGCTTCGTATAACCTTTCCACTACTTGGATACACGTGTCGATGTAGTCAAAGTTTGCTTCACTTAAACGTTCCTCATTGACTAGAGTATCGATATAAGTGTCCACATCTCGAATGACTGTTTCAATGTCAGAATCGATATCAGATTTGGATGCTGTACTTGGTAGTTGTGAAGCTTCACGTTGAAACTTATTAAGAAGCAGTTTAGTCAACGGTATACTTTCAGGAACTCGGAGATCATCCGGTAAGCCATCCAATGTTTCCATGTTTGTCAGCCTGTATGTTTGTCAGCCTTTCAGTGCTTACGTATAATAACCAGAGAACGGGTTTGATAGTTTGTATATGTGAACCTAAATAAATAGCGACATTATCATCAAAACAAAAACATCGCGACATAAAACATCGCGACATTCCACCAAAAGACATGTTTCTACTATGATATCCAACCTATATATATCCAACCTATACATATCCAACATATAGATAACCAACCTTAAATATACATACATCCATTGTAACCAGTTGACATTAAGCGTAATAAATAAAACGGACTATTCTCTCCAAAAAATCTAGTGTCATGCAAAAAGCCAAAGCATTTCTTCACTCTTCGGGTCCAGAGCCTGGTCCTGAACCAGATGCAGATCTCGATCGTTGAGCTGATAAACCCATTCCAGTATGATTATTATTTGTGGCGTTGGGTGTTTCAGAAAATGCAGTAGTGGGACCTGAAGATGCTCCTGATGGGGTTGACGAAGCTCCATCTTGTGTAGTTGTCTGCATTGTGCTGACAGTAGTTGATGATGTTGAACTTGAAGTTGATGGAATACACCAGTTTCTGTGACAATGCCATGCTTTCATTTGACATTCACGACTGCAGTATTTAGTTCTTTTACACCGACGACATTTCAGGAATTCCCGAGGATAACGCTCCCATTTGCCGCATTGCAAGTTACCACATTGGCGCACACCACCTTTAAAGTCGTTGCGCCGGCACGAGTTGCGCATAATGACCCCAGACCAATAGTACATGTCTGTACCAGAAAGGAACGTAAACTTTTCAACCATTGAAAACAAATTTACCTTCTTGTAGTCCATCAAAAAGACGTCTTGGTCAATTGGGTCGTCCACCTCAAAGTGGTCATAGGAGTCGTAATCCCAGTAGTCCTGCCGGTTTTTCTTCTTAATCATGTGTTCTTCAATCACTGTACTAGAAAGAATGTTACTTTCCACATCAATATACTTGTCAATCTTATCATTCATTTGACATAATGCCATTTCTCGGTCGAGATCATCCAAAATAGATTCGGAATCAACAATCGATTGGTAGAGAGAACTTAAACTAGATCCATCTGAGTTTTTAGTTGTACTGGTAATTGAATGGGCACATCCCTGTGCACCACCATCAACATCAATAGCACCCGTTCCGAATGCATCTTCATCAACTTCATCATCATCAATGTCGCTTTCATCTTCAAGATCCTCAGAAGAACCGCCTGTAGCAGAGGCAGAATCAACTGAATTTATCGCTCTTGCAGATGTAGCAGAAACATTAGTTGTAGTGGTGGCATTCTCTGGGTTAGTAGATTCTGCACCATGATCTGCTTTATCATTATGACATAAATCTAATCTGTCTTCTTCAAGAATCATTTCCAAATCAACAGGAGAAATATCATTCACCATTTGAGGTGAACTTGATGCAGATACGGTGAATCTGTCCATAAATGATTCTTCAGTTGAATTTGTTGTAGTACGTGAAGCAGATTCACTTTGAGATAACCATTGATTGGAACTGGCAATGTTTGTATTGGCATTTGTAGAGCTACTAGAAGGTTGTTTCACATTCTTTGCATCACGCATACGAATCAATAGTTCCTTACGCTTAGACTTCATCTGTTTGCTGATAAACACGATATATTTCTTTTCCCGGATGGACATATCTGAAGCTAATTGAGTGTTTTGTAACTCTTCTTTAAGAAATGGATATTTGGAAATATAGGCCAACAATTGTAAACACCATACAATATCATCGTCACGAGGAATAACTACCCCTGATTCAGTAAAAGTGCGAGGAGCAATCTTGGTGTTTGAGTTCATCAACGTATTGATGCAATCATATTCCAGAATGTACATATCCGAAAGAAAATTCAAATTTGAGTCCATTTCAATCTCATTATCACGTACTAGTTCATCATCCCAATCATATTCTCTTGATTTCTGTTCACGGAGTCTTTTGATTATATTAACAATAAGGTATTTCCTTCTAACGTCATTATTGACCGAATAAAACTTGGGGTTGTTGCGAATGAGTTTCATCAACTCATCAATGGAAAGATTATCGTAATCTTCGTTGGTTAAATGTGATTTACAGAATGGATGAGCAAAGGAAGCTGGAAAGCTTATGTTGGGAAATGATCCGGAATCAAATTGGGATAAACTAAATGGAAGTGCAAATTCTCGAGTATGACGGTTTGGACTTACTCCACTGCCAGCAGATGAAGTTCCATTGGAAGAAATATTATTGTTGATGTTGTTCGATGAAGGAGGATTAATAGTGTTGCCTGAGGTCGCAGGAATGTTAAGAGAAATTGGAATTGTTGGCACTGTAGTTGACATTGTGAAATTAGAAGATAATGTAGTTGTTGGAGTCGTCACCTGCTCATCATGGATTGGTGGTCTTTCATAGAAATCTTCAGAGCCTTGCAGTGAAGGTTGCGAATAAGAACCAGGGAAAAACGAGTCCGATGCTTCTGACACACGGGAGTTAACTCTTGAAGTTGCTGGAGATAAAAATGACAGTTGCAGCATCAGCTGTTGTTGTTGTTGTTGTTGTTGTTGTTGTTGTTGTTGTTGTTGTTGTTGTTGTTGTTGTTGTTGTTGAGGTGGTGGAGGTTGCAGTTGCAGATGTTGTTGTGATTGTGCTTGTTGTTGCTGTTGTGCCGTAAAAGGACATGGACATCTTGTCGTAGCAGCAGCAGCAGTAGTAGCGGCAGCTGGTTGGTTTCCATTCCATGTGCTCATAAATATGCCATGCTGGACAAACTGTTGCTCGTTCAAAGTAAGATAATTGTCCAACACTGTTGCGATAATGGGCAAGATACCAGCTTGAACAACCTTTTGACGGATCCGTTCTGTACCTCTTGTGCCAATCAATACAAGACATTGGAAGGTCAAGGTCCATTTCCAAGCAGCCAAAAGTTTCTTTTCATGATTAAGAATGGAGTTAGCCAGGTTGAATGTCGTGTTATGACATTCATGAAGGATTTCAACCAACCGTTCTACTCCTCCATCAACAGCAAGGGTTTCCCTGACTTTGGCCAGAGACGAGACCAAGTATGTGAGATGGTTTAAGGAGTTAACCAAAGGTTTATCTGAAGTGACATCTAGAGCCCGACGATCGTAGAGACTCGCACTAATGGTGACCGCTGCTTTATTATTCGCCACTAATTTGTAATTGGATTCACGCATGTTTGAGTAGTAGCGATATTATCAATAACTATCGCCTACCTCAAACCAATATCAAAGACCAATAACAAACAGTTACACAGATCAACAGACTGACAAACAAACAGACAGGCAGTCAAACAAACACACAGCCAGCTAATACAGACAGACAGACAGACAAACAGCTAAACAAACAGACAGACTATTCAGTTCACCTTCACTAATCAAAGTCTCCACACACAAGAATGAACGAGTCGTAAGTTGCACTGAGCGCTTTTTGGTTGATGTTCGATTCGATTGGAATTATTTTGGTGTTAGTGCGAAGGAATTTTGGATGTCCTTGAAAAGGAGGCAAAATTGAAAACTTAAACTCAAAGACGAAAAGTTGCTGCCAAAAGAAAGAAATCACTATACAGAGACAGTACTGACAATTACACGCACGTAGTAAATTGTGGTATGGTATATAAGTAGCGGAGTATGATGAGATATAACAATATCGTTAGTTGTTAATTTATGTTATAGTTATGGGTTGTATAATGTTATAGCGGTGTACTTCCTATAGGTTGAAACGGTACTATGCTATACTCCTGCCCACTTAGTAATGGTACTCCCTTTATATTCGTTTGCTGGCTGATGATATTATAGGGCCGGACATTGAGATTTTGCACAGTTGATAGATTTTCTCCGGTGGCAAAGGTACACGACTCGCCACCTGTTACAGAATGAGGAGTGCGTTATAGGAAGAATAGAGTAGGTGAAGGTTGTAGTGGCCAAACAAACTGGTGGCGTTAATTGTACGGTGAGTTGTCAAGTGTTAATGAGACAGTCATAATTGTACAGCGTTGTACAGTTTAAGTTGAGGTTTAAGTCTTACGAGGTAGGGAATTTTGATTGTACGGTTGTGTTCACATGGGTTTAATTTGTACGGCTTAAGTTATACGGCTTAAAATATGCGGTATAATTTGTAAATCTATAACCCTGTTTGGGCCCTATAGTTTGTACGATATATTTTGCCATAATAATTGTTAAATTGACTGTTGAGTCATCTGTTACATGCTTGCCACGCGGTTGGAATTGTGTGACTTTTGAACGGTGCCAAAACCCATGACATCTTGAATCACTAAAGCGTTTACTTACTAAATCCGGTAACCGATGCCGAACTGCAAAACTGTCGTGTTTGTACCCATGCTAGATTACAAAACGACTATGCCGTATTACACAATATAGGCAAAGCTTGTTGTGGAAATGCCCCTTCCTGTAGATAATAGTGTAATTAAGCATAGGGTACAGGCCCTTAGATTACCATACTAATGGCCATACTAATGAAATACTTATGGGCCTCACTATGATGTACCATACTGTAAGAAGTAATTTCTGGTATACAATGCACGACATACTCTGAGTTCGGTTTATCGGAGTGTCCTATAGTAGTATAAAGTGCTGTAGTATTATACGTGTTGAGATATCCTCTTCTTGTGCTGAGATATACTGTACTCTATTAATCTCTATATTCTATAAACTGATTCTCTTCTCGGGAAACAAGGAACCTTCAACTTTAACCATGACTTTCATACACTGTTCCATGAACATTAAAGTTAAAATAGAATGAGGTCCAATCCGAAATAATTGAGCCCAAAATCCCTTGTATAAAGCTCCAAATCCTTCACTTGATACAGTCTTACGGAAACAATCCACAGGCCCTTTATACAAATCACCCTTTTGATTATACACTCTGGTCAATATCACATCCCAAGGATTCATAACTATAGCGACCCCTAACCCTGCCATTGAAGATGATAAAAAGTGTAGACCTAATGAACCATCTTTAACAATGTTATGTTTCAAAAGAAATGTCTTTGTTGCATTATAAACAGGCAATTGAGCTGCTGATCCAGCTCCGGTTCTCAATATTGCGGCATCCACACCTCGGAATAATCCTTTAATACCTTCTGCCTTATAAATTTGCAGTAACCCATCCCATACACCTTTATAATAAGTCTGTTGTCCAATATGATGGGCAGCTTCAGAGTTGATGGCTTTTGAATATGATTGCATCCGAGTCTTAATCAAAAAGAATGGTGAGGCAATCATAGCTCCAGCGCATCCAGAAATAGCTCCACTTAATACATTAACAAACAAGTTCTGCGGTACTTTACCTCCTTCAACAAAAGTTTTAGGAAACAAATATTTGGTGATATAATATCTTGAAGGTTCATATAACCCAATACGACATCCATTCAATCCTAACTGATAAATATATCCACACAATAACCCCTGTTGTAATCCACGTATTCCTTCATGCTGAAAAATATAATACCCAGCCTGAAATGGATTCTTATACAATTTAGGAGCCAGTTTAACCTTGGATAATTCTCCCTGTAACTGCATTCGTGTTTTCACTAATTCAATGGGATTTGTAAATGTAACAGCTCCACATGCTGCTACTCCTCCAGCAATAAACCCTCCAAGCGTAGAGACTCTTTCTTGATTTGTCTTCTCTGAAGGTTTACTCATTTTTCTCAATAAAATTGTTTGATAATGGCTCAAAATTTGAGCTTCCTTCTCTCCTTTGGACTATAACCCACAATGACCGTCTTCAAGGGCAATCGATACGAGTTTGTTACAGTTAGTTAATGGTCGTAGAAAATCCTTCATCACTGGAGATAAAGCCGAACATGTCACAAACATAATTTTTTCGCCGATCCCGGTGCCGTTACCGGGTGAACTTCTTACCTTGAGGAAAGCAACTTGTGGTGTCAAACTTGACACAATGATTTGAAATTCGTGTCACACTACTTTCTTCTATCTGATCTCTTCAAGTCTTATCGGAATTAATCCAATCGATTAGCAGCGGACCTAGCGATTTAACGAACTAACTACTTAACGATTTAACGTATACACTTACCAATTCATACGTATACACTTATATACAGGAAACAATTGAAACTAATAAAAAAGTAAAATAACTACATACTCTTAAGCTAAACGAGATACAAACCATTTGAACATATTTATTCATCAACATATACTAAATGATCCCATGGTTAAACGTGTACACCCACCTTCTTCACTTGGACTGGCACTGATGGCGATGAGAACTTTTCTCGATATATGCAGGATCGAAAATTGTATAAACTATATGGTAACGACCATACAAATACATTATAGTTATACTGTAGTTAGAGTTATATTAACCATTAGTGATAGAACTGGCGTCTAATATGCTTCGAGCTAAAGGAATAATAGGAACCAATGGTTTACGAGCTGCTCGTCTCCGTCAAATATGTTCGCGTAAATTAGCAACGTTTGCAGACACTCAAAGTATTTTACTTAGTAAGTATCCTATAGGGTTGAAAGTCCATGGGTATACCATAGAACAAACGCAGCCAGTACCTGAATTCTCATTGGTCGCTGTTAGATTAAGACACGGAAGGTCAGGGTCAGAGCATTTACATTTGGACTCACCCAATGACAAGAACAATGTGTTCGCCATTGCGTTTAAGACCAACCCTCCTGATGCTACTGGAGTACCTCATATACTAGAACACACTTCGTTATGTGGATCATATAAGTATCCAGTTAGAGATCCGTTCTTCAAGATGTTGAACCGATCTCTTAGTAACTTCATGAATGCCATGACGGCTCACGATTACACGTATTATCCGTTTGCCACTACCAATGGCAAGGACTTTGATAATCTCATGGATGTTTATTTGTCTTCCACGTTGCAACCACTCTTGAGTCACCAGGATTTCATGCAAGAAGGGTGGAGATTAGAGAACGAAGATTTGGCCGACCCCAACTCCCCCTTGACATTTAAAGGGGTGGTCTACAATGAGATGAAGGGTCAATATGCCAATTCTGCGTACTACTATTGGATCAAATTCCAAGAAGCCATCTATAAGTCTTTACATAATTCAGGGGGGGATCCCAAGAATATCACTGATTTGGCGTATGAAGATTTCATTCAATTTCATGAAACAAATTATCATCCATCCAATTCAAGAACATTCACTTATGGTTCATTGCCATTGACCAATCATCTTGAAAAGTTAGACACGGCCTTTGCAGGCTTTGGATCTCGTAGCAACTCGTCTCAGATCAAGTATCCTATTTTCGAGTCATATGAACCCACAACTACAACAAAATCTGTTAGTGTCAAGGGCCCATTCGACTCTTCCACTGGTGTACCCATTGAGAACCAACTTAAAGGATCAATAACATGGAATTTGGGTAACCCATTGGACGAATCAAAGCAATATGAAGTTTTCAAATGGAAACTTTTGAGTTCTCTTTTATGTGACGGTCATTCTTCTCCTTTGTATCAACAACTTATTGAAACTGGACTTGGTGATGACTTTTCCATCAACACCGGCTTGGATTCAACTACAGCTCTTTTATCATTTTCTGTTGGCTTAAGTAATTCAACCCAATCGACAATTGACGGGTTAGAAGATAAAGTAATTGCCATTATAAAGGAGACAGTTCTTCCTGAATTAGAAGTTGCTCATGATGGTAATTATCATATGAGAGTGTTAGCATTATTACATCAATTAGAATTGGGATTCAAGAAACATAAGCCTGATTTCGGGTTAGGATTATTAAACTCGATATTACCTTCTTGGATCAATGGAGTTAATCCCATTTCATCAATTCAAGTCCAACAGATTTTAGATCGATTTAAACTGGAATACCAGATCAAAGGGTTGGGGATATTCAAGCAAATGATTGAACAGACCCTTTTGAACCCTCAAACGCAAAGATTAAAGTTTACTTTAGTTCCCGATGCTTCTTTTGCCAATGAGTTGATAACCGAAGAAGCCACCAGGTTGGAGTCTCAAGTGAAGAACTTGGATGACTCAGATAAGAAGATTATTTATGATAGAGCGCTCCAATTGAAGGAGAAACAAGAACAAGAAGAAGATATATCCGTTTTACCTACTTTGACATTAAAGGACATTCCAAGAACGGGGGACTTTTACCCATTAGAATTTAGTAATATCAAAAATAATGAAGAATCATTGTTACAGAAAAGAATAGTTGATACCAATGGATTAATATATGCAGCGGGATTGAAAGATCTCAGCTTCTTACCATCGAAATATTATCCATATTTGCCTATATTTGCCTCTTGTTTAACCAACTTGGCAGGTACAGCGTCTACGCCGATTACCGATTTGGAAATCAAGATCTCCAAATCTACTGGAGGGATTTCATTCAATGTTTCGTCTAGAACCGACCCATACAATTTAGCGAACGCCAAATTACAATTCACTATGAACGGTATGGCATTAGAAGACGATGCTCAACAGATTTACGACTTATGGTACGAGATTCTTCATGAAACCAAGTTCAATAGTGAAGATGAAACCGTTGTTGATAAGTTATCCACATTAATCAAAGGGTTGGCCCAGAAACAAGTGGACATGGTAACTGATCGTGGCCATTCGTATGCTGGATCAGTCTCCAATTCCAAATTGACCCCTGCCAAGTACATTGGAGACATGCTAAATGGTATGCAACAAGTGGAGTTTATATTGAAGATAAACTCTGAGTTGGAGAGGAACGGTAAGGCCTATTTGAAGGAGACAGTGTTACCTATTTTGAAAGAGATCCAAGAGTTTATTCTCATCCATGGTCACTTCAAGTATTCGCTTGTTGGAAATGCCCAAGCCCTTAACACCAACGAGCAATTGTTGGGGACATTTAATGAAAAGCTATTAAGCAACAGTACTAAGTCCACCCAGAAGAATGAACTACAAGTGTTGTTGAACAACTATCGTCAGATTGACCAAACAGATCAGCATGAACTCATTGATTTACCCACTCAAGTTGGATACGCTTCCCTAGCAAAATTAGGAACGACATACGACACCAAAGACGGTGCTTCCCTTCAAGTACTTTCGCACCTATTAACCTTCAAACACCTCCACTCTGTGATTCGTGAAGCCAACGGTGCCTATGGTGGAGGCTTGAATTATGACGGGTTGGGGGGAGTTCTTAACTTTTATTCGTATCGTGATCCCAATGCGGTTAAGTCCGTGGAGTCGTTTGAGAATACGCTTTTGATCTGTGGAGACAAAATCAAGGAATGGGACGCTAACGACTTACAAGAAGCCAAACTCTCTATTTTCCAAAGCGTTGATGCACCCATGAACATTGCAAGCCAGGGAGCCACCTATTTCTACGAAGGCATTGATGACGAATTGAGACAACAAAGAAGAGAAAACTTTCTTGATGTTTCCATTAGCGACTTGACCCATGTCGCCGAAAAGTATCTTATCAACAAGGAGAATAAGAAGGCCATTACCGTTATAGGTAACAACGACCTCTTAAACGTTGGAAACGATTGGGCCATTAGAAAAGTGTCCTAACTACAATGATTATTATGTCGTTATTATGTCGTTATTACTATTAACCTCTGTATATACAAGAATTGTGCCATATATCTATACCATATTACCGAGTTCTTCTTAAAAAGTCTCGCTCGGGAACCTGAGGGACTCTTCTCTTCTTATCTTCAGTGAACAAACAATGTCTTTTGGCTCTGGGATCATACAAGATCAAATTCAACCGTTGGTAGTGTCTGGGAACCTGAAACCACTTCTCGTAGCCGGTTTTGGCCGCAGAGACCATCTTCACCATCACCGTGGTCGCCTTCTTTGCCATCGTTAATGTTAGTGGTGGACTATTGGTGATAGACTGGTGGTGGTATACCATTATTTCTGGTGAAAAATTTAGTCAAACTCATGACAAAAGTCGTGCACTTACCATATTAATGTCGACTTCCTAAAAAGGCAGTATGTGCACTTATCAGCTCCGACAAACCCCCCACGAAAACGCGTTCGAAAATTTTTCGTTGTCATTAAATCAAATCAAACCAACACATACAGTGTATCATAGTAATATAGTGTTTCATAGTAATACAGTGTATCATAATCAGTGTATTATAATCACCAATGAGACACGTCATTTTCACATTAGTAGCAGCATTTTTATGGGCCTTGGTTTCCGGGTTACATTTGGAGATCCCTGCCAGCCACCATCCTGAAGCCACTTGTATTCGAGATTTTGCTCAAGACGGACTGTTGGTTGTTGTGAATCTTCAAATCGATGGCAACCCTGGAGATGGCCAGCAATTGGATTTGGTGATTGTGGATTCTATGGGGTTTGAATATAGAAGAACCAAGGATATAAAGGATAAGGTTAGGATTGCCTTTACATCTCATGATGCTGCTTTTGATGTTTGTTTCACCAACACACTTAATTCTCGATTCAGAGGAGAAAGCTATGTCAGACACGTTGAATTGGATATTGAAAGTGGAGCTGCTGCCAGAGACTGGAATGCATTGCAAACTGCCAACAAGTTGAAACCTGCGGAAGTGGAATTGAAGAGAATTGAAGAAGTAACCAATGAGATCCACGAGCAATTGACGTATTTGAAAGTCAGAGAAGAAAGAATGAGAGATACCAATGAATCAACTAATGCCAGAGTTAAATGGTTCTCCATTGTGGTTGTTTTTAGTTTGATTGGCTTTGGACTCTGGCAACTTGCTTATTTGAGAAACTATTTCAGAACAAAGCATATCATCTAGTTAACCACCACAGTCGTCTCTTGATGAGATGATATAATAGGTATATCAATCTTTATACTGGTGTAGATCAATATCTAGTAATAGCTCTTCCCATCCTGCCACTTCTTCCGATGCTTGTTTCATACGCCTGTTGTACTCTTGAACTGCTGTTCGGAGCTTGTCCCCTTCACTATCATCTGCAATCGTAGTTCTAATCGTTGCCATAATAGTAAGGAGTCTTAATTTGTGCTTGAACTCATCAACATCATCACCCAATTCAATTCCTGCTATACAACTAGTGAAGTCCTCTACTACTTCCCATGCCTGAAGCTCGTCATCTACTGTGATCAGATTCGATATGGCTAGCTTCCCTTCCAGTATGACTTCCTTAATAAACTCAACCACACAGTGTCCGGGTACGAAATGGAGCTCATGTCTAGTGGCACCAATGGCACAGCTGAAGAAGTGCTCAAAGTCTTCAGCACTTAGTTTAAGCAACATACCACTGATAATCGATACAACACTTTTGAAAGGGGAATGAGGATCGTCTTTAACTAGTGTATGATAATAGTATAGCACTAAAATATGTCCAAACACAAGCTTCATAGCATCAACCTTCACATCTTGTGCATTCCACTGTGGTTGTTCCAATATGATGCCACCAAGTTTGATTTGATGCTCGATATAATGCCTATCTCTTCCAAAGATGGTTCTGAGGTTCTTAAAACGTTCTTGAGCCACATTGGTGTCCACTAAGATCGACCGTATTACTGCTTCCACACTATCACGTTTTGTATACGGGAACATCTTGTTGAAAAGTAACGATGACTGAATGGATTTAAGATTAAAGTTCTCTTTCTTCATCTTATGATGGAGATTTACAACGACAATATCCAATATTAACCGTAAGAATTGAGCATAACAGTTGTATAGATTAGCAAATGCATTGGCTTCCCATTGAGTAATACCAGTGGTTATTTGACATCGTTGGCTATATTCAATTGTCATCTCCATGACTTCCCAGTACCCTTTAGAAATTCTTCCTGAGTTTAAATCGGAGATCTTACGACCTACAAGCCAGTCGTCAAACACTTTAATACGTTTCAACAGATCAGCTTCGTGTTTCTCAGGTTCTGGAGTTTTCCTAGCACCACCAGCAGATCCAGCAGGTGATTCCAGTCGTGATATATTGAAACTATCAGGTATATTTACTCCTGCAAACCTTGTTCTCTTTGGCGATAATGAGTTTTCGGTGATAGCCTTAATCACAGAGTCACTATCGTATTTATCAGTATCATGGTTATCGTCTGCACTCTTTCTATAGCTTACAAGAATATCATCTATAGTTGAACGTTGGGCTCTCCCTTGTTGACTAAACCGACTATCAGGTAAGAAATCCATTACACTCTGGTACAAGTACTTGCACACAAAGTCAAGCTTCTCCTTTAACAACAGGTTATCATAATCGCCATTCGCCATTGCCAAATATGTCTTTAAAATGTGAAGGCTTCGTTGACGAAGTTCATACCGAGCTCCATGCATATCAACATAGTGTAGTGATGAGTTCATGGCATTCTTGGAAGCATCTGGGCCATTGACGCTTTCATTGATGGCAAAATTGATCTCATCAAGGCGACAACTTAATGTTAATAGGATCCGGAAAATATCTAAAGGTGGGATATCAGGGTTATGGAACGTAGTCTCCAATTGGCTAACCAAACTTTCAAATTGGTGTACATTAACGAGATTGACTATGGTTCCATGAGTGTAGTCGTCTAACAAAGTGACGTAATAGTTGGCCGAGGCCTCTAGCAAATCAGATATCGCATATCTTCTACTCATGAAGGAAGTAATCCTTTAGATGTGAAGATTCTCTAGGATAAGCCCAAAAAAGGAAGTTAGCTACCTTTGCAATCTTGTGTTTATACCCGTTCATAATCGGTAGCGCCGAATAAAGTAGGTTGTGGTAATATGTACTGGTGTGCGGGTGTCGCTGGTAACCACCTTTCCTACTCTAGTTCACCTAAATGTCCTAGTATATCTGCAAAGACTTTGATAGTAATATGAGTAACTTCAGAATCAAAATCGTAATTAACAGGCTCATCTCGCTCATTGACAGCACAGCAACTCAACATATCAATCAATAATCCATCAGACATACCCTTACGAGCATCGGTGGAATCTAATTCTAAATGAGTCTTGATTTTTTTTAGCAGAGGCAAGTCTAATTTGAAATTCACAAGATCTGAATCGGAATACTTCCTTCCAGGGACAGTAGCTTCCACACAGAGTCTCCAAGTCGCCAATATATGTGCATAATTATCACGATATTTAAGTAAACGGTCAACGTTCCGGATTAGTTTATCGATATCCAAGATGTCTAGAATGTTGCCAACGTCAGCATTGGGTGCTGTTAAAGTATAAGCCAGAAGTAAACGCATTGTCATCGCTTGTTTCCGATTACTTGGGTTGTATACCACAGATCTACCATTCATGAACTCATAATAATAAGTAACACAGCCGATTATATCAGTAACAAAACATTTGGGGATTTTAAGTTGTTTAAATAGGGTAGGAATCTGTCCCAAGTAAAGGTCTGGAGTTTCTTCTGTCATAACTGAGTAGAGCTCAAGGATTTCATCTTCGTTATTGGGATCAGGGTTTAGAAAGCCATTCGGCTTAGCTTTGCGTGCCATAGAAAGTGTGGTTTAATGGATCAATGTAGAAAGAGTAACAAGTGCCAATGCTTAGCATCCCAGTATGGTATGTCCTTTATGGTTTACCCTCGGAATTGGTCGACTTTCGTTTTTAATTTCCGACCATGTATCGGTGCTGGTTTGGTTCCCGGAAATACCCCAGTTTTCGTTATCATCTTTACTCAAAAGGGAAAGCGATAACCTCGGTATATATATTATCAACTCTTTATCCTTCCACGCCGTTCAACAGCTTTACACCCCAATAGTTAAGGTAAGGCAAGTAACAGCGACATCTACGCCAATTGTTACACAAGTTCACAATGAGTTATTGGTTGTTTCTGAGGGGTGACAAGAGCGAAACCCCCATGGAACTGGAACCAGCAGTGTCGTCTGCATCAGACCCGAGTGAGAGGGCGACACCCGGGTCAGGCCAAGTACAAGAGTCTATTCCTGAGTCAGATTCAGTACCAGACGTACCAGTATCACAGGGTTCCTTAAAGAAGGTAACCCATACAAAATCACAAGGGACATTGCCTTCTGCCGCGAGCTGGCTTGGATGGGGGGCAAGAACGTCTGTTACTGAAGAAGAAAATGACAACGAAAATGCCATAGAAGAAGAAGGAGAAGCAGATGAAAGGGGGGGTGCAAAGAATGAGGGTGATGATTTCATAGCAGGGAAAGATGAAAGCGATGATACAGAGGAGATTGAAGACCATGTTTCAACTTCCAAAAGACGAGGATGGAGTTTCTGGAGTAACAACAATATTACTGGGAGCAATCCCAAAGGCAGTAACAATAAAGTGGACCATAACGGTGCGAAGGTTGATGATTCTTCCAGTGCTGTAGTGGATGGTGATTATAATACCAAGAAATCAAAGAGTGAGAGCTTCTCTAATGCGATTATAGAGTCTCCTTCGTTTACTAATCTTAGAGAGCTTAAAGAGACGACGGCCAATATTAAAGGATCATCTAAAAAAGATGGCTCAAAGAGTCCAACAGTCCATCCATCTCCACCATCATCGAATACCAATGGAAATGCATCTAATTCCAGTAATGATAATAATACCAATGAAAGCGTTGATGATGCTGTTCTATATAAACCTCATGACCAACCCAACCAATTTGATAAGATTAACACTCATAAGAACGAAAACATAAAAGAGAACGTGATTGTCCCCAACTGGAATTCATGTCTTCCCAGTCTTTCCTATTCCAACGGTTCAAGTTCTTCGTTCGCTGGTGGGTTATTTCGTAGCTCCATGACAAACTCCACCCAGAACAATGCTAAAATAGAGGTTAAGAACTGGAGAACGTTGATTTCACAATTATCGTCACGATTAGGTCTCTCTTCCACAGCAATCACTGGTTCAGGAGGAGGAATAGATGAGCCCTATCATTCTTTTGAAATAAACAAGAGTTCATTAGAAAAGCAAGCTAATTTGCTTTATGAGAGAACTTATAAATTGTATGGCAAAAGTTTGGCTAAACTACCACCCCACAAAAGAGCCTGTTTACCCAATTATAGCAAGGTTTATGATAATCGGGTGGGAAAAGGAGAAGACGAAACTTATGTTTTTGACCAACAAACTCAACTTGAAGAGGATGCTGCAGATCCTAATTCGATTTCAATTACCAGTGACGCCACAGGAAATTTACTAATTAATGCAGATTCCCATGATAGAATTAGGAACAAATATTTGCTTAATCAAGCACAGATTAGATCTCAAAAGACTGGACCATTGAATAAAATTAGAAAGATTTTAATTATTGGAGTTCATGGATTCTTCCCTACCAAAATGATAAGACCTATAATTGGTGCACCTAAGGGGACATCATCCAAGTTTGCCAACGAAGCTGAAAAGGCGGTGATAAGATATTGTGAAGAGAACAATTTGATTGATAAGGAGAACGAAAATCAAATCAGTATACAAAAAATAGCCTTGGAGAAGGAAGGGAAAATATTGGATAGAGTGGAGTTCTTTACTGAAATCCTATTGAAATGGCAAGAAGAATTAAACAGTGCAGACTTTATATTCTTTTCGTCTCATTCACAAGGATGTGTTGTTTCTATAATTTTATTGGCCAGACTAATCAACGAAGGAATTCTCAAGAATGCCATCTCAAAACGTATTGGTATTCTAGGGATGGCAGGGATTAATAATGGTCCAATTTTCGGTAGAGATAAGAGTTTATTCATGAAAGCATATTCAGCGATTGAACACGAATCATTGATGGAATTATTTGAATTGAATCGTTTTGAATCCATTCAATCCATGACATATAAAGACCTGATCCAAATCATTGTTAATTCCAATGTGAAGATTTGCCTAGTTGGTTCTATAAATGATCAATTGGTTCCTTTATATTCAGCTTTGGCTCTGCACGTTTTCCATCCCAATATTTATCGGGCATGTTACGTTGATCATGCTTCCCAGACTCCACTTTTCATTCAAAAGGTGGTATCTCTATGCTGTCAAATGCAGAACTTGGGGTACTTTGACAATAACGTCATAAAGGAACTAAGTACTACCTTAGCTGGTCCTTTGACTGGTGGTGGACACTCTAAAATCTATAATGACGGTAAAGTCTACGATTTAGGAATCAAGTTTTGTCTAGACACAGATGATATCGTCATACCTTCCATAACTGCGGACAATAATACAGACATCACTCGAATTCCAATCAACAACCAGGTTTATTATAAGGAATACAATATAAGTAAGTTGGGCACAAATCCTTATATGCTCCCCTGGTGTCTTCGAGGGTTTCTTTTTAATGTGGAGAAGAATTGGCCTGATAATACCAAGGCACTTTCTGTTTCTAATGGACATTCAATGGGCTGGACTGGCTACGATGAGGTTCAACTGCTCTTCACTCTGTTTGAGACTTGGAAACCGGATTCAAAGGCTTATAAGGAACTTAAATTCAAGTTGAACGGATTTAGAGCCAGCAAATTATGACTATGGTATAGTATAGTATAACATATACTTATATTAGAATAGAATCGGTATAGATGTGACACAAACCCACAGCACACAAAAGCGAATAATATATTACACAAAATTCGAATATTTTCCATTGCAATGTAAAATTGATCTGAGAAAATATAAACAACTGATACCTCTTTCTCCAATTACCACTAACATTTCAAAGTATTAAGTACTTTTAAAAGGCGTATATCCCATTCAGACGGATAGATACGCGTGGCATTGATCGGGATCTCGAAAAGCGCGTAATTTTCTGAGCGCTAGAAGTTAACTTTAGGAAATTAATTATCGATATAGACGTGATCTGAAGGAAAGGTTATAGTATGGAGATGGTGGAAACAGAAGAAGGTTTAGATATCAACAATGTCAGTAATCACAGCGCTGAACTGTTGGTGAGTGCATCTGAAAGCAGTTGTAGTACAACCAGTACCATACCAATTAGCATAGGGTCGCCATTGACACCTGTTTCTGATGATTTCCCTATGCCAACGATAACGAGTCTTTTGAAGGATGCCACAACGATCATGGAAATCCCCAAGTACGTTGGTTGGACGGTGGAGGAGTTCAAACAGTTGCGATGGCTTATAGTGAATGATTTGACTCGTAGTTCATTGGCCTCAACATTTCCTACCAAAGATATACTGGATATAGTCGATAAGATCAAACTGAGGGTATATGATACGGAGAAGATCCCTTGGACTGAGCCGGAGATAATGTTGGTTTACCAATATTTAAGACTGGGTTTACCCTTGTCCAGCACTGAATTCCCATTGAGGAGTCCAACTAAGTGTAAACAACTCAATACCCTTTGTATGGAAATATCTGATGCTATGAAAACTTCAGAGTGGACTGTTCAAGATGTGGTTGATTTCCATATGGCATTAGAATATGAATTTACAACTTCATATATCCAATTTTTATGGCCTCATAAGCCAATTGAGAGTGTTTTAAAGGTTATAAATTCCATATCTGTTAATTTCCCTCGTTCACTCAAAGAAGAGCTATATTTAAACTTACCTGAAGAGACGAGAAGTTTGAATGAGTATCGAGCAGAATTTCCCCAAAGAATCAAGGCTAATAAGTTCCCTGCCCATCCAAGACAACATATAGTCCATGAAACAATAGAAATAGAAAGAAATGGTCAATTATACGATAGAGTGGTGGATATAAGTAATTTAAGAGATCTCAGTGATATTTATCCGTTGGAAATTATAGATGAATGTATTGATAACGATTTAACCAAATCATGTTTACAAAGCATGTTCCCAGGAGAAGATATTACAAACATAGTTCAGCAAGTGATGAAAAGAATCAATAATAACGCTGATGGCGATGATCAGCAGGAAATTCCGTTTACTAGAGGGGAAAGATTGAGAATGAAAAAGTTTGCTGCTGATCAAGTACCAATGGATACTATATTTAATGAATTCCCATTAAGAACTCCAGAATATTTAACCAGAAAGTACAAAGAATTATGTTTGGTTAGTCATAGACAAAGGACATTCAAGAATAGTTATGAGAAATTGATCTATGAAGCCAAATGGTATGCATCAATGGAGGATTCCTCCACTAGTTCAAGAAGTAGTAGAAGAAGACGAAGGGGAAATGAAGTTGATTTGGATAATTTAGAAGAAGAAGCCAGATCTATTTCCCAAAGGAAGAAGAAGACGCAAGTCTCGGTTTTATCTCAAGAGGAAAAGGCTAAAAGATCAGCAGCTAGAAGGGTGAAACAGGAACAATTAGCTGAGGAACGAAGAAAAAAAAGACAAGAGAAAGCCCAATTACTTGAGTACAGAAGACAAAATGGTCTTATTCGACCCAAAATGGAGCCCAAGACTCTTCTTACTCAACTTAAAGAAGCAAATGATTACTTTATGACAGTTGCTGGTGATCGACAAAGGATTAATGAAGGTGAAGTTCGGAGACGTAAACGAACAGAGCATTTCCAACCTGAATATAATGTCAAGATTAAGTCACTGGTGACAAAGAAGACTTTACGGCAATTGCAAAAGGAAAAGATAAAGCTGGAGAAGAAGAAGTTGAGAGAAGAATTAAAGAAGAAACGAGAACAGGTAAGAGTGGAGAAACATAAGAAGAAACAGAGTAAGAAGAGGAAGTCCAATAATACCAAAATCAAAATAGAAGAACAGCTAGATGATTTAGCTGAGGAAGAAGTGGATATAAAGGAAGAATCCCCTGAAGTTCAAGATGAAATTAGTCCCTTTGATCCGGATGATATTGTTCGAGATACTTTGGTTCCGCTTAATGGCAGAGAGCTTTTCATTGATAGCATTTATAAGGCAGAACCTTTCATTCACAAGGTTGAATATGTGGATAATTGTCCCTCTGAACTCATGACTCAAGCAAGTACTCAGATTAACACCATCGATACACTAGCAGCTGATATTGTTACCAACCACATATTTTATTATCGAGATCTTCCTATATCATTCCCTCCATTGACGGTTATGGACGAGACAACGTCCAAACCTATTCCAAATGTTAACAACAAGGTCAATTTGCGGTTTCTTCTTTACCCTCAACATTGTGAACAGTTTGTGCTTGGCTCACCCAAGAGTAACGAACTAGATCCCATTTATGAGATCCAAAAGTTTTTCCAGTTACATTACGGCTTATACTTTTCCCATTCTGAGAAGTTAAAGAAGATTATAGTAGAAGACTACTGTGCCAAATTGGATCATTATGTTGATGAGAATGATTTTTCTGAATTTATGTTTATTATTGATAAATGGAATAAGCTAATGATCGAACTTTCTCCCAATGATATCGTTATCGATGATGACCAAGAAGATATTAATAAAGCAGTCAGAATTTATAGTACTAGATACGAGGAAGCCAAACAACCAACTGCTGTGGATTTAAGATTGGATGTTTTCTTTTCTGAAATGCTGAGGAAACCTAATGATCAACCTGATAGTGAAGAGATAGAGCATCCAAGTCCAATTTATGATATTGTCACTCCTTCAATCAAAATCGTTACTCCTCCGTTATCTGGAACCGAAGAAGAATTCAAAACTTCTATTAACAAAGTTTCAACTAAACGAGAGGGGGGTCCTAAAATCGAAGAACCTCAAAATATTCAACAAGGTCTGTCATCGTATTCGAATGCCAATTATATGAAACCAAAGTCATATAATAAAGACATTTTTGATAGACTAAGAGAGAAATCCACCATTTCAAGATTCACCACTCAACAAATCTTCCTTAGAGTTTATTCTAGAGTAGTATCTATTGATTCTAGAAAGCTTCGTTCCTATAAAGCATTTACTGCTGAAGTTTATGGAGAGTTGTTACCTTCATTTATGAGTGAAGTTTTAACCAAAGTCAACTTCCAGCCTCATCAAAAGTTTTATGATTTAGGTAGCGGAGTAGGTAACACTGCATTCCAAGCAGCGTTGGAGTTTGGAGGTCAATGCTGTGGTGGATGTGAATTGATGGAACATGCTTCTAAATTGACAACATTACAGCAAAATTTATTGAACAAGCATTTGGTACTGTTTGGAATGAAACCACTAAACTTGGACTTTGCACTTCTGCAAAGTTTTGTTGATAATGAAGCCGTACGGAAAGTAGCTCTTGAAGCCGATGTGCTCTTGGTGAACAATTATTTATTTGATGGGATGTTAAATAATGAAGTGGGAAGATTATTATATGGCTTGAAAACTGGAACTAAGATCATTAGTTTGAGAAACTTTATTGCCCCAAGGTATCGAGCTTCGGGTGATAGTATTTTCGATCGACTCAAAGTGGAGAAGCATGAGGTTAGTGATTTTCTTTCTGTCAGTTGGACTGCTAATAAGGTACCTTATTTCATATCCACTGTTCAAGAGAACATATGTCCGGAATATCTCGGAACTCATACACCGGAATAATTATCAATGTTATATTATTTTTTTCCATTCTCTATAGGATCAACTGTTCCTGCTCGGGTACTGCTATTGGAAGTATCTCCCTTGCGCCTCTTACCATGAAGAGGCCCTTCCATTTCTCTGGTAATGGCAAGCAATAAAGTATTAACTCTTCTTGATAATTCTTGAGGAGTACGGGAGCAAATGTACCAATCAAATCTGAACAAATCACTGGCCAAGATCTCTTCCTTAATTTTCTCACCCAAATTGTCTGTGAAAAGACCAAGTTTATGTACACAGTTCAAGATAAAGCCGTCTTCCAATTTGGAATAGACCCTTTTGGCGTTATTAGGAGGATATTGAATCTTTAAATCTTCTAATGGGTTTTCCAAATTCTCCATCTTGATATTCAAGAGTTTCTGTTGGTTAATTAGCTTTGCGGCTTTCTTTTCACTGGCTTCAATCTGGGAAATATATTTATCATACCCTTCAATCTCCTTATACTGTTGCCAAAAGGCTTTCAGATACCGTTCGACTTCGTCCTGATCTTTATTAGCCATGGCTTCAGCAATATCTTTATAATTGGTCCGACCATATTTGGCTGCTCCATGAATATAATTGGTGAAATCTCTTCTAGTCCATGAATGGAAACATTGCGTTAACAAATGATCTTTCCGTTGCTGTTCTTCTTCAGTTAGAGGAATGGCATCTTTGACTTTCTGTTGTTCCAAGTCTCTTTGTTCAGCTCGAGACAATTCCTCCAGGTCACTAACTTTATCATCATCTGAATCTCCTCCAAAGTCATACACTGAATATTTATAGCCCACTTCCTTTTTATGAGCATATTGTTCTCGCTCTAACAAGTCCACCAACTCATCAGGGAAGAACTGATGATCTTGAACGTTATATGCTTTGGGAGCCTTGGGCCTTTCTTGCTTGGTAGCTCCCTTCTCCTGAACGTTCTTCATTACGTCTTTATAATAATTATCCACAGAATAAGTTTGTTCCTTCCTCTCACGTTTACTGGGGTTAATCCAGGTGAACCCTAATCCACCAGCAGCAGAATTATCCTTTTTGGCAAAGTTCTGGCCGTTCCATTCGTACGTGGAGGAATCAAAGGTTATGTTCTGCAAATCGTCCAACCCCAATTTGTTATACCGGTTATTCAAATCGGAAGTCTTTTCAGCTCCTCTTTTCAAAATGCTTTCTATATCGTCATCCAATAGGGAAGTGGCATTCTTGGACTCAAACACCTCCTTCGCTCCATGTTGAATCATTCCTAATAAATCATCTTTGGTGTTACCAATTGCATTGGAACCAGTGTTCAGTTGTCTACCTTGTTGGATAACCAATTGGTCCAACCGTAACTTCTGAGCTGCTCTTTCCAAAACCTTCTCTTCAATGGCATTCTCGGTAACAAACCGGTACACTTTGACTTGCTTCTTCTGGCCGATTCTATGGGCTCTATCCATGGCTTGTAAATCGGCTTGAGGGTTCCAATCAGAATCATATAAGATAACTATATCAGCCGAGGTCAAGTTAATACCTAACCCACCGGCCCGAGTGGTCAAAAGGAAAATAAACTTATCTGAATCTGGGGCATTATAGGAATCAATGGCTTCAATTCTATCTTCATGATCGGTAGATCCATCTATCCGACAATATTCATAATCTCTTAAATAACAATAATCTTCAAGTATATCCAATAATCGGGACATTTGGCTGAATATAAGGACCCGTGAGCCTTCCTTCTTGAACTTCCGTAGCATCTTATCCAAAATAATCATCTTTCCGGAATTATAGACCAAATGTTCATCGGTGGTGTACGGGGGTCCTGGCTCTGCTCCATCAAATAAATAAGGATGATTACAACATTTTCTTAATTGCATCACGATATTCAATAACCTTGTTTTCCCCTCTCTTTTACCCACCACTCCGTTAACGGCATCGATGTCCTTCTCGAGCAACTTCTTGTACCAATCGATTTGCATGTCTGTCATTCCAGTGTAGATGTTGACTTCCACTTTGGGAAGTAAGGACCGTTCCACGTCGGCCTTGACTCTTCTCAAGAGGAATGGACTGAGCACTTGGTGTAACTGTTGAACCACTTTATCTTGTTTCCGTACGTCCGAGTCCTCATTATCGTCGTCTTGATCCGCTGGTCCACCGCTCTGACTCTCAAACCACTCGTCAAACATCTCAGAGTCCCCAAACACATCGGGGAGCAAGAAATTAAGCAACGCCCATAACTCGTGCAAGTTATTTTGCAACGGCGTCCCGGTAATAAGCAACCGGTTCCGGGAAAAGAATAACCGAATGATCTGCGAAAGTGAAGAATCTTCGTTCTTGATTCTATGGGCTTCATCTACAATGATGTACTCCCAACGGATCTTCTTTAGGTGTGATTTCTCTCTGATAACCATTTCAAACGACGTGATGAGCACGTCGAAATCAGCAGTGTAGAACCGATTGTTGAAGAGCTCCGTCCGTTGCTCCTTGTTTCCCTGAAGAACCAACGTGTTCACGTCCGGAGTCCATTTGGCAAACTCTCGACGCCAATTGTCAAGCGTGGATTTGGGCACAATCACTATAAAGGGCCCGTCGATCTTCTTTATGTACCGGAGAAACCCCAAGAACGAGATGGTTTGAAGCGTCTTCCCCAACCCCATCTCATCTGCAAGAATCCCACTGAGTCGGTTGTCGTGTAAGGATATCAACCAGTTTAAACCTTGGATCTGATACTCTCGGAGCTTCCCATCTTTGATGTAGCTGGGACTCTCAGTGAGCACCGTCTGTTGTGTCTCTTCGTCGTCAATGTGCTCTTCGTCAAGCAACAACTCTGCGTCCTCTTCCTTCTCTGTTTTCCGTCGACGACCCAGGCCTCCACCTCGACCCTTTCGGCCGGTGCTCGACGTGCTCTTGCCTTGGAACGACACCTGCGAGTCGATCTGCTTGATCATCTTCTTGAACCGGGCGTCTTTGGACGCGTTGATGTCGATGAAGTGGCGGAATAAATCCGTTAGTCCAAGCAAGTACTTGAACCGCTTGGTCGAATCATCTATGTCGTTCTTCTTTGCTGTTTTGGGATCGGTATCCAAAAAGAACCGCTTGATTCTTTCTTCTCGTGTTTCTGACATAATACGACAGCAATACGAACAAATACGACAGTAATCCGAAGTCTTCGTTGCTGGCGTTTGTCTTCTGTTTGCTAGTCAACTGTTTACGTTCCGAAAATTATTTATATGAACCTGGGTTTTGTGTAACTTCAAATGTAGTATAACCTCACCTGAAAAGGGGGACACAACTTGAGTACAAAAAAAAATATTGTGTGCTCAATATCATATATTACCATGTAAATGCTTAGGTGTGTATACAGTTTATACACATTAATTGACTTAATACTTAACAGACTTTACTCTACAACATTCCCCTCCATTAAACCCCAGTCAATTTTACTCTTTTTCTGTTTCTCAAGCCACTCATTGCAACGTATAAACACCTTCAGCGTAAAGAACCCTCTGCTGGCACTTAAAGGTGAAGGATGGACACTTTTGAGCACCAAGAACTTATTAGGGTTGGCATTCAATTGACGTTGGAAGTTACCTACTCTCTTTTGTGCTGGAGACCCCCAAGCCATAATAACGAACCCCTGACGATCTTGATGAAACTCAATGGCCGTTTTAATCACGTCTTCAGTAAAAGACTCCCATCCTTTCCCAGCATGGCTATTGGCCTTATGGGCTTCCACAGTTAAGCAGGCGTTTAACATGAGCACACCTCTCTTGGCCCATTGGGTTAAGTTACCGCCTCCTCCTCCCGGGATGGTCTTGTAATCAGGTATAACAAACTGCGGGTAGTCGATTTTAATGGTCTTATAAATGTTAAGTAATGATGGTGGAGGTCTTGTGGGTTCCAAGACTGAGAATGCTAACCCGTGAGCTTGGTTGAAGTTATGGTAAGGATCTTGGCCCAAAACTAAGCATTTGACTTTGTCAACGGGAGTATAATGAGACCAAGAGTAGATTTGATTTTCAGGTGGGAACACAGTGATTTTGGCTTGTTTCTGATGAGCTAGAAACCGTTTAAGTTCAAGGAATTGAGGTGTTCTGATCCTCTTGTGAAGAAACACTAGCCAACTAATATGAAGATGGTCTATTTCCGTACTTAAAAGTGACCGCTCTTCTTCACTGAGCAGATTAATCCATTCTTCTTTATTGAAATTGTGTTTAGCACAAAAATCGTTGTAGTCAGAGTCAGAATCACTTTTAGTCGTACTTTTAGTCGTATTATTGTCAGTGGTAGCACTTTCGGTATTGTATTCAGTAGTACTACTTTTAATACTACTTTCAGTGGTATTACTTTTTGTCTTTTCTTTCGACCTAGCAAAGAAGTCTGTGATTAAACGTGGCTTTTTGCTACCACCATCAATAGCACTATCAAGTATTCTTTTAGATACTGTCATGGTAGTGAAACGCGTGTTCGTAAAATAATGTGTTAATTTTTCAGTATATGTCTCGTAAAATAGACTGCGTTTTCTCGTATTTGTGTTTACGATGAGCTAACAGACAACACGGTTAATATCAGATATTGCAATTCAATAGCTTAAGGAAAGCGTTACAGTATATCGCAGAAACACCGTTAAATATTAATATTATTATTCCATCTTCGTGATTGTGTTCTATTGAGAAACGTACGTACGTGGACGTGCCAAATAAAGTATGTGAGGCTTGAACAATCTACAAAGTATAATGATAGCAGATGTGAACTCTAGAGCTAGGACTAGTCTAGAAATGTTCACTAGATTCTCACGTACCAGCAGAATCAACACTACAAACGAAGCCGTTGAGTGTGTAAATATTTTATGGCATGAATTTTCGCACCCACTTGCGCTTCTCGTATAAGTCATTAGTTTGTATTCAACTAGAATAGCCGGAGTAAATAGTAAGGATAACCTCCATCTTTTCGTAAGTATGCACTTGTCAAAAACGAATATAGCAAAAATAATAAACCATTTGCTCCAAGGATCAACACGAAACGAGTTAACTCGGAGTTAATGCGTGAATCTTTCGTCACCTTATATTGACCCATGTAAATCAACAATACCAATGCTCCACCAAGTAAGATATAATTAGTAGCAACCAAAAAAATCTCTATTCCAAACTGGTACAGCTGTCCTCCACTAAAATAGATCAACCCACCCTTATCGTTTTGAACAAGGAATGCAATGCCATTCATAGTGGTGAAACTGTATCCACTAACAAACAACCCCACTAGAATAATGCATACGGCGCACCATGCAGATTTACGAGTAACCAGCACGTATTGAGAGCCCTTCTTTTTGATCACCAATATGATCACTAGTGTGATGAAGAAGTTCTTTAAGAATGCCAATTGCGGGTCTTCTTCACGAATAGTGATCCTCTTTTGAACGGCTTCACTTACAAACTGAGCGAGCGCAAGAGACTGTTTCCTTATCTCATCTTTTGGAAGCTGGAACACGGTACGAGGCTCTCTCAACATACGATACCCAAGAGGCAATTGTTGATTTGAGCCGTCTTCATGGAGCTCCTTGTCCGAACTGGGTGGGATGATAACGATTTGAGGCACAGTGGTAACTTGGGCAACTTGAAATATAGCACCATTCTTTGGGTTAACCAAGTCAACCTCAACAAAGAAAAGTAGCTGCGCGTCAAAGTAATCCTGGTACCAGGATTTGGACACGGTACCCACGATATCAGGCACAGTTTTACATACCTGACATCCATGTTCTTCTTTTGTTGATGTGAATGACATCACTAGGTAGTAATCCCGTGGTCCACTAAAGAGAGAAAGATTTCCATCATGAATGCTGATGATACCGTTGGGAGATGAGTGCACAGCTTGTGCTAAAGCCACTAGGTTTTCGTTGTATGCAAATACACATAGAGCGGATATTAAACCCCATATAGCCACGGCTAGTGGTCTCATCGGGTATGTAGTAGAATGATAGTAGGTGATGGACATTTATCAACGTAAACACACTTTAAACCTAAGAAAACTAGATTTGGTAGCGCAGAACTAAATACCATAGTCACGTGACCTTAAGAACATATACCGCTTAATGTTTTTTGGCTGAACTAATATACGTATACTTGTCTATTATATCTAAGTGTTCTGAGGTAGTTCTATTATGTGGGCATCCACAAAGTCATGCTGTTCGTCTTGATTTATTATAAGGAATCCAAGAGTAACAATTATGGCTCCAAATAAGTACCAGATATTCACTGCGACTCGTTTGATGATCCAATCACCGACCATTGCCAAAGGAATAGTCATTGAAAGCCCGACAGTGACCGTCAAAGGACTGGTGAGTAATACTGCTTTACACCAACATAAATCGGAGATAAACGTAATGGTGGCATTTATGCAAAGTAAAGTTATTGTTTCTCTTGTTGAAGGTAATTCGAAAGTCTCCCATTGAAGCCAATGCAATATAAATAACGCGGGCCAGAGAAGTACCAAGCAAAAGATACCCACAAATCCAAAGAATAAGTGAGTATTCAAGTTCCGTTCCTTTTTCAGATGTGGAATAGTGATTCTTACCTTTAATAAGATGGTATAAACTCCGTAGATCAATGCACCCCCAAGAGCAAGGACATTTCCCAATAGTATTAACGATGCTTGTTTGGTTGGAGTTTCTGGAGAGTTCCCTGTAGAGCCTGAAGTATCAATCTTGGTGACTATGACAACTCCGATAAAGGAAAGAACAATTCCGGTGACTTTGTTTGCGTTAATCTTCTCAACAGAATAAATGAACCCAATGAGTAAAGTGAAAAATGAAGATGTTGATGAAAGAATGGTTTGGGATGCCACTGTGGTATAAGAAAGACTAGCGTTTGTAGCCAAATTGGCCAGAAACCATAGAATCACAAATTGAAGTGAAAGAAGCACTGTCTCATAAATATTGATGTCCATATCTTCTTCCAAAGGATCTATTGATTTAGAAATACTAAGTAGTTCATGACTTTGATGGACAGAAGAAGGATCTTGCTCATCGGAAGAAGGAAGTGACATTGTTTCTTCAATCACAGACAATTGTCTTAGTCTTCGAGAAGGCTCTTCATTTTCGTGTTCATGTGATGCAATAGTCCCATAGGAACATGATGTAATGGCTTCATCTGTAGGAGTTGTAGCACCACTTGCAACTGGAGACAGAATTAACGGAGACGAGTGATTGGAATAATTGTCATTAGCTTGAGTAAGATAAGCAACTTTTTGATTGACAATAATACCATCAGGTGGTGAAGGTGTTTCTCCCCCTCCTATATTTCTTTCCTCGTCATCATTCATGCAGTCTATTATGGAATACAGTCGTTTCTTGTTAAGGGTCTTTTGATAGTCCCGCTTCAATTGCCGAATAAACCGTGACACAGACAAGTCCTTATGTTGTAGATAGGGGATCAAATACAAACAGAAACATCCAGTATTAATGTAGGTTATGAAGAAGGGCTTTTTGTAAGTGTCTTCTTCTACCAATGCGTTAACAAGAAACGATGACGCCACCCAGAAGAGCACTACCGACAGAAGGTTGATTAAACCCAATATCCATTTCTCATTAGGAGAAAGCTCGTTCTCCGGAAGAATGAATGCTTTTGCATATCGTAGGATTTTATCCATGCTTATCATGGTAGTAATCGTATATGATAGGCGTCGTATAAATGGCTGTCGTAAATCTCAAGTCGTATACTTTCTTTCTTTTGTTGGTCCTTCCTTCGTTCGCGTCTAATCTCTAAGACACTCTCTCGTATTCCTGACAAACCAAAAACACCGGTTACCATGTAGTAGAAGCGCCGCTGTGAGTCTTTATGGGACTTTAACAGTAGACGTTTTTGTATTTTTTCCCTACCACCGATGGGAGCCACACCTAAACTTCCTATTTAGGTTATAATACCGAGGGTACTTCAATTCGAATATGGTATACGTATATATGTATTTAGTAAGGTGGAGTAATTTTGTTTGAAGGTTCCAAATGCCTTAAGGTCGGTAAAGTATGTGAATTATATTTCTGGTAATATCAGACTATTCTAGTTTTCATTTAGGGTACTTTTCTTTGAGTTCTACTTGGTTTTACAAGTGTGACTTTAACTTCATAAAAGTCGGATTTTTTTGGTCACGTGATATTGCCTTATTTAAAATCATCTAAAATGAATTGGCCTCAGTCTAGAACCATTGCATAGCTTGTAGGAAACATTTTGAAGTTTATCAGAGACGTACACATACATTTCTTTATCAGCAGTACATTCAAAACTGCGCTTCATTCAAACGCTTTCTGCTCCCCTGATCTTCAGTATAGTCTAAGTTAAGATTTCAGCCCATTTTGTGACACAAAATCACAGATAACAGAGCTTCGGTTAAGTTCCTTCATAGAGTGACAATTATACTTGAGTTCAGGAGGTGCCTTACGTATGTCTCTTAACACATCTATGAAAAGTCTTTCCCACCTTTCGCTACGCTTCTGCAAACACTCTTGTCCCAATAACTTATTGTGCACTCGAGTCTTAGCTCCAAGCCACTATGTACCAGATTAACTTCAGGTCACTTATCAATATATAAATACTATTACCTTAATAACAATGGCTCTAAAAGTACTAGTGAATGGTTCACAGTTCTCTGGTTTGCGCACTACTGATAAGCATCGACTTCGCAGTCAATTGCCGTATATTTCAATGTTTATGTTTCCTGTATATAATGCGGTCGCTAATATGGACTCTTCCTCCGAGAATCTGAAGATCCTAATCAACAACATAACTCCCAGTCTCCACTCTTCCTTCTACTACAGATCGGTATATCATTCCGTATACCCGAAGAACACACCAACGCTGCATCGCCCCAGCTTGCATCATGTCTTCATATCAACCAAATGAAGACGATGAGTCAACGTCGTTGATGCACCTGAAGTCGTATCGTAGACCTTCAATTGCATTCCTTGATGCACCAATAGGGTCGTTCAAAGGGCCTAATTCGCTTCATAACTTTGCATCGTCATTCACCAGAGCTCAGTCGTTTGCAGCCACCAAGATTGATAATCAAATTCATAAAAAACGGTCCTTTTTTGTATCTGCTGAAGATGAAGATGGTGGGTCTCCAGAAGATGAGACATTTGATGCTGAACTTATGGTTCCTTCTGCCCGAGGTGAACGGTTAAGTATTGTTGTTAATGATTTAAACCAACGGAATCAACTCATGGCTAGTGCTGGTGTCTATGGTGGAAGTGGAGGTACACCCTCAGATAGATATAATGATGTGTTTTATCAAGATGATGTTCTTAGTGCTTTAAATGAAGGTCGTTCTCGTCAAAACCTGACTGCTGGGATATCTCCATCTTCTTATGGAACTGGGGCTGGTGGAATCCCTATACACCCCAATAAACGTATGTATCATGCACCATCCATGTCTTCCGTTAGGTCTATGCTTTCATTGGCCACAACTGCTTCTCACATGGCATTGAAGAAAATAGAAGATAAAGATGGTAATGTGGTCACTGTGTTAGAAGGTCAATCGACTGCGCCACAAACAGTATTTAATTCAGTTAATATTTTAATTGGAGTGGGGTTATTGGCACTTCCAGTTGGGATCTTAAAAGCAGGTTGGGTGATAGGAGTTCCCTTTCTTATACTTTCAGGTTTAGTCACATGTTGGACTGCTGGATTGATTTCAAAGGCAATGGACACTGATAGTACCATTATGACTTACGCAGATTTGGGGTTTGCAAGTTATGGATCTTTAGCAAAATTGATTATATCATTGATTTTCTCCCTCGATTTAATGGGAGCAGGTGTTTCACTTGTGGTACTCTTTTCTGATTCTGTGTATGCCCTTTTAGGAGATGATGAAAATTGGACGAAAACAAAGTTCAAGTTGATTGGATTCTTTGTACTTACTCCATTTACATTTATGCCATTGTCTGTTTTATCAGTTTTTTCATTGCTTGGAATTGCTTCAACGATTTCAATTACTTTATTGGTTTTCTTATGTGGATTAATTAAACCAACAGCCCCTGGTTCCCTTCTTGATATCATGCCAACCAATTTATGGCCTCAATCTTATCCAGATTTTCTTTTAGCAATTGGAATCATTGCAGCTCCCTTTGGTGGTCATGCTGTGTTCCCCAATTTGAAATCAGATATGCGTCATCCATACAAGTTCATTGATACCTTAAAGATCACTTACGGTATTACAATGTTAACTGATTGTCTGATGGCCATTTTAGGCTTCCTTATGTTTGGGAATTATTGTAATAATGAAATCACCAATAATATTCTTATAACAAAGGGTTATCCAGGTTGGTTATATCCATTAATTAGTGGACTTATTTGTTTGGTTCCTTTGTCCAAAACAGCATTAAATGCCAAACCAATCATTTCAACTTGTTCTTCAATTCTTAAATTAGATGTTCCTACTGACAGCAGATTGATTGCTGTATTTCAATCTACAGGGACTTTTCTTGTTAAGATTGGAGTCAATGCTATTTTCATAGCACTTGCTATTTTATTTCCTGAATTCGATAGAATCGTGGGCATGATGGGTGCTTCCATTTGTTTCCTTGTTTGTGTGATCTTCCCTTGTTCCTTCTATTTGAAGTTATGTGGAGATCTGATTCGGTTGGGTGAAAGAATTGTGGTATGGATAGCAATTGTTATTTCTGCTGCTTTGGGTTTTATGGGAACCTATGCAGTCTTCAAATATTAACTAAACAAAGGCATTACATAAATAGATATCATAATACACTATACTTTATACTACGTCCGGCTATAAGGAACAAGGCGCGGCTGATAAGGATTGCGCTACCACTATCCTTTTGTTGGCGCTTCCATTACCAAATACACAAAGCTGTATTTAATTTATAACGATCAAACCAACCAATACTATTAAAATAGTTTAACATACTACTACTACTTTTTTCATCCTTTGACCCGAACATGTATTCAGTACTTGTGATAGTATACTTCATATGGGGGACCCTTGCAGCGGTACTACTACCGAACCCCGAGCTCCAGCAGCTGGTAACAGATCACATGGTAGCCCTTAAAGCCACCACAACTACAACAGGGGACGAGCCAGAACCTACGCCGTCCACGATAATAGATATTCTATCCAACCGCGTAGAGTTTTCATACTTCCTTCGATTGATCCAGAAACACGAGTTGGTGCCGTTGATCAACCAATTGGAGAACGCGACAGTGTTTGTGCCTGTGAATCTGGCATTTACTGGTGATGTTAAAGAAGATAAGGACCTGTTATTACGATATATCGTGAACCAAAGGTTTCGGGTCGGATATATGGATCGACGGGCCATAATGTTAGAGACTCTTTATCGACCGGGGGGCAACTACGGTATTGGTCATGGTAATGGTAGTGGTAATTACACCATCAAGATTAGCCCTAACTTTGAGACCTTAGAATATGAAGTCGATGACACTGCAGCCATTGTTGAAGTCGATATCTTTGCTAAACATCAACGATCTTTTGTTGAGGGGATTCTGGAGTTAATGCCATTGAAACCGTCGGTTTGTGATTTACTAATGAATAGCACCAATGACGATCTTGAACTCAATGGGTTCAAAGTCTCAACCATCAGACACTGGATGACATCGTTATTTTTGGGTAATGATGATAAGAATGATGTTGATGGTGCTTTGTTGAAGAAGAAACGTAATAATAATAAGAAGGAACGCAAGGATCTTCCTTCTACGTGTGAAGAGTTCTTCAACAATACAAGAACAGTTTTCATCCCCACTGATTCATATTTGCATGAATCCATGAGCTCTTTGGAATATCGATATTATTCCACGTTGTTTCATGTTGTAAGGAACGAAAAGTTCAGCAAAAAATCTTCTGCTATCCACGAGTTGAAATTCGACTTGATTCGGTTGCTTTCTTGTATTATGCTTCCTGAGTTGATAGGAGGTGCAAATATCACTAATGGGAAGCAATACCCATTGAAAGATGGGGGTTCAAATTATACTTTGGCTTATAATAATGCTTCAAATACTATCACGGTCAATGGGAAGATCCAATCGGCTTCTCTGGCTGGATCTAATATTGTTCTTAGTGATGTGGTGGTACATTTATTTGATAGCCAACTGGAACCCTTTTGGAGTTCATTAAACGTCACTTTGGCACCAATGATTATGCGGAAGGCATTGTATGCTCTTCATTTTTCCAACTTTGCGTCTGAAGTTGAATTCAGGTCTCTTGAAGCTCTCATAGACGGGCGAACCTCGGGTCAAACACTATTTGTGGGCATTGATTCAAGAGATGATGCAGAGAATGATGATAATTATTACTACACAGACAGTTTCAGCAACAAACAAACGTTGTTGTATCGATTTCTGGATCAGTTCATAGATTTAAGGGAAGAAATGGGGGAGCATAGTCCAGTTTATAAACTTTTAAACTCCAAATTATCATCTAAAAAGAGAATAAATGGGAATTACCAAATCAAATTGGCATCATCTTGGGAAAACAACAATATGATTTCAACGGTTAACGATGAAACTTTAATTATTGATGAGCCAATTCTTACAGCTAATAATAATATCATTTATGTGACTAAGAATGAAATCTTCCCTCCTCTGTCGCTCAAGCTGGTTTTGGGTGGCATGCTATCTTCAGGAGTGATTCCTCGTCATTTAAATCGTTTACAAATCAATAAGAAAAGTTGTCTTGCAACAGTTGAATATTTGAATCGTTTTGATCTTATTTCTGAAGTTGAAGAATTGAATGGGTATACTGCTTTCTTACCATGTGGTGGTGGTGGTCATGTTATCACCAGTGATCCTATTGGATCGATCCATAGTGGTGGTGGTGGTGGTGGTGATGTGAACCCTTGGAAAGCATTGGGACTTGTTTTAAACCATCTTGAAGCCAACCCAAAACTATTTGAATCCATTCTCAAAGGTTTTTTCGTTAAGGGAATGATATATTCTGATTTTGGGTTGGAACATGATGAAAAATATACTAAAAACCTTCGTGGTGATCTCGTTAAAGTATCAGATACAAAGATTGAAGAAGACGGATACCATCAGATCTTGGTTAATTCTACATTGATGAAATTACCTTTGAATTCAGAAATACTTTTCAGTCATGGGTTGGTTCATACAGTTGATAAGATCATTTTGCCCAATAATTTCCAAATATCCATCGGGGATTTGTTGAAAACTACCGAAGACAAAGATAGTGCCAGATTCAACTTTACAGAGTTGTTGGAATATGATCAAGTCTTGAAGGCAGTAGACATTGGCAATTTCTCTTTACTTGTGCCTACTAGTGAATCACTAAAGAAACAGAACATCACCACTTCATATGAAAAACTAAACAAGTTCTTACAATTGCATCTTATACCCAACGATCAATTAGGTTCTTTGCTTCATTGCATGTCAGGGTCCGGACGAACGGATGTTGATGATGCAGACGATTCCCACATAGAACAAGAAGATACTATGATTTCCACAAACTACACTCGAGCCATATTGAGATGCAAACGTACCAAGAGAGGTAAAACTACTCTTCGTTTATTTAATTCAGAATCAGAAAAGTCTTCAGGGAAACATGAGGTTGTTATTTCCAACTATGGATGTTCGTCCACCAAATCTTGTGTATTTCTTATTGAAGATTCCTTACGACTTTCATGGCTAGATGAACCTGATGATACTTTTCTACACATTCATTTGGGGTCTGTTAGTGTTGCAATTGGGATAGTCATTGGCCTCATGTTGGTGGGAGGATTCCTATTCGTTATAGTTGCTTGTTTGGGAACGCCTAAGCTGAGAAAGTCTTCTTCCGGTCCCCTAGCTCCGGAGAATATTTTTGAAAGACCTCAGAATAACTTTATGAGAGTCAATTTCGATAATGAGGAACAAGGACCTCTGTATGATTGTGGATATGAAACAGATATAGACATTGTCCGTGAAGAAGATCCACTCTTAAAGGGTCGTAAGAAACGGTTTAAAAGACATAGGAATTATGGTGCAATTAATGACGGTAATGGAAATGGAAATGGTACAACTGTCAATGGAAATGGTGCTACATCTCCACGTGATATACGGAAGAATAATATTCTCTCTACACTCAATAGAGAGAGGAATCTTCCTGATGCTTATTAAGTATGAAAGTGTGTACCTCGGAATTGGATTTGGGTCACGTGCACGTGCGCGTGACTTTGGGTAGGCCTTAAGATATAGAAATGTCGTTCACCATAATGAAACACAAACCGTTTTTCCTTTACGCTTTCTTTTTGAACAAGAGCAATGTCTGAGCCTCTTCCAACGGAACAGGCGGATTACTTGATGCAAGTAGAAACGTCATCTGATCCATTGACTGAATCTACAACTCCACCGGCGGATAATGACTTTATAAGAAACAAAGTGGAACAGATGGCGAAGGAATCTGCACAATTACAAACAATGCAAGACGATATAGATAAGGAAACACCAGCCGAGAAGGAACGGAAGGACATTGATTCCCGATCCATTTTCATTAGTAACGTTGACTTTTCTGTCACTCCAGTTGAACTTCAAGAACAATTTGCCAGCTGTGGGGTTGTTAAGCGAGTGACGATCTTGACTAATAAGTTCACAGGACAACCCAAAGGGTATGCGTACCTTGAGTTTGAAGAAGGCGAGAGTGTTGGAAGAGCCATTGATCAGTTCGATGGAAGTGTATTCCGAGAACGAGAGTTGAAGGTTACTATGAAGAGGACCAATGTGCCTGGGTTTGGTGGGGGGCATAGAGGTCGTGGGGGTGGACGTGGGGGTCGTGGAGGATTTGGACGTGGAAGAGGTAGAAGCGGATTTAGAGGTGGATTTAGAGGTGGTAGAGGTGGAGCTCCTAGATTTAACCCATATTAGAAAGAGAGAAGTTATACAATTACTATGAAAGGGTGCAGCAAAGCATGTGATAATATGTTTATGGCTATTTAGTAGCAGCCTTTCTTCTTTCAAATCTTTGATTTGAAACTAAAACAAGATCAGATTGTTCCGTAAGTCCGTCTTGAGCAAATCCCTTGACAACTCCATCCACATTATCTTTACCCATAGCTTGTTCAAACTTGTACTTACATTGAAAGGTGTTGATCTTGAACTGAACACCAGTAATGGCTTTCTGTAACAATTGAGTGTATTTCTCTGGAGCATCCTTGACACTCCATGGCTCATCTCTTTTAGCTTCTTGTTGGCTACTTAAAGCTTCCAATTGCTTTCTAACAAAGTCACCGTCATCTACTACTTGACTTGAGGCATCGATGTGAACAGCCGCAAAATCCCAAGTAGGAACCACCTTGTGATCAATCTTCTTTTGAGGGTAATATGAAGGTGAAACATATGAATTGGACGATTGGAAGATGATTAACACAGATGGATTCTCCTTTAACGATGGAAGCTGATGGTTAGTCTTAGCAACATGTGCACAAAGATACGTTTCACCAGATTCAGAATCCTTTTGAAGAACTAAGGGAATATGGTTGGCAATGATTCCTTCGTTGGCATCATGAGTAATGATAGTAGCAAGTGGGTATGTCTTGATAAGATACTCCACTTGTTCCCAATCTTCTTCAAGGTATTTCTTGGGGATGTACATTGTTAATGGGATAATTGACAGACGGACAGGAAAATCAAGGTTGACACATCTTATATTTATATAGAAAGTCTTTTGTCTTATCTTTGTATATTAGTCACCCTTCAAGGATGTTCCTCTTTAGAAAACTTCGGCTGAAGTTTCTCATTTGGGACAGCCCGCTAATTAGCGACGATAGTTTCCTAAATAGGGACACGACCTTGGTTTCCTAAATAGGAAATTATGTCCGTATCATAACTTACTTCCCATGAGGTCTCCCACTCATTGAACTGGTTGATAAAAGATGCTTTCTAATGCCATGGGATCATAACCGGAATCGTTTAAGTGAGAAAATAAGTAATCAAAATCAATTGAAGTATCCCATATTGGTCTTTTATTCCAAAGTTCATCAACATCAGTAAATTCCATTCCAAATGTACATTGCATATCGTCATTTTCCACCAGTCCATTTGATGGTAAAGTCTTTGTATCTGAAAGTGAATCTTCTTGAAGGAATGGATAACGTCTTTTAATATAAGGAACACAACTCCGTAAGATAGCATGGACTCTATGAGCACCTAAGCAGATTTTGGAGAATGTTTGACTTCGAGAAGAAAGTTGACAAACTCTTTGAAATAAATTAAACAAGGATGTTGAATCATCTTGCCAATTTAACCCTACCCAAGATGCTAATCCTGCCAGATCTGCACTTCTGAAATAAGTGGCCAATTCATTGATTGAAATAACTCCTTCCAGTGCTCTTATGATTATGGTACATGTGGGACCAGCCATTTTTTGCAATGCCTTATAGACTCTGGACATCATTACAGAAACATATTCTGCTCCAAACATTTGTGTTTGAATAGAGGCATGTTTATCTGAGATCTTCATTAATGTTAAGAAATTCTCTAATGCCGAACCTAAAATGGTATTTTTATTATAAATCCCCAGTAATTCTTGTTTCTGATCATGATCTAAAATTTGGAAAACTACCATATTCAAATGGAAAACTTCAACCGTAACATCACATCTAATTAAAAATTCTTCAACTCTTTCTGCAACAGACCCTTGGTACATTGAATAAGAGACATTGTTATACAATTGTTCAAATGATCTTAAATCATTGTCTAAAATGGTTTTCAATTCATCCAAAGTTCCCACTAACTCCTTAACACAAACGAATTGTTTCAAATACATTTCTGAAGTTACCCGTCTTATTAGTTTGGTTATTCTACCAATTAAACAAAGTTTTCGAGTAATAAATGGCTTATCAATAACACTAGATAAATCATAACCCATTCTATCAAATAAATCTCCCTTTTCAAGTTCATCGTCGCTCTCGCCTTCAATCCCTGTTAATGTCATTCCTCCAGAATTAAAGGCATACGTAGCATCAGTGAATTTCACCATTGTCCAAAGTTTCTGCCATATATAAGCCTTGTTAGCATCTATGATATTCTCGGGACATCCAGAGGGGTCTTTATTGATTCCTCGTTGTCGACACAGTTGAACTATCAAACTTTGTAATAACCCCGTGTCTTGCATGTTGTCGTCATCTTCAGGACAATACATTTTGTAGATCCGGATCAATAGTAACCCTTGAATGAATGGAAGATTGACCCTCCTTAGGCCAGTCAATGATGACATAATTAACCGATAGGCCACATCAACATACGTTGGTGATATGGTAAGGTTGGAATCTTTGAATAATTCCACTAGTTTATTGTCTTGTTTGGATAAGTTACCCTTGGAGTACTCCTTGAAAGGGATGGTTAAATAAGCAAATCTTAGCATCACCAATAATATAGCAATGGCATTGTACCTTTTAGATTCAAAGGAAAGTTTTGCGTGTTCTCCGTTATCTTTAATAGCCAAGTCTAACTCTTTCATGAAGGCCCTCTTTTCTATAAAGGGAGCAAAGGGGTAACAATATTTGAAGAATCGTTCAACTAACACCTTTACTATGGAAAGCGACGGCAAATCATTTGTTACGGAAGCTGTGACATCAGCATTACTGTTTTTGTTAGTGGCTTGATTACTACTCGTCACATCACAATGCTCTGTCAGTTGTACTTCTGAAAACTCTTCGTAAGATTCCAGTTGTCTTTTCAGATATTCTGCTAAGATGTCACAGGTGTATTTGTCATCCATAATAAGTGACATATAAGATGTTGGTCCATAGAATGTAAGTTTGGAATCTTTAACCATGTACCCGGAGAACTCCCGTACCTTCCGCTTATGACATTTACATTGTTGTTGTTTCTGTTGTGATAGCTCAGCTAAGCTTTGCTTTTGAAGCTGTACGGTCTGTTTTAATGACTCTATTTGAGCTCGAAGAGTAGCAACTTCCCGTTGATGATCCTCGGCTTGGATGGCTATCAGTGAAAGAGCAGACATGTTTGTAGTTGCTTGATCCACAATATTATCACGAGTATTGTTGTTGCCGTCGACCTTCAGTAAGGAAGGAACTCTATTAACAAAATTGCTGAAGTTATCATCGCCTTGTTGGTCGCCACCACCCGCCTTCTTAATATCATTGAACGTAATACCTGGGGGGGAGAATTGGAACTCAGTAGCTGAGGATATCGTACTTTCAGAACCAATTGATAAACCATGCGGTCTTCCTAAAGAATCAACATTCCCATTCCGTTGTTCATAATCTTCTTCGTAATTACAAAACTTGGCAGTCTTGCTTTTCAGACATGCGCCACATGGTTTACCTTTGTCGCATCTTGACTTCCGTCTTCGACATGGCCCACAGGAAGTAGGGATTCTTGTTCTTGCACGTTTCCACGGTCTTGGGTTCACCGAGAAGACTATTTGACCCTTGCATGGCATTATGGTTATGGTTTAAATAGCCAGTGAGGTATCAATTGATAACATTTGCTTTCACTTTGGAGCTATACTACTTAAGTCTCGGGAATAAGTGTTTCCTAAAGTGTGGATTCTTTTCCGGAGCTACGCTGCGAATGCGGTAACCTGTGACTATTTTTTACCCAATGTCTCGGCTCATAAAATTTATACACAATGCAGAATGTGTCAATTGATGATATACAGTACCGGTAACTAAAATATGTGCCACATAGACATGTTATTATTGCTTCTGCACATGGCTCACGTTAATTATTACTCTGTTTAGATAAAGAAATTAATGGTTGCGAAAGGACATGTGAAGTTGAAAGGTGGGGTAGAGCGTACATAAGGGAAGGAATCGACCAAGGCTCTATTCAATGCTTTCTATAAACTTTACTTATGACAAGATGATTTCTATAATAGCTGGTGGTCTAACTCTATTGGCTCTTTACTTGTTAGTCGATAACATAAAATCTTTCCTATTGAAACGGAAGTTTAACTGTAGAAATGCATATTATGTTAATGATGGTTGGTTCGGTTTCAAGACATTTTTACTGCTTTTACAAAACGATCGAAATGGTACTTCTAGTGAAAACCAAATCAACAATTTCGAAACCGTCCAAAAAGATACTTTTCAAATTCGAATGCTTGGTTCCAAAAAAATTGTTACTAGAGATCCAGAGAATATAAAGGCAATGCTTTCAACTCAATTTGATCACTTTGGTATAGGTCATAGATATGGACAACTCAAACCACTTTTAGGAGAAGGCATCTTTACAGTGTCGGGAGAAAAATGGAAACACTCAAGAGCTATGCTTAGACCTCAATTTACAAGAGAACAGATTAGTCATGTGCAAATGTTGGAGCCTCATATCCAAAATTTGAAGAAGCACATTATGCAAAACAGTGGAAATCCTTTTGATATACAAGAATTACTTTTGAAATTTACAATTGATACTTCGTCTGATTTTTTATATGGTGAAAGTTGTAATTCCTTGTTGGAAGATGGGTCAGGGTTGAATGGGGGGGTTAAATTTAAATCAAACTTCCATAAGTCTTTTGACTACGTTGGAAAGTTTCTTCGATACCGTGCCATTGCCAATGGTTTCTATTTCTTGGTTGATAATTCTAAGTTCAGAGACTCAATTAAATCCATACACCACTTTGCCGATTACTATGTGAAGAAAGCATTGGAAATGCCGCCTGAAGAACTTGAAAAGGCCACTAAAAATAAGTTCAATTTATTATTTGAATTGGTAAAAGAAACAAGAGACCCCAAAGTTCTTCGCGATCTGACTTTGAATATTTTGTTAGCCGGTAGAAGTACAACTGCTGCATTGATATCTTTTTGTCTTTATCAACTAGCTCGCAATCCTGATATCTGGTTGAAACTAAGAACAGAAATCAAAAATAGTTTTGGTTCAGATGAAGAAGGTGACTCGAGAATTCAGGATATTACATTTGAAAGCTTAAAAAAATGTGAATACTTACGCGCTGTTATAAATGAAACTTTGCGGTTGCACCCTTCAGCACCTAATAATTATCGGATGGCAACTAGAGATACCACTTTACCAAGAGGTGGAGGCAAAGATGAACAGTCACCTTTACTTGTTCGGAAGGGTGAAATTGTACTCTACTCGGCCATTGCGATGCATAATAATTCAAAGATATACGGTGAGAGTTTCCGTGAATTTAAGCCCGACCGTTGGTTCACCAATGATGCAAAACATTGGGGTTGGAGTTACTTGCCATTCAATGGAGGTCCTCGTGTCTGTTTAGGTCAACAATTTGCACTAACGGAAGCTAGCTATGTGATTGCAAGGATTTGTATGATGTTTTCCCAAATCGAATCATTTGAAAGCAGATACCCTCCACTTACAGAATTGTATTTGGTTATGTTTATTAAAAATCACAATAATATTGTTTTGAGGATCTAGTGCGTTTAAGCAAATAGTATCTGACACTTTTTGTATCAAGCAATATAAATGAAAGGGTTCATTAAAAATTTGGCATTTGTTATAACTCAGTTTTGTGCTATATCATATTGATTCTTATTGTTATGAAGTACATAAAAACACAGTCGCCCACTAGAGAAATATTTTATGCTCCACCCCACACAAGTTAAATTCAAATTTAATCCTTGGACAAACAAATGAAATAAATTTGAATCCAGTTGTACCTCTTTAGGTTTCACGTTACCAAATTACTGCTTTAAATTGTACCGTTTATTTAAAAAATACATCTAAGAATTAGGAAACGTTTAGCCTGCCATTTTTCTATTATACAAGCCTCGAATACGTTGGTACTTAGCAAAACAATTATACGTAGGAACGTAGGCACAAGGTCTTAGGCACCTAAGACAAATATTGAAAATGTATTAGGAGAGAAGAATACAAATAAACTAAATATTAAAATGAATACAAATACTGTTATTATTAGCGAAATAAAAAATTATAAAATAAATAAATAAATATAAAACATATTAGGGATTCAATATACACAGAGCGAGATCCACTCATTAGGAAGAAGTTTCTTCGTCATACTCAGGATGCAGCTCTAGAGAAAACCAATTCCGTATAAGAAAGTAGTAATTTCTGCTGAGCTAGTCATCGCCTGTGAAAATATCCATTCCGAGCAACCTTAGAAGTGTAGCAAGGTTGCGAAATACAACTGGATCCACAGGATCAGGCCAAAAGAGAATTGTGCTGCATCAGCCGTTTTAAACAACAGTAGGTCCGGAGTGGGGAAACATCAAAAGACAGAGATTACAGACGGTTAGCCTAAGATTTTCATGAACCAGGAAATAGAAACCAGAGTCAGAGTTAGGTAGAGGCATTCAGAAGGTATTTAGAAGGTCTCGCTATATAATCGCTGAACAAGAAGTTCTCCATTGTAAAGGTGGGTGTAACCAATTTTCGTTTTCAAGGTCATGAACATGGGTGTATATTAGTCTGCATGAATAGGTTTGTGTACACAGAATGTGTGTATATTAGTCTGCATGAATAGGTTTGTGTACACAGAAGGTTGATTTATCAGTATATCGTTGTTACTGTCATGCATTCTTTATAGCATTGTTATTTATGTCCCGTAAATCTGTGGTTTGTTACTTTACTTGATGGTGTTGTGGGTCACTATGGCTTTGGTATGGCATTCACCAGAGTCGTTGGAAAAATCCAAATGACAAATCTACTTTCTGGGTGAAGGAAGAGATGCAAAATGATCAGTATTGATAATATCACCTTACAACGGAATTTCCTATAATAATTGTTGTTTGGCGTTGTTGTGATACTGTGTTCCGAGAGAGAAGGTCATAGTTTGGGGATCAGAGGTTCCCATAGAAAGAGCGCTTTCCGCGGTTTATTCAGGACAATTGCAATAAATATTTTTCGAAGGATTGTGGAACAGATTGAGACCGAGGAGTAAACAGTTGAATTTTCGTTGATAAGTCATCATTATTTGTGACCAAGTGAACATTTCTTCACCAGTGATAATGATCGCTTCTTTGAATGTTGCCCTGAGAAAATTTTTTGCAGAGATTTCAGTTTCAATTGATAAGCCTAGAGGATAATTTTAGCCCCAAACATTTGCATCAATTTCTGAGCATGTTTAGAATATATGAGCATGGCTACATTAATTTAAAAGTGGTTATGATACAATCTAAAGAGAATTAAATTCATAGATTTGTTAAACAAAATATTTCTCATTTATATTTAGCATACTTATTATTTAATGGTAATTGGATACATCAACAAAACATACAAAAATTGGAATTACAGATTTTTAAATTCTGTAATTCGTTTTTTATTGTATTTTCTACTTTTTTTTACGTTTTGTGTTTTTGTTAATAGTGTAGGGGAATTCAGAATCATTCGTCAATACGTAAAGAAGAGTTGGAAAGACTCTCATTTTTTGAGGATGAATTGGATTCACTTTCTTTTTCATCGTGTTTGTATGGCTGCATCCATATCACTCTCAATCGCGTCAGTCACAATTGATTGACGCCGTATGCAGAATACAACGATTGACGTAAATTTGAATCGATAGTTCAAGTCTCACCGGACAAGAGGATTAAAATCTGGGGATTGGTAGCAATATGAAGTTCTTATGTGGCCAATAAATCCATACGCCTTGGCTTGAAAGAGTTTCTCAAAAGGTCGCGCTGGTGTGTAGGAGGGTCAAGTAAGAAACAAACACTCTAAGGTAGATTCTTGTTTTCAAATGGCTACCAGCTCTTTTTCAAAATCCAAAAATACATGTTATGATCTTTGACACTTCTTTTTACAACCCAATTTATTCTCGAAGAAATTAGGGTTAAAATGCCAGAAATGATGGTTTGGTTCCTTACACTTTTGCAGTGACAATTCGTTGGCTCTTGGGTCTCTGATATAAACTTGCGTTCTTTCAGGGTTAGATTTTTCAGCGTCTGTCTTATTATGAGTTTTGGAAGACAATAGAGACCACAAACTAATACAGGCCATAAAACCAATTCTCAGAATAGTAATACTCGCATATAACATTGGATTGTAATTGATAACTGGAATGTTGAATAATGTTCAATAGAAATGCGTTCCAACCTTAAGTTTGATGCAACTTGGCGGCGAAAAAATTAAAAATCAAATATGTAGAGTGAAAAAAGATCATGTCCATTGTCCACTTAGCACACCGAAGATATAAGAGAACATTGGCACCGACACATGTGGAGAGATTATTTTAAAAGCGGAAAGTTTCACGCCCTTAATCTAGAGAACAAGCTAATTTTTTTACTTCCTTCTCAAAGTATTTTTTAAGTCAAACGGGAATAATCTTCTATTCGCTCAATAGAATCGAATAAATATATAAAGAGATATTGAAAGGAAAATCTTCGTATCTCATTAGCAGATCCTCTAAATTGAAATCTAGCATATCTTGTATATAAGAAATCCTTTGATGTGTGTAATTCTTTCAAGGCTGCATAAACTATGCAAGGGTTTCTCTTCCGACTTAGGCACATCTCGCGTCGAATTGTTCATTTTTTATTTTGTGAAGGTATTTTCTATATATGGAAACTACCACAAAACTTCGAAGTTCTATGTAGAACTACAGTACTTCGTGTTCCAAGCAAAAGCAAGTAATAACAATAGAAGTGTCAAAAAGTAAGTAGAATGAACTTTAGGAAAAAATCAAGTAGAAATACAATGCTGGTAACATATACACACTTTGCCTTTGCAAAATATATTATTAATTCAATTTCAACTTGTGTTATTCAGGGAGTAACCATTTTGAAATAACCTAGTGGTGACTACATTCGTGAATAGATTGCTTTACTTTGTTCTCTTCGTAAATATATTGTTTGAGCTTTGTAATCTTAAAACTTTGTTTCATTCTGACCTTTGATTTTTAGCAAGAACATCTTTGGCCACCAAATCGGACTACATAATCATTGTATTTGATGATGTTAGATGGGGGGAACGAAATGAAGTATTTAAGTAAACCCAGAAACCAGTTTAGCCATTATGAAATATCGTTATAAATTCTGGTTGTAAAAGTTCATTTTACCTTTTAGGATTTTAACTAGTAAGTTTACTCGTTTGCTAGGGCGAAACCAGGAACAACAAGATGTTCACGTTCGTTAATACCTGGACGGGAACAACAACCCTGACCTCGGTAGATTTATTGGGTAACGTCTACCTCAATGTTCCTCGTACTACTTTAACAAGACCAACTTCAACCGGTACTTTCACAGACTCTGGAACAATTACAAATACGCAAAATTTACTTTTTTTAGGTGGTGATACTGTCACAGTAATCCCATATGTTCCTTTCTCACAAACTACGCTCCCAACTCTGACAACAACTGGTTTAACACGTACTACTACAATTACAGGTAACGATGGTACAGTTACTTA